CAAGTGCGCCATGAATACTGAAAGCTTTGTAATGTAATCCTCACTGTCAGTAGCATTTACAAATGAGTTTCAGCATTGCCTGTCAATCTAGAAATTAAAATTTAGCCTAATTGTTCCATTTGCAATACCGATCCACTCCACTTATATTTTCCCGCCTTATTTTAAGGTTTTTTTTAAAAAAAAAAAAGACAAAACAACAGCAACCATTTTTTCACTACTGCAAGTATTTAATCAAGTTCTGTTATGCAAAAGTGAAAAATCTATTGCGCGAACAACATTTTCTAGGTGCTTTTGATAACAGCTTTTGAATCATTTCTTCCGCATTTTACCTTCCGTGTAGGATTTTCAAAAACGAAAACAAAATATCTGGTAAATTATTGAATAAAATTCGATTTTTGTATTTAGTTGGGCAACTGTATGAGCTATAAAGAAGTTTACTTCCTTCGCTATCGTACTTTCAACGGGCTTGGTAATCAATTTTGTTCTAAAGCAATTATACTCTGCAAAAAAGGCGGTGAGGGGATTCAAAAGACTTACCAATTTAACCTTATTAGTTGAAGTAAATTAGCCACCTGCCGTCAAAACCCAACAAATGCTGCAGGAAAGTAAATATGAAATATGATAAACATTTTCTCCGCCATTAACTCGTTTGTTTCTCGTAATATGCAGGGCATGAAATGTTAATGTAGAGGTCCACCTTCTCTTTCGGTTTAGCAGTGAATGGGAACATGGAATTTTCTAGCGTTCTTAGTCAATGCAATGACGTCACAACCTCTGCTTATTATAGCCAAGGGCGACTATTTTTTGCTCTTGATGGCAAAAAGGTAGTCTGAAAAAAAATCCAAGACTCTAAATATATTCAGTTGCTAATATACGAATAAACCAGGGTTTAAAATAACAAAAGGCGCTTTGCATTCATTTCCTTTGGAATATTACACACAAGTCGTATACTTTCCCTACCGAATACGTTAATTATTTCAGTATTACAGTGAATCCTCATTTAAACGGCGTGCGCATGAACGGTCTCAGTATGAACAGGATCAAAACAGAACGGTGCGATAATGGTAAAATATCAGTTCATGTTGATGTGCAACAGAACTTGCAGAATGGCACCTTTATTCAAATCAATGAAACAAAAGGAACAAATTCTTAATTCGGGTGGTCTCCCACTGAAAGAAACTTTTTCTCCTACAAGGAAGTTTAGGTGCATGTTCCCTTTAAAAAACAAGTTTTCACTTGATAACACTTTCCCCTACAAACAATCGTCTTTATTTTTTAAAAGCTATTTTCCCTTACAAAAAGTGCATTCTCATTAAACTTTATATGCTCCCTTCTGATGGCATATTCTCAATTAAAACTGCTTTCATTTTCGGCAACACCTTTTTCAGATTCTTCCCTTGAGGAAAAAACAAAACAAAAAAAAAAGAAAGAAAGACAGAGACAAGAAAAGATCGGCTGGAACTAAAAATCTTATTGCTTCAGGACAGGACAATTTATTTCAGACTTAAAATTTTTTATCATGATTGAGCATTTTTGTCCGAAAAAGAAAGCCTACAAAATTATTATCACTTTGTCGAACGCTGTGGTGCAGTTTGCTTTTAGCCTGCTCGCACACTGACTCACGTGATTGTTCAGAATGTTTTTTCGTCATTTTTTAGCTTTTATTTTGTCAATGCCCTCCAAAGTGATAATAATGGTAATTAAGTCTATGTTCTTGGGCATAAATATGTTTTGTGCCCTTCTCAGAATCATTTTTTAACGCTCGCCTAGCGGCTCGGGCTGAAGTGATTGTGAGTAAGGCCTAAAACATATTTACGCCCGCGAAAATAACTAGAGAATTACACATGGGCGCGCGTAGATATGGAATTTCTCTACAGGCAACCATGTATTATTTTGTTTATCTTGTAGACACAATAGCTTTTTATTGACAAGAAAAGTCATCTTTATTAATGAATAAAAAAAAAAGAAAGGATCTACAATCCGCGAAAAAAAGTCGTAAAGCACGTCCGCGATTATTTTAAGGCTCAAGTCGAAATCAAACGGCTCTTGGAGCCAGCTCATTCATGTTATGGCTTATATTTAAGTTTGTATCAATTTCTTGGACTTGTCGAATCTAGGTACAGTTGAATTCGGTTTATGTGAACTTTTAAGACTTATATAATAAATTTTCTTTTATTTTTGGGCAGTTGTGTGATAAGAAAACATGTGCATTCGTCGTGATGGGAATTGGTAAAAAGGTTGTGTGGGTTGGAGGTGGGATGGGCAGAGGTCATGAGGCAGACAGTGTCCTTCTTGTTGGTGTGCGTGTTTTTGGGGCCGAGAGTGGGCAGGATGGGCATAATCAGGCATCAAATGTTGCTCTAGCATAAAAATATTAGTAGCCCTCATCTTTCACGATCATTTGCCACCCACCACGTCTGGTCGACAACCGTTCAAAAGGAGAGCTCTTCCTTCTAAGAGTAATTGGTCATCCATCTGCAAGCACGAAGAAAGATAATTTGGCATGTGGAAAGGTATTGATAGTCAACCGTGAATATTTCAGTGATGCCATTTTAATAAAATTGATTTCTTATAAAAATTTAGCGCATCAATTATTATATTGTACACATGGTAATCTGAAATATTTTAATAACATTATTTTACTCATGTCCTCACAGAGATACCCAAAAAGATGAGAGTGATGATGAGCACGAAAGTTAATCAGAAGTTAGCTCAGTCATTGACAGCATGCAATCCGAAATTCAGTCCATCAAGGTACAGCTACTGGCTTTGCAGGAACAGCTACAGAAAAGTATAATTAGATGAAACTAAAGCTGCTCAAGAAGAAAAGCAGTGAAAAACCAAGCTGTAATAGAGATTGAAGAAATAAAAAGGCAAGCAGCTAAACAATCGGCACTCAATGAATTTGGGCTAGAGAGATTTGGCACAGATGATGATTCAATAAAATTTTATACTGGCTTTCCATCTTATGCACATGTTCAGTTCTTTTTTCAGTCCGAACAGCCAAGTGTTGTAATAATAACTTACTGTTATGCTTCTGGAGTAAGAGAGAGCAGACCAGTTTGTAGGAATATGTTACTTGTAGATGTTTTTTTATGTTTCCTGTTCGCCTCAAACTGAGATTATTTGAACAGGACTCAGCTCATAGATTAATGATACATAGGTCTTCAATTTGTAGGAAATTAATCACCTGCAGTAGTTTTTTGTATTTTTTTTCTTGGAAGTCAAATGATCTGGCCTTCAAGAGATGATGTCAATAGGCATATGCCAGGAGGTTGTAAGAAGCTATATCCAAGCACACAGGTGATCTTGGGTTGTAATGAAATATTGGTTCAGACACCAGTACCTCCTTACTCCTGCAATTGCAGCTCTACTCAACTTATAAGAATAATGCAACCCTTAAAGGGTTGATTGGAATCACTCCCAATGGAGCCATTTGTTTTGTTTTCAATTTGTATACAGTAGGTATTAGTGATGAGGAAATCACAAGGTGTAGTGGGATTCTAGACCTTTTAGAAGCTAGAGACTCGGTGGCTGAAAAAGGATTGGACATCAGTGATTTACTAAGAGAGTACAATGTACAATTAAATATTCCTCCCTTTCTTGAAAGTTAAGGGAAATTTCCCCTCAGGATGTTCAAAAGACAAAGACTATTGCCAGCCTTAGAATACATGTTGAATGGGCTATCAGAGGGGTCAAAGAATATCACTTTTTCCATTCAGATGTTCCTTTATCTACTATAGGTTCAGTAAATCAATTATTTTCTGTAGCCTGTCATCTTACAAATTTTCAAGGACCATTGATTTTAGGTGATAGTGACAAGCAAAATTTATAAGCTTAATTAACATATGTTGTAGTTTTAAAAAAGCAGTGAAAAATGTTAAAAAGAAAATTACATGAAACTTCGTAGAGGTCTCTGACTGCCCATTTCATATAATTGTTCAAAGTGTAACAATACTGACACTAAATTCAACATACCTATGTGTGTCATTCTACCAAGTCACCTTGGTTTATTGCTAGAATGTAAGCTTTCAATTTACCAGTTTTAATGCAAAAGCTGAATCGACTTCACAAATCATAATTGTGATATGCAGGAAATATTATATTCTAATATTGTATATCCTCTGAAGAACTTCATTGAAAAGTTGGATCAATATCAGTATCTGGGCAACTGCCTTCCCCAACCCAACATTAACCCTAAATTGTTATCAATTTATTGTCATTGGGTTAGGGGAGGGGTAGGTGGGCAGTTGACCATAGTGTGTGTTGAAGAACAGTCAGTGTATCAATGTAAGTAATGACTAAGGAGAAAATTGTCCACCTTGTCTTTAGCTTCCTGAAAAAATATTTAATCAAAAACAATTCTTGTGCAAAAAAACAAGTTATCATCTATGTAACTAAAGAAATCACACCAATCTAGTCCAGTGAGGCCCAGCTGACACTGAACTTGATAATAGTAAATTATCAGTCGGTTTTCTTTCACAAATACTGGTTTGTGGTATTATCCCTGGTAAGATACCTAACATTATCGAATGATGTCTTGCCTTCTTTTACAACTTTAATTTCTAGAAAACCAAGGGGGTTTTGACCATGATGTCTACCACATCTAAGTCATACACTTTCCTATCTGGGCTGCATCCTAACCATGGGCACTTGGGACTCTCCCTCCCTTGGCTGTATTGGCATAAACTGTAAGCTGCATGAAGTTCAAGTTCTACCTCCCTTCTCATGTGTGCTGTTTGTACATATCTGCTGGGGTTTAGCTGGGTTATCAGAGAATCGAAACTGGCTACACAACAGGCGACAACCCCAACCTTACTTGCAGTGATACTTTTCTTTCTGAGAAGATGCCATGTGTTACTTAAGCTCTATGTAACTGTTTGTTCCTACTCTTTGAGTGACACTTCAGCGGTCATGCACAGCTAAGGAATCAAAGATGACTTGTTGTTGATTGTTCAAGCAAACTAACACATTATTGCTAAACCTTTGCTCAGCACTTTCTAGTGGCAACATGTGAAATCATTGATGACATAATATGAGGACATTTTTTGTTGATATGAAAGCAAACATCCTCCAGGGTCATTTCCAAACTTGCTTGCAATAAACGGGATACTGGGCAGTTGTTGCTGAGGAAGAACATGGTTTGCAAAGAGTGGGCGAGGTTGAGGATCATCAAAGTGTTCTTTCGTTAGTGTTCCGTACATTTTAGAGGGACATGCAATACAGATTACTTTTGATGAATTTGTTGCATGAAGCACCCAACTGAGGTTTTTGAACTAGCACATTTTGTACTTCTTTCTGCTCAATTTTCTTTCCTCCTGGGATACTCCAGCACTGTTTCATGCTGGTGCAAGTCAGTTCGTTTGGCAGAGTACGATGCCGTAGTTGTTTCAGAAGTGCAAGGTAATACAGAAGTCCTATCACATGATGGCAGTATCCACCTGCTCCAGCTATGCAAGAACATCTTCTAAAAAAGGACCCATCAGTTGTCTTGGTTCGAAAGCACTTCGAACTCACTGTACCACTAATAATAAATAAAGGAGTGTAAAATAATACTACCACTGCTCTTAATGATATGCAAAAGAGAATAATTTAATCAATTAATATTACCTTTCATGACGTGCAGATAACCTGGTTCTGCCATATATTTGTAGGCTTTCGACGCACTACTGCAACCAGACTTCTCTTTCGCATACTGCCCGACATCATCAAAGGTCAGTGTAGGGAAAACCGATAGATCTTGAGTCTCGTCTTCAACTAATTTTACAGTTGAAAGAAATAATATTAGTCTTACCAATTTCTTTAGTGATGTAAACTAAGGACGAAACATACGTTTGTGCGCGCAATCACTCGACAAATATCTCCACTAATTAACAATTGGTTCATACGTCAGCGTGTGTTCATCGAGATATGAAGCACTTGGGAAGTTTGGAGAGCACGAAAGATGCGTAAGAGTTGCTCGAGGCGTACGCCTCGAGCAACTCAAGCTTCTTAATCGACCTTGAAATGCCGTTAAATCCCTTGCAAGTGTCGTTTATGATGTAGAATTTTATTCTTGAGCCTTGAGAAGTCCAGATGTTACAGACAAGAAAGAAGGAAGATAACTTTGAAAGTACTTACCTTGTAGTCGCCATGTTTGTCAGCAGTTGTGTATTCCCTTAGATGGACAAACTCAGTCTTGAATTGTTTTCTATATTCTGTCTTTATTCATCGATCCACTACCTGGTACAGTCATGTTACTTAATTAAAGTACTTTTACATCATTCAGTAATCCCACAGTGATATTACAAAAATTGGTTCAAGTACTTTTGTATGTTTTCGATACACTACATCAGCCATCGAACGGGTTGGCGTTACCAGTGTATTCGCGATGTAGCCACAAACAAGCCTATTTTAACTTTAAAATCGTACCAAACCAAAACTTCCACACTAAACCTTACTAGCAATGTAGAAACGGAAATACCAGTACAAGCTTTTATCCGCATAAAGTATTGTTTACGAGCACACATGCGTGACCTCTTGTGAATTTCCTATTTCGTATTGGAGCGCTTGCTCTCCAGTTTTGCGTTGCTACCCGGTATCCAAGCACGTGATCTGTAGCTGGAAAAGGCCCTAGCTCATACAGTCTGATTTTCACATACAATATTTGTGTAGTCGCCAAACAGATGAGAAATAAAACCACCAGAAAAATAAACAAATGGCCAATCACGAAAGCAACGCTTCGCTTTTCCCTATAGAAATTCGCCGGTCCCTCAAGTGCGCCAATAGCAATGTAAGGCACATACGTGAAAATCAGTGTGTGTACACCCCTGAACGTTGAAAAAATATCAAGTCGAAGGAACAGACATAGTTTGAAGCTACTCTGGTTTGCAGATTTAATGAATGTAACTGAAGAAGTTACAATTCATAGACCCAACGTTTCGACACTCCTGTCTAGTGCCTTCATCAGGGGTGATCTAAACGCTGCAACAAGAGGTCCTTTTAGAAGATCACTAATTAGCGGCCTTTTTTTCTGACGAGATGTAAATAGGCGTCAGGAAGCAAACCGCCATCGTCACGATTTAAAGGAGCGTGGGCGGAGTTAACGAAGGAACAGTTTCGCCATGACTGTTCTTTCGTAAAATGATCATCTCACAGCTGGAGCTTGGGGCCGCCTGTGGCTAGGTTGGTAAATTCTGCACAGATATCACACCAAACAACTCGCGTGCAAAGTGAGAAGACTATGCGAGGGCTTGAAATTATATTAAGAACGATTATGATCAAGAAACGGCAAGGATTATTCCACAATAGTGCAAATAATCGTGAAAGATGATCGCGGAAAGCGATTGCGTGACGCTCGGTGAGTTGTAAGATGATTTCATCACGAATCAGACAAAAAAACACTTTAAACTGTCAGTCTGTATTTTGTACCTATTCTGCGGTCTGCAGTCTGCATTTTGTACTCGGTCTGCAATCTGTTGTCTGCATTTTGTATTGACTGGTTTTTGTTGGAGCGAGCCTCAAGTCCGGACCGAAATATTGGAGCTCGAAAAATTGATGTGTGGACTGTATTTTGAAGAGCTCCCGAGGAAAAGCACAATGATAGAGCAATGATTACTCTATACCAGCTGAAGACGTACGCAACTCTTCCGCGTGGTCACAGCGTATGTTGAAATGAACCCGCTACGGGTCCCCTAGGTGTGAACGTTTCGGCGTCTCGATTCAAGTTGCATTTTTAAAAGTTTGGAAATGTGATGTGAGGTAATTATTTTTTTAAAAGTATACAAACAATTTATTGCTTTCCACCTGAGTTTCTGAGCTTCATCGAAATCAATTTTGACTTTCATCTAGTAGGGAGGGGTAGCATGCGAGACTACTTCCGTCTACGGTCAAAAACTTTTGTCAACATCTGCTTCACCCCATGCACAATTTGTTTTCAGCATGAATGAGCTAAAAATGTGTCGAATCATTACAAAACAAACAATGGGCATGACTATAAATTTACAAAATTCTCAGTTAATGACTTTTTCCTTATCGACAGAAGAAATCTTGTCAGGTACGCGTCCAAAAACGGCTTGTGGCAAATCTTCCAATTGTCGATTTTCGCTCTCAGCCGCGAGAAACGCCACTGGTACCAAAGCCACTGAAGACGTAACTTCCGGTTTTTCTTTTCGTATTTTGGTTTCCTTCACCTTCTAGGAAATTTTAAACGTCTCTGTCCGTCTAAGAATTTCTAAATATTTCAGCAGCCATAGTCCCAGAAAATTTCAAGGCTTGAGAATAGTGAAGCCTTTGCCATTCATTCATCAACCTGACATGGCGCGAAAGGCAAGTAACATGTCAGCAGATGATTGGTGATATCAAACACGTGAAAAAATTATCAGATTTTTTTCACCTGTGTTCTTTTCACCTGTGTTTTTTCTCAGGGTTGGAAATCCTTGTATTGCAACGAAGTTTATATGATAAACTCTATTGTTTTATCAGTGCAGGCTCACGTGTCTCCTTATGTTCAGTCCCACACATTATCCGCTTACACTTCACCTTATCTATGTAAACTAACTGAGCTGCGCTTTCGGTCTGAAAGTTTCCATCTACGAACACAATTTGTTCCGTCCACGCTGAAAAGCAACCCTGGCGACTCTATGATTATCCATTATGGGTAGCGTTTTTTTTTTTTATAAAAAAAGCTACGCCGTGTTTGGTGGTCAACATAAACGGATGATATTGATGGCTTATAATAAGACGACCAGGCCGGGAAATCAAAGTTGCGTTTTCAAATAAACTCTGACGTAGCGTTGACAAAACCTGAAAAAAAATTCCTCTCTAAAACAAAACTCTCCGATGCACAGCCAAAAATTGAGACAAATAATGAAATTATCAGTTAACATCAAAAGATCGTCTAGTTGATTAGGTGATAAATAGAGAAATTTGTTTTTTTTTTTCGTCTTGTCACGAGCGTGGGACAAAGAAAAAATTCTGAGTCCCCATGAGGAATCGAACCTCAGATCCTCGGATAAATGTTCGAAAATCGAAACCCCTCATTCGATTTCAAGAAAATGACTAATTAAAGGAAAACGCCAGATCTTGTAACGTTAAAATGAAATCAGTTGAAATGTACTGTAGATTGTCGATACTTCATTTTTCATACTTTTAATCAACTTAAATTAGTCTGGTATTTCAATTCGTGGAAAAAACGCAAAGTAAAGCTTTATGAACCCTCTATTACTCAGAAATTTTACAAATAGCCTTGTTTGATCTGTAAAGGACAATAGATCAAATATTTAAATTCGTTGGACTACCGAAAATTATCATTGAATGTGAAACTGATTTTAATTCATGGCTAAATTTTGAAAGCAATATTCTCTGTAAGAGCAAGAACGACTGATGATCGATTCACCGTTCCAAAAATACGGAAACAATCGCGAAATGTCATTCCCTTATATCTGTTTTTAAATGACAATTCTAGCTCTTTTTCTGCACAATTTGTAGCCAAAAAACTTTATTATGAAAAGCAAGCTGTATAAAATCATATATTCCCTATAGGAATAAACTTTCTAAATTGGCCATAGACATTAAGTTTCGTCTTCGAATTTTTATAACAACAGATGCATTGATTTGAAAATCGTGTCGGCGTCGCGCTAACATAAATGCAAAAATCCAAGAAATTTCGATACCGCGGTGATCGTATCATTTTTAGAATTGAAATCTTGCAACATAGTTGCGCTTAGTAATGGTAATAGGACTGAGTGGAGTTTTATTCGGCCTGTAATCAGACGATATTGGTAACAAAAACCGAACGACCGGCTGCGTAGCGGGAGTCCGATTTGTTTATCACGAGTATGATCACAGACCGAATTGGACGACACAAAGTCTTATTACCAATTAATCATAAAAATTACAATTTGCGAGAAAGAAAGGAAGAATAGCAAAGTCATGAAAGAAAGGATAAATTTGCATCAAGAGAATGTCGCTCTGAAATTGATGACGATCCAAATGTATTGGATCGCTTTGAATGTGATTGGTTGATTTAAACTATAACTTTGAATGTGATAGGCTTATTTAACTGCCCGATAGCAACTTATCAAGTGAATTGGGAGAATATAGGATCCTCTAAACCAATCACAATCGAGGAAATTCTAATTTTTATATTTAAATTTTTTTAACTTTGATTGACGAACGAACGAACGAGCGTCGAACTCAAGAAATTGAATCGAAACATTTCGAAAAAATAAAATTTGTACGGGTACATTGAGAAATATCACGAGGCTTACATCTGCTGCATTTTATACTTTCACACGGTAAATAATTTATCAATTTTAGACCAAAGGATGCGTCACGGCTGTGTGGCGCAAGTAAAAAGATAGGTACATTTTTTAAAGTGGACGACGTAATAGATTAAAATTAACGAAAGTCTCGGGGGTGTCGTTACGTTTATTTGTTTTTATTTCCAACTGCGTCTTGATGAATCCCACATTCTTCAAAATTGATATTCCGATCAGTGTTTTGTGTTTCATCCCACTCTTGTCTATGGTCTCATGCTTACTTGCAAGTCGCATAATGATATATATGGTGTCGTGCAAAGTGCTCAATAAATCTCTCTTTATGCTAAACACCATGTCTTTCACTTTATGTATTTCTGTCATATCTTAGAGGGGAACATTTAACCGCCTTTAATAGATAGTTACGTGTTCTATTTTCAAAGGATCATATTAGTCACGGCAGAGCTTAGGATACACGATTATTGGTTAAATTATCCTGATGAAAATAACAGTAGGAAAACGTGATTTGTTAGTGGTGACTTTACTTTCATGTTCCGGTTGAGTGGTGCCTCTTGGGTTGATCTTAACTTCAGAAGACTCAAATTCACAAAAATTTGGTTCTGACCCAGCAAACAAGCTCTTTTTTCGGCATGTCAACTACTGCGTCGTTTGCTTTGTTCCACGACGGCGAGATAACGAATTTAACAATAACATGATGTCATAAAATTGTAAATTAAATCCAAAATAAACGATGCTGTTGTCTCGAAGACCACGAGAAGCTGTTGGTGTGCCTTCTGTCAGTCATTAAAGTAAGAAGTCGATGGTTTTAGCCTGTGGTGGTTGATTTAAAGGTGTTAAATAAATAATTCGTTGGTTCACGTGAATTTGATTCGCAATCCCAGGGTCAGCGTAGCGCCCTACACGCGGTGTTTCAAGTGAAGTGACTCAAAAAACGTGACTCTATCGGTCGAGTTTTCGTCACAATAATAACAAAAACATCAGAATTTCAAAAACAGGAAAGCTAAAATCAGCGAAAATCCGATTTAAAAAAAGTCATGTATTGTCATAATTTCCCTCCTGAGAGTTTTACATGCGTCAGTCAATATCTACAGCTGTCTCAGAAAATTCACGTTGACGGATACACAACTCTAGCATCGCCACGTTTTCCGCTCAAATTAAACAGCCAGACAGCACTATATTTAACTCTCTCAATGAAGATTGAAACCATTTTAGATTGCGATTTCCATTGCATGCTGACGACATGGCGGAGGTGGAAAATCCACGGACAAACTGCAGTGTTCAAAATGACGAGCTGTACTGCGAACCTACAATTCTGAGCGACCGCTCAAACTTTTCTAACCTTAAAAAAGTTCACTGGGCGCTTAACCTGGAGGAAATTTCTTACTTCAGTCCAGATGAATGCAAGACGAGTGATTCTATCTTAAAGAAGTTAAAGATTAAGGCTCGCTCTCTGAAAAACTTAGATATTTGCGACGACTTATTGCAAAAGATGCAAGAAGTTATTGAGAGAATGATGGACAAAATATTTAGACATTCTGGCGAGTTCCGGATCCAGGATTTCAATGACTTAAAGAATGACTGGGATAAATTGTTTGAACTCTACGGGGAATGAACATGGAACAAAATGCTAGGCTATGACATTTCATCTGCTCAAGAGTGTTTCGATGTTCAAAGAGGAGTGAGCTCGAACAAGACATTAACTCAAAATGTTTCGAGCCTTTACATTTTAGACCCAAATCAGTGAGACGTTCTTCTCAAAGCTGTACAATGGTTTAATGGTTCATTCAAACACACGAAATCGTATAACTTTATCACTTTTGTATTTGTAGAGCTACTAACTGGGTTGTTAAAAATAATATAAATTATCTCTGCCGCTTAAGGCTGGAAATGAAGATTCATAGTCTGGCTGTATCTAACTGTTTAAACAGGAGACGAAACCATGGCGAAATCTCATCTCCATCGTAAATGTCATTTCATTTTAAGAAGGATTTTGAGTTTTGTTATTGGCAAGCTTTGTTTGTAGTTGTTTTAATTCTGATCACTTCAACTTCGCTTCTTTATACTGTGACCTTTGTCTGAAAATTAATGAGCGGAGTCGTTCTGATGTTAAGTCGGACAGCCTGTGGTTTATTACAACGCGATATGGAACAATTGTAATGGCACATTACCATAACACTAATTTTGTCCGGTCATGATCTCCAATTGCAAATACATGTGTCTTCTTTCTTAATTTCAAGATTTCAAACTCTGTTAGGATTAAAAAATCCATCAAGGGTCTTTGTCCAGCTAGTCTCTGAAACGAAAACAGAATTTTCCAAGTCAGAAATTTCAGAAATCGCAGAAATGAGTTGGTAAGATGTGGTGTACATAATCATAAGCGACCGAAATGGATACGTTTTCCTGGGCTTCATCACACAGCTGTTATGCTTTGGTAATCATAATTAAAAATTTAACGTGGTTTCCGCTTCTTCAACTCTTACATATAGTAGGTTCTTTCCCTGACTAAAAGTGACACCCTCAAGGGATAAACGCTCGAAGTTTAAAAAAAAAATGATAAAAAAAGCCTAAACCTTCACTTCACTTCACTTGGAAAGAAAAGACGACGACTGAGTCGAAGAAAATACTCTAAAAATTTATGCTAGATTGAAAGGATGATTACGAAAGCATTGAAACAGTTTGACGGATTGAACTGAAACAGCTCGAGTTGTCATGCATACACCATCATAAATTAAATTTATTAAGTGGTTAAGTTCTGGTCGTTTCTTGTGCAACTCGACCTCAAATGCCTCTTTCTCTCTCCAAAATTGTGGAAGAATCACCTGCAAAAAAACACCGGCTTTCATGAATTAAGCATTCACGAAGAACGAAATGTTTCCATTATCGAAACAATATCGGTGCAAAACAATCGATTTACTTTCAATAAAGAGTGCGGGTTGATAAGGGTCATTTTTTCCGACTGACGTTGGGAAAGTAAGGAAAATTATAATTGACCGTACAGCTTGTTGGCCGACACCCTTTAATCAAGCGAGAGGACCCATTCCGAGTTCTTTGTGATCCATTTTTTGGCTTTATAACAACGTCTCCGAAAGATATCTTGAAAGAAAGGATTTCTTTATGTCAATGCAGGCGTTCTGCTTTTGGAAAAACAACGTACCCCGGGTAACCGATTGCCGCCTTTGTGTATGGTCTAGATTCTGGTGAGCAAACAAAATTAAAAATAATATTGAAAAAATTCAGAGAGAAAGAGAGAATAAACAAAGAAAAAACTGTTGTTTGTTTGAGCAATGCGTAGAAATATTGATCATATAACGATAGAAATTGACTAATGCTCCCTTGATATAGATAAGAAAGTCAATTTTTGAAAAATAAATTTTTATCACTGACAGTCGAGTGTGATTAATAACAAGAAAAACGCCCTGAAATATGCTGGCAGCGATCAGCACTAATTGAGAGCTTAAACAGTTGATCGTTAAATCAACTTGTTATGTGTCTCAATCGATTTTTACTAATGGAAAAGTCAAACTTCGTTCACCATAAAATTTTAATGGTCTCCGTTGATACAATTTCAAAATCTGCTTAACTTTCTCAATTTTTCATTAGCACTCAAACTTTCCGAGACCAACAAGGAGACAAAAAGCGTATTAGGAATTTTTTTTAATCATTTTTAGATCGAATTGAGATAAAAACAAAATAAGTTTTTCATTTTACAGCCAAGGGTAAAGAGCCGATTTGTTAACAATATTTATTTAACATAACGATCAAAACAAAATGTCCATTTACGCCGAGAGCAAAAAGCTGATAGGGTCATGCTTTTTTTCTTTTTTCGAATAATCTCGATCAAAACAACACCATTATTATTTTAATTTGACGGCAATTTTCCTTGAAGGCCTAAAAATCTCAATTATTTATCAATCGAAAGCTTATTTCAAAATTTCAAATTATCGTAGTTATGGCTTCGGGCTAATTTCAAAAGGCGCTTAAGAGGAATGTATGATCCTCAGGGAACAACAACATATTGTCTCTACAACTTACACGTGCAGTTTGAAAAAGTGCACCTTGCTCGTTTTCAAAGACACGTTTTTAAAGTCCCCGTGGGAGACTTTTGCGTTTCCTTTTTCGCGGAAGAAACGTGAGCACAACAAAAGTCACCACAAGGCCAGACGGGCCTGCCTTACCGTGACTCTTTCCCGAAGTTAAGTCGTTCGAAAATGAAAAGAAACAGTAAATGTAGTTGGGATTCGAGCCCTATATCCGTTTCCAGATTCAGAAGATCATTCAATAATTTGTCTATGTGTGTCTTCAATAATGAGAGTCCGTTCACATCTAATATAATTTAAAAAAGTAGGTTAACTCATTTTTCGCAAACAGATCCAGGGCGAGCACAGACGCAAGTCAAATGAAAATATTTATGTTTATAGCTCCAATACACTGTTATTGTGGTTTGTTTACTCGCCAGGGCGATTCACGTTGATCTCCGATATTCTCAACGAGGCATCCTGGGTTGCTTTGATTTTTTAGGATTTTTCTTTTCTTTTTTCCTGCTTTGTTTTGCATGTTTTTCTTTTGTTTGGCCTTTAAAGAGCATTCTGTATAGAGGTGACAACGCAACCTTAATTTCTCAACAATCAGGCTGGCTCTAAAAATAACAACACTGATACAAATCTTTAAAAAATTTGCAAAAAGATGAATTTTAATCTGCTGCGCTGTCATTTGAATGACGAAACGGGGGGCTACCGAACTAGTTTTAATGTGCTAGGCACATGAAACTTGAATCAATTCAGTGTATAAATAGATAGGCAACGATGAATGAAAACGCGGGGAGAAAATCGAACCGGAAGGAAACTAGTCACAAACGGAGAAAATTTAGGAAACTGTTTGTGGAGCCAGAATCAGACCAATCCTGCACCTGAAGTCCCATGAATGCTTTGTTTAGCGTGAAATATCGATTTGATGTAAAAAAGAACTGACACAGGAAAAAAAATCATTCACATAAAACTAGGTTGAAAAAAAATATTTAAATTCCGCAACCAACAGGCAAGCCTTGTTCATATGCTTAGGGACCATTCAACAAAAAAAAAATGTTCCCTTGTGATAGTGAGGATGAGAGATAAATGTTTCCCTTGTGTTTTTAAAAAATATTTTTGCAAGTGGAAACCATCCGTCCTGTTTGGAAACTTCAGAACAGTTTCACCAGATAGAAATAAAATAAAACTGTGGAAACCGTTTTCGGCTTTGTAGACTAAGACCAAGATTTTTGAACATACTGTCAAATAGATCACTTCATCATTAAAAGGTCTTTTTGACGTTACATTTTGATACTCATTTTTTTTTTGTCATCCAATTCAAGTACACGTCTCAAAACAACACTGCTAGGCTAGTTTGTTAAGTTTTTAAGAAAAGGAATCGTTTTTTGTACACCGCCCTATCTGTAGTGAAGATTACCAGTATTGTATTGCAGTCCTCTTCTCAGAGGCTATGTCCTCCCGGCGCTTACACAATTCTTTGAAGAGTTCAAAATCAACCTCACCGCTAGGACCAAGAACTTTCTCCGCAAACCAGCACACTTTTTTCTGCATCTTCTGAGAAAATTTCGACTGGCGAATAGTCGCCACCAGAGACTGTTGAAGTCGCTTGGTTTTCGAAGCGTCCACTTTCGTCTCAACGTTCTTTAGCACTGAGTCTGTATATTTAACTGTCTTTAATTCGGTTACTTCGTAACCTGAGCCGTAGGGAAAATAGTAGACAATTTCTTCCAGGTCATTGGCCCAGCGAACCCTCTTAGGCTGGCTAATATGATTTGTTCCATATGTCGAATACACTTTGCCAGGTTCACAGTCCATTTGATCTGCCGGCTTTATTGATGAGCTGATTTCAAGATCTTATAGCGGAGCAGCGAACGAGAAAAGCAGCAGAGAATAGATGCACTATGGTGCTACACATATAACAAAACAACGAATCCCTTAACAGTCTGATAACGGAATTCTTTTCCAAATAGCCTTTTGTGTATTTTTAACGGTAAAGGTGTATCCGACAAGCATTGCAAACAAATCTACCAGCTGGGGAAAATAATAACAATTTAATTAAGCAGTAAACATGTAAATGGGATGGCCAGGGTGTATCTTCTGATTATCCTATGACATATCTAATTGGTTCGTGCATAAATTGAATCGGTGAAGTCACCTTCGAATGGCGGCGCGTCTCTACATGGAAAAAACGCTTCCTCTTCAACCAACACTTCGATCCATGAAATAGGAGCTCAGTTTTTGTCAGTTTTTACTCACGTTTTTCTTTTTCTTTGAGCAGAAACGTGATCCACACAAAGTGGCCGAGGACTGAAACGTCGTATTAAGTCGCTGGGACATTTGAGTTTATCTCCCTTTTTTTCTTATCTACACACACTTCTTTTTCTACACACCTCTATGAGGTTAAAGGAACTCTGAGTAAGGCGCTTAGTTAGTTAAACGTTTCGTCAGATTCTAATAAAACTGATGTGATACGTTGGGTGGGCTGTGAAACATTTCTAATTGTTACATCTATCAACGTGGAATTGGTATCTAGAGCACTTTGAATTCCTTTGAGTGTCGTAAAACCACAACAGCCAGCGAGGAGCCAAGCAAACTCAGTGCTCGAATCGCGGGAGAACGCCATTGACCAAGTGGTGATTGGCTTAAGTTTGACTGAATATGATTGGTTAGAAGAGTAACACAACGAAGTAAAGCAGAATCTAAGCAATTGCGGATTTCTTACGACACTTAATAGAAAATTGCTCTATTTACTTTTTTTTAATGTAAAGCATTTAAGTAACAAAACAAAAAGTGTGCGGCAGTGGGTCAAGTAAAAATACTCTCCCTATAAACGTACAGAATCTCGCCAAATTAAGTGTCAGAACAACGTTCTCGCTTACGAAGAACTAACGCTCGAAAATTGGGTCTCCTTGATTGGAGATGGCGGTCAATTCATCGTTTCCACCATCAAGTCATGAATCGCGCGTACCACCTGATATAACTTGTAACCATGATAACACCGTTATAATAAGCTTTGCGCTTAGCTCTCAGAGAGTTAAAGAGCTTTTTGCACCCTTCATTAACGTTAGCGTTACGCATGCGTTGACACACGGAAATTCCTGCTGGCGTGAGCGCATACGTTCTGTCCTTCATTGTAAAGCCCACCATGGTCCTTTAGTGCACGAAATTTTTGCAGTTTACGGCCTTTTAGCAATTGTTCCCCCTTGTTCAGAGAGCAGACAATAACGCTTCTGATATTCATTTTGTTCGTTATTTTGGATGAGAATTAACGACAGGTCAATGAATTCTAAAGTTGCCATCATCTTGCCGTTGCTGTTCAGTGTTAGCCGAATCCTTGTAGAGGCCGACGTTTATCGAACAAGTAGCGACAATAATTGGCATATCCTCAGTCTTCTAGACTGCTTGACATGCTTAATAACTTGACAGCAGATTCAACCAGTGTGGTGCTTCTGTTTGGACTTCTTGCGCTTCTTATGTGATTTGCTTTGATCATTGGAAGGCTGAAGAGAAAACACATCATTTAAGTGACGAGACAAGACATCTTATTGGAAGTTATAAGTAAAGGCTACTCAATAAGGCAGTCAATAAGCTGTGGTATCAGAATCAAGAATGGAGAAAAGCAGAGAGACGTTATAGAACGACGAAGACTATAAGAGGAAATGCGAAGACTAAGCGACAATGGGGAAGAGAAGAAGAAAAAATCAGTCAAGAAACAAGAAGTAGTGTGGAATAGAAATCTGGAAAATTGAAAGAGCAGTCGAGAGGCAAACGATGAAGTAGGAAAAGAAGACAGAAACTAAAGTAAAAAAGGAGATGTAAAAAAAGGAAAGAAATGTAAGGACGAGAGGAAAGGGGAAAGCAATGAGAATTTATAAGAAGATTACACTCACGAGGAACAGTTAGTGGAAAAGAGAAACAGCGTAAAACGTTTAACTTCAATTCACCTGTGTCTTCCGCTTTGTGCTTGCAACGCTAATCACACTGGTGACGTTCTTATTGTTGTTACTTAGAGCCGTGTTCCATTCATCATCTTTTCCTGATATTGCAAACCTAATTAAGAGCACAATAAATAAATCAACTGTGAATAAACAGGTAAAATTACACAGACAGTGAAAGGGACGCAAGTGTCTGAATCAGACGGAACCCCGAACGAAAACGGATGCAGCTGTCCCAAATAAGACGGTGCCGTCTGGAAACGGACGCTACGGTCCGAAAATGGACGCAGTAGTCCGAAGTCAGTCGGAACCGTCAAAAATACGATCGGAACCGTCCGAATTCGGATGAAAGTGTCCGAAATCGGGCGGAACTGTCTGGAAACAGACAGGAAACAACTTACTTGCTGAGATCAATGTTCTTCAGTTTTTCCAGTTCTTTCTTTTGCTTTTCTTTCAATTCCTTCGCTGCCTCCTCCTGATATTAATTCATGAATATTAGTTAAATTTTGAAACAGAAGTTTTCTTAACGCCCCGTGAATAATATGGCGACCTAGCCTTTGGCATGCCTCCGTTCTTTGAATCACACCCACACTATATCGTCGATAAGACACAGATTGAAGTTTTGTTCCTTTCAACCCGAGAGTAACTCGTGGAAAAAATTTCTCCCAAAATTATTGCTAAATTTATCAAGCAGAAAGGTAAAAGTAAGAAAGATAACTGTCAATTAACTAGAAGTTTTTTTTTTTTGGCTTAGCACCCAGAAAGAGAGAGGTAACAGTGTAAGATATAGAGCAAACAGAGCAGGTAATTGATATTTAGATCTTGACGGTCGCTGAAGCAAAGGAAAAGAGACGGAGCTTATGACTGGAGTTTTTCGGGTAAAAGGTAGTAATACGATGAAGTAGAAAGCTAACCAAATCCTCTTGAAGTCCTTGAGCTAACGGCTCCATAGCCACTTCTTTTTCTTTGGTGACTTGACTATCGAAGGATGACTCCAGAACAGAGTTAAAACACTGCAAAAGAAAAGAAAAAAACATGGAAATAAAACCTTAAAGTATCAGAAGACCGACGGGATCAATATCAGTATCTGGGTAACTGACCACCTACCCCTCCCCTAACTCAACAACAGTCAATTGATAACATGTTAGGGTTAATGTTGGGTTAGGGGAGGGGTAGGTGGGCAGTTGCCCAGATACTACTAGTGATCCGAGCGACGTATTTTAAAAGATGATCTGAGTCACGCACACTTTTTGCTTCTTACTCGTGATCTTTACGATTATATCATTAAAAACCAGAAGCTTATAAGCTTCTGATAAAACGAATGGATTCCAAGTCGCCGTGGGTTTGTTCAGTAATAGATCAAAGAAGAAGGAAAAATGCGGCAAGAATATCAGTGACAAACTCAGCTGCGCCTCGTGCGCCCCTTAATTCACCTTTTGGGCTTTAGATTTCACGTGCGGTGTCACGTGACTTTTGATGTAAACAAACCCCGAAACTTCGGACATTGAGTCGAACATTGACATTGAGTCGAATTTCGGCTTTGGAAATTTTTCTTAAATAACTTCCCACTTTCAAGAAACGTTTCTTCGCTCAAAATTGGCATCTTTCTTTTATCATTTATTTGATCTTGTGTCAAGCAAGTTGTCATTTCGCTGCCGCTGAAGCAGATGCGAAGAATGTTACAGGAAGCGTTGCGGCATGGAATAATCGAACTAGTTCTGCGTACAGTGATGTATCTGATCAGGTATTTTCAGGGTGTTTAGCGCGTAGATTGTCAAATAAATCCCCGTCTGACAGTAGATTAGTGCCAAAGCCGAAGTTTGAACACATGTGCTGCGAGCTCGACTCAATGTCCGAACTTTCGGGGTTCGTTTACATCAAAAGTCACGTGATACTACACGTGAAATCTAGAGCCCAAAAGTTCATACCACTTTTTGATGTCATCTGTGATCTCTTACTGAACAGACACACGGTAAAAATGGAATCTATTCGATAAGTTTTCTATTCCTCGCGCAACTCTTGACATCTTGACAAAGTTTTCTTTAAGAAAATTCTTAAAGAGCAGAGGTTTAAACTTAATTTTTTTTCAGCAATCGAACTGCCGTGAAAAGGCTTTGTGCCCTACATCGACATTGATGCCTACAGTGCCAAAAAAGCTTCACATATTTCTATTTTAGCACACTTGATAAGTTTAAAAGAACTCTACCCTCCGAAATAAACTTTTTTTTTACCTGAACAACTTTTCTCATAGTTCTGTTGAACAATCCCAGTAACTGAGATGATGGTAGTTCTAATTCTTTCTGAAAAGACAAAGAAACAAACATAACAACCACCATATTTGTGAAATCTATGCTATTAAATATATAAGGGTAAGTATTTAAGTTCTGACGATGATCGTTTACCTCAAGGGCCTCTATGGTCTTGTGTTGTAGTCCAAGTCCGAGAAGAATCGCCTGTTGGAAAAAAGACAGCGTACACTATTAGCTATCGAACTAAGCCATGCGTGCACACCAACTTGAAATTTTCAACCTTTAAAATGTACTCCGTTGTTAATGATCTGTGATCAAGGATTCTTTGGTTTTATCAACTTAGTTGAAAATGTAAATTGGTCATCGTACAGAGTTTGAAAGCTAACGTTTCGACCGTTAGCCCTTCGTCAGAGCAAATAGGGAAATTCTGGGTTGCGTGCGGTTTATATAAAGGACGATGGAGCAACGCTAGCAATGAGCTCATGGTACCTCCGATGCCAGCTTTAAAATTCTTTACGGAGACCACTTTGTATTATCAATACAGTTCATAAAACAAAATTATCTTGTAATGCCCTCCAGCGACGCAGCACCACGGTTTCTTCAGAAACTTATCACCTTTATTCAGTTCTCTAATCTCAGTCTGCTTCCAAATGTTGGTAGTCCTTGAGGCGCAAAGAAAACTTCCAAAGATAATATGATAACGGAGTATGCTCTTCAAACTTACCGATTGCACTGCAGAAAGATCGAAGTCCATTTTCTGAAGGAAAAATAACCTGGAGACTGTGCGACAAAAGCAATATCATGTCATTATAGGCACCGTTTTCCTAATTCAATTTACTTTGGTTATTTCACAAGATTTTCCTTGCAGTTTACAATCCCGAGTGAAGTGAGGTATTGTAAGAGGAAGAGGGTCTCACGAAGGAGTATGACATCCCCCCCTCTCTTGGTCTCGCAAAAGACGGAGAGGGAGGAGAGCGGAAGGGGGACTAAGGGGGTGGGGGGGGGGGCTATTTTGTTCTGAAAACTCCACCGTTTTTGCGGCCTTATTTCTGCCTTTAGTAAATTCCTTCAGCTCCAAGTATATAATTCGTGAAGAACTGACTTCTGAAACTTAGGAAGGGCTCCTAAAAAAAGGGAAATTATTTCCGTTTTCAAGACTGACTTGTAAATAAAAGGCCATTCAAATTTCCAAATCTTGTCTTAAAGATAAGAAATCATTTCAAGTTTCTCACCCGCTGGAAGCAAATCCGTGATCAGATGATAATCCACCATATTCCGCGAATAAAGTTCCAATCGCTTGATGTCGTAAGTTGTAAGAACAGCTTCTAGCTCACCTTTTGTTAAACCTAAGGAGCAATGAAAACAATACTTGAGACGATTTAAAGAAGGCAAGCTATCATGGTGGACTAAAAAAGTTGCACTGCTGATGTTTTAGCTCTACTGCTAAGTGGTAGAAGTTTCATGAAGGAGTATCGATTTCAGTGTGAGAAGAAGCGAACTTTTAGGATGGACCTTCTGGTGTGCTCGTACCATTTGGTCACTTGATCTTTTCACCTTCCGGAGTAACCAAAAATGAACTTCTCGCAATTTCTGTATATTTTCAAGCGGAAAGGTAATCGATGACAAGTTAGAAAATATCAGCTACATTACCACTACTCGTTCTCTGTTCAGAGATAGAGTTCACCGAGTGGCATGAAGCGTATCTTAATTGTATCGCGATTATAAAATAATCTGTCTAAGCCTGTCTTACTAATACGTTTTAAACAAAAAGCAAATTACACCCCAAAAAAAGACAATTCGCTCTCAATTTCTACGCGCGATGGTCGATGCGCGATTCGCCGTCATCAACTACTACGCGATATAAATCACGAGGTCATAATCTAATTGTAAATTTACCTACCTGAGCCTTTAATTCCTTTGTAACTCTTGTTGTTTAGAATACTCAGCGCTAGAGATGGTTGAAAGTTGCGAAACTGATAGGAAAGGAGGGACAAAAAACGCCGGCGGAAATCTGAGAATATAAAGAAACACCGATTGCCAAATGAGTAAAGATAACTTGACCTTACGTTTGTATTTCTCTTCACCTTTCAAAAGTATGAAGCGTCACATTTCACGATGTCTTAACCCTTTCCACCCCAACATCAGAATTCATATTCTCCATTCTGTTCTCTGTACATTTAATAAGGTGCTGACAAGGAGAATTTGTTTAACAATCAAGAATTTCTGTTGATGTTCATTTCCTTTATTCTCATGACATTAATGTGTGATTCAGTGACGATATTGTAAGGAGAAATAAGATGCTAGTCACTCGTAGGGGTTAAATGCTTGATTTTACCCTGTTTTTAACGTGGTACAAAATTTTGCTAAGCGCAAATCTGTCAGTTTGCGTGGCGAGTAATTTACACAAAATTCTACCAATGATAATAATTTTCTCTCATGTTTTAACACCATTGCTCCATATGCCCCCTGAAATCTTTGCAAACTAAGCCACGCCCATCTAAAAATTAATCTGGGGGTTTGCGAGTCAACAATATTTTGCCATAAGCGGCTGCCGATGGTGTAATAGGCGGCTGTGCCTGTTGAGCACAGGCTCAACAGACGGCGGTGAGAGGTCTTACATATGGCGGTAGACCGCTGGTCATCGGCTTTTATTGAAACCTCTGCATAAGCTTTTGTAGCTGTCTTTCGCATATCTAGTGTTGGAAAGCTGGAAGATGAAAAAAACTCTCAATAAAAACTGAATTCTTCGCGCCTTATAGGACTTTACCACTCACCAGTCATGTAGGCTTGCAGCCAGTTGTCATCAGAGTTTTCTTCTTGATCGGAGAGTCGTCTTAACATTATACAAGAGTGTTCGCCAGTCAAATCATTCTAGAAAGTAAACAGGGACAACTCCTGTCAGAAAAAAAGACACTCTGGAAAGAACTAAACTTGCAAAGTCTGGGGAAGTGGGAGGGAACTTATCATTAGTGCCAGATCCCCGGCAAACCTCAACCCGACTCGTCTCAAATCTTCCCGCGGGCGGAGAAACGCGCGTTCTGCAGATCTAAAGTGAGGGCTTGTCAAAGGCTACCGTCTCTTTTGTAGTAGTACAGTCATATGCAAGTGCTAAGTTGAGAGAACAACAACCAAAATAAACAAATAAATAAAATGACCGCTAGCCGGTCTTTTCACAACAAATCATTTTCATTGCAGACTGAATAAAGCATCAGAGTTGATCAATATTCCCGCTAACTCAGTATTTATTCATATCCTGCCACAGAATTTCGTTCAGAAAATGAAAAAAACAACGAAAATTGAGACAATACTACGATGGAAAGATAAAAATGCTTTAAATTCCTTACCGGCGTCTGGCGTAGGTACACAGGACCAAAGTCGGATTTCTTCCAAAATCTAACAGATATAAAATGAAAAACAATCATAAAAAATTGTATTTTTTTCTATGAAAAAAACTTACCGAAATCTCGCAAAAAAAATTGTGCTGTGTCTTAATAGGCTATTAAACATTCTGTTCTAGCAAGGGCATTTGTAAAATCAGAAACATCTTCCTATCTGGTATAAGCGATCCTCGCAGTTATGAACACAACTGAACTAGCAGTTGAAATAAGACCTGAAAAGTTCAGGCCCGTACGGGATTTGAACCCATGGCCTCTGCGATACTGAAGCGTTGCACCGGTATCGCAGAGGTCATGGGTTCAAATCCCGTACGGGCCTGAATTTTTTTCAGGTCCTATTTCAACTACTAGTTCAGTAGTGTTCATAGCTGCGAGGACCGCTTATATCTGTTTTTTCACCGAAGTGCACAGTGCACTCATTTTCATATATTTCCAATCATTATCTTCCTACATGTTACATGATTGACGCGAGGTTGTCTAGAAGGTGCTCCCAGTCGCTTATAAAAAGCTACAACTACAGAGATTGCACAGGAGTAAGACATCACTCATTATTCGTCGCCCCCGGGGAAGGGGGGGGGTGGGTGGGAGGAAAGGGAGGAAGGACGTAAAGGTTTTCTTGGAGATCACATGGTCACATGGTTTTCAGGGGTCAACGGACGGGGGATCAGTCTGTCCACACCAACATAACAACAGGGGGACCAAAAACAATTGATTGCCAATGAGGGGAATCATTGGAATAATACGGTACTTTAAGGAAGGGGGGGGGGGGGGGGGGGGGAATCTGGTAAATTTCATCGTGACACACACAAAACCCTCCGACTTCCCTTGGTGATAAATAATGATAGGTCCCAAAATTAGGTTAAAGTTTTGAGAGAAAGAGCACAATTACGAAGGAGGGTCCTGTAAGGAGTTTCGACTGTATATTTTTCGATGAAAGAAATAATTTTCTCAGAACCTTAAGAGTTGAGTTGTCAAGCCGTAGGATACGCCCAAATAATCCAGTTGTTCGGCTGGTCTTTCACTGAGTTTTAACAAAAGAGGCGGCAGATTACTGCGAGGAGTTATCACCTCCTGTAGTAGGCCAACATCCTATGAAATAAATGAACATTTTGAATTTACGTCAGTTAGAACTGCCGTAACAAACCCTTTAACAGCCTGCAGGGTAGGCGTAATTTTGGCACCTAAGTGCTCAGTATTTTCATGGTGAAAATTATAGCTGCCATTTTTGAATTTACAGCCACGGAAAGCTGGGGAGAGAAATAAATTTCAACAAAAGGGGTGAACGATAGTAAAAAGGAAGGAGAGGAGAGGGGTTGGGGGCACATGAATTTCTTTGCCCCTCTCCCCACCGTCCACTTCAATCAATCATGGCCGGCTGGATAAACGATCGCGAGTTTGCTATTACTCTTCCCAATAAGATGCTTGCACTGCAGCCCAATCCTTTAAGGAATTGGTATATCGAAAGTTAATTTCTGAATGGCACAATTTTCAATTGAGTGTCACAAGAAAGCTGGGATTGTAATGATTTTGCTTTCGTCACTTTGTGCTGGATCAAAGATCCCGCGCCATCCTCTCGACCAATCAGATGAAAACAATCGCTGGCAGTTTCCCGCGCTTTTGGCTTTATGTTCATTTCAAGTTCTCCATGGCTTCCTTGGGTATTTTACCTTCTTCTGATTGGCCATTTTAATTTGGCTTTGGTCTTAAGACACTCAGTCGAAAAGTCGCCCTCAGAAACAATGCTTAAAAAGATCGCTTGACTGAGAAGCGAAGAGGTTATGGGCAAATATGAAATTTTTATTGAATAGGCTTCACGAAAGTCATAGATAGCTTTTGTGCGACACCTGCACTTTTTCCGAGACAAACAGAAAGCGGATCTTCAACCTGCTGAACAAAGTAAAGAACGTTACTGTACTGAAAGTGTATTATTTCCTTGCTATTATTCTCTTCCTCCATACATTACGTTTACAAATGGTAAATGTGAACTACGAATTAGTAAAAAAAGAACAATTGAACTAAGTACTTGTTATTATTTTCCCCTCAGTCAAAAACTGGCCAATGAAAAGATTGACCTTTTGGGCCACGATCTTTTTCAAATGCACCTTCAAACTTTCACGATGATATTGATGCACTTTTCATTTTTACCTCATCTCCAGTCAGAGTTGAGATTTGTCCGTCTTCTTTGCGTTCTTCAGCTAAACTGGGAATCTTTCCCTCGTAATACTGAATAAGAAGATTCATGGCCCTTCGACCATAACCCATCTATTGCAGAAAAGAAATAAGCAGGTTCACAATGGTTACTATGAAGATCGTGCAACTCAAATTGCTACCTTTTGAGATGGAGATAATTCTACTATTCTATATTAAAGCTTATGTAGGCCATTGCGTAAAAAATAGTCTGATTTCTGCGTCAAAAATAACTTGTTTTCTACACCAAAAATAATTTGTTTTCTGCATCAAAAATCATTATAAAAATCATTAAGAAATCCTAGATCTGCCCCTGCTTAGGCAAGATGCAAACTTAAAAATAAATAAATAAATAAATAAATGTAAACGAATCATTCATACCCCTTGAAAGTCAGGATGGGTAGCGATTCTGACAATTCTTCCTCCAGAAAGACCCGCAAAATCGTGATCATTAAATTGCTGCGATATCGTCCAGGGAATGAGGTCGCCAGATGCCCTTTTGCCTCGTGATAGACTGCTCATGATGGAAGACTTGGAGATATCACCTTCAAGGCAAACCTGTAAGGGGAGTACCAAGAAAAAAATTTGGATTATTTTGATCAGCCACAAAATGCTTCAATGCTTCGTACTTTGGAACGAAATCAAGAGGTGCGGGATTGACTCGGTTTGAGGACGTTTCGCACCAGCGCAAGTAAGTTCGCTCCATACTACTTAAGCGAATTAGTCGGCTGACGGAAAATAAGTTCGCCCCCAAATGTTTCAACTCGATTCCTTACAGCAGAAACTAATCTAGCGGGTTTGTTTTCGGGAATGTATCATTCTCGAATAAAACCAATAACTTTAACTGTGGTATTGCGGAAGATGTAGTAGAGTGGTTTACAAGTTTAGTTAATAATTCAGAGCCATGAGTTGTTTGTTGGAAGACGCCTACATGATCGAGTATTTACATGTATTTATTTCCTAACAGATTGCTTGCGTATCTCATCGACATGTTAACAGTTTATTGATTAAAAAAAACATTAAATATGCAGGCAACTACCGACAAATTAATGTCGGTAGTTGTTGGTTGCCAATCGTATTGCAGAATTGCGTCAAGAAAAGAAATGATTGACTTCAAGCTCTTCCCTTGAGAAACGTCCGTTTTTCCGCGTTACGTTATAGAGGCTATTTTTGAAGACTTCTAGATAAATGAGAGTTTTAATAAAGCGTATCATGTAGTCACAATTAGCTGAAGAAAACAGTTCTTAACATCTGTCTTCGCTTATTGAATTTTTTTTTAATTTTCTGAGCGAACATGATCCTAGTTCCACAACCGCCCCGCCTCCCATTTTAGGGGAAGATTATAGCTTGAGACCATTGATAGAGCTCACAAACATTGTTGGACACAATCGCACTCTGCATTTAATCTGTTTCTTTACCGAAATTCAAATTTCCCATTTTTAGTTTCTTGAAATAAACTATGGGAGCACAAGACTTAACCAGCTGGTTTCTAAAAATTGGAAGACTTCGCTGGTTGATTTAAAATTCAGCAGTGCACAAAGTTATTTATTGCAATAAGCACACCAACTCGAGGGATTAAATTATCATCTCATACAGTTCTTGGAGGAAAATTGTCATCTAACTTAATTAAAAAAAAAAAATTTTAAAAAACATCGTATTATACATTTATACAAAGCTGGTCATGGAAAATTCTCAAGGTGTGAACATCGCTTCAGCTTATCTAGTGCATCAGTGACAACGACGACGATGAAGTGAGCCACACCTGCACAGGCTGTCTGCCGAGATCGTTAAAGTCTGTTAATGTCAGCAATGAATAACACATCAGCAAATAATAACAGCGAAGAGTACAAGTCTACATCATCCATGGATTTTCCATCCAAACCTGAAGCCATCGTTTGGTGCAGTGTTTTCATATTGGCAGCAATTTTGATAGTCGTAGGAAACCTACTCACCATCGTTCTTTTTGTTGTTAACCAGAGGCTTCGAAAGAAAAGTTTGTTTCTCGTCATCAATATGGCCGTTGCCGATCTGATGTTAGGGGCTGTGACTCTGCCTTTGTACATTTACTGGGTTGGAAAACACCATTATCAGCTTTGGTCAGGAAGAATGAGCCAGCTTTTTTTCTACTGCTATACCATCGCTGATAACATCTCGATGGTATCATCATTAATAACTGCGACCTTTATGTCATGCGAGAGGTTTTACGCCATATACCGACCGTTTAGACACCGAACGCTATCTGTGCGGGCATACTGCATAGTTATTATAGTAGTGTGGACACTAGCCTCCTTGGATACCATATTTTTAATAGCTAATTTGAGTAAATATTATTCTCTCGTTTGGTTGTCAATTTGCATTGTTTCAATTATCCTCATTTGTGGTTGTAACATCGCCATAAGGAGAAAGTTTCAAGAAAGAATTGTCGCAAGCTCGCTTCAGCAAACCAGAGACTTACAAAGTAAACGCTTGACAAAGACTTTGCTGTTTGTTTCTGTCCTTGCTTTGTTTTGCTGGCTACCTTTTGCTTCTGTTTTCAGTTTAAACGTTCTACTCGATCTTCACGATGTAATACCGTGGAGGTGTTTTGTAGCTATCAGCTTTGTTAATGTTTCCAACGCATTTGTAAATCCAGTTGTGTATGCTTATAGAGTACCTGAGTTTCGACAGGCGTTAGCTCGGTGCTGTAAGATAAGGCGAATTGTGAACACTGAAGACTTTGAACTTAGAGTTGCCAACACAGCAGCTTTGACGACACCAACACGGCTTCGAAACCTCCAAACATTACAAGATATCTCTAATCGTGACCTACAACAACTACATTTTGAAGAGGAAGTACTAGATACCAAACTGTGACGAGCCGAAGACTGAGAAAATATAAGTGCTGTTTTGAAACTGTCCCAGAGCTCTAAACTTTACTTGAAGATCAGCCGAAGAAATCAAAGTAGAAAATGTTAGTGTTGAAGAAACCGCAACATGACTGTTTGTAGTTGAAAAAAGCGAGGAGTGGCAGCTAAAAAACCTTTGGATCTTTCTGAAACAAACTGGAACTCGACCCACTGATCTCCTTGTGTTTCTCGTCGCCTGTTTCATCCCTCCCAAGAGCAACAGCTCGGCAAAAACAATTTTCATCTCCTCTGACAACGTCTTCCCTTCTTAGAGAACGTATATTTTCAACCGCCGTAATTTATTTATCAAAAACGTCAATAAGTACGAAAACAGGCTGTACACACTTAAATACAACAAAAAGACTGTACTCGGAACGAAAATACCTCAGAACGCACTTTATGTGACCGCTGGTTTTTTGACTAAGTGAAATTAAAGATATGATTAATTAAAGATTAAATAAAAACTCCGAAACTTCTTCAAATTCCAAACAAAGGAGTTACAAATTTACGGGAACGAAAGCTCCACACAACAAACTAAAGACTCCGCGAAAACAAACTAAAAGTACGCGAAAAATGTCCACGTCAGTTTTACAAATGCAAGGTTAGAGTTCTTTGGCGTGATTGGCTAATTCGTAATTCTAATTAGGAAGAGAAAAATTGTAACTTGAAATTAAAAAAAAAGAGATTTTCTACAGTAGTAATTATGTGTGATGTCTCTCTTTTGAGCGTGACAAACAAAAGACATATACGGTCACGCGGTTTGGTACTTTTATAATAAGATCTTTTGACAGGGAGCCCACGTCACAAAGTGTGGTTTTCAGTGAGGCCCTGCATAAATCTAACGTAAGGATAATAGAAAATATAAATATGGTTATCAAGAATAGGATAAAAGGGTATAATCAATAGAAGAGACTACATGTTCTTAACAAGACGTCTAAAAACTGAAAAATCGGAAATGTTCCTAATGCCGTCTGGGAGAGCGTTCCAGTCATCTACTGCATGACAAACAAACCGATGCTGACCCCATGTACGCTTTGATTGTGGTTTACAAATGTTGTTATTAAAACGAGTGTTATAATCATGTATATCTTTAAAATGATTAAAATTAAAATTCCAATCAATTAGTCCATTCAAGGACTTAAAAACCAAAAATAGACGATGTGATCTTCGCCTTTTTTCCAATGTATCCCAACCAAGTAGATCAAGAGCTTCTGTTGCTGATGAATGCTTTGGCATATCTAAAATTAATTTAGCTGCTTTATTCTGGAGTAATTGGATCTTGTTCATCAGAGTGGTGTTGGATTTATCCCCCCAAGTCACATCTGCATAATCAAGGATTGGCAGCACCATGGCTTTTACAAAGAGTTCCCTTGTATTTCTTGGCAGAAGATGTTTTATTCTCTGTAAAACGCCAAGCCTCTGAGACACTTTGGTCTTAATGTAATCCACATGATCAGTCCAAGACAGTCACTAACTTACGTGTAGCCGTACCCTCCCCTTCCAAAGTGAAACGGAAACCTCGCCTCCGTTTCACCTGGGGGGGGGGGTACGGCTACACGTAGGCTACTTACTCACTGATTAATCCAAAGAACAAATATTTCTCTTAAACACGGGATAATCAGAACGTCATTCAATGCGACCACAACCAATATCAAACATGTAATATAGATAATCAAACTGAATGATTAACAAATATATGGCGACGTGTTTCTCGGAAAAGCAGGATGTCTATGACATCACAGGATGATCAAATCTCAGGTCATGAGATTGAAGGAAATACATTTTTCTGTTTTCTCTTATTGTTCGTCTCCTTACGCATAGAAAACGCTTGCTTTGTCACCGGTGACCATGTGTAAGACCAACCAAGTAAAACATGTGGAAGTAAAACAGATGTGTCACAATTTAATGACCAATGAGTGTAGATGGAAAACACCAAGAGATAAAAAGAGGGTGCGGATGGTTAGAGTTGTTGTGGTATATTTCACAGATTCTGAAGGGAAGAAGACCGACACCGTCTCCATGGAATGCTGTGCGGAGCATCAGGAAAATGCTGTAGACGCGCTGATTGCACGCCACGGGCTGAGACATTAAAAAACGGATGCAGTTATAAGGACTGAAGTTTTAAACTGTAAATCCAAGTATGAAAGACGAAACAGACCCTCACTGAACTGAGTTAAGAGTTGATCAAATCCTGACCATTTGAACTCTAGGCATGTAATTCGTCTTGTGATTTATCAGCATGAGTATAAATCGATTGTAAGAGGAACTTTGACACATGTGCGGTGAATAAAATGCTCATAGCTGAATCACGTTGCACTCAATGCAAGATAAAGGGACCTTGAACAGTCAGGAAGGCAACGCCGAGGAAGACGTCGATTAAATTTTTAGTTAGAATTTCCGTCTCTCACAGCATCAATTTCAGCATAACGCATTAGGATAGATGTGCAGCGTCGAGTCAAAATGGAAACTTGAATAACATGCCGTCAAGGTTTCTGTTTTCAGATCACACAAAATTCGATGATTGCACGTTGTTTTGTTTTTTTTGCAGAGTACGGCTCCAAAATGTACGAAGGTTTTAAGAAACATTAGAAAAATTTGTTCAGATGAATGTTCGCAAGTTCATAGAGGATAGGAAATCATTCTATTGGCGAAACATAACAACAGGCCTTCGTTGTTGGATATTGCTATCCACCGGATAAATCACTGTCCATTGGATAAGTGTTGACAAAACATACTATACTATCAGCTGGATAGCAAAGTGGATAGCGTTATCCAGCCTTCGTACAACCAAGGCCAGTTGCTTCCGTTACGCGGCGTCCTTATACCGATCTCTATAAATTTTGTACGACATTTCGGCGAATAACTCATCAGCGGAAAACCCTACAGACCTGAAACTTGAATAAATTTTTTATTGATCAATATTCTACCATAGCTCACTCTCTTGGCGTCACGCATCCAATGGATTTGATATTAGATTTCGATTGCGTGAAAGTAAAAACCAGCAGGAGGAAGGAAGCCTAACCGCTTTCCAAAGAGGCTCAGAAGCGAACAAGATAGACGAAGATCAAGAAGAGGACGTGAAATTTAACGTTACTAATTTCAACTCAGGGCAATCAGTAAGACAAAATCTGCCACAAAACCGTCGGTTAGAATCACTAGGGGAGATTGTACAAAACATCGTACCGAAAGAATCGGTTCCACGAGCAGATGTCGACCTCAGGAGGAAGTGGAATCTCAAGAAATATGAGCGAGAGAAGCTGTTGAAACAGTGGAAGAGAGCGAAGAAATCTCTGGCCCACTGGGTAGCGAAAACATCGCTTCTTGAATCTCAACTGAACAGAAATACTCAAGAGCTTGAACAAATGCGAGGTCAAATGCTCGCAGATTCAGTCTTAGTCGAGACTAGAAGTGCTTTGATCAGAAATATCGATTTAGTTATGCAACGTGCTCTTTATATGACCGCGATAACCTGTGGCGATTGCCTGAATATTCAAATAATAACCTTCTTTTTTATTATGAACCTGCCAACCGCAGAGGCGAAGCCATTGGAAAAGGGGGTTTTTGAATCTCGTTCTTGATCGTTCGGGGTCTTGGAATATTGGTCTCTGGAACTAAATTTTAATAGCACGAGTTTATCTCTAAGCTAAATGGATGAAGGATGTTGTTGTTTACATAATTCTCAAACAACTTTCTTACTTTTCTTCGAGGTTTTATAACAGGTTTATCCTTACGCTGAATGGATGAAGGTTGATGCTGTTTACATAATTCTCAACCAAATTGTTTGCGTTATGTTTTGCTTTACTATCAGTATTTCTTTTGTACATACTATATAGATATTTAATATATATTTTCAAATTGCAACGTTTCTGAAAACAGGTGTATATATATATATATATATATATATATATATATATATATATATTGCAATTTAAAAATGTATATTAAATATTTACACCTATTCTTTCCTTATCAGAAAGGTAATTGACAATGCATGTATCTTTCACATCCAAGGAAACAATACCTCTTTTGTTATTTTGACAGCAGCTATTGTAGTTTTCTTTTGAAACATTGTCCCTTTAATTTATTTTTGGAAACACCTTTTTTCATGGAAAAAGGAAAAGGTGTGTATATTTGATATAAATTTTCAAATTGCGATGTTTTTGAAAACGGGTGTACATGTGTATACTGTTGCAGTACTTTTCGCAGTATAACCTTATTTGCAGTTCTTTGAGGGAAAAGGTTTGTTTAGTTGAGGAAAATTCAAGCATGTACACTTCAGTCAAGTTTGATTTTATCATGAAAACTGCATGTCCTAAGAACGAATAGTGTAATACATTTGACCAAATCAATAAACAGAAACAACTGACCGGACTACACTTTCTATCACTAGTTTCTTTCTGTCACTAGTTTCAAGTCATTTAATCGTAAAGAATATACTGTATCGATCTAAATCAGGAACTTTTTTACGATATGAAGAAGTCAAGTAAAGAAAAATAGCAACATTCCCATTGAACCAACTTTTTGCGCTTCAGCTAGGAATCTACGCTGTAACAGTCAGAGAATCTGGTTGAAATCACATACACGTTTGATTGAAGAAAAGCTTACACCAGCAAAAATCTGATCGTGGACACATTTAATATGTGAAATGAAAACTTCTTTAAAACAAGAATTTTTTAAGGCTTCAGTTGTCTACAGAATGGAAGTTGAAAAATTCGACCGGAAGTGATCCGCAAATATCAGCATCTAGTTATCAGTCCTAGTTATCATATGCTACAGAGGCTGGCACAGTCCCTGGCAGGGATGCAAATCAAGTTGGTGACGTGTCCTTTTTCGTATTTTATTGTACCTTGCTTTGCAAGCTCTCACCTGTAACACGCAGTACACCTCTGGAAGTGTGTTCTGAGCTGGATCAACAGGGCCTAACAAGCAGAAGATGTGATGCGCAGGTGCATCAGATAACAACTGTAGATCATTTGGAGTGTTCTGCAAATGAAAGACAATGAATTTAGTGTGAACTGTCATACCACAATGGTCTGATAATAGGGAAGCAACAATTTCCTCTTGCAAATGAAAGAGATGAGGAAGAAAGAACTTGTAGACCAAGGGTAGTGCTGATTACACTAGTATCATTCTTTCTTGGCAAAATATCATCCCCCTGAAGCGCAAACAGAACCACTGAGGGTCCAATGTGCCCCTAGCAATGCTACAGAGGCCATATGAATAAAAAAAATTATAACAACAAAAAAACCTCAGAACTAATATGACAAAAATGGAATTTAACAAAAGAAAACAAAAGGAAAACAACCATTAATAATAAAAAATTTGGTCGAACATTTTGTAGAAAAAAAAAAAAACCTTACAGTCGACTTTAGTCAGTAGGGGAAATGAACAAGATTAAGGACCCATTTGCTATGTTATGCCCACAAGTGACATGCAATGGTTCCCCATTCATACAGGAATGACAAAAACTGCCCTAGTTCTGCTCTAATCTGAGCACTGATGTACACTGTACAGTCACATTCAAATAAAAGATCCAAGAGAATAGTTAATTACCTTGTAATGCGAAGCTACATAAAGAGCCATGAGCCTTTGCAAGAAGACTTCAGATGCTTTGTGATAAGAAAACAGTGTATCCCGATTGACGTAATATCTAATAAAAAAAACCAGTTAAGGGCTGCCAAGGTGGAACACATTTACTGTTCAAACAAAAGTAAATTTCAGTAACCACAATGAGAAAAAAATGTATGCATCATGATCAGCCTGTTCCAGGCTTCAAGTCAGTATTAACCCTTACATCACCTCTGAATCAAACATGCAGGTCATGGAAATAAAGCAAACAATCACCACCTTAATAAACTCTTGATTTTGAAACAAATTCTCCTTGTCAGCACCTTAAGAAATGTATAAAGAGCAGTATGGAGAATATTCATACTGATTTTAGGATGTAAAGGCTAAAACAGAGAAAAATAGTAAACAGCACAACAGTAGCAGTGGAGTGAAAAAGTGAGGGACGTGTGGTTCTTCCTCTGGACTCAAGCCTCACTTGCTTGTTCACTCCTCTTTTACCATCTGCCATTTACTTAAAAAACACTTGAAACAGGCTAAGACAAAATAGACACATAAGTTCCCTTTCCTTATAAAAATCTAGTCTCTTACTCAAGCCCACCCTTTTAATCATCTTTTGGCTTCTTTTCCCCTATCTTTCCTCTTATTCTCTTTCTGGGGCTGCCCCTAACATGATAGGACTTGAAAAGCACAATTAAAAATCTTGTCATTGCTACAAAGGATACAAATCACAGTTTTCAGGCAATGGACAACCGCAAGACAGCCTCTGTACCACAGTGGCGTCCAAACAGAGAAGATGGTTTAACCATCTTTCCACCTCATCACCTGGTGCATAACGAATGGACTCATTCAGAGTGATTTCATGAAGACTGCGGCCCAGAGGTGTGGAACTGTTGCCTTTACTGGAAGGACCATGAGTTGTACTCTGTTGTCTAAGCTGTTGGATCAGTTTTAAAGAGAGAGATCGGCCTGTTCCTTCATATCTGAAAGTGAACAAATGCAGGTATGCCACATAAGTTTAGTGTTCACCCATGCTGATAAACCAAGAAATTTTAAGAGACAAGTAGTTCCACACATTCGCAGTTAGTGACAGTACCCCTCACCCTGTCCTTTGAAGCGTAAAATGGACCACATGCTCATTATTCTTCACACTCAAAAATGACCTCATTGCAACCATATCATACACAATACTAGTATTTGCCTAGTCACTCCTTACCCATTCACTGTTGATGACAGAAACACAAGGTATGGCCCCATGAGGTCTTTAACCAAAGGCAGTGGAATGGCAGCAGCCTCATCAATAACAACCAACTCTGCTTGGCCAAGTTTGTGGGCATCTGATGGGTGAATGTACTGAAAAGGAGAGTTCGTAGTTAGATTTTTGTGGTAGACCACTACAGTTGGTTTACTATTCTGATTGTGTGTGAGAGAGTGGCCCTGAAATGAATTGTTGTCAACTACAGTGATTATTTTGTTTGGGGAGCCTGAGTAGAAATCCCCTTCCAAGTCAAATACAAGTAATTATCAAATGACCTGTTCAGCCCAGTGTGCTCCTTCATAAAAAACATAGACAAAAAAGAGTTTATGATGCATGAGTCTGTGTACAACAGCTCAGGCTAGATCACAAAATAGCAGTATGCCGCCCGTCCCCTTCCTGCTTCCCCTTCATGGCTTCCTCTTTTCTTTCAGCTTGCATCTTGCAGGGCCTTACAACTTTTTCTGGCCCTGCCCATGTCATTGTGTGCAAACCCTCCTGCATGCATTTCTGTCCAATGTTTTCAATAAAAGCATATCCAGGGCTTTACAAGTCTTATTATATAAGTCCATATACAACATTTTTATACTATTATTGGGGGTTTGTCAATACAGGTAGCACTGATTGGAATGAGAAACATTCCTCTTTTAATGGATACCTGGATTGTTTGTCGATGATCCCTGAAAATATTCACTCTTACAACTGCTTTGTTGAATTCTGGATTGGTTGACTGCACCAGCTCATAGTCAAGATGTTCCTGTCAATTATTACAGACACTTAATATACCTTTTCTTGTTAACATTGAACAACATGTATATCTTAATCTATACAGATAAAAATGAATCAATATTGCAACAGATTTCATTTTCGAACCTGGAATTCCAGGGCATCAAATCCTTTGAAGACAAACTCAAACAAAGTGTGCAAGTTTTCTGGACTTGGTGATGTCACAAACATGTTTGAGTACCTGCAACATCAAGAAAAATGGTAAATTCCATTTGTTAGACTTGAAGAGAAGAAAATGAGGTGATTCCAATGAAAGGTAAGTTCAAGATGTTAACATCTAACATTCTACCCTAAAGATCTCACCATCTCTCTTATGATTTAATTTCTTAACCCTTTAAAACCCTAAGAGTGACTGGCACCTAATTTCTCCTTACCATATCACCCCTGAATCAACCATTAATGTCATGAGAATAAAGGAAAAAAATCTCCAACTAAAGAAGCTCTGGAATAATATATAGATTTAGCCAAGCCTAAAAGTGGAGCTTGCATTTTTTTTTTCTGGACATCTCTAGGGCACAACACCTTGCCCTGGCCAGGACTAGAACCTGGGTTGTCCGACTCAGAGCCCAGTGTACTGACCACTGGACTACCGAACAAAGCTATGGCATTGGCATGCCCGTGGTACAGTTGACCACTCATGTTAAAAGTAGCACCTTGTACGGTCGGTTGTACGGTCGCACGTCCAAATTTTTTCGGCTTCATGGGTTACTACTATTTTGTATAATTATGGGGCTACGTTCTGCAAGCTCTGCTATTAAACAAATTATCCTTGTCTGCACCTTAGTAAATGTTTAGAGAACAGTATGGAGAATATGCATACTGATGTTAGGGACTGTAAAGGGTTAACTTTAATAGCATACCCAAATGCAACAGCTGAAGCCAATGACAGTCCTAAGGCAGCTGATTTTCCACGACCACGAGCTGCTGTTAGTGTTACTGTGCTTCTTAAGGTCTTTTCTGATATTGCTTCAATGAATTTCAGGACTGCTTTAGCCTAGGAACAAAACCAAAAGTATAGTCAATGGAATGTTTTTGTTTGCTTTTTTTTTTTTAAAAGAAGTACATTCACTGTAAATTTAAATTTATAATGTAGGTGTACAAGTAAATGTACTCTTAAATGTAAGTCAGTTGAGGGAGTTTTTGTCTGTTTAAAATTGTCTCTGACCATATCTTGTGATCTTTTTTAGTCATCCCAGTCCTCCAAAGCATTGGATTTCATCAAATTGTTCCTAAAATCTACCTTTGGAGTACATCAATTGTTCAACAAGCGGGGTAACCAATGCAAGGGTTTCTGCACCCCTTCAGAGCTCTTAAAAGTGCATGTGCATGTGCATGTGCACAGTTATGGGTCCAGGATGGGTTCACAACTTAAAGATGGGTTCAGTGTCACCCTGTTCCCCAAGCATGGGTCCATTGTTGTCATGTAACCAAATTTAGGAACATTGTTATCAGGGCAGAGGCTCTTTTGAAGAACTTCTTACATGTACCTTTTTTTTAAGAGTCTGAATTCTTAAAGTTTTCACAATTTCTGATAAAAAAAATTTTAATGAAAAACACAAAGTCAACAAATATGCATTTGAAGAAACTGACCTGGTCAAGAGTGCGGCAACAGTTAACAATACCTCCAACAGGTTGTGTGTCTTGCAATGATTCTTTCAAACTCTTAAGCTCAATTTCATTTGCAGTCATAGATTCTTCCTGTAACAAAAGAAATGGCATTTGCATGCTTGTTCACTAAGTTTGTATTGCATCTGCATAATTTTGCCATCTAAATTTGCTTTAAGATGGCTTGATTTTATTGGTTTAACTTGTTAGCAAGTCTGTCCCAGCCTGCTATATGACAATAATTACATATTAATTACAATGGGTCTAAAATACAGTACTTAATGCTCAATTGTACGTTGACACCCTATTAACACTTGATCCTATATCTGCAATTCTTGATCCTCAATTCTCAAAACCTTTGGGAATCTAGGCTTCAGTCAAGTTTCAGGATATTTGAGACCATTCAAGAAATAATCAAGTCAAGTTTTAAGGCTTTTAAGACCAAAAATTGCAGGAATGTTCACCCCATTAATTTGAAGCTTCTTTGTCTTATTAGTCAACTTTGGTAGGAAAACAGCATAAATGCATTCATTGTGCTCATGTCCTGTAAATTTTATAGTGTCAACCACAACATGAAAAACCATAAACTACAAAACTACCTCTCCACTGAACTTAGAATACAGGAATGATAATCTTTACCTTTGATTTTGGTGGTAATGCAGTTATTGATAGAGTATGAGAAGAGATGGGGAGAATATTTAACTGATCATCAATAACCATGCAATTCTTATTAGAGGTCAGTGACAATATGAATCTGTTGAAAGCAAAAAAAGAGATAACTTTCTCACATAAAAGGCAAATTTCAAGATACTGAAAGCTCTGTCTTCACATATAAATCAACATAAGTGCTTTACAGGATTTATGCATCAACCCTTTACCTTCTGAGAGTGATAAATATCTTATTTTCCTTTAAGTACCATTCTTGAATTAAAAATTAGGGTTGTGATGATCAAAGTACTAACCTTTCATTAAATCTTCCAACGACATCTTGATGAGACTCTGTTCTGTATCGAGAATGTACATCCTAAGAAACACATTTACACTGTAATTCAAGTATTTTTAATCTATGTGAAGCAACTAGGGTTTGACCTTCCCCTCAGCACAATACAATAAAGAAGCTAATTTGATATACTGACTGCATTTTGGTGGCTGGATTTAAAAGACACAATTTTGTTTGTTGAATATGGCTAAGTGTCCCTATCACTGTCTCCTTCAACTGTTTTAACCCTTTAACTCCCAAGATCTGATTGTTAATTCTCTCCTCTAGCTGCTACAAATTTCCTTGTAAATTAGTTATAAGGACTTGGTGCTAGATCAAGATAGCAGCTTCTACCTGATAAGTTTGAATATTCTCATTACCTGTTTGCTGAAGAATGTATGGATATTGTATGGAGAAGTTTTATGTTAATCACTTCTGGGAGTTTAAGATTTAATTATCATTTACTTGGCAAACTACTTTCACATTATAATTATATCTCCTCAGTACATATTCAATGATGATATTCCTATCCTAGCAGTAAACAGGAAGTTTGTCATCACAAACCTATGCAAACTGTTAATATACACTGCATATTAACTATAAACTACTATATTATTGCCTGGATAATTATGAGATGTAGAAACTTAATCCACAGAATTTTACCATGGCCAATGTGTACAGCTGTTGCAAAGATGACATTGTTCTTAGCAGAAGTACAATCAAACCGCCTCCCTCAACTGTCTCAACAGTTCGGGCCAGTAGATTTGGTGTTAAAGCTTCAAAATCCTGTACAAGACATGATATGGAAAAAAAGGAGCATGGAACAAAAACAGACTTCAATACCTGAAAACTAACTTGTAAGTGTTTCTCACTAATAGCTTAGAGGGGGGGGAAGTTATTATGGACCAGCACCCCACCTAAGAGAGTGAAAAAACTCCTTCTAAAGTCAATCAATGGTAGGAATCTGCATGGCTAAGCTCTTACCAACAGCTAGGAACATAAGTTGACTTTGCCTGACTACCCTTTCATTCTCAGGATCTCATTTTGTAATTCTCCATACTGTTTCCCATAAAACTATCATGATTTTAGTTCAAAGAATTGGGTATTGGATCAACTAATAATCTCCCAATTTTCATCACTTTTCTTCTTAATGTTGTATCAATATTGTTTGGAGAAATTCTGTCTTAGTTACTCATGGAAATTGTACGCCTGGGTTAATCTGGTAAATATATAAAGACATTGTAATAGACTTTTGAAGGAGCAAGTTATGAATGGCGCAAAAAGCAGTGTTTATAAGGAGTTTCCAATGACAATGCACATTTATAAAAAGAAATTGTTCATCGTCCCTACCTGAAGCACACACATGCCATATGTATTTCCAAGTATCTTGTGGGTTTCAGCATAATAACAATAGCGAATATTTGTAGCAGATACAAACAACTCAAATGGGTCATCCTTCTTCAGATCTAAGGTTCCACTCTTGATTTTCTTTTGCAATTGCTTCATTCTTTTCTTTCTGTGACTGATAAAGAAAAACAAAAGCACACCATTTACAGCTGAACCCTTTAACTCTCTTACCAACATCTCATAAGTTTTTCTCTCTACTGTCTCCTTACAATTCTTATGATGTTAGTACGAAGAATTTGGTATTGGATCAACTAATAATCCACTAATCAATATTTTCTTTATTCTCATTACTCGTGTGCTTGGAATTGTATTGATATTGTATGGAGAAAGTCTGTCTTGATCACTCTAGGGAGTTAAAGAGTAACAAGTAGTTGGTACTTGTCTATTAGTTTTTAATACTAGCCTGAGATATTCATTTTTATTGGTACATTTTACAACACTAGCAAATCAATTTAGCAAATTGTGATGTACTGTAAAATTTACAAGAACCACATAAATAAGGTTTGTTTAAAGGGAAAAATAAGACACATAGCTTAACATGACTTGAAAGTGTTGGGAGGCTTCCTAATCCAGTTCTATAAGAGTTACAGTGTATGCTGTCTGTTTTGTGAATGTATATGCTGGAAATAGACTCAGGAATATAGAATAGGGCTGCACTTAGGTTGATTTTGACTAAATATAATAATATTATTAAAATGTATTTTAAAGCCATATTAGATTGTTGACATAAAAAAGATGTTTATCATAGGGGGCATAACACATAAACTTCAGTAGACTGAGTAACTGATAATTTGGTATTTGTTTGGTCATGGGTAAGAGCCCATTACAGTAACACAGTTGCCATAATAAAGAACAAGCCATGATACAAAATTCCATTACCTGCTAAATCCCAGTTCTTTCTTATAACACCACAGAACTGTTGGTCTTGCTTTGACTGCTGTCTTCGATAGCATGTGATGGAGAATGACAACCTCAAAAAATTTTAAAAAGCGATATTTGACTGGTTGCATGTCTCTACAAATCCATATATATTTCCATGTACACTGCATATCTAACTGTTCTGTGTGTTCAAATAAACTAAAAGCAATATTCAGTTGCTCAATGAATTAGCCTAATATATTATTTGCATATGCTGACATTAGAACAGAAATGCATGCATAACACTTGTGTACATGTATGTGTATGCTCAGAGAGAAGATTCCCATTCATCCCTGATCATCAACATTATGATATCAGGTCTAAGAAGTTAATACTTTCATTCATCATTGCATAAGTTAAATGTGTAGATGCCACATACACCATTGTTAAGGTGTATTTCATTGGTGATTCAGTTGTGTTCTTTTAACCATTTGTTCTCCCCAAAGCAATACTAGTTAGTTACATGTTACTATCTCTTTCAATGCTTCAAATGGTCTCAAGCTTGTCACATGGCAGTTATACGCCAGGACAGTTGCACAGTTGTTACAGAAATTTGATTTTCAAAGAGATATTTTTCAAAATCTGCAGTCCCATGTTACGTTACTCGCAGAGGGAGAAATCCAAACCGTTCTCACGGCATGCAAAAATAAGAATGTTAATTTGGAGCTGAAATAAGATTTAGGAAGACCACTGAATAACTTGCAAAACGCATACGACCAGAGACATCCAATTCTACCATAAAAAAAGCCTCACTTCGAACCAGCTGAAACTAATTTTTGTCTCTCTAAACAGGATATTTGCCCTATGACGTTTATTTTGGTGAGACGCTGGTGAAAACAAACATATAAATCCACTTACATCGCTTATGTACGTAGGCAAACGTACTTCGTTGGTTGCGAATTTACTCAGTGATACTGAGACTTCAGAACGACCTATCAATTATGATTCTACTTACTTGATCTCTTCCTTTATCGCCCACGATAACAAACAGTGATCGCTGCTTCTTCTGGACGCCATTTTCAATCAAAACTCTGATGCGATTGTCCACTTTCTTCAACACCATTTTGTTGAGGTCTCCACGTGTTGCAAACTTTTCGTCATGTATGCACACTCGAAAGGAATATTCGTGGTAGCCTACATGAGCAGGATTAGACCAGGCGCTTTGGTCAGCGGAGCGTTTTAACAACGTGATTGCGAATCGATTGTACTAAGGGTCGAAAAAGTCCGAATCTTTAGATAAAAATGGAGCCGATCTTGCCAGCTTTTATCGATGTTGGGGAACAGGACCAGGTAAGCTTCTAATTATGTCATCTATTTCGCTATTTTAAACATTCAACGCTTAGTTTTGAAGTTGATTATCAGTTCGAAGAAAAACTTTTCGTCACATGTACATGTACTTGAGCTTTGAGGAAGTCTCATTAAGTACGACGATTTTATCCTTTTCCCCTTTGTGCGATGTATTCCTAAATGTACGTGAAATGTTTTAATAACTTGAAATTATCATGCGAGGGAACATCAATTCTTTCATGAATTTTTAAAGTCACATAATACAACTGCAAGCATAAACAGCTTTTGCATCTTACAAATCCATGTTCAAGCTTACAGTTGTGGTCTGCTTTAATGTTTATCAAGTTTTTCCCAGAGGACCATTAGTTATAAATGATAAGATTTTTCCTAGCTCCTTATATGAGCCATTTATGCGTTCAGAACAAACGAATTCCCTTATGCCATACTCTCTAATATGCAAACGATAATGCTTACACAAGAAGGTGACTTTTTGTCATAGACCAAGAGAAAAACTCCTTTTGTTTTTGTTCAAATAAGGCTCTGGAAATTCGAGGTTATCTTAAGTCCTGTGGTGCTGATATAAATGAAGAAAGTATGTCTCCATTACATGAGGATTTGGAGCAGCTGTTGATGGCATGCGACATTAATTTCAAGTCAGAAGCAGGTATGTGCCTGAAATTTCTTATTATTAGACAAGTATGATATTTGAAAGAAATAATTATGAAAGTGATCTTCACAGTAATGAACACTTCTTAATAAGCAGTAGTGAAAATAGGGCCTTAAAGAAAATTCAGGCCTGTACAGGATTTGAGCCCATGGCCTATAAAATAGTGTACAGTGTAAAGGGCAATGGTTCCATGATCTGTTTTTATTGTCTTTTCCTTTAGAACTTGAAGGGGTCATGAACAGCCTTCTTTCCCTGATACTGATCGTGACAGAAAAAAGAGATGACCTAATCAGAAAATTTTGTGACAAAGTGGCTGAAGTAAGATCTGATGAGGACACATCACTGACCAGACTTAGAATGTAAGTAATCTTACAGGCATGGTGATTTTGATTCTGAAGAGAAAATATTTTTTTCTTCAGGGCAGCTGTAAATGGGCAACATTGTCTGCCTAATAGTTAGTGTATTATGTTTAAAATACCAAGATGAAAGAAATGCCATGGAAGACTTCCACATAATTGTTTGTACACCTTAGTACTTTCATAAGTTTAGCAGGGGAGCCTCTTAGAATAATTATATAAAGTTCAACAGTTGTTTCTTCTATGGTGAAAGTACACATCTCCTGTTACCATTAATTTTTATCTGGATTAGATTCAACCACTGAGCCCAGTTAAACAGTTTGGAGTGGAGTACACAAACAAAACTCTCTAAGAAAATAAATTAAATGCAAAAACATATTTCCAGCAAAGGGTTAAGCCCTCTTATTTCATAAATACTTAACAAACGACTGTGGAAATGCATCATTTGTCCAATCTGAGACACAATTGATGATGCTTCACAGTGGAGAGCAACAAATGGTTTCCCATCTTTGAAATGTGTCTCTCAGTTAGAAAAAATCTCAATATGTACCTTGAAAAGTGCTTGAACAATTTTTATTCATTTGTTGCAATGCATCAAAATACTCAGTCTTTCTTTTTCTTGATGTATCACAACTCATGAATAAAAATTGCTAAAGCACTTTCCATGGAATAATCTCTGTCTATTACATTAACCCTTTATACCTTAACATTAGCATGCAGACTTTCCGTACTGTTTGCAATAATTTATGATTCAGAGGTGATAATGCACGGAGAAATTAGATACTATTGACTCTAAGGAGTCACAGGGTTTATAGGCCGAAAAGTCACTCTCAAAGTCCATTATCATTGTAGCTGTAGGGTGTAAGGAGGAGATCTTTATGTAATTAACAATTATTCTATGAGCACTTGTTCAATACAAGATCATGATGGTAAATAGCCTACAAGGTGCATAGCACTGAGCTAGCCTGTGTACAGCCACGTCATACCCTCCAAAAGAAAAATTGGTTTCCTATGCCAAGCTGGCTATTGGATAAGCGTGGATAGAATAATTTTTTTTTTTTATGAGATTTCACTAAATCCTGAACATTTGAATTTTTGGAGCCTTTTCCAGCTTTGTAACAGTTGGTGCAATGCACTTCCTTACAAGGTGACTCAAAATACATATATGAGCTTATAGCCGCGCATGAATGAACCAATTAGAGCACTAGAAATACCATGTTTGGAGTAAAAAATTTAGTAATTACTGATAACCTCTGTATCTGATGAATAACAGACTAAGCATCCTGCTGAACTGGCTTCATGAAAGAGATCCTGTCCGATATGATGTTTACTGCACTCAGGTCAAGGTTGCAGGAAAAGCTGGTTTGATTGATCAGATAAATGTATCTTTGGATCAGGTAGGGGAAGAAAACCTTTGCTTTTGATTTTTTTTTAAATTTTCTTATATACAAATAAAGTTATATATAGCACATATACATAAGTATCCTTTCATTGGTTTGTGTGGTCCTGGAGATTGAAATCCTTGAATCTTAGGGTATAAATTTAAGGTCATAAAAAATAACCATGGCACACCTGCATGTAAGCAGGGACACTCCGATAAAAATTTACTGCTTGGATTACTACCTGTATTTCCTCTTGTTACTGCCTAAAATTGTGCAGAATTCTTAAAAATTTAACAGGTGAAAGGATTGCTCTGTTAGTTTCAATTGAAAATGTCATTTTACTGGTTTTGCTTAAATAAGGAGGAACACCGACCTTGCCTCTGGACTTATAAATACTCATCTCTCTAGTCAAGAAACTTGTCTTGAGAGAGGGTAGTAGCAATCTTTTAATTGGTTAGAGCATTCCAGAGGAAAAAGTTTCATAAAAAAGATATTAAATTTATTATGTTGTTGCACTTTAATTAAAAATTGATGTTCTTGTGGTGGTGGTTTTATAGACACTTATATCATGTTTAATCCTTTGTCTCGCAATATAGAGTCAGGCCGTCAATTGCAATGATCATGACATGAGACAGACAGTTAAACATACATTTATATTATACTGTATGTTTTTAAAATTTTCCTCCATTTTGTGTCATGTTTCTGCACATTTAGGTTAGGAGTTGGCTAAACATGTGGGAAGTGGATGGAGTGAAGGCCAGAAAAGTATACAGATTGCTTTTTGATGCCCTGACAGATGACAGACAAAGGCAAGTCCGAAAATAGGTTTTTACCATCTAAACTTGTTACATGCATTAATAGTCATGCTGCTTCTTTTTAAAAAATCCAACTGAAGTAATTTGGAATTAAAGTCAATCAATACTTACATGTAATTTCAAAAGTTCTGAACTAATTTGTAGTTCTAGTCCTGGTTTTGGTTGCCAAAACATAAGATAAGAGGAGGTATTTCATAAGAAAATTGTAGTTTTATTTCTCTCTCTATCTTTTACATTCTGTTCATGAGTGAAACTTGTAAAGAGGCCCACTTTGTGACAACTACTATGCAATTTACTCATTCCAACAAGAAAGAAGGGAAGAAAAAATGGACAGAAGATGAAAAGATCTTTACAGACCATTTAAGGCCCACAATTCTTTTACCATTAACAATATTTTTAATATTAGAGAACTTTTTGATTTAGTATCTTAAAAACCCAAACAAAAGTGCATGTAATCTCAACATCTAATCAGAAGAAAGGAAAATACCTATAAGAAGAATGAGAACTCAAAGTGAAAATAGCCAAACTGCTTAACGTGCAGGAAAACGCAGGAGACGGAGTTGTGATCTGTTTTTAGTTTTACATCTGATCAGAGTGGCACAAGTTTTCTGGAAAAATCACAGAGTGAGGCAAAGGAAAACAATGCGATCCTGAGTTACTTTAAACACTCCATTGCAAATTGCTCTATATACTGCGGTACATGCAAATGTATGTAAATGCAAACTGTTGTTTGTTTTGTAACAGTGAGGAGGCCACATCAGTCATGGTCGAACTCCTTAGGACATACACTGATGAAAATGCATCTGAAGTGAAAGATGATGCCAAAAATTGTATTGTGAGTCTTTTGGGAAGACCGAATGTCCTCATCATGGATTTCCTTCTGACACTTCCACCAGTTGCAGCTTTGCAAGGGGAACCAATTTACCAGGTACAGTCCTGTTAAGCCTTTCACTCCCAAGAACTCAATGGTAATTCTCCTTACTATCTGTCACACAATTCCTATGATGTTACTTGAGAAAATTTATCATTATCATCAGTATTGGATCAACTGATAATCCCCTCATTTTCTTTGTTTTTGTCATTTTTCTGCTTGATATTGTAACAACATTGTAAGGGGAAATTCTGTCTTGGTCACTCTTGTTAATGGATTAAAACAAAGTGATCATAATGTCCATGTACATGTAGAGCCATTTTTTGAGTCAGTGATGCACAGCAGCTGTAAATTTAAAATCAAACCCAAAGTAATAAAAATGGCGTGTTCAAAAATAGAGATGGTGGCTAGGATTTGTTGTCTGATGAGCTGAATTATACCTACATTTTGATGGGTTTTTATACTTGTGATCTATTGGAGAACAGATGACATCAACAATCTTTTGCTCTTTTTTATCACTGATATAAAACAAATAGATTCTATATTGCCATGGGTCTTTACTATACAGATTAATAGATCACAGAGAAAGTTTAACCCTTTAACCTTTAAGAGTGACTAGCATCTAATTTCTTCCTACAATTTCACCACTGAATCACACATTAATGTCATGAGAATAAAGGAAATGATCACCAACTGAAGAAACTCTTGATTGTTAGACAATTTCTCCTGGTCAGCACCTTAGTAAATGTATGTCAGGGACTGTAAAGGCGGGGTTAAATGTGGTAAGAGCATCTGTGGTCATTACTGAACAGGTGTATGGCAAAATGGAATCTATTTGTAAAAGACAGCAACAGGCTTGTTTTGCTGCAAGTTTGTTAAATATATTTCTGCAGAACTTTCTCCCTGTTGCTTTTATCGAAAAACTTATAAAGTGCCTGTTTGTTCTTTCTATTAGCTTCTGACCATCTTTGTTTCTGGGAAACTTGCTGACTACATGGAATTCTATGAAAAGAACAAAGATTTTGTGGATTCTTGTGGTAGGTTCTTGTGATATATCCATTTAATCCATGCTGCAGAAAAAAATTGCCATGCAATCGGAGAGCTGTGTTATTTTCAACAGTATTGCTCCTAACCATCTCTTCATATACTGCAATCCTATTTTTACCAATTGAAAATTAAGTAAGAAGTGCCATTTCTACAAAAACAGAAATTAAAACAAAAAAAAAACAAGTGACTTAACCATTTGATCCCTTAGAGTGATTTGCATCCAATTTCTCTTTACAAACCACCCCCAAATCACACATGAAGGTTTCAAGAATAAAGGAAATGATCACCAACGAAACAAGCTCTTGATTTTAAAACAAATTCTCCTTGTCTGCACTTTAGGAAATGTATGGAGAACAGTATGGGGAATATGCATACTGATGTAAGGGTGTAAAGGGCCAAGGAATATCTCTTGGTTTACCACTCCGAAACACTGTAAGGCAGCTGGTAAATACTCAATGCAAATTCTGTACATCGGCCAAAGCTTAAAAATTTTATAAATTGACATCAGCAGATGACAGCTGACCCTTTAACTTGTGTGGCAACCATTCCTGCACAAACAAAAAGTCTTATTTTCCTCTTTTTGCATAGCCAGAATGTGGAAAAGCTCTTTGTTTATCAGGAAGTTTTGCTACTCAGGCTGGTGATCATTTTAGTTTTTGACTGTATCAGGGCTGCACTTATCTGGGTTTCACTAACAAAAGACTTTGGCTTCTAACCTTTGTTTTAAATAGAAATGTTGCAGTGTAGAAGAGAGGTTATTCTTTTTCTCTGAAATTGGTATTTTGTATTGTTCAGGTTTGACTCATGAGAAGAACCTTCACAAAATGCGAGTTCTAACATTCATGTCACTTGGGGAAGCAAAATCAGAGGTGCATTTTGACGATCTCTGTAAGGAACTTAATATTAGTGTGGATGAAATTGAGGAATTTATCATAGAAGGTACAGTATTTCATCACTGTATACTATTATGTTTTCTGAAATTTAAATGATGTATTGCTTCTGTTTGTTTGTCTGTTTGGTTTTCGAACGTCTGAAGTCATGCTTAAATCAGTTCATGTGATGGTGTAGGCCTGGTATATAGTTGACCCATTTTCAATGAGTAGAAATAAATTCGTTTCCCCTCGTTTATTTGTTTATGCTATTCTAACTTTTAACATACTCAACATGGAAAACATACCGTATTGGTATGGGTACGAAACCACTCAACTGACTGGGTACGAATCGACCAAGCTTGGTATGAAACGACTGGGTTCAAAACGACCGTGAGTAGGTCTACCGACAATAGCCCTTACTCGACCGAACGACCAGCTGTTACTCCCAGGTTCAAACCTTTTACTGGAGTATTTTTCTCCCTTTTTACTTCATAATAATTGTTTGATTATCACGTTTTTGTACCTTTAGGTTGTCCGAAAATTTGCCGTTCAAATATATGAACTATCTCTGCAGTTTTATTTAGGGTTTTTTTTTCTTTTGGTAGCACTTCGATCAAAACTCATTCGTACCAGGATAGACCAAGTCAACAAGAAAGTCATTATCAGGTAAAGCAATTTGCTGGTAGTGCAGTTTTCAATTGAGTGGCAAAAAACCAAAAACCAAAGCTTTCAAAGCTGCCATTTTTTCAAAGTAAAAACAGGTAACCTACTTAAAGCGCGGGAAAATGCGGGTGACCGAGTTGCGATTGGTTTTAGTATTGCATTTGATTGGTTGAGATGATGGCACGAGTTTTCTGAACCAATCGCAGAGCGAAGTAAAGCAAACTAATCACTGTGGCCAATCAGAACAAAGGTAAATGTCTCAAAGAGCCATTTAAAATTTAAAGTAAAAATCACCTGCCTAAAGGGCGGGAAAACGCGAGTGACAGGGCATTGTCGGATTTAGTTTTTCATCTGATTGGTTGGGAAGGTCTTTCCAAATTTTTTTGACCAATCACCGAGTAATGTTGATCAAAACTTATGCAATCTCGGATGACTAAAATGCTTTAATACATATTCTATGTAAATACCTTCACCTTCGCAGCTCAGCGACACATCGAACGTTTGGTACCAACCAGTGGCAAGAGTTACGAGATCGCTTGGAAGAATGGCGCCAGAGTTTGCAGAGTGTTGGTACAAGTCTAAAGGCTGTTGTTCCCGCTGTAGATGGATAATTGAACCATTAGAAATAAAAATTTCAATAAGCTGTTGCCTCTTCTGATCACTGTCTTGAAAAACTTCTTGGATCAATGTCAGTATCTGAGCAACTGCTCACCTACCCCTCCCCCCCTTTACTCAGTTAAGTTAACTGTTAACAAGCTAGGGTTAATGTTGGATTAGGGGAGGGGCTTGTGCGCAGTTCCTCGGATACTGATTTTGATCCGACTTCTTCGCGATTACTGAAGTTGCTTGGCGTGAAGAAGTTGTTATAATCGCCTTTTCAGATAAATAGACGAAGTTGTTATAATCGTCTTTTCGGATTAGTAGACGATTTTTTTTTGGTGTGCTCGTTAGGAGTGAAGCAAACGGCAAAATGTGGTGTGAAATGATTAGGCCATAGTTTCCACTTAGGTATGTGGAGACTGCGCACTGAGTCATTAAGTCATTGTGTCAGTGCGTCAGTGGCTGGTAAGTCGCCGTGTTAGGTATTACCTCAAGGGCTACAATTGTTTTGATCCAGAAGTAGCCGAAAAGTCGCTATGTTTGTGGCTTGATTTCGAGCGGTACTATTATATTGGCTCCATAATTTTCTCGTGTTAATAGACGAACGACATGCGAGGTTTAGAGACTATACCAGGGCGTGAAATTGCGCCTAATACAGGCGCCAATGGCGAATTATGCCGTTATCTTAGATGCCGATTGCTGCACAGATAATGGTCACGTTCAAGGCGAGGCCTTTCGCTTGAGAGGAGCACGCCGAATATGCGGATCGAATCTGATGATGACAACGTAGGAGCAACTGCAGAATACCCTACCACTTTGGTCCACCTCATTAACATGTGTCGAGAGGCTCTGAAGATCGAGGCATAACACAATAAACTTTATTCTTATTCAATGACATGTAAATGAGTGGCAGGGTATTCTGCAGCTTAGCCGACAACGTACTTTGCAGGAGTAGACCATATAGATAAAACGTGAACTTTCTTGACTAAAAGTGCCAAAATACGAAAGTCAGTTCAGTGGCCTGGACACCTTTAGTCATAACTTGATCGAAGAGAGAATGATCGTGTAGACTTATATGAAGTACGGCTTGTATGCAGGTGATATTGAACTGTTTATCATTGGAAAGTACGAGTAACTTATTCAAATTCCAAAGGGTGTGTTTTCGCCGCCTGGGACTAGAAATATCAATGATTGTGGGTGAGGATAGCTGAGAAATTAAATGTCAGAGGAGCAAAGTTTAAAATTTGGTCATGACCGACGATAGCGAGAAACCCACAGCAACAGATGGCATTATAAACGACGAAAGTCAAGTTGATCCCAACACACCGATAATCGAGGTAAGTGATGTTTTGGTTGAAAATTCAAATTCGTTGAAAATGTTGGAGTAACATGGTTAGAGGAACTTGTTATATTTTGTGAATAACCGCTTACTTTTATCATTGTGTTGTCCATGCATCATAGGTCTCCATCGCTAATGTTTTCATTTTGATCGTAAATTTTTGACGTTAAATTCAACGGGTGAGAAATTCAAATTTGTAATCATTGCTTTGCTCGCTGTTGGTATAGTCTTCGCATATCGTCTAATAAAAGAACGATAGCCCTTGAAAAAATCAGTTCGTCATCGATTATGATTTTTCTCTCACTCTGCAAGTGCAGATAAAGAGAATTCAGCGAAGAATTTTGGACAATTTTAGTCCGAAAATGAAGCGCGTTTTGAACTGAAAGTGTGGCAAATTGGCAGCTGATGTCTGCTTGCATTTGTACACCTGCTAAACGTTTAGTTTGATCGTAGCCATGGCTTGCGAAAGAGCTCTTTAAACGTAACACATTTAGTGCAGTAATTTCCTTATCTAAACAGTTGGGAAGGATTTCCGCTGACAGAAATTTTTATTGTTCTAAAACAAAGCCGTTAGTGTCCTAAAGACAGTATATTGTTTTCGTCGCTGCATGCATAATGTAGGTACAGAACTGTGCGGAATTCTCGCCCATAGTTGTTGTATACCTTTTTCACTTGGCTATTTGTAATTAGTTTGTGTTACTTTTGTCTTCCCTTTGCGAGACCACGTGATTGTATTCCTGTACCTGAGAAATATTCCTTTCAAATTATACTGTGGCGGTGTACTAAACATCATACGCCTGAACTGGGGTAACACAGATAACTGAAAATGCCTATTGCTATAACTCCTTCACTTGTTCCTTCATTGTTAACTCCTTCTAATATTAAGCAAAATACCAACAGACAACAGTTTAAAGAAACACATTTAATTCTCTTGTCAAATTGTAAGAACAACTGTAACAATGTGATTAATTACTGTTTGAGCTGATAACTAAAATCTGAACCATCTACAGTTGAACCCTCCCTAATCCTGCAATAATAGTAAAATTTGCAGTATAAGTATAAAGCTATTTGGTCTATTTTAAACTACTTTGTCTTATTTTGTTCACTCACCAATCTTATTGTTTCACACTGATTATTCTATTGCCCTTAAATCAAAGTACATGCGCATGACATGTTCCCAAATTACATCCTTAAATCAGTTAGCATATTCTCTATACAGCTCTCCATACACATCCTTAAGTGCTGATGAGGAGAATTTGTTTAACAATCAGGAGATTCTTTTGTTAGCAATCATTTCCTTTATTCTTGTTAGATTAATGTGTGATTCAGGGATGATATTGTATGATATTGTATGCAGAAATTAGATACTAATCACTTCTAACATTTAACATTATATTTTCCTTTTTGATCTTAGATCTCCCAGCACAATGACAAGGTTAAACACAGAGTACGTGTGCAGAAGAAAAATGGCAGATATTATTTCCAGCACCCTTATGCAAGACTATTTGTTTCCTACTTTGTGATTTTTTGCAACTTTTTGATATATGCTGAGGATCCTGTTTCACACAGCAGAGCAAATTGTACCATTCCTGTTGTTGGGCATGACTTTGCTTTTGTCACATACAGGTACAGAAAAGAAATTGTTTGGTGTCTGATATTTGTGTTAGTTACCAAAATATAGTTCATACCTAGCCATTGCATTTTTCATCTTTGTGTTAGGGACCAAGAAATTTTAAGCTTGCACAGCATCTGTAAGTTAAAGCTTTACAAATATATTTTTATGGCCTGTTAAAACATACAAACTAAAATGTCCACATAGTCCTTTGAATTGCAGTGTAGATGTTGTTCAGAGTCATATCTGAGAGCTTTCCAAATGCATGTTATTATGAGTTCAAATGTTAACCAACATTTCCCAAGCAGTTGGCCTCAACATTGCCCAAACATGGCCCCAATGAGAGTTAGACCTCTATTGACCTACATGTAAATGCTGGAAATATTTAATTGAATTATATACAATCTATTTTTGTCTCTAAACAAATGTAGGTCCTTATTCTGCAATATCTCTAAATCTAAGAGCTGGGCTTCTTAAATCAAGTAGATTCTTATTTGCCCTAGAGATGGTCCAATTTTATTCTTTTTTTTGGGGGGGGGAGGAGTGTGAAGTATTTTTGTGATCAAAAGGCTCAACATTGTTCAATTTTCCAGTTTTCAGAAAAATAACATGGCAGATGTGCCATTTCAGAAAGGCCCCTTCTTAAAAAAGAAATTTGATTTCTTGCTATGGATCACTGTAGTTTGTCACTGCATATAGTAGTATTAATTGTACTTGTCTGTGAAAATACTAGTCTTAAAAAACTGCACAGTCTCTCTAATGATGTCAAGTTTGCTTTGTTAAGCAGCATTTAGGGAAGGGACAGTTCTTTGAAGAGGTTTTTACTTGCATGTAAAATGGGTTCCTTCAAGAAATTGAAACCTCTAGAGGGTACTAAGAATTCTAGAAGTTACAATCTACATGACTGTACAGCTGCTGTACTTTACTGATTAGGGGTAATGCTCAAAAATTCAGGTTTAGAGACTCTATACCAGGGCGTGAAATTGTGCCTAATACAGGCGCCAATGTGACTAAATTTTTCACTTTGGCGACCAAATCCTGAAAATTAGTCACCAAATTGGTGACTAGTATGTTTCATCATAACCTTACCTTGGGATATAGTGAATTAAAAAGATTTGCAAAGATAAATCAGTGGCAAACTTCCTCATTAAGTTTGTTTCCAAAACGCAACTTATGCATCTTGATCGATAACTACATGCCATCTTAGATTTAGGTGAGCTTGAACATTGCATATCATCCATCCTAGCATCCACTTTGTAGCACATAGATCTTTTCCCTAACTTAATTTCTAGAACGATGACAGCATAAAAAAAGGTTTTGTTTGTCTTTGAAAATGGCGACCAACTTTTTTTGAAGTGGCTTCCACTTTGAAGAATTTAGGAGCCAAGTGGCTATCAGAAAAAAAAATTAATTTCACACCCTGTATACAATGGCCAATTTACATTAACAACTCAGTGGATGAAACTGAATTATCAATGATGTTAGTTTCCTTTATTGCTCACAAACATTTAGGTACCCTCCAGGGGGTTGGTCTCTTCTGAAGGTATTTCTGTGGCTGGTGGCAATTGTGGTTGGATCACTGGCAGGCAAGTTCTTTTTCCACAAACTGGTGTTCAACAGATGGATGAAACTTTCCATGTTCAAACGTGACAGTGGCTCGTGGATGGTGATGTTCTTGTCAACTTTAGTCTCATTGTTTATTTTCTCCTTTCTCTACAATGGATTCCTCAGCATTGAGGGTGACAAGCTATCCTTGTATAAGATAACTTCATACCTAGGACTGCAGAATGACACCTTCATGAAGGCAGCTGGATTAGGCACATGGATGGGTGATTTCATCACAGCATGGATGGTAACAGACATGATGCTTCAGGTAAAAGTGATATTATCAAACTTTGGACTAGTAAAACATACAAGTAACGTGTAAGGTTGAGAGACACAGGGGCATTATGGTAAGTGTGGTGGAATTCTGGTTGAGAGGTCTGGGTTCAAGACCTGGCCAGCTCATTTTGCTGCATTCTTGGACGAAACACTTAATTCTCATGCTTGCCACTCTCCATCAAGGAGCATAAACAGGTAACAATGAGGGAGATCTGATGAGTTGCTAGGGGGTTAATGTTGCAATGGAGTGCCATCAAATCCAGAGGGGGGTAGTCACTTCATGCTCTGGAATTTGGGATAATTTGGGAAATGCCTCTTGACTCGAGTACAGACTTCATCTTCCTTTTATCTGTCAATGTAAGAGTAATTTTTCAATCCAGTTTTCAGTTACTCCTTGTCGTGTGTTTTATTTTTGTTTTAAAGCACTCAATTGCAATGTGCCCCAAAGAGGCCATTGGTCTTACATCTCTGTGATGTGAACAAATGACAAAATATGAAATTTATTTCATTAAAAATTATGATAAGTTTCCTCTATGGGAAAGAAGAACCCCCTAAATAGTGCCCATGCTCCCAACCTGTGGCTTTGTAGCTCAGTTGAAAGTAGCACCCAACTAGTATCTGAGAGGCCTGGGTTCAAATCCCATCAATAAGCCTGAATTTTTAAATTTTTTTATTTGCTATTGCTTAAATTGTAGCCCACCTGCCAGGTTTACTTTAAATGACAGCATAGTGATGGAAGTTTTTTCATATTTTTGTTTTTTAAGGACAAGTTGTACCCACACTGGAACAAACGTTTGAGAGAGATTTGGAGAACTGGATACACACGAATCTATTTGTTCTGGATTGTGCTTGTTGTTGCCACGGCAGTTGTCGCCGCTGGAATAATAAGTGACTTTGTTAGGTGGGATACTCTCAACAGAGACTTTGTCTCCACCAATGAACTCTCTCGAGCCTTTCTGGCGTCTTTCATCCTTGTTATGGACCTGCTGATTGTCATGCAGGTGAGACAAAAACTGAAGAACGCACAGAGATATCACAGGAATAGTTTGCTAAGGAAACGAATGTTCTTGTCAGTGGATATGATCTGAAGCACGCCCTGTTGCGAAGAGAGGGTAGGGTCAGATATACTATGCTTGAAAATTCGAGCATAATGCTTCTGAACGTCACCCCTGAAAACATACGCGTGCGTCCAAGAGAGCCTGTTTCAGTTCAAACAGTGACAATTGCAAAGCATGATGATTTGTTATGGTTATAACTGTTGCCGTTACGTTTTTGTTTAAAATATATTTATTTGTCTACCAGGACTGGGAGTTCCCTAGTTTTCAAGGGTCCATGGACGTCAAACTCCCTGGGGTGGACACAGCTTCCTTCTACTTCCGCTTGCCCCGGTGTCTGAAGAAGGAGAACTGGCACGTTCACATAACAGGAAAATGGTTCAACTATGGCATCATCATGCTTGTAATTATTCTAGACTTAAACATGTGGAAAAACCAGATCTTTTACAGTCCTTTCGACTTTGGCCAGTATACGGATTCCGAAGGGTACATTTTCTCCGTCGTCGACGAAAAATTCTTAGAAACTGCCAACAAAAGCACTCTTTCATACGAGTGGAGATCAAGTAACCTGAACCCAGCTACGAATGAATCTTACACAACAACAGATCCTCGTATGAACTCAAAATACCTTGGGTTTGGCTTAGGAGTGAAAGGAATTGCCTTCATTCCTTCCATTGTGGCGTTCCTCACGTTTGGTTGTCTAATTTGGTTCTATGGTCGAGAAAAGTTTGTCGTTGAAGAAGTTATTGAGGATTTAGATAAAGTTGACGGTGTGGTCATTGAAGAAGTTGATTTTGAGATCGAACCCGACCAAAATGTTTCCCACAAATCGCCCAACGGGAATACTAGCCATAATGACACCAAGGATGGGGGAGTGTCGTCAGAGCTTCCAGCTAACCAGGAAGAAGGAGATCCGATACTTCTCAATGTTCAACAAATCACCTATGTGTAAATCATATACAAACTGCCTGCTTCTGAAAGCATGAATTGTAGCCCAATGATGCATTGTTGGAGAATTTGGAGGGGATCATTCCCTCATTCTTTCAAACTAGTTGCACGAAATGTTCTATCATTTTTGCTTTTATTGTTATTCCATAGCTTATAATGTAAATTAAAGCTTTTGCAAAACGTATTTCAAGGCTCAGAGAGCATCAAAGTCGCTGCATTTAGATAAAACACATTATTTCGCAGCTCTTGTTGAGTTATAAATTATTTTAATGCGTAATTCTAAGGCTATCACGACTTGAAAAGCGCTGTGTTTTAAAACTCGTTTTTTTTAAGTCAAGTACATGAAGCTCCTGTGTGCTACTTAACGGTTTATATAGATGCGATATTTTAATTTTGGGGTTTGCCACAAACAACCCCCTCGTTTTAAAAAAAAAATCCTATATAAAGTGCATGTCATGCAAAGCAACGATTTGTCAGACGTAATACTTAAACTCAATTACACCTACGTTTCTTTAAAAATTCTAACCGTGATATGGTAAGCGGAAGGTTGTCAAGGAAAAATCTAAATTCAAATTGCGGATCTTTAATTGTCCTACAGTTATCTATCCTGCTTCCATATACTTGCTGGTTGCTTTGTTGCAAGTTGTCCTCGTAATTTTAAAACTTAAGTCGTTATAACAGTTATGAATATGGAACGTATAAAGCTGTTCTTTCATTTAAGGAATTTACTTTTTGTCAAAATTAACAGCGCCAGGTTAATTTTTCCTGATATTGTTTGTTATTTCGTGTTTTCGTTAAAAAACGACCGCGTAATTTTTAAAACTTACTTTTTATGCGTGTGATTTTTATAGTTAAATGCTTTTCAATGGCGTATGAAAAGGTACAGAATAAGCGTTGCTAACACTTTTGAATTATAATATTTATCAATGTTTTTTAGCGAGTCTTCTTTGAGTAATGAGGGCCAGACTTGTTGAGGACATTGGCTATTATTAGCTTTGCGCTACCATGTAACACTCAGCTGATATTTTGTTAATAACAAATATAAGGCAATGGTTATTGTACTGAATATGTGATTTTAAAAATCTGAAACTGAATAAAGAGTCTACGAGCAATTAAATGTTGTAGTTACTAGTTTGAATCAGGTGTTTTCCTCCTTGCCACCCAAGTTGCGTACCTCATGCTACTGTCGAAAGTAAACCCAAATTGCTTTTATCGGTTTTACTGTGTTCCCTCAGAAATGTACTTTGTGACTCACAAAGCTGCTCATGCCACGCTTTCTTTTACTTCCGATCGGTGTCTCGTCGTCCGATGCTCCAATCAATTCGTTTTGGAACAGAGTGCGTAATTGTTGGCATTTAGAACACGGAGTCAATTACAAGCAACTGTTAAAGTGTAACGCTAAGCAAACAGACTGTCTGTAACAACAAAGAAACCACAAAAGTGGAGTTTTAGGGTCAATTTAGCCGCTAACATTGTCAGTGTTTTGCGAGTGAGGATGTGCGAAAAGACAGTTCACGAATGAAGTCCGTGCATGAATTATTAGAGTCGCCCAATATAACGTCAAAACACGAAATGAATGAAAACAAATTTAAGAATAATTTCACGTTTTTTTCTGCGCAAAATCTAGTCTAGAACTCAAATCATTTCTGTTGAGCTTTGTGGAATCAGACTGAGAAAACACAAGTTGAGAGTCGTGCCCTCAGTCAAGAAAAACTTCGTGTATTTTTTTATCTGGAGCAACTTATGTTTTCAGCTGTTAGGAAATTGGTTTCTCTTCAGACAAAAGTGTTCATTTGCCTAATAAAGACGTTTTTTTATTTCAGAGGCAAATTTGATTGTCCTTTTGAAATAAACCCAGCCTTTTTCACGCCTACTTGGCCAGGTTTTCCATATTTTGCTTCCGTTTTTGCAGTTTGTTAAATCCAGGTTTTGGAAGAAATGTTATATTCGATGACATGGGGAAATTGAGGATTCATGATCCTAAAATCTCGGTAGGGACTCTTGCTATCATTTATATCATTCTTACCGCTTGAATATAATGTCTTATTGTCTAAGGTGGGTTGAATAAGAGAGATAAAACATGGCCTTAGGGTCACTTTGTTGTTATATTTCACTTGCAATGCAGTTTTCTCCGCCTTGTTCACTATCAACGAACACAAAGAAAGCACTGACTGTCATAGTCAAAAGAGATGAGCTCGTGTGCTAAATCAGAATTGCTTCTGTCAAAAAGAGGAGTGTGATTTATTCTCAGCCGAGTATCACCGGAGGTTTTGAAATAAACAAACGTTGATTCAAATTAAAGTTAAAGGTTTCTTTCAATGACGTTATACGTGATCTGTTTGGGGGAATTAACTAACCATAAAATGCAGGTTATTTTTCACTTGGTTTATTGTTTATTAGCTGAAAAATATCTAGCGAAGATTACCTGGTTGGTTTTCGTTCTATTGCATTACTTTTCACTGATGAACGCATCGCAGTTGGGCAAATTCATGGTGATATTTATATCGATATTAATTTGCATATCGATAACAATTGTAGAGACAGTTGAAGATTGTTGCATGCTGTGTGTTGCTCAATTCAACAAAAACATGCTGTGCAAACTTGCCTTGACTGATAAGCGGTGATTTCAATTTGCCAAAAGAGATAAGACGCCAAATGAGAAGCCCGTTGTCTTCTTAATGAACACCAGTTTCATGAACGAGTATTTCGGTTGATTCTACCCAAGAAAAGTTAAATACGCACATTATTCCGATTTTGTTTTTATTGAGCATGGATAAGTTTTGACCGACCGACTTTAAGGGAGCCTGGCACTATGAAGCCGCAACTATCCCTTCTTTAACAGACACCTTCCCCATCTCGTCTCAGGTCTTTTCCGGCAGTTTCTCAACAGAGATGTTTTGCTGTTAAGTTTATGGTCCATGAAGTATGTAGAGTACGAAACAGTGCCGTGGTTGAACCGAGTTTTTCAAACGCTGAAAAAAGTCTCGTTGTAATTATTCAGAGGTCGAAATCAGTCTTTCTACAATTCACATTAGAGGTTAAATGGCATGTATCATACAGAATCACGTATGTTAGGAGATGTGCCAAAACTACACGATGACAAGTTGATTCTGATGTCCCTAGGATCTAGCATTTCCGGTCGCTGAAATTCAGTATCAAAATGATTCAAAATTCCAAAATATCTGAGTCTCCTTGCCTGGGATATTTTCTCTTGTTGACCGAATATGATGGCCGTGTCGTTTTTACGATTGCACGCAAACTGTCATCAAGGGCAGTCTTTGTGATTTCCTCGCCTTTTGACACGGATTCGGTAAGAACATCTGGTCTATGATGGAAGTCGATCTCAAGCTCCCTTCTTCGCCAAATTTCTGACGTTCTGTTTGTCTTCTTACGGTAATTTTCCTGGTAAATGATTCCAACTTCGAAGAAAATAAGTGCGTAGATTATTGCAAACAAGAATATAAAGATCTTTCGACGGGTATTTCGACTTACAATCGTCATATCAAACGCTCTTCCTGAAACCTTATAGCTGCTGCGCCGGTTACGTATTCCATTTCCCCTGTTTCCGAACAATAGAAAAATATTTTGGTTGTAGATCTTTCGATTAATCCAGGACATGCATGAATCATCGGCTGAAAATGTTTCAATCAAAGTTACACACCAAACGCCATCCCGCTTCAACCTAAAGTTAGTCTTGGGACAGATTTCAAGAAGTTGTATACGCGAAGAAACTTTTACGATCATTTATGAAGGCAGTCGTTCAATGCAACGTGAGTCGAGTCACCAAATTAAAAAAAACGATTTTACCTCCCGCCTTGAGCTAAAAAAGCTATAAGGGCAGGGAACCGTGAAATATTTTTCTTAACTCTGACAAAACTCTAGTGCGAAACTGTGGATGTGCAAAATAATATTTTGGCATTTAACGTCTCACTTGCAATATATAGGTGAATTTTAAAATTCATCTGAGTTCATCTGATGTTTTTGTAAAGCCGCCTTGTTTCATGCAGCTGAGGCCCTTATATAAGCTCAGAGCAGGTGAATTTGAAGAATACGAAAATAATGTTCTATTTTACGTTAATATTGAAGTCCGAAACTAGAATATTCTTCAAATATCATTTGAATTTGCGCGATAAGTCCAGAAATGAAATGATCTCAGGACCAACACTCACCTAAGCCATGAGATTATCAATTTTGGAAATTTATTACTTATTTTTCTTGATTATAGTCTGAAACAATTAGTTTTAGATTCATTACTATTTCATGAAACTACTATGCCAAAAAAGAAACACGCAAGGAAGGAATGTCTCGCATGTAACTATTCACTGAAAACAGAGATGACAGGTAAACAAATTGGGAGCAACTATCTTAAGTGCGGGACAAATGATGTGGGCTTGTTTTGAAAAATATATAAAAAACGAAGAAGGCCGGATGTAGATTGTTGAAATGATGAATAGCCAAAAAGGAACTGAAACCCAATTTCACCATCTACCTGCATGGCTAGGGAAACAGTTTTCACGGAAAAAACGTCTTGAGAAAATAAGGTTACTTTTATGAAAACGAGGCTTCGAAAATTTTTCGGTGATTCAGTGAATCAGGGTGTAACACAGACTTTTCTGTATTATGTCAGATGCTGATATCGAATTAATTCTATATGGTGATCATTTTGAAGTTCTCCTGAAATGTATTCAGGTTTTAGTTTACGGCATAACTTAATGAGCCTTAATTGACGTAAATTGTATTGTTTTTTGCCGCAGTAATTTAAATGGACGGTGCATTGAAAAAGTAACATTCTGAAACGCAAGTTACTGTAATCTCAAACTTTTTGAGACGCAGTTGATTATAATTCTATAACATTCTGAGACGTAGTCTAATAGTAATTTAATCTTTTCAAATTCAGCTTTCCTTGCTCCTTGTTTTGATGCGTAATCGGTGTGAAGGAGATGAGGGGAAACATCCAATTTAATTCGAGAACTTTCATAAGATTTCTAGGTATGATGCACCTTTCGGGATTGTAACGAGCTAATAAATAATTTGTGGTTTTTCTTCAGCGCAAATAATCCCTTTAAAATGCATTAAACTATTAATTTTCGCCGAATCAATAATGCATGAATTGAAGAATTTCTTGATTATGAAAAGCTTCGTGGTTTCTCGGTGGTGAGGGTTTAATTTGCGATATCTGTAACTGGTGAATAAACACCTCAAACTTGAAAACAGATCCTAACTTTTTTCATTTTCTTTTGTCCCTCGTATGCTACATGAATATTCTGATCTTCTAACAAAGAAATTAAGAAAGCTGCGGTTTTCTTCCTCCTAGTGAGGTTCATGTTTTGAAACCCATGAAAGAAAGTCTATTATGGAAGAGGCTTTGTGAATTTTAATAACACCGTTTCCGATAACGTAAATCAAATCGCAGGCAAATTTGAATTGATTCCGAAATAAGAAACAGGTAACAATCTCATAAAAGCGCTAAAGTGGCCTTACTTTCTAATATTCTTGTATTGTCATTTTGTTAATGAAAATGTCATTTGTTTCCGCCGCATTCGACCAACAGCATCTAATACCAAACGTTAACCAGAATTTCGAACGATTCAGTTCCAGATACCTGCACTTTCTAACCGATACAGCATCTTAAATAGTAAACAGAAATAATGAGCTTTGCTTAAGTTTTTAAGCTGGTGAATGGTCGAATCCCAGACATGGAAAAATTAATAACAGAAAACTCTGGCCATGGTGAAATGACCAATTAGATAGCTTTATCGTGATTGGTGGGTAAAATACTTTTTATTGTTTAGAGAGCATAAATTACGTGTTTAGTGGTTTGCAAGTAATCGAATAAACTAGAAGAAACCACAGGCTGGGACACTATAGATGATATTGGTAACAGAATTATCTAAAAGCGACGAGTTCCCGAAAAATTTTCAACCACACCGCGTCAAAGAATAACTGAATTTTGGAACATAATTTATCATGGTAGGTGATTTGCTCTGTGGTCGGTCACAGAAAATATTGTCGGCAAATCTATTAACAATTAACACACGCAAGGAGAATAACAAACTCGAAGAAAATTAGCGATTTATAGTAAATGAACAGTGTTTTTAAGATGAGATTCTGAATTGAGGGATTCCCGTAAAAAAATTAGGTCTAGACTATTTTTGCTAGTCTAAACTCCTGACAGTTAAATCTTTTAAGACTTCAGGATATCTAAACACGATATGAATATTCATCTGAAAATGTACAAAAGATATTCGGGGTTGAGAGAGAATTGTAATATAAAATTACCTTAGTAAATTTTGACCATAATCCGAAATTGTCAGGGTAAAAATTTGATTAAAAACTCAAAAACCTTTTCGTTGATCGTAACTCGAAATTCGCTCGGCTATGAATGCTAATGAATGTAAAAAAAGGTCGTAACACTGTGGTATTAACGCCAAAATCTTCGAGCAGTCAATAATTTTTTTATCTTTAGTTATATCGGTAAAATATTTCAAAAAAGAAACAAATTTTCTCACAAAGTAGGTCCGAATTTTTACTTTGAAAGCCAGAGTATGTAATTTGCCATATAGAGTAGTGTTATTACGAACGCTCGATGTGAAATGTCATTTTGAAAGACAAACATTCGACGATGAGAGATTTTGAGAACATCGTGACATTAATGTGCGGGTTTCCTAACCTACTTCAAGCAAATACAACGAGGAATTTCAAGACGAAGTACATTTAGCAAAGGGCTCTTATCAAATCCAAAAACTTGGCTGGAAAAAAAAACCTGATTGGAAATGAAAACACAATAATAACAGCAACCGCACACATCGGACTGAAATCAGATGGAGCACTCCAATTCTACGCATTGGTGTCAAGATTGAATTAGATTTATTGTGTCACCCCACTAATTTAATCTAAAAACATTGATCAAAACCCTCTAAACAGACTGACTTTCATTTATTTGCATTTGTCCCTCTTTTCGGTCCTCAGTGAGGTTGAAGGATTAATTAAATCATTTTGAAACCAAATCCTCAAAGTGTGTTGTAGATTGGATCAGTCCCTGCGCGACGCAAGCTGCACAAGCCCTGTAGGAGAATACTTTTTACGACTCTTCGCAAGTACATTTGACTGACTTTAAAAATGTCAACTAGAGAGCGAAGGCTGGAAATTGAGGTATATCATATTTTTGTAAAATCAGCGTTGCCTCCTAAATTTGCGTTCTTGGAATCTAAACGCAATATCTACAATATGTTCTAGATGTCATACGAACAATACGTCTTTGAAATATTTCTTTACTTTTCGCTTGAACTAAGAATACAATGTTTGTTAAGAGAATATCTTCTTTTCTGCAGAATTGCAAACTGAATCAAAACAAGGCAATCACTAAAAAATTTTCAGTTTTGCTAAGAAGAAAGTAACATCCGTCGAAGGGCCTCGAGGCTTTTTCGACGTTTATCTTAGGAACAGAATTGTAAGCCTTAAGCGCATTTCAACTTCAAAAATAACGACTTCGATTATTTCATTTCCGATAGAGTGCTTAAGAAGTAAATGTCAAATTACAAGCTTTCTCTAGCGTAGAGAAGTCAGGGAGGTGTCTGGAACCTGGCAAAGAAAACACAAGCTCTTTTTATTTCTAGTCGTTAGAGGAAAAAACTGTAAATAAGACCTCTCACCGCGACTCTAACTCGGAAAGTTGAAATTAAAGACGAAAATAGTTCCCTCTTAATACTTTTTTGTATGCTTAAATGGAAAAAAATAATTGCCTTCTCCCAAGATAAAGTGGACGGAGAGCCGAGAGTTGCTTTCAAATAGCATTTATAAGACAGTGTAACCAGATTGAATGCCGCCAGAACTCATTTCTTACACGCCTGCTCGATCCTATACAAGTTTTATCTTGCAGCACGAAAGCAGTCCCAGATATTTTCTAACTACATATGCTAAAATTAAATACTTCCCTGAGGAAAAAATATGTTTACAGCAAAAAATTCCGGTTTCTTTTTTAAAAATTGTCTGCAACACACGTGCAAATAAATAAAAAATAAAAACATTTCAACAAATTTAAACATTGAAATAACTAAATCGAACCAAAATTCAAAGAAATTTGGCGAAACTAACTGTGTCTTCATTTTAATGGCAATCTTAAATCTATCAGTTTATTTGCTCGTGAAAATTAACTTCAACATCAACAAAGAACAACTAATTGGCGTTCTTTCTTGAATTCTAATAAATTCCGGCTTCCCATGAAAGCGCAATTGCATATTTTTTTTTCGGTCTAGTTATTTGATGCGAACATTTGATCCATATTGCCTAAGTTTCAAAACCCTGATCCTAAGCCAGCGTACATGACGTATTTCATGATTGACTTAATATCATTTGAGGCTTCCTCACTGACTCTTTGCGTTACTTACGCTGTTTTCACGATGGCAAATAAACGAACAGTAGTTCCTTTCGTAAACATGGAAGTTAATGTGTTACAAGTCCATGGCAAATTTCTTGTAATGTTTTATGGAAATTGGAATTGCTTGTAAATCTCGATGTTTACTTGATACCAGTGTTACTTCATTGGTGAAAATTGATTTCGCCTTCTCTACATGGCTTTGTCAGACTTAACTTCATACTATTGTATAAACTCCACTTCGCCCCACGTGATGCATGATATGGTTGTTGAAAGAGAAAATGGGGAAATCTTTGAAAGGAACTATTCGGCTTACGACAGATATGACTGAATTTAAAATTTTTCACGAACAAAAACTCGAGAGAGAAAGGAATTTTGGTTGTAAATTTAACTAGCTGTATGGTTAGCCTTGAATAAGTGACTAGAAGAATTAAGTGCTAAAAAGTACTGTTCTTTTCAGCCCCCTTGTCATTGGGAGCGAAAATCTTCGGTGAAAAATTTGTATCTGGTGCACTAGCATCATAAACTCCTCAAAAAAGCGATACTAACTTAGGATGTATATTTTGTACACAGTTTAATTTTATTCCATTTCCGTTGGTCTGAAAACATGTCAAACCTCTTTGCAAACTCGACGCTTTCATTAAATTTTGTACAGCACAAAGATTGAAATGCTGGTCATTTTGAAATAAATATTGTCACAAGGATTGTCTCTGCGAAATGGATTCGGGGTGATATTCAAATTAACTGTCATCAATTTTTCGTCGAAGAATAACAATTTTAGAAAATCACCTGCTAAAATAAGTGACTCAAACTAGATAAACATGCAAACTTGCATGTCACAAAGACCTGGGAGCAGGAACGCTGGGGGCGGAGGCAGGGGGCATAGGACTAGAAGAGGGGGGCAAGGGTATGGTAAGATTTAACCCTTAAAGAAGGCAAAATGTCCTTATGCAGCGATAAAGGGTTTTGATGATTTTGGTCGGAGATAGGATAATTGTGTTTTGTGTATTTTTTTTCTGTAATTGGTCATTGTTTTCAGACGAAGATATTTTTCCTGTTCGATGCATTGTTTACTTGACCAGAATTCAATCGGAAGTCATTACAAGGTCTAACTGGGCTCTTGCATCGCAAATTTATAATTGTTTCTATAATTGGAATAAATAAAGCAGAACGGGAGGCAGGTAGGAAACCTTTTCCTTCTTGCAAGTATTGCTTTTGATTTCAAGAAGAGAATGAAAACTTCAGAAACAGGATTACTCACTCAAGACAAATTTCGAGGAGTACCCTTCCCATCCCCCGGTATAAGGTCACTTTGATGAATAAACGTATAAGCGTTTTATGCAGAAAAGCGCCATAGCTTTGAAATTCAATGAACATCCGCTGGGAATCTTCTGCGCGAAATTAAATATTGCAAAATTAGCCCGGTGGAATAACGCCATGTGGTTCACTGTAATTTCGTGATAGGATTCTTAGCCGTCTTTTATTATTATATTTTTTGTTTTTCTTTTCTAATTGGCAAACTTTTCAAATACACCGCCTGTCTCTGAGCGGCCCTGTTGTCCGATCAGGTTAAATGCGCGATCTCTAAAGAGCCGATTATACATAAGATAACTTAAAATCTATCGGTCCCGTTTCAAACGCTAAGAAGATGAGCTTCAGATAGAATCAATAACATAAATCGTCTTCTTTTCAAGGTTTTGACAAAAATATTTTGCTGATTTTTCAGTACAGAATGAAATTTAGATTTAAAATTATTTTCCTGCCGAGCTAAGACAAAAACACAAGCTGGATAATACCTAACAGGCTGCTTAAAATGATCATTCGCTCAAAATTATGACCCATGTAACAACAATTTGAATTTTTTTTTTCTTTTTCGCTTTTTGAAACGCTTGTTTCCCTGCCTGACCAAGAAGCGAAGCTACAAAATAATTTGTTTGTCTACAAATAATACTACGCATGTGAAAGTAGGGACTATAAATAGATTTTCCAAAGTACACAGGAAGAACTTCCTTCATTATTCAATTCGATTTCCTAGATTTTGGCTGAGACAGAGGAAAAGCGCATGCAATTGCGATCGCTATCGGTTTGACAAACAGCAAGTATTTTAGTTCAGAAAAGCATCGACATAAAGGCGAGAAATTTCAACCGTAAGGCTCTGAAATGGAAATTGAGGTAGATCAATATTCCAGATGTCACCCGATGAAACTCATTTTAAAATATTTTGTCTGAAACGAGAGGAAAATTTGGAAAAAAGATCAATGTAATTTATTCATTTTTTTTCTACAGATTACGAGGGAAGTAATCACCGCTTATAATTCGTCTACTTTTCCTCGCTTATTTATCTGCGCATCCCATTTGATTTTTCTGACCATGTATCTTTTTCCGTTTATTTGCAGGATAAACTTACAGAGGAACAGATTGAAGGTACATTCTGAGATCTAACGACGCTTTACAGATTTTGAATAATCACAATTACCATTTACTACTTTAAGCCAGAGTTAGCATAACAACAGAAAACGAATATGTTTCCTGAAGACGGGAATTTGTTGAATCCGCACGAAATACCTTGGTATGCTAATAATCCTTTGAGAATACTATAATAGATACCTCCTCTGATGTTTGGATAGGCTTTACTGCACCTGACAGATTTTTCCTGCCAAAAAAACGCCTGAAAAAAAGTATTACATGTTTTTAGCGATCTGTAACCGTATTTCATAGGTTAGAAACAAGTCACAAGGGTCATCAGATGAATGCATGATCATATATTAGTCTCTGAAGATAAACACGGTCCTTCATCGTTAGTTGACTGGTAAACATCGAAGAAAAGAACGCAGATTGTATGTTTGCCGAGACATTTTTGGTAAACGTTTTAGTGTCTCAAATCTAAGGACTAAATAAACTATCTGAAGATAAATTTCATGGAAACATTTTATGAAATCGGATTCCAATTCTTGAACTTGCGAGCGGAAAAGGCTTGTATTTCGCAGATTATAAGTTCAAAAGGTAATTATTTTGTCTTTGCTAGAGGTCAGGTGTTTGCGACGGAACTGATCAATTTGTTGTAGTCAAAACCCGTGTATGTGTCTTAACTATTGACTCTTAAACTCTATTCATTTACCTGACAGTAGTCATAAATTAGTTTCATATGATGACTAGCGACACAGTCTGTTATGTATTTTGAATTACATATTTAGTTTTTTCTTTTACCGGTATATAGGATTTTCTGCCATGTTTTCTTTGTTTGGAATTATATGCAGAGTGGAGTGCTTACAAACTAGCTTGAGCAGCTACATTCAGTGCACTTCGACCACAAAAATTATTGACTGATCTTTTTTCTTATATTTTCTTACGTTTCTCAGAATACCGAGATGCGTTCAAGTTTTTCGATAAAGATGGCAATGGTTATATAACGACCCGTGAGTTGGGGGCCATAATGAGATCCCTCGGGCAAAACCCCACGGAAACCGAGCTCCAGGATATGGTCAATGAAGTAGATTATGACGGTAAGGTAAACTTTTCATGGCAAATAATTGATGGGGGTAATTTTCTGTGTTAAGTCGGTGGAGGGGGGCTGGGGGGGGTATTACACAGACATAATTTGAATTTGTCAACATTTCAAGCGCTAGCCCTTCGTCTTTTGCTCTAAGGTTGGGCTAACGCTCACTGAAAACATCAGCTTTAGAAACTCTTTACGATGGCCAATTTACACTGATCGATCAACTCAGTTAATAAAATCAAACTATTTTTAAAATAAAGTTGTCTTTGGCAAGTTGAACTTCGCTTGTCGAGGAAAACTTACCAGGTTAGATGCAGCTCAAATTGTTGACGAATCATCCTTATGTATGTAAAATGAGAACATGGTTCCCTTTAAGAAACATTTTACCTCTTGAAGGTCTTTTTTATGAATACTAACTAGTACACTGAATCCTTATACCTGCTTACAAAACAGCTGCTCATAGCTTATCTACTGTTTTTCCTAACAATCCACGAGCTATTCGGCTTTCATATCTGTTCATAGTTTCAAAAACGTTTTTGAGTTTATAACAAAAACTCTGAACATGATTGGTTCATTAGGTTCACCAATTACTTAATTTGGCTGGGGTAGCATCAAATATTTCGTATCTTGGTTGCTCGCGATTATCTCGCATTCGTTATTGACACAATAATTTGCTAATAGGAGTTGACGTGAGGGTCACTCGTGCTCCACTCAGTCACGGTCCTACATCGAATGTCGAAATTAATCCGAGATTGCATTGGTATTCCTTTACTTTGTTCTGTGATTGGTCCAGAAAACTTGTGCTATTCTCTTGACCAATCAGATACAAAACTAAAACCAACCACAGCTTGGTCGCCGGCGTTTTCCCGCGCTTTAGGTGGTTTGGCTGTTTTTCCTTCGACTTCTCATGGGCTCTCAAAGGCAGTTCCCTTTTCTTCTGATGAGTAGTTGTAATTATTTTTGTTTTACGACACTCGTTGGAAAAGAGCTCTCTCAATACTTATCACCTCGCGGAAAGATACTCTCGGATACGCAATTAGATCGTCTTTTACTATTCAAACGAGGCTGGCTAACCATCATTTTTCCCTCAATTGAAAAAAGGAAATGGTGTGGTGGATTTTGGCGAGTTTGTGAACATGATGATTAATCAAAACAACAACACGCTTGACGAGAAGGAGCTCTTGGAAGCATTCAGAACTTTTGACGGTGACGACAAGGGATACATATTCTCTAACGAGATTCGTTACGTGATGCGGCACATGGGGGAAAGCATTCCAGAACAAGACATCAACGAGATATTACAAGATTCTCAGGAAAGTCGGAAACGAAAAATCACCTTTGAAGGTAATAGAGTGTTAATTCGTTTAACAGTTTGCTCGACGAGGTTCCATGCTGCAACATGTTGAAAAATCGTCATGGTATATCTTGCACAATAAGTCTTAAGTACCCTGGCAAGTTTCAACGTTGCACAGGGGTAGAGTAAGGATATTAGGGATAGAAATGTTACGTTACACCTGTATACTGTACTCTAAATGGAACATACCAACTATTTCGTCGCGGATTGAAGGTAGCTAGGAGTCTGTTCGGGTCAAGCGTTTTGAAAAGAATTTTATAATATCTTTTGTATTCAGAAAATTAAAGGTATTAAAAGTGAATTAAAGGAAAATTAAATTATCCCTTTTTTGAGATTCAGACACCTCCTCGGTTCCGTGATAATCTCTCTTTATGTTTTGTATCCCACAGAATTCATCAAACTGGTAAAACCGGAAGTATAAACCTACGTTTCATTTCCGTCACTGGATGAGTCAACCACTGGTACTGACAGATAAGCATGAGTTCAATTACACATGTGCACCAGTTTGTTTCGTCATTTACAAGGTTTTGCAATGTCTGTTGACTGTGTTTACAGTTGTTGCACCGGATGAACGTCAATTTTGTTAAAGGAAATCAGTGGATATGGTCAAGTGAGATGATTTGGAGAGACAATCATTAGGGAGATTAATTTAGTGAAACTATAACCTCGTTTTGTGAATTTCTCTCACAAGCAAATGATATAACATTTCATTATTTTTGTTATTTTCTTAAGTAAAAATATAATTATCCAATATGCGTCACCTTTCTTTTAACTTGATATAATCAAATGGGAAGGTCATAAATTTATTCCAATGGAATTGAAATTTTCTTTCGAGTTTATTTCATGAATAAAACAATTATATATAACCATTTTTTTTTGCAATCTGTTTTGCTTATTTTCACCCACGCGACATAACGTGTGGAAAAGACCTACAGACTATAAACACACTTGCACACCCAGGTTAATGCTTAACGTACTTTTGTCCATATTTAACAATTATTCAGCGAAGTAGAGGTGAATAGTGGTGAATATTAACCGAGCCGCGAAGCGGTAAGTGAAATATTCACTACTTTCATCGACACTGAGGTGGATAATTATTTTAGTATGTGTCCTATCTCAAACAAAAATTGGTTTATTTCTGTTGATATACAAAAAATGGTCAGAAATTAGATTGACACGTAATACTTGGAGGTAAACAGTCCTTGCTAATTATTTCGAAATTCTGAACCAGCCAATCAACGCGCTCGAACAGTGCAATTCGTCTGTGTGGTATATACTGATGTAGACTATCCCTGGTGTTTTTTTGTTATCACTAGTTCTATCATTTTTCCTTCTTCCCCCCTGAAATGCAAACGAGATTGAGATTGAGATTCTGAGGCAATCTCCTCTTTGAACCAAAATATGGGCACTAATGGAGTGATTTGTTTTGTCCCTCGTTCGGAAATACACGCGAAGGGGAGATTGGGTTAATTAGCTGTTATAATAAGGACATTCAACCATGAAGATCACTTCAGCACTTCCTGCCTAGTGTCAAGGTTAGAGGCTACTCTAACTTGAAGTATCAGTTGCAATTTGAAGAAACGACTTGATGAGGAACATGGAGGAGCATAGAATTCCATTCTTCCTCCTCCACACTTTCTAAGGATTGTCTTCTTGGTAGACTGTGCTAAAAAAATTAGGTTTAGTGCAATGTGGTTTGTTCAGCATTTCTCTCGAAAGACTATAATAAGGAAAATGTCACCACGGAAAATAAAGGAGTTGTAGTCCATAGACTCACGGTTTGGGCCTCCTCACATCTCGATTGATATGCTTTTATATCCTGTGTAACAAAGATGAAGGAGTCACCGGAAAACTCTGTGGTCTTTCCATCGGGGTTTTGTTGGTCGTTACATGAGTAATAAGCAGATTTATCGTTCGCTGGACTTGATTCTCTAAAGACCTGACACAAACGTGCAAGTCTATCATTAATAATTGATTAATAACTTGCTGAGGTTGTAATAAAACAGAAATGACACCGCCAGCTTATTAATTCAGGCTGCGAGTTTGCCTCACGCTGTTAGTACGGAAAACTGGAAAATGGTGAAATATTTTCGTACTTTTTGTTCATATTATTCATCGCTGCGTTTCTGATATTACTTCATGGTAATACTCTAAAGTAATGAAGATTTACCATGTCTTCTACGATCGTGACTGTCGCAATAATACTTTCAGCCTTTTTTCAAGGTAAGCAGAGAACTACCTGCAATGTAAAGAAATGAAATTGGGAAGCCTCGTAATACTGAACTGAATGTATGTGCTGACCAGTGACAATAATACAAAATATTTCCTTAGAAACAAATTTCAAAATTTTCATATCTCATATGAGGAAAAAAGTATTCTGTGAAGTTATGTGAGCGGTTCAGGAAATCTTCTTGATCACTTAAAAGCTGATCGATTTTTTCAGATACTAGTACATTGTGTACATCCATTCAAGGTTGTAGATACAAGGCACTTTCTCCATAGCAATGATCAATCGTGCATCCAAAGTTTTTGAATCTGCATTTTTCTACACATGCCACCATTTAACAATATTTTTGTAACCATCGTAGCTTGTCCTGTTTGGGTATTTTTAAAATTAAACCAACAACAAGCTAGTCACCCGTAAAAACACCCTGTGTTGAAAACAAACTAAAATTGATACCTGCTGCCAAAGTTGGCAATCCATTTAATGAATGTAATTTTAAGTGCCAGGCGGCAAAAACATTTCATGTAATCTATTGTAATTTGCAAAAAATACACTTAATTACAATTGTACAAAGCAATAGGGTTTTCCAATTTATCAAAAGTTCGCTCCAATCTTCCGCGCTCATGTAGTATATCCAATAAAGAATTGATGATTTTTGTGTTCGTGGTTGTTTCACCATTTAACTCAGTCAGTTTGGCTCTAACTAAACTTCTATTTATCAATAAGTTCAGCCTCGAATTCCGCGGAATTTCTGCTAAAAATCGGAAAACCCTATTTGGCCGCACTTTCTAGTAGCATAGCGTGCGTAATTTATATCCCAACATTCCAAGAGAGACATCACCCCTTTAGGTTTGCAATGTGCCTCATTCGATCGACTGTTGGTTGAAAATTTGCTGAAGGACTACAATACGGATGTGAGACCAGTTGAGAATACGTCACAAGTACTCGAGATTTCACTGGGCCTTCAGCCATATAGATTGCTCAGAGTGGTAAGCGCGAAATTCTTTTTTGCTGTTTCTGTCGTTTTGTTTGTCATGATCACTAATGCAATTAGAGGCGCCGTTCTTCAAACACCCCTTTCACTAATTGCATCAGTGCTTCCCTTCCGATAGTTGAGAGAAAATATCAGGAAATAAAGTAAGAAGAAACAGAAATGATGGTTTCTTAGACTAGATATTGTGAAATCTAGCGAGGTCAACGCAAGATATACCTTGATTCTAAGTTATTCCGAAAAGATACAAATTGTGCCTCGTGCCAGATAACGTTTAAGGCTCGATTAAAGACTTCCTTGTTGTTTTGTGAGTGGCAAATGTTCATAGTAAGGATGGTACAAACCCATTCCTGTCCTCTGTGCATATAGTGACCCCTTCCCGCCCCGCTTTTTGCCAAATTTTAAATAAGCGCCCGGGCGCTTATTTGAGGAATACGGCATCCTTCTTTAGCTTCTGTTAAAAGAGTTTTGATGTGTTTTGAATTTTCCCAGTTATGTGAAATTCGTCTTCATTCATTGTCTTTCCAGGATGAGGTTGAGCAGCTTGCGCGGATGAGCCTTTGGCTTAGACTGGTCAGTGGGTGCTCTTTATTTTAATTATATGACAAGCTGAATGAGAAAATAATGGGAAGTTATTTTCTCTAACTTGTTCCTGCTCATGATCTTTTTGAGGCTGACACATAAATGAAGACACCATGAACATTATTCTGCTTGTTTGATTTTATTCTATGAAATAAGTAGATATTATGTTGGCGAGGGTCTCCACAGTATTAGATCATTCACAGAGGAAGTGAAAATGCACTAGAAACATCAGTGACACACTCGGCTACGCCTCAGTGCCAATTTTTTTATTTCTACCACATTTTGACATGGAATATGTTTGTGTAACTCGTTACATAACTAGTGTTGTCTGTCTCTTTGTCCAAATTGTCTCCGTCCTTCTTTCTGAACTGTCTGTCAGTTTTTTTGTAGTTTGACTCCTTGGCCTATCCGCCTACCCCTTCTTCTATATGATAATCCGTTTTATCATACGCTTGTCTGTGCATGTGTCTGTCTGTCTTTTTTTTCCATGGAGTAATCAACAATTAAAAATCTATCTTTGCTGGCATATTGTTCGGAACATACTATTTGCACGCTTTGCAGACCTGGCAAGATCGGTCCTTGATTTGGAGTCCTTCGCAGTATGGAAACCTGACGCGTATTAACTTACCAGTAGATACGATCTGGACACCACCCGTAGGACTATTAAACTCGTGAGTAAAAACACTTGTTTCTTCATTGTCCATTACTAAGTTTGGAAAACTCAAAATTATTACAATGTTTGGGAGAGGCGAGGACAAAACGAATACAGTGCTGTATTCTGGGTCGAGATGTCCAGGTGCGAAACCTGGCCCGGTCATAGCGTTTTGTTCTTGGATAAGACACTTGACTCTCGTATTCCCTAAATCCAACAAGGCGTATGAATGGCTATCAGCGAACTATCAGGGAAGCCTCCTAAAGTGCTGGTGGGGGGGATCTTTGAAGAATTAGCACCCATCCAAGTAGAGGTAAAGTCTGTGCTCAAGCCGGAGCTTAATATGCCAGTTTCTATAGCATTAAGTGACAAGGAGTATCACCACTCCCCCCTGTATGGGATGCCAGTTCATCCCAAGGTTACCCTCAGGCACTTCATCAGGCTTTCCTGACAATTTTTCAGTACTCCTGGATGGAGAGATACACTGTGAGTATACAGCACAATGACCCGGCCAGGCCACGAACCCAGACTTCTCGACCTGGAGTCTAGCGCACTTACCATGAGACCGTCCCCCACAGCTTCTATCCAGGGGGGGTAAGCAATATTCCTGATCGCGTCTTTCTGCGGTTTCCGGAGGAGGGGAGTTGGGGAATAAGCTCCGGCCAGAGGTGCTTCTTACCTAGATTGTTGTCTTTACCCACCTTTCAAACAATTTACTTACAGGCTTGAGTCACGTTTTGCCCCGCTTTTTGAAAGTTCTGACGATGGTCTGAACGTCTTAGCCGAGATTCGATATGACGGCCAAATCAAAATAGCCGTGCCGACAATCCTCAGTATCTCGTGCCTAATGGACATGACCATGTATCCGTTTGATATTCAAAGATGCAACCCTAAATTCGGTGAGTCCACGTTCAGCTGAACTCCTTCGTTTTCTTGCTTCTCGCTAAAATGATTTTAAGATTTCACATTCTTGCTCCTTGCAAACACGATTTTAAGACTGGTAAACAAACATTCAGGAACACGATAATTTGTTTTTCTAAACTGAGTTGATAGTGGCCACCGTAAGGAGCCTTAGCCTCTTACCCTTCTCTCCACCAACGCAGCTTATCTTTAGATACTTGCCCCCCTTTTATTCAGGAACATGGGCGTACACGAACAAGGATCTGAAGTTCTCAGCAGATGTCAAATCATCAATACTGGCCGAGTCAAAGGAGGCTTTTGCGTCCTCAGCTGGTTGGTCAGTTATGGAATACCGCGGTAAACAACCTCTTTTTACAGTTGAATTTGACAAGTTTTGTTTCTTATGATTCCCATGACAACTTAACCAAGCAACATGGCTAACTGAAAACGTCCTTAAGCCCTAAACATGGAAATGAAGAGTGACCGATTCGAGAAGGTCTCTTTTGGTTATTTAAGCCTTTCAAGATATCATCCATATGTTTTAAGTGCAATAGGAAATCATATTCTGAGCTGCATCGGCTCAAATTGCTCAATCAAAGGAGATGTACTTTGATTTACCAAAAATAATATGTGACTTCCTTTCTCTATTCAACTAAGCCAGATGTTCGAGCAAAAGTCAACTTTCCTTCACCCTTCTGAGTTTTAGCAAAACTTTATCAGCGAGAATATGTTAATGCGGAAAGGTTTTATGGAACTCAGTTAAGAAACAACTGAACGCATGAGACCGCGGACGCCCTGGCGAATTACATATGACTACCGAAATTTACAACTTAACAAAGGAAATCTCAAAACAAAGATCTCTCAACACAAAATGCTTTCCCTTAACGGACATACTTAATAACAAGTTTTGCAAATAAATTTACGAGGATAAACGTCCCTTTGTAAACAGCTGTTGACCAGCATGACAACGACACTAACACAAGTCCTTCCGTGACATTCACCATGCAGCTAAGACGTCACACAACGTATTACATTGTGATCCTATTTTTGCCGTGTTTATCGAATGCAATGCTGACACTTCTCGTTTTCCTCCTTCCGACGGAGACTGGGGAGAGAATTGGTGTTGGTATCAACACTCTCTTCATCATGTGGGTCAATTATTTAAGGGTAAGTATGACGTAGTGCGGGGAAGGCTGTAACGTGGACTCTGGTGTAAGGGAACTGGGTTTTTAGGGACCTGTCATTAATTATCCCAGAGGGATGGGGGTCGGGAGATTTTTGGGAGGATTACACGGTTTTTAGGGTAAACAGAGGGGGGATCAGAGAAGAGTATAAATGGGGGATTGAAGAAAATTGACTGCCAATTAACTGCCAGTTGGGGGTTGGGATCACAAGGAAATTACAGAGTCTTCTGGGGGTATCAGCGATAAAAAAATGACTGACTCCTTAAGTTCAGTCCTGGACGATTATTGCTTGTAATTTCTATGCTATTTTCAACAGTTTTTAGCAGTTTTTAGAGTATTTTTGTTTTAATAGGTACTATCTTTTAGATATTTTTATAATAATTTCCTATTTCTTAGTTTTTAATTCCTAATCAGCTGGACCTTGTTGATAACAGTACTTTTGTATTGAAGGCTTATCCTGGATAAATATTTCGATGATTATTATTACGATTATTATGATGATGATGATGATGATGATGATGATGATGATGATTATTATTATTATTATCATTATAATCAATGAGTCTAACGACTGTGTTTTTGAGCAAAGCAAAAATCTTTACCCTGGCAGTGCCTCTTTCCACCCAGGAATAGAACTAGTTACCAGAGCTAACTCAGGAGACCTGAGGTCTAAATTTTATCTTGGGCGATTAAGTTATTAAAAGTATCTATCTTTAAATGGATTCCCTTTTTTTTTATCTATTTAGGCATTAAATAGGATGCCTAAGAGTCCAGATCTGCCTGTTTTCTGCAAGTTTTCTTACTTTGTAATGTTCGAGTGCGTTTGTGCTATCGCTGTTTCCTGTCTCCTCATTTCCCTCTATCACATGAATGTTCATATAGAAATGCCTGATTGGGTCAAGGTAAGATGCCAAAGATAATTTTTTCCCTTTTGCAGTTTCTACAAAAACTTTATTTATGGTGATCTCTTTGATCTGATTCGCAGTTATAAAGACTATTAGCCCATTCACACCAAAGCTTAAATATGTTTTATGGCTGTTTTGTTAAAGACAGTTGAATATTATTTTCTTCATAGTAGCTGCTTTAACCGATGTTTATCGACTTAAAATTTAGCACTTTTAAAATAAAAAGTCTGTGAATACTTCAAACTAATGGAAAATTCAGTTTTTTTCATTCAGTTAAACCTGGTTTAACTAAACGAGTTTTGCTGGTGTGAATGGAATATGTGTTATTATCACATATTGCAGACCCACATACTAGACAGATTGGCGTGGCTGGTATTCTTACGATCTTCTGTGAAACGTCGCCAAAGGACGGTAGAGAAATTTAGAAAGGAAGGTATGCTTGCCTATCCCAATCATGATTTTGGAAAACACACGATTGTACTTTTATGAAAACCGTGCATAGCACAAAGCATAAAAATCTAATCCAGAGTCGTAGCTAGGGAGGGGGCCCTTGAGGTACCTGTGTCCCCTCTGCTTTGTGAGATTATTTTTTCCCTTTTTTAAGTCAGCAACAGACAGATCTTATAACTCAAATGGGGAAACGCGTGAATACGAGCCCACCAACACACAAGCTAAAGCAGCGGGATAAACCATTCACGCAAGCTGAGCGTAAATTCGTTTCCACGCCCGTTCAGCTGCGAGATCATGCTACGATCAATTCGAAGTTTCTATGGAATCTAAGTGATTTTGCTTTGTTTTCAGCCGAACAGTTCCGCTCAAGGTTTGGAGGCAGTACTTACCATAAGATAACAATAGGACTGAATCTGTTCGTTGACAACTCGCTCAAGGAGTTTGAGACATTTTGGCGACGAGAAGAATGGCGCCTTGTCTCACTTGTCTTGGAAAGATTTTTTACTTATTTCTTTTTGTTTACAGTTCTTATTTCTTTTTTTGTTTTTGCTGCAACTGTGTGGTAAAGGATGATAAAAAAAATACCCACACAAATAGGTACAATTATTCTCGCAAGAAAAACGAGGGTAAATCGTTGAAAAATAAAGTAACCAGTTCATCCTTATCATGCAATGAAAATCTACCGAAGTTCTAATTGCACTGAGTTGTGTAGCAACTGCTATGAGTGATAAGGAGACACTCAGTTCTCTTAAATTAGGGGAAGAGAGGGTCGGGTCTGGCGTCAGGCATGGTAACCTGATAGTTACTAGCTTGCTTGATGTTGCAACAGGAAACAGTGTGGGGAATTAAAAAAGAGACCTTTAGCCCCCTTCTAACAAGGTTCACACCCAAACAGAGCTGAAATTAGGGTAGAAAGAGCGGGCTGAGTGTAAGAAAAATTGTTTGTAAACTGAGTTGATAACGGTAACTCGCCACAATAAAGAGTTTCTAAAGATGATATTTCAAAATTTAGCTTTCTGTCAGTCAGAACAAATGACTTCCCACCGACACAATAATACAGTTTCTATAGAAACTTAGCCCCTTTATCAAGTTCAAGCAAATTAGAATTGACGCAAGTTCTGAATTCGCTAAACAATTCTTAAACTGGCCCTGATTGTTTTTATTGCCCCTCAAGGAGGATTCACGATTACATTTTGATTATGTGTTTATGCAAGGGTCACTCAGGCACTGACTGATCATTCTTTTTGGAGTAATCATAAAGATACCATAATGAAGAAGAGAGTAAGAGAGTGTGATTTCACTTGCTGAAAGCATGAATTGTACATGAGTTCTTCTTTGCATTTTCCTCTGAACTTTCTATTCGCATCATCATCTTGAACTCTGTCAGAAAAAGAGGTATAAACGCTGAGATCTTTGCAATCCCCCAAATACAAATCTAACCAGAAATAGATCATTACCCAGTTCTAAAAATCCTCACTTTCAAAATGAGGCTAAGAGTAAAACATTTTTAATGAAATTATCCGTACGTGCATGAAAATACAGAATAGTCTTCATATCAACAGTCTTGGGCTTACCCTCGTTTTGAATTAGACACTTTGTGCGTAACACGTTGTTCAATTCTTGAGAAAGTTCTCTCAATGATAAACGCATTTTGGCGGCACCCCTTCAAGTTTCTATTTCAATCCAACATCAACTTTCCACAGAAATTTGCAGAACACTGTCCACAAACAGAAAATGACTCTTACGAATGGCATTGCAACACTAAACAAATCACACCATAACATGTAAAAAAAATCTTTACCCTCAAAAGATATTTTTCTGTTTCCTGATTGGCATTTGTCCTCTAAAATCTCGTCCAGCTCGCTTTCAGGGATGTCCTCTTCCAACGTCGCAAACGCTTGCCGAAGCTCCGATGTAAGGATGAACCCCCGGTCATCTCTGTCGAAGATTCTAAAAGCTTCTTTAGCTTCGCAGAGTTCCATTCCATTTTGATCTTTTGTCAACATAAGGTTCACAAATTCTTGGAAATCCATCATACCATTTCCTGTGATAAGTAGAAAGTATGTTATGGTGGCACCTCACGGTAAATAGCGCTTGCGCTTTCATGGAATGTCGGGAGCACAATAAATCTCTCAGCCCTCCTAGCGAACGTGTCTTCATTTTGAAGACAACATATAGGGGTTACCATGGAGAAACGCTTTATCTTTTTTATAATTTTATCTGGTCAAACCCGAAGTAATACAGCAAATGGTTTGAACCCGGGGTAACATGTAATCTTACACACTGCTCCCTGTCTGTTCCTCGGCTCGTCTTTGTCTTTGACGTTAGTCAGTAACTGACGTAGTGTGGTAATAGGTTTGTGAGCTCACAAACCTATGAACCGAGGATAAGATCAATTGCTCCGACTGCCACGCCTCTTACATCGGTGAGACTGGCAGAAACCTCAAAACTAGACTGAACACAAACGAGCGACGATGAAAGGCGATGTCAACAATCACATTGCTGAACATCACCGACTTACGAGCACACTATTGACTGGGACTCTGCGCAATACCTACAGCACCAACTAATTTCAACGACTGACTCTGGAAAGCTGGTTTACTAACTTGGAACAGACTCCCCTCAACAGTTGTCAACCACTAACGGCACCATACAAACGACTCATTCACGACATTAACATTAGAAACGAACCGAACAGAACGATCTAACTTCACTCACGTATCGAGCCCGACCAATCACGACCGACCTACGCCACTTGACTCTTAAAGCTAATAACATCACGATAAAACTGACCAATCAGTTTATAGAAACCGGACTAAGTACCTTCGACTGACAACAACTATTCACTATTTTCACCAGAAACGGTTTAATTATTAGGTGTTGGTCACGTGACCTCCAAAGTAACCAATGAGATCGTACGCCGATGGGGATAATTCCAGGAAAGCAACGATAATACTATTTCCCTTTCGTTACTTACCATCAATATCCACGGTGTTGATAATACGCTGTAATTCATTTTCTGTGAGGTTTACACCAAGGGACTTCATCAGTGTTCCCAGCTCTTTAGTTGTGATGCAACCACTGTTGTCCTTGTCAAAATAACGGAAAGCCTCATAGTATTCTGGAAAATCCAACAACAAAAATATAATTTCTCTATCAGGTTGTCGAATTTTTTTTTAACCTCATTAACAAACTGATAACCCTCCTCGCCGCTCGTTTGTGTTCAGTCAATCTAGTTGTGAGGTTTCTGCTAGTCTCACTGATATAGGAGGCGTGGCAGAAACTGTGGTCTGTCAGTGGCGAGGATTACAGAATAATTTTGTCGTGAGTTATCAACTGAGTTGATAATGCAAATTGGCCACTGTAGAGAGTTTTTAAAGCTGACGTTTCGAGCGTTAGTAGCGTTTCATCAGAGTGAATGCATGGATGGTCGCTTGTTTGGTTAGATGATTAATTGATTCACTGATTGATCGATCGATCGACTGACTGAAGAAATGATTGCGGATGAATAAATGGATTCATCTTTCAGCGGAGTCATGCTCTGCGTGGGTTAAAGGATCTGATCTCAATCTCATTTCAATGGTTACCTTCCAGCTGGCTCTCTGGGATCGATTCCTAGGAAAGAAATAATTGAAACAGTCCATTGTAAAATAATGAATTCCAAAAAAGAAATGATAGGAATATCAAATTAGTTTAAAAACATAACAACACAGAAGAAACGTTGCGTCAGTTTGAAAATATCGTTACCAAGAAAAATACTTAAGTACTAAGGTTACTGCATGCGTGTATTTGTCTGCTCTATGAATCTTCACTTTCGACCCTACAGAAAAAACGCACTAAAACTGTTCAAGCCATTTATGATCAGAAACGCGAAAGTTACGCTAAAATTAAAATGACATAAAAGTTGAACCTAAGAATACAGGATTTAGGCCCAAACGTGTTCTTATCATTTTTTGACCCAAAGCAAATCCAGAGAATTTTCTTAAACCTTTTTGATATTGTAAGCTCGAGGTAGGCCCTATATTTATCAAATCATCTCAAAATAGTTCTCACCAACCATTTTAAAGTTGACGACAGAAGATTGCTGCTCCAACACTCGGGAGATATTGAAACTTGTTGACTTCTAGGTGTTATGTTCTTATGGCAAACTGCTTTATAACAAACAAAATTATTCTCAAAATGATAGCAAAACCTCAGCTCGCTGACTGGTGTGCTTCTCACCAATAAAAATATTTTGTTCACTCATGAAACAAGATAAAGTTTACTTTATTAGTAGAATCATACACAAAATTGAAGATGTATCTAAACATTTTTAACCATACTTTTCTTCAGTGCTCTAGTTACGTCAGTTTGAATACTTTACCTTTGATTAGGACAAGTGTAAGATTTTTTGCTATTACAGTTTTATAGTATGCAAACTTTTTTTTAATTTTCTGGATGGAACGAACAGTACTCACAATAAATACTTGTCATTTAGGATAAAGGCTCGATTAAAGGAGCCACAACTCTAATTAACTTTTGAGCACAGCACTGTGGTCTCTGGTTTATCAAAAACGGTTTACATACAGTGTATTGAAGCATATATCAACTGATAATGGTAATTTTTCAATTTTAAGGATAGATACCTTATTTAACTTACAGACACAGTTTCTTAAAAAAAAGTGCTTATAGGCAATATCCAGTAAAGGCATATATAAAGAAAGGAGAAATATATCGATAACCGTATACTTGAATCATTGTCATCTTGAGTAGAGAAAAATGTCCACAACATCCTAGATAACAATAATCATGACGTCATGGTCAGCACAATCTTCACGCTTTATCACGGACTTCAACCTTTATCACGGACTTCCCGTAGATCATTACGTTACAGTACAGCAGTGGAAAGTTAAATGAGCGTGATTTCCCATTCATAGGTCATACGAAAGAGAATTCCTAAGAAGTTTTCATAGACTCGAGCAATTCAGTTTCTTTGGATTTATGCGACATATACTCATCTTAGAAATGGCATGTTTACGTGAGTACAAATCGATTTTCTCTCGATCACGCTGGTGGCTTCGGAAATGGTACGAGAGTTGGGATTTTAAGATTACTTAAGAAGAATCACGTCACGTATTGAATGTATATGAACGCATGCGAAGAAGGTTTTTAAATAATTCCATCTTTGCTTCATACAAGAGCGTTAAAGGTTTACTGGAAGAGCTGACAAAATTATTTGAACAAAACAGATCCCATCGCATAACACAAACAGTACCATCACCAAAGGGTTTAGCTGTAGATATAAAACTTTTGCCGTCTCCGTGCATATTTTGGGCGAGCAGGCTCTTTCTCCTTTTGCTTGGACTCCTTAGGGCAGACACCTTCTTTGGTCATTTGAAAAAAATCTGTGAAGAAAAGGTAAGAGGTTTGATTCTTTTACATCCTAAAACACATAAAATATATATCTATCAGATAACAGATTAATACAAAAAAATGGAAACGAATACAAAACAAGCTTAAAAAAACTCTTTAGAAGATTGTAGTTACATTATGTTTTACTTGTGAAGGGGTAACTTGCATGGGTAAATTTGAACTACCGGAATTGAAGAGTCGCATGAATGACTAGAACTAGTGCTGTTAAGTACATTTATTCCTCTCGATTGAGAGCCACAGTCATTTAACCTTGATTGATACGGCAACGTCACGATCTCTCTCGTTTATCTGATAAATTTGATAGATAAGTACTTCATTACAAAGCGGGGAATATCTCCGATAAATACTTTAAATGATGACTTAATTATATGAGGAGCTAAACACGGCGACCACCAAAATATTGATATTAGAACGCCACGCGGACTTAGATCTGACCAATGTCCCAGAGTTTTACGCAGCTCACTAACATCAATTATTTTTTAATCACTTACTTTTCAATGGCTCACGTGACGCAGTCTCGACTGTGAGAGCTTTACGAGTTTAAGTCAGCGCGTTTATTCTTGATTTTGTTTTTATACTCACCATCAAAAGTTATCTTCCTCTGAAACTGATGCTTTTGATCTTGTAACATTTCATTGATTTCATGATCCGGAATTTTTTCCTCAAGGGTCTGAAAGACTTGTCGTAGTTCATCCGACATCACAAAGCCTCGGCAGTCGCGATCAAATATATGAAATGCTTCTTTGGCTTCCTCCTCGTTGAAAGAAAACTGATTTTTTGCCACCATCAACTTGACAAATTCCTCAAAATCCATCTGACCATTTCCTGAAAATGAAAGAGGTTTAAACTCAATAAATTGAAGGAGGCAGAAAGCTCTTGATCGAACCCTCAAGAGCAGGGCCTGTCTATCAGTCAGTCAGTCAGTCTGTCAGTCTGTCGGTCTGTCAGTCTGTCGGTCTGTCAGTCTGTCGGTCTGTCAGTCTGTCGGTCTGTCAGTCTGTCGGTCTATCAGTCTGTCGGTCTGTCAGTCTGTCAGTCTACCAGTCTGTCTGTCTATCAATCGTTCTATCTGTGTGTCTGATTGGCTAGTTTACTTACCATCAATGTCCACGCTGTTAATCATCATCTGTAGGTCTTCTTCGCGTGGATTTTCGCCAAGAGAGCGCATGGCATTTCCTAATTCTTTGGTGGTAATGAAACCACTGCTGTCCTTGTCAAAGTGTTGAAATGCATCTCTGTACTCTTGATTAACAATAAATAAATAAATAACTGAAAAATACCGCTTAGGGAAACTTTGCACAAAAGATACAGAAACTCATCACAAATTTTAAGCGTCCGAGATAGAATGCAACCTTATCTAAAACGTCCACAATCGAACGGAGCAGTCCAGAAACGGACGCAAGAATCGAAATCAAACGATATCGATATCAGGCCTTCTAGCCAGATTTTGGATGATTTCGTACATTTTCAGACGGATCCTGATTTCGGACACTTGCGACCGTTTTTGGGACGGTTTCATCTTATTCGGACGCTTGCCAATGCCTCCGTATTTTAGACCCTGGTGTCCATGCAGTTTTTAACGTTTGACACTTTGGTCCGTGTACGAACTGTTTTGTCCGAGTCTCGGACACTTAATGGAAAAGCAATCAGTATATAGGCAACATCACATAATACTCGATAACTAGAAATGGTATTTCGTTTTTTGCCTTCAAAAGTAGGATTGAATTCTGCTGTTTAAAACATTTTGCATTGAATTTATTGAGTGCAGGGATAACCTCACCTTGAATTTGCTCTTCAGTAAGTTTATCCTGAGGGAAACAAATAAACAAATTAAACAACAATAAAAAAAATAGAGAAGAAGGGGTGAATTTAGGAAGATTCATATTTCTGATACATCAACGAAGCAACTAATTTTGGACAATAATACCATGCGACTTGTTTTAGAAGGGGAAAAAATCTTATGTACAGTAAACCAAGCAATAATTTTGCTTCTCTTCAACAGTGAAAATTTCCTCCTTAAGACACGTGGAATTTTAGGTTTAATTTACAGACAATTACCGTTTCCTCGAATTGATCTAGTCATGCGAAGGGTTAATTGGCGTAAAATTGAAAACTTGCCTCAGCACTCTGACACACATTTCAGTGAAAACGAAAGGACGCCAACATAATCCAGTCGAAAACATTTTCTTCCGCCGACTGATACGCGTTTTATTGTCAAAATACATTTTTTGTGTCAAAATACATTTTTGTGTGTTTACACTTCCCCACACACCTGGCATAAATGTATACCGTTTCTTTGCCGTTTATTCAAAATAACGATCAGAAACCAATGAAAACGATTGAGTTGAGAAATTTCAGTTTAATGTGACAGACAGACTCGATTCTGAAAGACTCAAATATTTTTTTAAAAGTCAGAATGTGTAAATAATTAATCGCAAAGTGTTGTTTACATTCTCTTTTCACCTGAGAAGAAAAAAGTAATACTTTTACTCAATCATAACCTTGGACACGAACGAGAATAATTTGAGAAATTTCTATATAGGTTTAATCCAGCTAGAAAAGGGTTATCTGTGAGCACTGATTTATTTTCATCGATGGCTGTTGTCTCACAAATATAGCATCATCGATATGATCCATACTATTGTAAAATATGTGTAAAGCCAACATTTGCATGCGAAAATTTGTTAACGGTCGATGTTGACGCTCTCACGAAAGTCGAACAATTTATGTAACCGCTTGTTTTACTTACCATTCTTGTGCCTGCTTGATACAATGTTACCAGTCCAAGGTGGTCGAATATTTCTTCACGACAGAATTGAGAAGTGTGATGTATTATGAAGTCTGAGGGGGAATTGAAACAAATTATTCGGTGTTATCTCCGAGGGATTTTGGTTTTCTGTGGCATTTTTGTGGTTGCTCTAGCCACAAGCTCGACCGACCAATTTAAGCCTCGGTAGACATCTGGTCTTTCCTGAGAAATTCAAAACTTGTTTGATCGATCTTAATATTATCTTACAAGTTTGTGCAAAAACTGGTAAAGGAAGTAGATTGAAGCTAAAACAAAAACAAAAACTCAATACGAAACTGAGTTACAGTAGAAGGAAGAAAAACAATAGCAAAAAAAATCGCATGAAATATTAAACGTTACTCGGCTTATTGATCGCGCAAGCGATCTCATGTAAAAAGAATTTTAAATCAGATTCAAGAAAATCTTTTTTTGAATAATAATGATGTTATTACGGTGGTGGTAACAGTAAGTTTAAGCTCTGTAAATGGTTGAGAGCTAGGAACTGAATCGTAATTTTTTCCATGATAAAAAATTTTAAAAAGTTTATGTTATTAACATATATGCATTATGATAAATATTTTTTTACTCACCTCTGGTTGGTTCAGTCAATAAATAGTTAAAATGCAACGCAAGCTCTTCGCACGTTCAACAAGAATGCAAAACAGCGAGGGACTGGTCATTTTTACTGTCGAGGGAGGAAGGTTTGATCATTATTATCGTCGACTTGGGAGGGGCTGGAGAACTTTGTTTGCGTCACGATAAAATTCACCTAATCTTCCCCCATAAGGCTCTTCTATATTCCGCTCTCTCCCCCCTCCCCGTCTTTGGCAGTTAATGGCAGTCAGATGGCAGCCAGTTTTCTAAATTCCCCCCACTTTTATACTCTGTTGGCGACAACTACTCCCCACTCTTTTCCTTCTGAAAGCCATGTGATCCCTCCCAAAAATCCTCCACCCCCCTCCCCCGATAAATAATGAGTGATCCTTTGCATTATTAGGACTTTGTAAATGATAGCAAGAAGATATAGAAAATAAACAAATCCATTTTAGCCCAGTCTGGGAAACGCTGACACCGACCAAAGAAGATTAAATTCATCGAGGCACAAGCATTCAGTTTACGGTTTGGCTTTACTTTATTGTTTTATACATTTATATAAATATGTACACTACTTTATAGCCAGAGGAATAATTAGCGAGTCGCTATTTATCTATGGTCTAGCTTTTACAGAGTACTGAGTATAGCGAACTTTTGACTTGAAACATGGAATAACCTCATTCCCTAAATGGCATGCAAAATTTAAAACTCCCCAAAAGGAAACTAATTTCCTTAACAAGAAAGGGCTTGCTTCAAGCTTTAAATGATGAACAAGTCAAAATAACATGGAAATGACGTTCTGAACTGATTCGTTATTATAGACGTTTGAATAAGGTGTGGCATAAGCTGCCAAAACCAAATAAATGTCCATCTGCAATTTTACCAAAATTTTCATTTGGATTGTTATAGGCACATGAAGAACCTGGATAATGGGAACTTTCTAAGATCACCGGTTAAAGATATTCAGTTTGGCGTAAATATGGTTAATATGAATATTATGAATATACAGGTTATTAGATATCATACTGATTTTGAGCCGCTCTCTAGAAGAACCGCTTCTTAAGTAAATTTATTTCGATGCTAATGGGTACTAAAATGTGAAAGTTAGAAATAACGTGTATAGTTTACAGGGGAGTTATGATTCCTGCTCTTCTGAAAGATCGGATAACGCCTTCTGGAAACTAGACTGGCAGAGCAAAAGCATGTCTTTGAAGGCAGAAATTGCTGGCGGCTTTCTCGCAATTCCTATTACAATTATTTCATCATACATATTATTAAGACAAGTATTTGTCTTATTAATTTCGTTTAGTTAATTCTCTGAAATGGTATTTAATAAATTTTATCATATTCTTAGCTCTTGCACAAATTGCAGCATGTGGTAGAACAGTGCTTCAAGGGTATTTCAAGAGGACTATAACAGAAATACAGCAGATGAAGGTGAACAGAACACTCCGGAGTTCAATGAGATAACATGAGTATTCAAAGGATAAAGACAACAACACCAGCTGTTCTTCACCAAAGCACTTCTCACGATGAAACTGCTTGTCTTGCAACGGATAGAGTAGTGTGCCTTTTACTAATGTTTCCTGCAATTAACCAAAACAAACTCAAGATTATGAAAGAGCCGCGACCACTGTTTTAGAAAATCGCCGCAAGATGGTCTTGAAAGGAAACGGATGGGTAAATGGGAACACAAGGTTAATGAAGACAAAACTAGTTCTAGGCGAGTACTTATCGAGTATTTTCAGGTCGCCAAAGGATTCGTCTTTCGTGTAAGGTTTGGGTGTTTAACGCAAACGTTGATCTATCGTGATGCGTTTGGAATTGAATACTGATAATAGACTAAGAAAGTAATTAAGTGGAGCCAACTTCAGAATCTGTCAAATAGGGGAAGATGACCAGGCAGAAACGTTTTCCAACAAAGTGACAACCATGACATCGTAAGGGATGGTTTTCACCACGACTAAGTACATTCCCAGATCTCCAAAGTTTGAAGCAGGTAAGTCTGTTTATGCAAACTAGAGTCGTAGCAAAAACTCTCTCTTGATAACAGAGGAAGACATCTTACTTTTCTTCCTCAGTGACGAGTAACACTTTGGAGGTGCTATGGTGCAAAACATCCATCCCTTTGGAATGAAGACTCGTTTTGTTTGTTTCCCGTTGGTCTGAAGGCTTATGGTCCGTCCCTCTTGACGTGTAGCGTTGGTACCAAAAGGTAGAGATAGTTCTAAGCCATTTTTTTCTTTCTTTGAAATATCATTTGTAATAGCGTTCATAGACGACATGGCTGAAAAAAAAGGAAGTGAGAATTTGCATTTGGGTTCTTTGAATAAATCACGTTCACGGCGAAAATCATGGTTGCAGTCCTATCAAAGATGCTGACAAGATCTCGATAAGTTCCCGTCGGGATTCCCACGGAAATCGATTGATTATTGATCAAAGGGGGCAATTTTGTAAAGAAACTGTGGTGCTGCGTCGGTGGGAGCGATTGGCGAAGGGCTAACGCTCGAAACGTTAGCCTTTGAACTCTTTACGGTGGCCAATTTACGTTTTCAACTTAGCTGATAATACTAAATTACCCTGATTATTGATCAGCTAAGGAGTTACGACTCTCTGCACCAAGAACATACTAACCATTTCCGAATGCAGTCTACTCATAATCAGCTCATAATCCCCTTTTGTATCAACACATCAGCAAATCATTGATGATCTTCATCAATATTTGAACAAGCGAACAAGCTGGTATCCAACACGACAACCTAAGTTTTGCATTCACCAGCCTTAACCCACCTTGCTTTGTGTGTGCCTCTACTGAAGCCAAAACTGAAATCAAGTGTCGATATAAACATTAGATGGTGGTAAGTCTACTCTCAGAATCTCGTAATTTCCAAGTCTGGCCCCTGTTGTTGATAGGGTGGATAACGCCATCCTCTAGATAAATCTATATCCAATGGACAGCGCAGTACGTTTTGTGAACACAAACTTATCTGATAGATGGCGATTTATTCGTTGAATAGCGTCATCCATCGTTTGAATTACTGCGCACAGTAAAATATATATTCATGGTAAAAGCAGGTTCGCGGAAACCATACAGTTTGTTATAGCGGACGAGTGATGAGAATAATTAAAACATTGATTGTGGGATTTTTTATCCAATACTAAATTCTCAGGACCAAAGCTGTAAGCAATTTATGGCAGACAGTTTATAAAATTACTAAAGAGATCTTGGGAATGAAAGGGTTAAAAAGGATATTGTGTCTGTCATGGGCAAGAGTACATGAATACTGTAAGTGGTAAAAACAAAAGGAAGAAAAAACTCATCAGTACGAAACACACCTTTCTCTATCTTTGTACGTTTTCTGCTCTCTGAAAATAGGAAAATCACCTCAATTCATATCACATTTTTGAGATTTCCCATCCTAAAGATTCCCTGTTCCATCGTTCTTTGCTTCCACAGTCTTCTTTTTTCTTATACTCACAAAAATCAACCAATCAGATGAAAACCCATTAACCAATGATAACGAGACTCGATCAGTCGCTCACATTTTTCCACCGTTAACAAAGCAGGTCGAGCCTTTTTCATTGATGCACAGCCGAGATTTGACCATGCTTGTTTCAGATTGAAGTTATTTAATTTCCTAGTTTTTTCTATACTAGAAACTTCTGAAAATACAGACCAACACTGACCATGATATGCTGTCTCTCTTTCAATTGATTTCAAAGCTGTTGAACAAACAACAAGAAAGTGATTTAAATAAGAAAGATGGTAAATCTTACGCCCGGTAATGTCGGGTGAAATAAAGGAAGATGTTTCTTAGTCATGTCATGAGGATGCACTCCGTAATTCTATGTTGCAGCGAGCGTTTGGGACATAAATCCGAGCGGAAAAAACGAGGTATCATATATAATAACTAACAGAGCGGACCAAGAAAACAAAGTTGCTGAGGTTTTTATCATATCTCTGCGTTCAAAAAGAAGTGGAAGATTTCAGTTTAAACAAACTTTTGAACTTAGTGGGCTGTATTTCGCTATGACCAATCATAGCAACCGTAATAAATGAGAGATGTAATAATGAGAATAAATAATGAGATTGCAAATTCTGAGCGCAAAAGTTACTCAGGAACTCTCTCTGGAAGGACATGCACGTGTGACTCTACCGTCCTCCCCGCTCAATCCTGTAGAAATATCGATACAAAGAAAAACTTACCTGATTCAATGTCTCTAATCCATCGCTCTTCTTGTTCATCGTCTTCGACGGAACGTAAAGCTGTTTAAGAACGATGAATATTCATTGAGGATGTTTTTCGAAGATAGTTTAACCACAAAACAATAAAAACCGACATCGTGGTTTTGGATTGTCTATAGTTTTACAAAACAACGCAAACTTTCGAGGGAATTCAGAAAAACAGATGAATCAAAGTTATGGAACACCTTTAGAAACACTACCTTTTTTCAAAGTTTCCATATTTTGCCCCTGGTGCTCCAAAACAGGATGTGCATCATAGTCGATTGCCTTCAATGCTGGAAAGCGAAGGAAATGCATTACAAAGAGGAAGCGAAGAAAACCTATCCTTCGTGAATTTCAAGAAAAATTTATTTGACACAGCTCTTTATAATGAACCAGCATTGTAACAGTATGTAGCAGTCAAATTCGAAAGTTGCTGTATGTACTCAAGAGAGATATTCTCTTGACTTACTCAGTTAGGGCGCATTTCGACTGTATGCCACAAAGCCAATCAAAATCAGACCAAAATCTGAAAGCAATCAAAATCAGACCAGAGGCCCCTCTTGGATGAGAAGTTAGAGTGATCATAACCAAGCTGCCTTAACCATTAAGTGACACCCAGGGTAACCGCAGCGATTTGAAATAATGATTATTCATCGATTGACTTTCGAAAGCTAGTTTAAGCCTATGACATCTAAGGGTGACTAGCAACTAATTTCTCCAACAGTATCACCCCTGAATCACACATTAATGCCACGGGAATAAAGGAAATGTTCACCAACAAACTTTGTACTCTTTTCAGTTCAAATACTAGGTAATGCGCTAAGCAAGGTCCATTAATCCCACTAAAAATATATATAAGTGTACTTTTCCATAAATGAGGTTTAAATTCAATTACTGCTGGAAATATCACGAGAAGAGAAGCTTATGTTACACCTGGGTAGCAATGTGAAAATCCCGTGCCAAGTCATTAATTTGTGTTGAACACAACTTGAACACTGTGTCGGCTTACATGTGTTTGATGTAAAGCCTTGATTCATTATCATATCCGCGACATGTTTTACCTTTCTTTAATCTTTCCTCCTCTAATCCAGATGCTTTGAGCCTTCTGCCCTCACTTTTTACTCCATCTCCTGAGGCGCCTGAAAACATTCACTCGTTACTTGAAACATCACTGAGAAAATCAATGAACACTGACATGCAAGTTAGAAGACTTTGGAGAAATTGACCTCCTGAATGACTTGAAAGTTATCCCTGATTTTTCACCTATTTTCTTAGATTAAACCAAAATAAATCGTTTTCCACGTTTTAAAGTGAGCGTGCAAACCGTAAAAAAAGGAAATGAAAAATTTGAAAAAGAGAGCAGTGAAAAGAAAAATTCTTTTAGACAACCTGACTGGTGGCAGTTTTGAGTTCAGTTATTTTGGTCAACTCATAACGTTCGAACTGGTACCAGTCTGAGACGAACAACCTCAGTAATAAAATGAAAAGCCAAACATAGAAGATATAAAAACATAACTTTGTTAAGATCTTTTCTTTGCTACCAATGGTCAAATAAGGTCAAAGAATTTCCGCCTTCAATCGCTAAGCTTGAGAAATAACAAAAAAATACGGGGAGCAAGAAATAGAGAATCTAACGTAAATTATCTATTTTTAAAGGAAAGAGTGCGATGAACACTTCTACCCTAGTTTACGATTATTCGATATTTATTCGTTCAGAGAGTGCTCTTATTTTGTTTACCAATTTTAAATTGGCCTTATTTTTCTCAAGATTAAAAACAATCTATATTTTGTGACATACTCATACACAAATTTAAATGCGCCTTTCAAAACAATCATTCTTTCATAGAAGAAAACTTTAAGCCACAATGGTTTCATTTCAACCCTTTCGGAATAAGCAGTTGCCTTTGTGCTTGTGAGATTTTCCGCGTTGGCTTCATAAGCAAATTTTGAATTTATCGCTTAAGAGAATATAGTTGAAATGCCAGTAATAACTCAGTACCTCCTTTGTCGATCAGTTTAGAGCTAATGCATTGTAAAACTTACCTTTTGCTACTGCTATTCGAAATCCGTCCGCCACATAAACATACAGTAGTAAAACGGATATCAATTCTGTTGGTTTGAAATTCCGTTCCATTGTTCCGGCCGCTAAAATGGCTGGAAAGTGTCGTCGCTTAAAATAAGTGGGACCTCATTTTGAAATAGCACCGGCAAGTTACTGAATAATTGAAAAGAAATGTTGTTCCACAAGTGGAAAAGGCTTCTGGCAGCAAGCCTTCAAAATTTTCTCCATTGAGAACTGGTTGCGTAATATGCAATTGGCGTGTTAAAGGTCGTAAGGTTAGAAGAATGAGATTGAAGGGCGCAATTTACTTCAGTTGTCAATGCTCTCTCCAGAAATTAGGGGAGCGGGTGGAGAGAAAACTTTTATCGTTTATTTGTTAATTCAATTAACCACAGAGTATGCCTCTCATATTGGCTACCAAAACTGTTAAAATATCGAGTAAATATATGTTGCCATCTCCAAGTGTAGTTCAGTACTTGAGACCATTAGGAGTGACCGGATAAAAATATGGAAGAATGTTTCATTTTGGCTTCGTTTCCCGCGCCAATGAACTTAAAGACTTTCAGATTCACGAATTTCCCTTCGCCAGCCCCCCTCCAATATTTTCTTTCGTTATATGTTTTGTGTTTGGAACGTTGCTTTGTGGCTTTGACCCAGATTAAAATTTCGGTCTCCTCGCTGACGATTGTTTTTTGTTTTACCTCCATCGCACTGTTTGTTCAAAATGTGCTTGTCGTCTTTATTTCTGAGTGTAAAGCTGGTCTTTCGAGAAGTTTAATTTTTGTAAGCAGAAGTACTATAACAATCGTTTCTGATGGAAAGAATGATTTGATCTTCCAAAAAATCTACGTAGATGACATGGTGAATTTAAAGATCACTCATTGTAAAGAACGCACCAATAATCTTACCGAAAATATATAGCATGCAGTTTTAATTCCTCCATATTACATTCCTATTGTTGGCTTTGCCCTTTAAGCCCGATTTACGACTCTGGCTGGCAAAAGTGAAAGTGCTTAAAAAGCAGACCGCAGTTTAATATGTGACAATAAGAAATGGTGAACCAAACATTTCTGATAATAGGCAAATTTATTGCAAATCAAATCATATCTCTGAGAGCTCTATAAGAAACATTTTGAAGTAGCGTTCCATCAAACGCCGACGACTTCATACTCGGTACATGATCCAGACTTGAACAAAGTTAACATTCTGAAAATAACAGAATCACGAACGGCTCAAAGTCTTTCGTTTGTACCAAAATCTGACGGTGAAGTTTTGAAGAAAAGCTCTTCAAGCACTAAGCTTCAAAGAGCGACGAACGTAGGTGGCACACCTTCCCTTACTAGGTGATCAATAACCCTCCATTCAACATAATAAATAGATAACGTGTAATTCATCTCTAATAAGTTACTTGTAATTCTCCTCTTTCCCCCTAAACAATGTTGCAAAAAAATTGGAGACCGTTATGTTAACACCAGGCAAGAAACTAGTGACCTTTTTGCAAACACGAGGCAACAATAAAATAGAAAGAGGGAGAGATACATGAACGTTATAGACTAAATAGTCCAAAAAATAGTGAAACATGCCTAAACTTTTGCCTGTCATTGTAGGTTGCCACACAATCTCTGAGGCAAAAATATTGACCAGCTGATCATGTCCTCGACCGACACCACATAGATTTTTCATTTACATCTCTTTCAGAAATCGGTGCTCACCTTTATCGTCGTCTAGCATCGGTGATACAACTATCTTTCTACCTTGTGGTCTGTCTGGTATAGGATCAAGTTTGCGATGGCTTTCGTCAATGCCTAATACTCGACTTCCCCTAGATAATCTTCGCTTTCCTCTAAATGTTGCCTCGGTCCCTCCAAAAATTTCTGATAGATTCGAACTACTTTTGCATCCAGGTTGTGCGTGAAGGCCTTTAGGACGGACATAATTGAAAGCAAAAAAATATTGTTAGCGTACAAAAACTTCACCCTTACTGAAAATTTCAGTTCTTCCTTCTTTAACATAGACTTGAATTTTAACCGTTCTTTCTCCCGTAGCTATGCTTAAACTCTGGACAAAGTGACACGTGACTCACCTACAATATCCAGTACTGAAGGATTGTCTTCTGGGTCATCAGGCAATGCAGTTTCATGGAAACGAGCAATCACTAAAATCTTAGGCTCGACTCCATCGAAATGCAATCTAAACGTTCGGTAAACCTTCGGCAGCACGCATGGTCCTTCATAAATATCTCTGCTATCGAGATCTGTAATCTTGCCTTGGATAAGAACAACCTTTTGAAATGAACGCGAGGGGTATTATGCATTGTTAACAATAAACGGTTGCAAGGGAGGCCATCATTTATACAATTGTGTCGATTTTCAATGGATTTTCGAAGAAATCCATTTTTCCTTTGCCTTTTGAAGTGAACACATTTCAAACGAAATTTTAAATGTTGCTCACATCCTTTAAGGATAAAATAAAGACCTAAAAAACAGAAATTTCTTTTTGATGGAAGACGAATGAGACAAGGGCAGGAGACAATTTTTTAGAAAAATAGTCATTTGGTGCGTGTATGGGATAAAAAAATTCTGAAAACGAGCATTCCTAGGATAAGGATAAAATCAAGACCTAAAAAAAAGAAATGTCTCTTTGATTTGAGACGAATAAGAGACAAAGGTAGGAGACAAATTTTAAAAAAGTTATTTGGCGAGTGTATGAGGTAAAGAAAACTGAAAGCGAACATTATTAGGATAAGGAACTTGGCCATGCCTTCCTTATATTAGCCAGGTGTCTGCAAAGACCTTGAGGCGAGATGAACAATCTTTTTAAATTTATTCGTGAGGTAGATGTATAAATTCTTCGCGTCTACTCTCTTTGAAAAATTGTTGAAATTCAAATTATCTTCTGTGAAATATAAGCCAACTTGAATCGAAACAGGATATATTCATACATACGATGGAAAGCCTTCGCGTAAATTTCTATCACATCCGCTCTCTAATTAGATCTAATTTACCTCTTTCATCTGCTCGTTAGTCTTGAATATAGTATTTAACCCTATGGGAAGATTGACGATAAACGAACGTTCGCACATGACCCGGATTTTGTCCTTCGTCCAGTTGTAGTAAGCGGGCACTTCTAACAAGAGAGGGACAGCGATTCGCACGCCACAAACTTTCCAAAGCCGGTCAACGAGATCTGGGTAGCGAGTCATGGCAACTTTCATATCATCTGAGGTAATGAAATAGGCCTTATGGAGAAACAGGAAAAAAAAGTCTTGCACAAGAAATACAAGAGTTTGTAACAGTTGACAACTTCTAGGGAAATTTATTGAGTATTGTTTTCCAGCCATTTTTTTTTTAAGATTCCTGTCATCGTGGAAGTACTCTGGAATAGATGGCCAGTAATCAAAGGATGACTCGTGTCTGAGAATGAATTGAAGAAGATTCCAAAGTCAAAGGACTACGATGAGACCAGGTATCATACAGAAGGGAACTTATACCAGCTGATAAACCTTCTCTTGGAGTTGGTGACTAAGCTCAAGAAATCTGCCGTAAAAACGCACCTTACGTAAAATTGCCATTGCTTAGGGCTGTCCCTTTCTTCTTAACTTACGGTAGTATATATGTAACCAGTTATAAAATGGTTTGATGGAAAAGCATCATTCCAACCCTTATTTAAATCACAAAGGCGCGTGTTTGCAAAACTAAGACTACCACACATCTACGTAATTTGGAAACTCCCTACATTGGCCCTCTCTTAATAACGGCCAGTTAGTACGCCAGCAAGTCTAATGATTGTAAAAAATGTAAAGTGATATAATATTTGTACCTGGACTGCAGACTCGCAGGTACAAGAAGAGTTTCTTTGGGAGGAAGTAAGAAAACCCATCTCCCCAATCAAGTTACCAGCGGAAACGTAATCAGTAGTGACAATCATCTCTCCTACTTCTGGCTCCTCACCATCAAAGTAACCTCTCCTTGCCACCGATACGCCGATCATCTAAAGAAGAGACGAGGCAGCTCTGCTTTACTTTTAAGAGTCTCAAAAAGGGGGAAGGTCACATCACATGATAGAACCTTGCACGAATGCGCGAATTTTTGTGAACCCTTCTTCTGTAAATAAAGGCTTCTTTTTTTTTTATTATTGTTTACTTTTCCATAACAAACGAGAATTGTGTCCAGAGTATGTAGAAAACCAATACACGGCAGCTGCAATTTCTTAAAGACAGAATGTAGGGAAATTCTAGCCACACGACTTTAAAAAGGTATATGGCATATAATTTCGTCATGCAGATTGAACAAGTTTATTTATCAGAGAATAAGAAAATGACTCGGTACCTTAACCATTCCTGAAACTATCAAATATATTCCCTTAAGGTCTTCACCCTGTCTTGCTATAGTATCACCGGCTTCAAACATTTGGATGCGTGCGGCTGAGGTTATGAAGTCCACCGCCTCTGACGGCATTCCTTCCAGCCACACCACATTACGAAGCAACTCGGTGGGCTTTTGTGGGGAAATGGAGGCTGGAGCACTCAGCTGTCGCTTCATTTTTACCTCAACAAGCTGTGAACCAAAACAAAGACGTTCAAGGGAATATAATGAAGTAATCTATTTGTTATTTTCTAGTCATAACGAATGAAGCTTTCCACTTGGTACTGGAAAAAGACTCTTGTATTTCCTATGAAGGGGACGAGCAAAGTATTCAGTTAATTTTAAAGCGCTCTATACTTCAATTTCCACAATTTTTTTACGCCGAAGCGATTATGTCGCTCTGTTTTATAATACGGCACAGTCATATTACCTTCCTATGTTTTTCAACAAAAGACACTGATAACTCAAATCAGAAATTACATTACTCAGAAGTCGCCTAAATGACTTTTATAATACTACACCTACGTTTTCCCTACGCGCTTTTGCCTATGCTTCACTTTGTCGCGTAATTTTGACCTATCTCACCGATTCTAATTTTGCTGCCTCTGCCTCATCTAACAAGCCACCACCTTTGAGTTCGTGAATAACGTCACGGGCATTATTAAGAATCGTGCGAATAGCCTGCCGCGTTTTTACGGAGATCGCAATCCCGGGGTGCTCACGTTGCAGCATACCTGTAAAACCAGCCATAGAGAACTAACAGTTAGTTGATGATGTCATCCTCAAGGTCTTAAATATGGAATTACCTTGACAGGCCTGAGAACAGGGACGCATGGAAAAAAAAGAGAAAAAACGATCGGCGTTTCACATACATCATAGATGCATTTGGGTCTAGTCGTAGATTCTAAGAAATAAACCTGTGCAGAACTTCCCCTATTAAGAAATATTAGCTCACTTTGAAGGCGGTTAAACACACTGGACAAAGGTTTTTCTTTATCAAATACGATGATTAAAGTTATCATGAAGCAGCGTTATTTCAAAGAAAAAGAAAAAGCGTTTATAATGTTTATCTTAGCTAGATTACCGAGGCTTCGGACGACATCCAAACGGCTTTGCTCCGATCTTTGTTTTAAATCCTTAGCAATCCTTTTGTCGACCACCATGTGATCAATCAGCTTGATGACTTCTTCTTGAGCGATTATATATCCCTTGCCAACATCATAGCCAAAGCTTAACTGCCGGTTGATAATGTCGTTCACAGCATTTATGAGTCTTGGAAGAACAGTCTATGGAGAAGAATGAATATTCCGAGTCGGAACTTAAATACATGAAGTTACTTGTACTAAAGAAAGAAAATAGAGACATTTAGCACCAGGGTTTTCGCATTAACGGCAAACCTGAAACGGCAGTTTCAGGTTAGGCGTTTGGCGTTTGACGTTTATGGCTTCCACCGCTGTAGCTAAACCTCTCTAACCGATTGAAGAGGCCGCCATATTGAATTTCCAGACAACAGCAGTGTTTGATTTTCAAATGGCAACAAGAAGTCCTATTTTCACTCATTCGCTAAAAATATATCTAAACTTGTTCTAAAAAGACTGGTTTACATAACTTTCTGATTTTTACGTGGCATAAAAACAAATTCAGGATAAAAAAACGTTCAGGTAAATCACTTACGTGAAAACCTACCCCTTGGCGTTGAAAACGCGCGTTGAGAACTCCGAACGTGACCACAGGGCTTGATCACGTGACCTACACCGGTTTGCTGTTCGAGGTTTCCGCTGAAAACCCTGGTGCTAAATGTCACTAATGACTGAGGATTACTGGTTATTATTGGGAACGGCAAGCGCTTACGTTTCGATTAAGACTAGTTGAGGCCAAACTTAAGTCATAATTTACAATTTGGGAAGACAAAGAAATAAGAGTTTTCCAGATGGAAGCAAACCTTTGCTTTGCAGTTGAGATTAGTAACTTCTCTCTACATCTATACTCTAGGAAAAAACCATAAAAAGGAAAAAAAACATGGTTAAGCTCTGTAAATTTGTCACTTACCTTGAAAAGCCTCAACAGACGACCCATTCTCAACACTCTAAACACCTTGGCCACTTTGAGTACAGACGGTGAAAAGTTTCCCGTGGCCTCACCAGCCACTTCGTCAATCACGATATCGACAATTGACAAAATAACGATGAAGAGGTCGACTAGATTCCAATAGTCCTTAAAATAGAAGCGCCGGAATGCCAAAGCCTGTTTTATAGAAACAAATTGATAACATTGATATCGACAGTTCTTTCTCAGAGTAGGTATCACTGCTAAAAATCTCTAGGATTTTATGTAATTTTTTAAAATTCAGTTACAAACTATATTTTTAAGCGCTGGAGTTTACAGATGGTTGGTGTGAATATCTCATCTTTGAACCTCTTCGTTTCATTGTTTTAATTCAGTTACACACTTTAAATTTTTAAGCGTTGGTTTACAGATGGATAGTGTGAACATCTCAATTCAAGAAGTGATTAAATCAATGATAAAGACTCGCTTAGCTTCCATCAAAACATAGCGTTTCTTGGAATATTTTTATACTTGCTTCGCTCTCAGCTATAACTTTTATAAATAGATTCTAAGGTCATGATTGATATGACAAACCTTGCAAATTTTCAGGTGATATTTCGAATCTTTCTTGTTTTGAAACAGAGAGTTGAATGTCATTATTAAACAAAAAAGCTTAGTCAATTTTACTTAGGACCTCCTGACCTGCTAAGGTGGGCCCAACCCTTCTATCACCACCTACTAACAGGGCTAAAAATTAACTCCAGTGCTTGGTGGCCAGTCGAGCCAGTTTCCTTGAATTCTTAGTGGCCCATCCCAAAATGAAGTAGCCCTCGATTTCCTTTAGTCTAAAATGAAAAACTTGAATAAACGCCCCGTGACTTTTAACGGAGCGTTAACTAAAAGGAAAGAACAAGCTCGTGAAATCACTGTTAAAACGGCTCGGAATTTCCACTTCAGAACTAAAAAATTCGCTAAAATGAATGATTTTAGAGTCCAGGCAAAGAAACGAATAGAAAGGTAATACAATTAAACTACATATTGAGTTTTATTTTAACTTTGTACTTCGCATAATTTACATTGCAACTTTTCGAAATTCTGTAGCATAGTCGCACATCGGGCGTTCAAGCCTTAACTTTTGGTGGTCCTGGTCAGTTTTAACTCGCCGCTGGCGATCGTGCGACCGCCAATTTTTAGCCTTGTATTAAGCGCCACCCATGGAGTAAAAATCCAACAGAAATATGTACAGACCTTCCACGCCGCCTCTGCGATGTATATGGTGCAGTAGACGTAATTGATTATGGTCAAGACGCCCATATATGGAGCATCATCGTCCGAGAAAAGCTCCAAAATGATTGGTACCATGTTGATAACGATCAAAGTATTCACAATTACTTCAAACATAACATGTGCTGCCACGACGTACATAAAGGCTCGGATTTTGTCATTTGGTGGCGGAATGCGTTCCTTTGGTCTGGTCTGCTTCATCTGTTCCAGTTTATCTTTCTATGAAACAATTAAAAATAAAAGAAAGAGCAATTTTTAGCTCGGTTGTACGTAACATGTGTAAATGATATATGCAGTTTGTCAAACTACGTTTCGCAAATCAGCCTACTTTATGGCCTGCCATTCATCCGCGGGTTTTCCTCACCAGAGACTCCAATGTCTTCGACGTACGTAATACTGTGGAACTAACTCGAAGGGGAAAACATTTGGCAATAGATCATGAGGCGCAGACCGAACGCACTTTGCAGTCATTTTGCACTTTGCCTATCGATCTAAATCAATCAATAGGCATGTAATCGTAGGTTTCTTTTTCTTCCTTTCTTCTAGCATTTTTTCGTGAGAGGGCGCACGCTGGGCTGTGCGGATTTTTCCAGCCCAGCTCACGCCATTGCGCTCAGCCCCAATACGTATTTTCATAAAAGTGCATCGGGGCCTTACGGGTCATGTATTAAATAATCTAGAGATACATTTTTTTAAAGGATCTTCTGCTTTTGCACATTTTGCTTTGTAAGTGTTTCAAGTTGATTCGAAAAAAGATATTAAAGTTACATACAATTTTCTGAAGAAAGGGAGGCACGTTCCAAAACGGCTGCAAATCATCTATTTGAATAAACCTGGAAGCGAAAGAAACAAGTTGTGAGCGAAATGGAAGGTTGATCAAAGACCTGATACAAAGGAAAAGTGTAGAATAACAAAGACCGAAAAAAACCTTCCCCAGCTTGTCAATGCTCAGACTGGTCTTCCTTTTCTCAGTTCACTGGATAGGTTATCGGAAAAATTAACAAAAACTTCGAGCCACAATGAAACTACGATTAATTATTTTGACGCTGCAGTTACAGATGTGAGTCTGCAGTCTACAAGCTAAGTTCTTTTTCTTGCCTTATCAATCAATGATAGATATTTCAAGGCCATAGATGTTTTCAAATAAATTAAACCGCCTAATTTTCACCTCCCTTCCTCGTCCATTGCAGTATCAGCAAGGTTGATCAATGCCTGAACAGCTTCGCGAGAAAGCATTCCATGTTCAAACTGCTTCCAGTAACTGACTTTCAATGCTTTGATCAAGCGCACTCTACCGTCATTCGCCATCTCTGCAAATTCTTTTGCTGAGGGTTCATTGGGAACGCTGCTCTCGCAGTTCGGACAGGTGCTGAGGCGAACTAAGAGTGGCGTTTCTTCAGCATGCTACCACAAGACAGTAAAGGAATTTTAACATAAGCCTGTACACGTTATCTTAGCAGATCTACTTTAGCGTTATTTCATATTCATAGGCACTCGGCTGTCCTGGTTGACGCAATATACTTCACGTCATGATTAAGATTAGTGAAACTCTTACCTCGTCATCTACCTCCATGTAAGGGTTATGCACATCACAGTCCCTTTCCGCAATGTCCCAGTCAGCATCCGCAAGGAATCGGTCAGCTTTCAACATGTTAAGAGTACGCTGGTTGCTCTCCTGAATTTGTCTCACAGCGTTGGCCATGGCGATTTTCTTAGCGTCTGAAATCTCACTCATTCCGAGTTTTTCTAATAACTTTTTCATAGTAGTGGCGTTAACCAAAAGAGTGAACATCACAATGCCAGCAGTGTGCGCCAAGACCTAGATTGGATGAGAGTTAGGCAATCATTTTATATCCACCTTCATCAGTATTAAAATATTGATGTCACGTCAAACCATTCCACGAATTTGTAATGATTCAAGTCGCTGCAGAAATCTTACAACCACGGGAAGAAATCTCAGCTGTCTTTTATTTGTAAAAGAATGGCCTTATTAACCACGTAAGCCAGATTGACTAACCATACAGGGAACACAAGTAAATACAGCCTGAGACCCGTGGCGAGCTAGTGATGAGATTTCTGGTGAGATGATGTTTCTCTGTTAATACTAACGCGAAAAGAAGACTAAAAAATTCAAAGCGTCAACAAAACTTGGACGTTTCACCTTGCAATGCCGGTGCAACGGAAAAACACTCCAATCGAGCTATGAAGCCCCTGAATATGGGTGCTGGAGAATCGTATGATCTTCAAAAGTTTAAGGGTGCGGAATGTTGTGCCGTCTAAAACGTCATACTACTAGCAAGCAACCGAGTTGGCTAAAGTCAACCCTGATACGCGGGAAACTTTACCTTTCCGCCAATAGGAGGGTGGTCAATGTAAACTTGCAATGCTAAGGCCAGACCGACTGCTCCTCTTAATCCACCCCAAGCTGCTACCACAGCATTCTGCCATGAGAGGCCGTATCCAATTCGCATCAGAATGGGGCTGAATGTCATCATTACTAATCCTCTGAAAAGACGGAAAAGAAAAGACCGGTTGAACGGGTTGTTGGAGGAGTGATTGAGGCTTTGAATGGTGACAATGAAAATGAAACAATTTAAGACGAATACGTTTGTACTAACCTTATCACTGTAATTCCGAAGTAATCAACCACAAGAAGAAACAAATCGTATTCGTTTAAACTGTTTAGAGCCTTTTCCATGATAACAACACCCACCATGATGAAAATGAGCGTGTTGGCAAGGTACGCGAGCATCTCCCAGAACCTAAAAATGAATTAATAAAATGTTCAATTTTCCGTTGGCTGACATTTTACAATCCCTTATACAGGATACAAAAACCACTTAAAAAGTGTTGTTTACTTCTTCTTTTTTACTTTCAATCATTCATGCTTTTCACTTACTGCCAGTTTTTCGTCTAACTTAAATTTTAAGACGTATTGATAATGGAAGAACGTGATTACTTAAAACAAACCTTTTCAGCGCATCTTTTGCGTGATCTAATATATAGTATAGTTTCAAGTTTTGTATTTATCTGTAAGCATTCTTCAAGGAACAGGGTAAGAGTATACCTGTGTAAAAAAACCTCGACTTCTGGACTGATGCTTGTTCTCAGCGCGTTGATCTGTATTCCTAGCATGACTACAGCAATGACACCAGACACTCCAAGCACCTCTTCCCCGATGTAAAATGTCAAGTATGTACTAGCTAAGGTGATGGTAATCTCAACCAAGGCATCATTGAACACATGCTGCAGCCAGAAGACGGTAACTCTTCCTGCCACTAGACCGAAGAAGAAGCCTCCCAATGCGACACGAGGAAAGTACAGTCCAATTTCCGTGGCTGCATAAGAAAAGAAGCTTCCAGATTGGAGATGATAGAAGTTTACAAAAATAGCAATGGCATGGATAATTTCCTAACTTCTTTATTACCACGCACCTCGATTTAGTGAGGTAGCATATTCATTCAGTTCTAGGCCGACTTCAAATGAAGATAAAAAAATTTTTTTCCTGATCTGCACATGAGAACATTTCGACCTTACCCGGGCGAGGTTACAAGGTAGGTAAAGAAACGGGACGGCACAAGTCTGAAGGAAGGAAGGAGCCCTATGCTTTCTGTTGAAGTTTTGAGAAGAGTATATGTAATGAACCTGTAAGTACTGGCTTGTGTGATTCTGTTTTTTAGATCAACCAACATGGATGCATGTAAGCTACTTATAATAACAAAGGCAGTTTTGTTGAGTTCGCCATCACCAGATTCTGCGTTTTTCATCGCAAATTACACCTGCAGTATGAGTGCCCCTAATAAATCATCACATTTCTCCAGCCAGTTACTTACTGATTTATTTTTATTTTTATTGTCATTTTCATTATCAAAATTACAACTATCGTTACTATTATTCCGTCATTTTTGTGAGCAATGCAGGTATCGTAGTCGTGTAAGTTGTGTTAGTAATGTTATTACTGTAATTTGTAAGTATTGCGTAAACACTGAAAAAATAATTAAAACGAACTTTTTTGATTTCTTACCAGTCATCGAGGAAAATGCCAGGCTAAAAAAGATCTTGTACAACACGATTGCCATTCCATCGTTTAACAGTGATTCACCCTCTATGATAGTAGACAACTGCTTGCTTGTTCCTGAGGTGCATAGGGTTAAACATTTTAATTATTCAAATATTTTAATGCAGTGATTCATGAGGATTATTTCGAAACAGAAGGAGATTATCGCCAATAAGCACTACATAAATAGTTATGATCACAATTAGTTACAATATTACCCTTTGACTATACAGTTTTGAAGCATTCACTCAAAGTTAAGTTGTGTTACACAGCTCTAAAGTTTAATGACTGTCACATCATGTAACCCTTAACACTCTTCACACTCTCGCCACTAGAGTTCTTTTTGATATGTGCGCTATATAAATACTGATTATTAGTATTCATATTTTACAAACTGATCTTGCCATATCTTCTGTGGTAATGACAAGGAGATTTCTTTAAGAAAAATGTCCAATTTTTTCATGACCTTTAGACATTTGATTCAACGGTGATATTGTAAAAGGAGAAATTTTAAGCCAGTCGCTTTTAGAGTTAAAAAATTAAAGGTGGTGATTGTTTATCATTAGAAATGTACTATGATAATTTTTACCACTTTGACATTACTGAGACGACATTACTTTCTTTGATACAATGCTAAACAATTTGATGTAAACTGACTTTTGCATCGCTTACCCAAGTCATTCAGCAGGGCAACTACAGCCACAGGATCTGTGGCGCTTACTATTGATCCGAATAGCATGGCCTCAAGCCAAGTCCAGTGATAATCAACGAACACCATCTTGGCCATAATACCTGACAAAGCTGTGGCAACAGCTAAACCAAACACTGCAAGCAACACAACTTGCCAGAACATCTTGTAGAAAATATGGACATCCATAGCAAAAGCTGACTCAAATAGTAGAACTGGTAGGAAGGTGGTTAGTATAAGATGAGGATTCTGACTTGACATAGACGTGTACCTTAATTAGAAGAAAAAATGCTTTCAGTTCTTTGATCTTTCCAAAACGTTCCTGTGACACTGATGCTTGTTACCAAATATGTTTGTACGAGATTCTTGTTTTCTTGTTTTTTTTTCGCATTGAAGTTAATAGCAAATGATTATGGAGATGGCCATGAGAAATTGACTCAAATTCCTTAAGAAATGTTTGTCTACAAATGTCTGTCTTTTTCTTGTTCAACCTTGTTATTAATTTAGCGTGCTATTTTTTTGTCTCGTAACGTAGAAGTAAGCGGTTACTTTTCAAAACTCCTTTCCATTTGAACTGCGGTTGAAGAAACGAACATGGGAGCAATCCTCCCAGTTTTGAACACCACTTAAGTAGTAGTGAAAGTAGGGCCTGGAAAAAACTTCGGCTCGTACGGGATTTGAACCCATGACCTCTACGATACCGGTGCAGGGCTCTCCCAACTGTGCTGACAAGCCAACTTAACTAAGAGCTGGTCATTGTTGATTCAAATAAACCCTCGAAGTGGGGAATAAATGACTGTTAATATATGAAAATCATATATGTAAACAGTGGTTGAAGAAACGAAGATGGAAACGCTCCTTGCAGTTATAAACACTACTTATATAAGTAGTAGTGAAAATAAGGCCTGCGGAGGTGAGAGTAAATCTATTGAATACCAGTAACGTTCCTAATCATTTTCTCATCCTAACACGGATGGCATCAACTTGCTTTAACTATTGGTTTTGTTTATATTTATTGAGAGTCCTCCTTCCAAGTAAAAGAAAAATGTAAAGATTGCCTTACTTTTGTAGTGTTGGAACAGCACCTGATATTGCTCCAAAACAAAGTCCCAGAACAATCAAAACGACGGTGTATGGGATAGGCCATCCTTTCATTATTTGCCGAACAATAGCTGGCGAAGAAAACACGATTAACATATGCCTGTAAAGTGATTCTGAATCTGGTACGTACATTAGCAATGTCAAAAAACTAAGACAATTTGAAGCTTACCTCCGATAGTGCATGACATAAAAATAAACAGGATTGCATATGGGTTACTGTCATGAATCTCGTGTGATTCATGTGGAGTATGTGTATAATTAATTGAGCTGATCATTTTAGATTGCAAGCCGTACAACCCTTCTCGTTTCCGCGATTTAACTCATCAACGACAGGGTTACAGAAGAATTCGATGGCTTTCAGGCGGAGTTACGACCCTACGGCTCCTGCCATTCGTTATCATCGTTTTCCATACCATATTGAAACGGAATGTCGAAAAAAATCGTGGAAAACTCTTTCCTTGCACAAAACTTCAGTCATTTTATGAAGAAGCCATGAGAAAGTTGGCAGAGCACACGCAAGCGCGTCATTTTCGCGGGCTTTTTTGAATATCCGCTGACCGACTTTTCTGGAACTCTTTTACAGATAAAAGGTCTCGGGTCGACCCGTGTCCTTTCGGGTCGACAGAGGGGTAGTCATTTTGTTCCAAAATTAACTTTTAACCACTGATTTGGAGAAAATTTTTCTCATCAGCAGATTATTAGAGGAAAGGCCAAGGGTTTCAGCTGCAAACAAATTGACAGTGTACTCTTCCTACTTTAGAATGACTTAAGGTTACTTCCCACCTTCGCGGGTGTCCTTCGGAAAAAAATTCGTACGCACGCTAGCTTCACCAAAATCCCAGCTCCAGCTCCCAGCAAACTATATATCAGACAAAAAGTTTATTAACCGCAGTTTACGATAAAAGTATATTTTAAGCCAAATTTCTTTTAGGGAAGTGTCAGGAGCCGGTAAGGCGTGAAACGACCGAATGCCGCAGCACGAGCAAAATGGCCGCACAGTCTTATTCACAAGGCATGGATCAACAAAAGCGTGTCAAGCTTTTTTTTATTCTGATTAGTTGTCTAGATATCGGCATCTATAGTTGGAGTAGCTGTAAATGTGCAAGGCGCGTTGCGTAAATGGGCGCCACGGGACAGATATTTCTAATATCAAAATTTCCCGAAACACTTTCGTTTATCATTATTCCTCTAAAAGATTTGGCGAAGTTTCACGAAAATCGGTTAAATCCATACACCCTATAAATTCGCTCAAAGTGGCTGCATTCCTCCCAAGATCAAATGCGAGATTTTAGCTCATAAAGGTTCGCAAACAACCAGCGCCACGCCAGGAGATTATCTTGCCTTTTAAGACCGCAAACCAATAGGACAACGGGACCTCCTGGCATTAATGATAATGGATCAAGATTTCCCGGGAAATGTAACCATAGCTGTTTTATCTCGATCGCTCAAAGAGCGTTTTGGAGGGCAACACAATAATGAGCAAAGTTGCCAAAAGCAAAGGAAAAACCCGCGGCAAAAGATGGAAAGACCAGAAAATGTGCTGAGGAGCGAGACAACGAATCGAGATACAGCTTTCAAAATTACGATTCGAGGCAGGAGCTGGCAGGAGCCCATTACTTAACGAGCTGTGATCGTATTAATTTCAACGAGGGAGACTGGCGCGAGGTCATTCATTGGAACGCAAAAACAAAATGGCGGTTTAATCTGGCACTTTCTCCCACATTACATGTCAATTATTTTGTGCAAGAAGGCAGCCATTCTTTCACCTATTCAGGAACTATGGGTAAAGAGCAAGACCTTCTACAAGCTGCAAAAACTGGAAATGTCGCACACATCGAGAAGATTCTCGGTAATAAGACAAGGAAGTCTGGAATTCAAAGGTATTTGGGAGCTGTCTTGCAGATTGACAGGAAATGAAAGTTGATTGCTCTTTTGCTCTTGTTTATTGATTTTCACGCTTTTGCAGTTTGATGAGCAGGACCGTCAACCCTAATCATCAAGACGAACTTGGATACACTCCGCTTCATTATGCAGCATTAAATGGTCATAGGTAACGATAATATTTTTTTTACTTGGATCGGAAATGACACAAGGAAACCTGGACGTGTTATTACACGCACTGTGCGATTACGTGCATAACTCGGTTGCTGTCTTTCATTGATATTTTCAGTTAACTTTTAATTCTTTGTCAGCCGATCGCTCATTCCAAAAATCGCGAAAAATGAACTTTATTCACGAATGTGTGTTCGATCATTTCCACTTACCTGTATGTCCTCCTGCACCTTGACCCTCTAGCTATTAATGTTTTATCACTATCGTTAACCTGAAGGTTATCACGTTCCATGGATGCGGGCATAATTTACCACTACCGAGATTTAACACACTCTAGTGTCCTTAATGGTGTTTGGTTTATAGGCTACAGTATACTAGGCTACTGTATGTTGTTTTAGCCCACTACTAATATCAGTATCCAAATTCTCCACACTCTTCTCCATACATTTCCTTTCGTACTAACAAGAAGAATTTGTTTGACAATCAAAGATTTTTTATATTGGCAATCATTTCTTTGATTCTCATGATCAGCTTTCACTTTATTGAAAAGGTAAATGGTTGTTTCTTTTGGGGGTAAAAAGGTTAAAATGACCATAAATACTAGTAATTGCTTTTTCATCTTCACAAAAAAAAAGGTAGTGGAAGAGGTACATGTCTTTTAGGACCCCTTTTCTCTTAGTTGTATCAGTGGTTTCTTTCACACTTCCATTTTTTACACATTTTTCTTTACAAGTTGCCTCCTTCCTAGCATTGTTATTTCTTCAGAAGTTTTTTTCCCTTTTTCCAACCAGTATCTGTTGGTCGAAGATCACAATGCACACAGTACAGACTTTTCTATCAGTTGTATTCCCACATTTATCTATTTTTGTTTCGCTTCTTTCTCAGGTCATCAGCTGAGCTTCTTTTAAAATATGATGCTTCAACAAACATTCCAGATACTTCTGGTGAGTATCAGAGGAATGACATTGCATGTGAGCTGAAGTAACCAAACAACCAAACTTTACAATTTGTAATGAAACCAACTTCATCAGACCTTTGGATTGAAAATCAAGTGTTGCAATGATCCATAGTTGAGCTGTAATTTTAGTGCTTGGAGAAAAGAAGCCTCAAAATGAAATTCAGGCTTTGACAGGAATTTAACCAGTGCCTCCCAAATACTATAGCTGTAGTTGGACACCACCATCAGCTGAAGCTTTGAAGTTGCACCTTGGAAGCAAGGCAGATTTTGGAGTATTCTTGTCTTCCATGAAGGAATCTGATACACTTTGTGACAAGGATCATTGGTTTACTTGATTTTCAATCTGCAGGTCGAATGAAATTTGTTTCCTTCAGTTACTCCATTTTGACGTAACGCAAAAAATTTGATCTAAAAACAAAGAACTATTTTATGTCTATAGGAAACTACCCCCTTCATTTGGCAGCATGGAATGGACATGCTGATGTGGCTAAAGTGCTCATAAACACAGGACCATCAAGAGCTAATGTCAATGAACAGGTTTGTCACTGAGCAGTACTAGATGTTAGATGTACGTGGATTATTTCTTGACATTGTGGTTTATTCTTATCCTGATTATGAACAGAATGATACAGAGGACACAGCTTTACATTCTGCCTCTCAGTTTGGGCAAAGTCTTGTTGTAGCTGTTTTACTTGAGGTACAGTATGTTTATTATTTAATGTTTTAAAGCTGCAAAGATTGATGACAGATCAGGATTCGGTTGTTCAGAGGGTGGATAACACTATCCACTAGATAAATCTCTTTGTGGTGGATAGTGCAGTACCTAGTAGATAGAAATTTATCCTTTGGATAGCATTGTCATCCCTTTGAAAAACAGGCCCGAACACCATCCACTGGTTAAATTTCTATCCAGTGGATAACACACAGTATGTTAACGCTTATCTGTTGGATAGCAGTTTGCCCATTGAATAGCATTATCTGCCCTTTGAGCAACAAATACCGGTAGATTTTTCTTTGAATAGATATGATTAAAAAAAACATCAGCAGAAGGCTCTGATATTCATTTTATAAGACCTTGCATAATATGATTTTATTAGATTTCTACCACACAAGCTGTTGTCCCTAATGAGTTAGACTGGTGTTTTGCCAGTATTCTTTCCAGGTGAATTCAGTTAAATGTATGTGCTTGGTATTTTTCTTGATATCATATTTTTGTTACAGAATCATGCAGATCCTCGTATTCGAAACAGTCGTCAGGAATCACCACTTGATTTAGCAGCACAATATGGTCGAATGGAAGCTGTAAGTAAAAAACATTTCAGACACAAACTCATAGAAACTTGGCTCTGAGTCAGGTGGTTAATTGAGAGTGGACTGAATTGACATGTTCAGTTTTTTTGGCTTTAAAATGTTTGATTTATAGGGGTTAGCAATAATTAACACTTGAACCCCCAAGAGTGACTAGCATCAAATTTATCCTTACAAAATCACCCTTATAATCATACATGGGAATAAAGGAAATGATCAGCTCATAAAAAAAAAAAGCTCTTGATTGTTTTGGAAATTCTCCCTGTCAGCACTTCAGGAAATGTACTGGTCAAGAGAATAAAGGAAATGATCCCCAACTACAGAAGCTCTTGATTGTTAAACAAACTCTTCTACTCTGCACTTAAGGAAATGTTTGCAGAACAGTATGGAGAATATGCATATTGATGTTAGAGTGTAAAGGGTTATTTAAATAATAATCTAGAACTGGGTTAAAAAAGGTAATTTTCTGATTATAGGTCAAGCAGTTGTTGAACTATCATCCTGATCTCCTTGAAGATGGAAACATGGTTAGAACGCACACCCCTCTTCATCTTGCTGCAAGAAACGGCCATATAAATGTGGTGTCATATTTCCTTAGTTGTGGAATGGATGTCAATATATCGGTAATAATTTTTTTTAAAAAAAATTATATCAGTTTTAGTCTTCCATCCCTTGGATTGACTAGCATCTAATTTTTTCCCCACAATATCACCCCTAAATCACTAATTGAGAAAATGACATCCCTAGGAATGACTAACATCTAGTTTCTCCACACAACATCCCCCTGAATCACTCATTAAGGTCATGAGAGTAAAGGAAATGATCACTAACTAAAGAGACTCTTGATTATTAAAAAAGTTCTCTTTCTTAGCACCTTAGGAAATTTAAGTCCAATTACAACTGTACTGAATGATTAGTGAAAAAAAAGCAGCTAACGCACCAATTACATTTGAGGGAATTGTAATGGTTATGATTAATGACAATAAATAGCTCCCATTAAGTGACATTATAACTCTTGTAGGGTACATCTGGAACAGCCCTTCATGAAGCAGCACTGTATGGCAAAGTGGATGTGGTTAATCTTCTTCTGCAGTGTGGTAAGTTGATTAGTTCAGAGGCTGAAATGCTGGTGACTAAAAATTTTTACTAGTGAGTTCACCGGACAACTCTTGAGACTCTGGCTGTGCAATTAAGACTTTAGAGGCTTAATTTGGAACTCTTTACAGCTTCCCTTTCAGTCTTAACCCTTAAACTCCTGTGAGTGACCAAGACAGAATTTCTCCTTACTATTATCTATACAATATCAATCAGATGAGTGATGAGAATAAAGAAAACTATCAATTATGGGATTACTAATTGATTCAATACCAAATTCTTCAAACTAACATAATGAGAATTATTTGGCAGACAGTAAGGAGAATTTCTAACGAGATCTTGGGAGTTAAAGGGTTAACCCTTTACCTCCAATATAGTATTTTAGCAAATAGGTTGTGAGAACAGACAGGGTCATTTGCAGAGTATATCATAGCAATGAACTCTTCCTTCTCATTGACAAGGAAATGTTTATTGGTGAGAGTGGAGAATTGCTAAATGGATCTTGGGAGTCCAAGGGTTAATGTCATAATTCCAAACTGTTGTACAAAAATTTATCTTTGCTGATTAAGTGTTGACCATTGTTAGTACGATAATTCTGAGACTGAAACTGACTCAATGGTTTTATGAATATTTTTAAATACTAAGTAAAGATATTATAAGTGAGAACCTTGGGGTAAAGGCTGGTTTTCGTTTATCTGGAAAGTCCCAGACTATCGGCAATCTCACCATTTCTTGACTGTCCCAGATTTTGCTGATATATGTGTGTATTGGAAGATCGCCAGATGTTTGTCTTAGTTGATTATAGATGCCAGTTATCTTTGAGCTGGGGATGCAGGAACTGAGCAGTTAGAGAATTGGTGACGAATAAAGTTTTCATATAGTTATCTTCGATGATCAGCAAGGCAATCAGAGTTGTCTTGATTTTGAGTTTTATTAGTCAGAAAGCTCTGGAATGGTTTGGAAACAGTGAAATCCAGCCTTTTAAACAGTGTTAGAGAATTCCTTGTCCTGGCTGGGTATGAAAATAGTATAACCTTGTGCAAATGTAGAAGATAAGGTCTCATTGTTCCTTGCCATAGGAATTGATGTCACTGTTGTGGATGGCAACAACAAAACAGTGTTGGACCTTTTAGCATCACACCCTTCTGGAAGAACAAGGGAGATTAAAGAACTAATATATGGTGTGTTTTAAATAAAACTTATCCTTTAAAATAATTGTACCTTGATCTTCTTGTTAAACCTGTATGCAAGGTTTGATTGACACAATTGCATGCAGCTTTCTTGAGAAAGGTTTTCAGAAAAAAAGGATGTAAATGCATGAAAAAATCTTGAAAGGTTATCTGGGTATCTGGCAATCAATGAGTTTACATCTAAGTCAAATAAATAAATAAATTCATTAAATGCGCAATGCCTCATCATTCTCAGATTTCTCAAAAATCCTGATCATGAGGTTAAAGAGATGTGACCTGAAACTACCCACAATACCTTTTGGGTTTGTTGCGTGCACTTTTACAACCTTTTCAAAACAATTGTATACATGTATGGATGGGGTCTCTTGTTGATAGACAGTGCAATCAAGTTGGGCAATACTATGGTGAATGAATGCCTTTTGCATAGCTCCTTGTTCAAACAGACCTCTTAGAGATGGAAAGAAGAGGTTTGAGAATCTGTTATGGCACAGAAATTTAGCCAGGATACTGAAAAGAAAATGGCTACATTCATAGTCAGATTTTCAGCATGTGTCTGCAACGTCAAATTTCCAAAAGGAAGTTAGCCAGTGTCATAATCAATTGTGTTCTTCTTATTAATGGTAGTGATAACAACTAATATACATTTCCTTGAGCATAGCTGTGCTTGAAGAGTAACCAGCTATTTTAATTTGTAGCTTTGGGAGGGCTGGGGGTGAGTTCCCCTAATCACTTCTATAATGTTAACATGCTCTTATGCACTTTAGAATGATTTTCCATTTTCACTGTATAAAGTTTGTTAAGGTGATTCCTCAGAAAAAAATGTTATTGAACAATTTTTTTAAAATTCTCCTTAAATGTTCCTCACCAATGTCTGTTTCAAAAAAATACAATAAAAAAGATAGGTCAATGGCTTGTTTAGGAGACATGAAGGACAAAACTTACCCTATTAATGCCTGTACTAGCACTAATCACACACGACATTTTGCTGCAGCTGGAAGCAAGGGTTTTTTAAATAAACACTTTAAAAAAACTTGACAGGTAGAAAGTCTCAAGCTTATGGAACAATTTGGTATTTAAGTTTTGGGAAAATCATGCAAATTTTAATGAAATTCACTCAAAATGTTCCTCAAGTCATTCCTTTCAAGGTCATAATTTGCATCCTCGAGTAATGGGCCTTGTGCACACTTTTAGCTTTATTTTTTTCCCTTAAGGAATTTTTTCTAATTTCCCAAATTTAATGGGGATAAATTTTACACCAAAATTATGCAAAAAAAAAATATAGGTCACCAAGCACATTCAAGAGCTTAAGACCATTGCACCTCTTTACCTGTTCCATGTATTGAAAAATAGTACTGTGTTTTGGGAGTGCGCATGTGCTCATTGCTCTGATTACTTGATCCTTATGCGCAATACAGGATGCGCAGCGCAAAACTGAGGAATCACCTTAATACCTAGTGATGCTCCAATTCTTTCAATGCTACTAATTTTCTGCTTGAACTTGTTACTAACCAGCCTCCAGCCTCAAAGAGCCTGTTTCTTATTTAAGGCGGCAAAACACTGGTGAGTTCAAATAATTCTGTGAGTAATTGCAGACAAAAGTCAGATCATTGGTAGAGATAAATGAATAAAGGGGTAAGTTTCTGAGGAAACTGTGGTGCTACATCGGTGGGAGGGTATAACAGGGTAATTTAGTATTATCAACTAGGTTTATAATGTAAATTGGTCACAGGAAAGAGTTTCAAAGCTGACGTTCACTCTGATGAAGGGCTAATGCTTGAAATGTTAGCTTTTAAATTCTTTGCAGTGGCCAATTTATGGTATCAACTCAGTTGTAATGTTAAATTACATTGGTTGAGATGATTTGTTCAACTAATATGTTTCCAGCTGTTGCATGCATGTTTGTGTATGTTTTTACACTTTACGCCATAGCATCAGTGTGTATGTTCTCCATACATTTCCTAAGGTTTGCACAAGAAGAGTTTGTTTGACAGTTAAGAGATTGTTTGGTTGGTGATCATTTCCTTTATTATTGTGACCTTAATGTGTGACTCCTAAGGGTCAGAGGGATAATATTAACATTTTGACACACTAATTTTACACAATATGTGGTGAATCTTCTGTCAAGAAGGAATTGTGTAGCTTCCCTATCCCAGTAAATATGAATTTATCTCAGTAGTCTGAGGTGATTATGAGAATGCTTAATCTCTGTAATTATTGTTCTCTACACCTTGCCTATGGCACCAACAATGAAAATTTGTTCAACTTTCAAGAATTTGTTCAGTTAGTTATCATTTCCCTCATTTTCATGACCCTAATGTTTGAGTTAGAAGTGCAATTGTGAGGAGAATTCAGATGCTAGTCACTTGAAGTACATCCCAGGTTTTCTGCAGGAATTTAGGTTTTCGCAAAAGTTAGCCAGTACTCCTGGGTGGAGAAGGGCATGTGTGATAACTAAATTACCCGTTGATGTGTCTTAAAAGATGTCTGTGATTTTCATTTGCATCATGTACACTGTGGGTCCTTGTTATTAATAATTATTTTCTCTGCTGTCATCACAGAGTTCAAACCAAGTACAAGAAACTCAGCAAGGACATCAGACACATTTCCTGTGAGTTCAAATCAATTTAACATGTATGACAATAGGCCATTTTACAGTTGTTTACTTAGTTGCCAAGCCTTTGATCTGGAGTGAGGCTGAAGGTAGCTTGTTATGATAAAGATCAGTATCTTGTTAGCATGATAACAAAGTAATTTACATTTGAAAAGCAGAATGTTTGTATCACAACAAGGTCAACCTTAGCCTCACTCTTGTTCAAAGGCTTGGCAACCTAGCACTCAACTGTAAAATGGACTATTTGCCTTCCCAATATAAACTTGGCCATCAAAGGCACATTGATGTGCTAGATAAGTAAATGTAAAAGCTTTTAATTACAAACTCATTATCATCCACAGGCTTCTATTCTTAAAAATGATTTGGTCGACATTTTAGATTTTGTTTGTTTGGTGGATGAGTAAGAAAAGGAAAGAGAGCACCTGATTTTTTTATGCAATTGCCAAGTTATACTCAAATCAGAGTCAGCTGTCACTGTCTGCAATGAGTGGCAAAAGATGTGGCATGCTCCACTACTTTTTGAATTTTCTCTATAACTTTTTATTTATCTCCGTAAAAATATTGGTCACTAATTTGTTTGGGGGAAAGGGCAGACTTTCAAGTGACTCATTAGGGATGAATTACAAGACTTCTGTTTATTAATTTGAGTGGAGGGTTTGTCAACCACCTTCTAAGGAAAGACGAGCCAACTACTCATGCCACTCATTTTAGTTAGAGTATGACCAGTCACTCAGGGCGGGAGTACAGATTAACTTAGCCATTGAAACCAGGCTCCCTTAGTTCTCAAAGCCTTGAACATTTGGGTTGCCATGGTGAGCAAAGAAGGGTTTTGGTGACTAGATATGCAGCATTGCCAGTTTACAACCTACACTGTATGCAAGTGGTGTAGAAGTACGCTGTTTTTTTTTTCGTTGTTGTTTTTTTCAATACTCAGAATCAGTTTTCTAAAGTTAACCTGAAATGAAATTTGATACGAGTTATTGTTGATACTCTGTAATTTTTTTTATCTTAGGAAAATTGTCTTTTTCTCTTTGGTTGTCCAATTTTCAGGCCTTTAGATATCCTGTAAATATCTTCCAGCCAGTCATTTTTATCTTTTTTTTGTGGCAACTAGACTCCCCCAAAAAAATATTATAAGAGGTAAACCTCCACAGTCAATTAAAAACTGCATTTAAAAATGTGATTAGTTGTAATCTTCAATTTTTAATGTATAACGTTAGGGGTTCCCCGAGCGTCCTAAGTCAATGGCTGTTTCCAGGAGTTCAACCTATAAACCTGTTCCACGTCAGACAGGTGTGTTGTAAAATTGATTGATAAATTTCTATCTTGTTTCTGACGTACTCTTATGAAATTGAACCATTTTTGGGATATTTGGTGTTAGATTTCTATAACTTCTGCATGATGAGTTTGAGGATTCCCATTACCTGATTATTGATCACTCTTGGGAGCTAGGAGGTTGATAACGTACTTGAAAAAATTGCGTGCCTCTGATTGGCTTAAAACGGGCGCATTCTTGTGTAATAAGAGTGCAAAGTTGTAACACGAGTGCAAATTATAAATGGCACGCGCACGCTCTGAAAATTTACGTCTGTCTTGCCTTCCTTTGATGTTTATTCATGTATATTAGTGACAAGTAATTTTAACAAAATTTCGCTGGCAATTTGGTGTAAAAAAACTTGATTATTAACAACAAATTGCACTCGAAATCTTGTTGCTACTTTACTAATGCACTTTGCCCCCTGATCATTGTTTGTCAACCTGTGGACGGTTTTATCGAGGATTGCAGCTGATCTAGGTTTTGTCATTTACAGGTTTGGATCCAAATGCCCTTCGAAGATCAGGGACTTACGATGCTGTGCCTACCCCACGAACGAGACGGGAGTCATTTGTAAGTGCCTTTGAATTGTTACAGGCTATTAATTGTGATAAAGTTTCTATGATTGCTAGCTTTAAAAAAAAATTAATTCAATTCATCATGGTTCCGGGGAAACTTGCTTTTGGAAAGCCTGTGTCCTAAGAGTTGTAGCTTTTGAGAATGAGGCTGAGAGGTTCAGTAATCATTGGAGAATGTATGCCATTGAAACCATCTCTATTTTGTCATCCTATCATTGTTTTTGTATGACTGTATTCTAGGCCCGTCATTTGGGAGTTCTAGATCCACGTTTGTTTTTGAAGCTGTGTGACCGCAAACGTCAATGAGTCACGTGACCCCAGCGGTCACGTTCGCCGTTTGCCGTCTACGTTTGAACTCCGTGTTTGAAATGAAGGAACCCCATCCTTTGTGTAATTCCAGGTGGCAGCGCAAATGTTGATTTTTTTCAGGTGAAAGCCAACGTCGATCTAAAAAGCTGAAAGTCTCGAAACTTCTAACCTCTAACCACAAACTGCTGACCGCGGTTTTATGTTTGCGGTGAACACACCAAACGTGGATCTAAAACTCTATTGCCTGCTTTGATCCCGCGCAAGAACAAAAAAATTGCATCGAGCGGACTTAAAAAGTTCAAGATTTTTGGAGAATGTCGTCGGCATCGAGTGCTAAAAAGTGGCGGAGAACTTTCCTAACAAAAGAGACATGAAAGACGTTCTGAGTTTAACGTGCTACAAAAACTAGAAAAAAAAAATTATTAAAACACAAAATGATATGAATTTTCCAGTGCGCAAAAAAAAACCACTCTTGATTGTAATGAAAGAGACATATTTTGCTATACACTGAATCCTTTATTGACTAAGCTTCTTGCGTGGTCAATTAATTGATGCTGGCTGACTTTTGGCAAAACCTAGATTTTTGCAGAAAACCTGAGATGCACTTAAAAGTGACTCGTTCTTGTTTTTGCGTTTTGTGGGCCATGACTTCGTCTCAGTCCATAGAAATGCCAAAAAGAACTCGGAACTTATCCAGCTATCTTGACCGCACGCTTGGTCCATAATACTTACAGCACGGTTTGTATAGTTGAAAGAAGATAATTTTTTGTTTCCAGGAGCAGCCGACTTATGATCAGGTACCACCAGCTAAAGGTAATTTTCAACACACACTGTAGGTTTACATATTTACAACGCGACAACTTTAACCCAGGGCATCCAAGGTTATTAGCTAATAACAGTTTGATTAAAGAACAAAAAGATCAGAGGTGACACACTCAGCTGCCCTCGTGAGCCACTTTTTTGTTTATACCACATTTCGAGTTTATTTAAGAAATAGGTGGTGAGTAGCGAAGTCAATTAGATTGCAGCATTTTTGATAGAGTGTACGTAGATTTATATAATTCATGCGGAGGCTGATTCTTTGAGTTGTGAAGAAAAATGTATCTTAGCTAATTCAGAGGTTTTTACGTCGACCTTTTTTCATTTTCAGCTGCGTCTGCAAGACACACTACTGACTGGACTCAATATGAAGAAGTAGGGTCCAGACCTCCAATCAATAACAATTTGACGTCTGCTGGTGAAGGGTACACCCTATTGGGTTTCCCTGAGGAACCTGCCACAGACGCACCACCCGCGTTAAGTTCCCAGGAGATCACTGTTGGTTACACTCTTGTGGGACTTCCAGGCAACCCTAGTGCAGTCACTAATGGTAAATGCCCACTGCGACCAGGCAGTACCTATGCCAAAGTGCGGAAAGAAGGTGAGCCCATTGTCTCGCCTTGGACAGGGCCTCCTTCTCAAATACCGGCGGGTGAGTATTCCTGTCTGGCATTTCCTGGTCGGCTGGGGAAAGTGAAACTCTTTCCATGTCAGTTACAATAGTGTAGACATTAAGGTTCTTTCACTGGTACTGTGGCATACGTTTATTAAAATTCTGACGCACAGTGACAGGAGCCGGAAAATGGAGATGTCAGTTTATGTAACTTAATACTCGTTTACTCCAGACACAGTACCCACGAAACGGTACCTTGAACAATTGTGCATGTACGCAACAGAAATTTCAGGGATTTAAACTTTCATGAGAAGACAGTTGAAGACAGTTCGCCCCCCACCTCCCCTACCCATACATTTTGTAACAGACTGTTTGTCGCTACCTATTTCAACTCGGACATATCGCTTAGGCGCGTGACAACGGTAGATAGAGCGCATGTGGATAGAGTGTTGTAAAACCAAATAATTACTACAGCCAATCAGGAGAAAAGAAAATGTCACAATCAGCCAATCAGTGAATGAAAGCAAACTGCCTGAAGCGCGGGAAAACGCAAGTGACCGAGTCGCGACTGGTTTTAGTTTTGAATGTGATTGGTTTAGAGGATGGCACGAGATTTCTAGACCAATCAAATTGCGCCGTAAAGTGAAACCCAGGGGGAAGCCTGGATTACTTTCGACACCCAATCGAAAAATGCTGTATAGAGCCACAGACTTGTTAGCAGAAGTTACCTTTTCATGAGCTTTCTAAGGGGCCATGTTTGAGTGATCTCCCATTTTTTTTGAAGGCATAGCTAGCATAGACAATCCTGACTATTGTTTGGTTGGTGAGACCACCCGTCCACATTCACAGTCGCAGAACCAAAGTGGAGGCACTTATGACCTTGTTAATCTGCCATCAGGACCGAAACCTGATGTAAACCAACATGATAGTGTCTATGAAGTCCCCCCTGCAACATTAAGGGGAAAAGGCAATGGTCAGGAGGAGAATGGCCCTCCCGTTCAAGTCCCCTCTAGAGTTCCAAGGGGTCAGTCGTTTGATATGTACGAAAACACCAGTATTGGAAATCAGCCGGTCAATCATCCAAGACAGGAAGCGACTAATTACGACTTTGTGTCCCTCCCACCACGAAAAGCTACAATGGAACAGCCCTCTTACGACATAGTTCCTCCACTGAGTCGATCATCTGAGAATCAGCGAGGTAGCCCGGAGGTGAGCTCCTCTGCTGCAGGTGGCACGACTCTAACAAACCGATCCTGCCCCTTGGATGCACCAGGGTACGAGATTGTACAACCACGAAACCTAAGCTCTTTCGCTGGCGACTCAGCGCCTGAAATGAAACCCTTTGCTTCTCTGCCAGGGTATGAACCCATGCTCCCACCCGAAGATGAGGGGTACGAAAAGCTGGGCCCTCCAATTGACATCCAACAGCAGCTAAGCAGCCGTGGAGATTATGAAACCCTTGCCATGGTAGGTCCTCAAAAAACAGGGTCTCAGACAGAACCAGCGCGAGTGACCCAGCAACGGACCAGCGCAGTGAACATTCCTGGCTCGACATCTCTGTATGAGGTGCCCCCGTCTATGGTGTCTCCCGTGTATGAAATTGCACCATCTCCACGAAACGTACCTCCGGTAAGCTATCTACTTTATTTAACCCATTAACTCCCACAAGTGATTAACATGTAACTTCTCCCTATAATATTCTTACATTATCCAGCAAGCAGGCATGGGAATACTCACACTTGTCATCTTAATCTAACATCAAATTCTCGTAGCGGATTTACAAGGAAATGAATAGTAGCCAGAAAGGAGAATTAACAATCAGATCATCAGATAACTTTTCCCTTAAGCGGCTGCCTATGGTGTAATAGACGGCAGTGCCCGGAAAGGGGCCATAAGGACAAACCCCAACACACGGGAGCTTGCTGCTTGAAGGTAGCAGTGGACCGCTAGTAACCGGCTTTTGGTGAAACTCCTGGTTAACTTGTGTACAAGTGGCTCCAAAGGTGTTTCAAGTGTTTTTTTTTTCTTTTAGAGGAAATTTTTGTTTTGCCGTATTTGATTTTTTGTTTGGAAAGTAGTAAGGTTTCCTACATGTAGAAATGATTTATGGTACGTGAAATGTGAAGCGGGAAGAATTCGTTGGAAAGTATGTGGAGCGAAACGAAGTGTAACGAGTGAAGTGTTATGTGTGTTACGTGAAGAACGAAGTGTAGTTTGTGGCATGTAGTGCGAAGAGTTTAGAAGTGTTAAGTGCGAAGCCTGGTGCGTTATAAAGTGAATCCATTCCCGTCCTTCAGCTCATAACTCTCAGCAGACTTCTTACGTTCCGCTTCGCTCACAGCTTCCTGGCCACGTCTCTCTTGAGAGAAAGTACTTTGCTCATTTAATTAACGTTTCTACGTTCTCATAGCTTCCCCCTCGACCAGCACAGCCAACCCCTCCGACCCAACCCCCAGTTAACTTTGGAGTTCAGTGGATCGAGAAGGAACCGGAACAAGCTCAGCCTAAGCTCCCCCCACGGAGAATGAATGAATATTGCGACTGGCACTCGCTCAAGAAACAAGATCCCACGTCACCTGAGAGGCCCCCTAAGTCTGGGGCCTACGAAATAGTGCGCCTTGAGGGCTCATCAGAGGTAGGAACGGTAGACTTGGACAAAATGCGGTGGAGAGAAAGTCGTGGTTCTGGGGGAGAATATTGTACACTGTCACCTTCGGCCGTAGGACCTGGCGAAACTCTAAACAGAGACAGCATTGCTTCCAGCGAGATGTCGAATATGTCAGAACCTACAATGACACCGCCATTTTCTCCTCCGTCGCCAAACACTGCTGAAGCCTCAGTATTTGATGTTTTCGGATCGTTACAATCCTCAGATATGACGACAATTTCGGAGGCTCCCGAAGTTGTACAAGATCAACCACGACCCCCCCGACCCATTCCACGCAAAAGGACCAAACCGAAACTTCTTCCCCGCAACGACAGTTTGCACGATGAAGATTACCCATCTCCACAGGGGGAACCTACGAGAGCTGAAAGCAGTACTGTTTCTTTTGAGAGGAGTCAAGACCCGTTTAGTTTTCCTCCTGCAATGGCTTCCGCGCAAAAGATGGACAGCCCGAAAAACAGTGATTTTGCCGAGCTACATAAGCGCTTTTCGCCGCATTCTTCGCGCGAAAATATATTTTCTGATGTGAACGCTGCACTCGGTGGAGAGCGGCAAGAGCCCGACGGAGCCGAAACTCAAACTGATGCGAGGCCTTCGCCGTTGGTTTATGAAAATGTGTTGTTTAGACGAAGCGATGAAGTAAAAAAGAACTTGCCGGGTGATACCCGCGAGAATGGAACTGTTGCGAAGAAAGATGATTCTGTTGAGAGGCCTGATTCATATAGGTTAAGCACATTGTCAGCGGATAGCCCCATGGACGAGAAAGAGGAATGGGAAAAGGTAACGTTTTCAATTTCAAACGAGATTTTGTTCCTGTTATGGATTTTTTCCTCGCTAATTTATCCTTTTGAACTCAGACCTTTGGTATTGACAGGATTTTTGTTAAATCTATTATGAAAGCAGTTCTCAATTGATTGACGAAACACCGAAGCTAAGTTAATGACGGCAACCTGTAAGAACAAGGGTCGATGTCATCATTAGCCAATGAGAAATCAAGGTAACGACAGGTGAATTTCTTGAACTGAGCGCGGGAAAACGTGAGCGACCAAGTCTCACCATTGGCTTTAGTTTTGAATCTCATTGGTTTAGAGGATGACGCGAGTTCAGGGCTAAAAATTAACTCCAGTGCTTGGTGGCCAGTCGGGCCAGTTTCCTTAAATTCTTCGTGGCCCATCCCAAAATGAAGTAGCCCTCGATTTCCTTTAGTCTAAAATGAAAAACTTGAATAAACGCCCCATGGCTTTTAACGGAGTGTTAACTAAAAGGAAAGAACAAGCTCGTGAAATCACTGTTAAAACGGCTCGGAATTTCCACTTCAGAACTAAAAACTTCGCTAAAATGGATGATCTTAGAGTCCAGGCAAAGAAACGAAGAGAAAGGTAGTCCAATTAAACTAAATATTGAGTTTTATTTTAACTTTGTACTTCGCATAATTTACGTTGCAACTTTTCGACATTCTGTAGCATAGTCGCACATCGGGCATTCAAACCTTAACTTTTGGTGGCCCTGGTCAGTTTTAACTCGCCACTGGCGACCGTGCGACCGCCAATTTTTAGCCTTGCGAGTTCTCTACACCAATCGGAGATCGCGAGGGAGAAAAACTAGCGCAATCTCGGATTATTTTCGACACTCCGTTGAAAATTGCTCTCATCTTTCAGATAATTTTACCCTGATCTTTAAGTTAGGGGGGTGCTATAAAATAGAGGAGGAGAGATTTCTTTAAGAACATGTTCTATAGTTATTGGTGATCGGTCATTAAGCAGATTAATGCTCTCTTTGCATTGGTTGGCAAATGGTAAACAAACCGTAATACCTCCGCGAAAAAACAGCAACAGCAACAACAAGTAATTTAGTAACGGGAAATTATGCATAGAACTGACATTTCTCCCTGCGCATGTTAAAAGATGGGATTCAGTATATAGACCCTGACGTATCTTTCGCATGTAATTACATTAGCAATTAATTTTCTTGTGTTTTTGCTTTAGATCGAAGCCTTCCTGTCTTCAATATCTCAGATTGATATGCCTCAAACTTTAGAGCTACAGATCGCTGATGCAGGTGTCTTTTTAACCGTTTTAGTTGCTCTTGTTATTTTTCCTTCTCTCGTCGTGTTTGCTTTAGAATTTAAAAAAACACCTGCCTTGAAGATAGGAGAATCTGCAATGACTTTCTGCATAGAAAAGGGCACGTAACAGACACTTGGTCTTAATTTTCCTAAAAGGGGAGCAATGGCAAATGCAAGGAAAATTAAATCGAATTTACTTGACACTCACATTTGAATGAAGTAAAACATGTTGACATGAAGATGGAAAGAAAGTCACTAAATGATCCCCGCAGGAATTAAAGACATTGTGAAAAAGAAGTCTGAACAAATGCACGCTTCGTTCCCGTAAACGAATCTGATCACAACTAAATGAATCATATGTTGACTTTCGGTTGAATTATAAGTAAAGCAATGATCCGAGCAGAGGAGAGCTGCTATAAAAGAAAACGGTAACCCCACTTAAATTTTACTTGCTCCCAGCTCAATTGGTAGTAGCGACTACCTAGTTTTTGAGATGCATGGGTTCGAATCATGTCGAAGCTTAGAAATTTCTGAGCTTTTTATCCGCAATTTTTTCAATTGCAACTCGCCTAAGAGAATTATTTCTTCATTTTGCGCTCTTGTATGTACATGTTAGGCAAGGCAGACACTGTAGCGGGCTGGCTGAAGGCACTGGATCTTGACCAGTACGAGTCGTGTCTGGTGGCCAATGGATTTGACAATATCATGTTCTTGGTACGTTCTACTTTTGCTGTTGTTCCTGTTGTTCATGTTAGTGCGCCTCTTTCTTGGTCAAAACATTTAGACCTAATGATAACGACATGTGGTACAATTGATCGTTCGGATGAGTGTAGTCCTGAGGAAGACTGTTGTCGATAGTGGCGACTGACATTTGGACAACCCGAGCGGAAATCATCATCAAAGGTTGTCGAAACATCAGTTACCACTACTGACAACAGTCCTTCTCAGGACTACGCTCACCCGGGCGATCAAACTACACTGTTACATGCTACCCCCGGGTTCAAACCGTTTACTGCATTGAGATATATTTTTTGTAACCAACGTGGCACTTTTACAGAATGGGGTTCTTGAAGATGATGATCTTATGGATATAGGAATTGTGGACTTTAACCACAGAAGGTACGAATGAAAAAAATTCATTTATTATTTTAATAAATTCAGTCCTAATTTCAGTTCGAGTAAGCGTTTTGAAGTGTTTGTAAATTTGTCTGTCCTACGCTACAAATGAGATATGGAAGGAGAGTGAGCGAGTCGGCGAATAGTTTAAGCGAGTTAACTGTGGAAGTGGAAGAATTTACTGGGAGACGTTGACTACTGCGCTATATAATTCGTTGGTTTCACTGTTATTCTTTTGTCTCGAACTGCCTCTTGTTTTCTTTTGATCTGATTGGTCGTTGTGGTCATTGTGGTATTGGTTGTGAGGCACTGAGTCGCGAAGCGCGGGAAAGCGTGAGTGATCAAGTGACGGTTGGTGTTAAGTTTGCATCCGATTGGTTGAGAGGATGGTGCATCTGATCGTTGTGAGGCACTGAGTCGCGAAGCGCGGGAAAGCGTGAGTAATCAAGTGACGGTTGGTGTTAAGTTGGCATCTGATTGGTTGAAAGGATGGTACAACTTTTTTAGACCAATCACTGAACGTAAGGAAACTAAAGTAATAACTACAGACATCCAATTGAATGTGAAACCAACCCTATTTTAATTTTTTAACAGAACCATCATGGAAGCGGTGAAGACCTTAAAAACCTGTCCCCGGCTCAACGACCCTGCGTCAGCAAAGCCTGAGAGTTTGGAGGACTGGTTAGAGCTTCTGAGTCTCTCTGAGTACTATGATGTGTTTCAACACAATGGTTTTACCTATATGGAGAGAATACACAGGCTATGGGAAGTGGAGCTAACGTCGGTGAGTGACGTTGACTCATATTAAGCGGACATTCTGTAGAATTTCTGACACTTAATCTCGCGCGATGACACGGGTATTCTTTCCAGAATTCTGTCGGTGGAAAAACTGTTTTGATTCACCTTAAAGCAGCGCACACGCAAGAACAATTATAAGTTATGACATCATTTTGAGTGCAATTTGGTGTTAATAAGTACGAGTAAATTATATGTGCCTGTTTAAACCAAAGTGCACAAGAAATAATTTTGTTACCTATGACTGAATTTGCGTGAAAAGGTGAAATTTTGAACGCGCGCGCGCGTTATTTATAATTTGCACACGTGTTACAACTTTGCATTCGTGTTACATCAAAAACGCACTCGTTTTTTCAGCCAATCAGACGCGCGTAATTTTCTAAGGAAGAAAATATCTGCTAACAGGACCAAAATAGATGTGAGAGATTATTCAGCGTTAATTGATTTCCGGTTGATTTTTTGCGATAAGTGACAGATGATTGAACAATAGGATCATATTATATATTTAAAATGAGAGAGACCAGAGCGTGGGACAGAGAACGGTGAGAGAGAGAGAGGGAGGTTAAGTTGATTTTATAAAATAAAACGTGAAGTTTCGGAACATAGCAGATTCTTTAGTCTCATTTCCGACATAGACATGAAACGGTTGAACGCAAACTTGGTGGTCAATGATAGTGAATGAAAAGTTGAAACTATCATCTACTATCATGACCGTTTGAACGGGGCTTAACGCGTTATTAAATTTCAGCTTAAGTGTAGATTTGTCATGAAGCCGGGAAGCTTAATGCAGTTCTCTTTTACGGGCTCCTAGGTTCTGGAAATAAACTCTCTCGGTCATCGGAAACGAATTATGGCTTCATTAAAAAAGGAAGCGAAGAAAAAAGAAAGAGAAAGAGAAGAACCATTAGAAGTAAGTCAAGACCACTTGAAGCCGAGTGGCGGCAAGACTGACGGACTGATTGACCTTCTAGGATGACTGAATAACTGACTGGCTGGCTGCTTGACTGTGGGAATAGCTCGCTGGTTGGCCAGCTTGAAGTCTGACCAACAGACTGACTAACTGACTGACTGACTGACCAGCTGATTGACAGACTGACTGGACTGACCTACCGACAGTCCGACCGACCGGCCGGCCGGCCGACCGACCGACCGACCGACCGACCGGCTGTCTAACCTAAAAACTGGCTGGCTCGGTCTTTATTTATTTATTTTTTAAATTGTCTATTCTTTTTTCATATATTTATATATCTATTTATTTATACATTAGTTCATTTATTTGATATTTACACGTTCTTTAATTGTTAAGAACACAAAGCTTGAAGACAGTAGTGCTGCTCTCGAAGTACAGTTAGCGGAGCTCAAAATGTACTGCCCAGATGAGAAACCGCCGACCATAACAACCGCCGGAGCAACAACCGAAGATGACCTGCTGGCGGCTGCCGAAGAGTTGATGATTGGTCCTGAAAAGGTATGACGTCATGTAAACTTCGATTTTAAACCGAGGACAATTCAATCCGGATTGTTGTTGTTTTGAGAGTCCGAATGCATTTTCTTTTGCAGGCGAATGAAAGGAAGTCAAAGGAAAATGGGTCTATGAAGTGGAAACACGAACCCTCAATGTTGATAAATGGAAGTGTAAATTATAGTACTCTGGTGAGTGGAAAACTAGTCAAAGAGAACTTGTAAGGGACTTTAAACACTGCATTGGTCAGGAATGTCACTTTCTGTGATGATCATATATTAGTATCCACTATGACAGTGTGTAACGTCTAAGGCGCGCTCTGATTGGTTACACAAACTCCAAATATCCTTTGATATTCACCTTCGAGAGAGGCGCGCTGGATTTGCGCCCGAGAATATTGTATTTGTTGCAGGAATAAATGACTTAAAATTATCTTTTTTGCTCTATTATCTCATCGTTTTGGTAATACTAAAACAATTCATTATCGCAGTGCCGGTGGGTAGCGTTAGATATTTAACTTGCCGCATCGCGGCTCGATAAATATCCACGACAAGCCACCTTTAAGTCGGTGAGTAGTTGTTAATTATAACCAGTCCTTGAAATTCCTTTGGTTTCACAGGAATAATTGTTGGTTTGATTTATGCTTTTCTTTTCAGTATCTCGGGTCGCATGCAGTTAAAACAATCACGGGGTTGCAGTCTACCGTTGAAGCCTCCCGTAAAATGAGAGTAAGACAAGTTGTATTACCTACTAGAGCGAAGTTTGAGTGAGAGTCTTTAAACCAAAACCAAAGTAATCACAATAGCAAATTAGAGTGGAGGAAATATGTTAAGAAGCCAATGAGAACTCAAAATATAGACAAGCAAACTGCTTGAAGCGCAGGAAAACATGAGTGACTAAGTCGCGATTGGTTTTAGGTTTCAATCTGATTGGTTGAGACAGTGGCGAGACAGTGGCGAGCGAGTTTTCTTGAAAAAGACGATTACCGAGCGTGAGAAGTCGCGATTGGTTTTAGGTTTGAATCTGATTGGTTGAGACAGTGGCGCGAGTTTTCTTGATCGATTACCGAGCGAGGTAAAGCAAGACCATGACAGATTTATTTCGACCCTCAATTTAAAACTGCTATAACTGTTTGTGAACTGAAGGTCTGAAAGAAAAATATACAGGGAAAGTTGATGGTTTTTAGCGAACCTTTGGGTAGGCTTCTTCTATATTTCATGCATCTTTTCATTTTTCTTGTTTGTCTTTTTTAGCTGTCTACAGCCAAGCTTCAGAAAATTCCCTCAGTGATGCTTTCAGTGTCCGTAAAAGGAATTAAGTTCATTGATGCAAGGTCAAAGGTAATGCTTTCTTCATTGCAATCAGTACTCACCAGGAAAAGCTAACGAGTTCCACGAAGTGGTAAAAGTGGCTGTTGTTTACGTAACGTTTGTAAATGGCAACAGTGAAAAGTATTGCTTTTTGATTTGGACTTTGTGGATGAAGATAAAAAGATAACTATTTTTTACCTTTAAATATGTTAGGCCAGTTTAGTTGACTCCCAGGGTAACCGCGACGATTTGAAATAATGATCATTTATCGACTGACTTTCGAAAGCTGAGTTTACCTTTCGACCCCTAAGAGTGATTAGCATGGAATTTCTCCCAACAATATCCCCGTGAAACAAACACAAAGGTCACGAGAATAAAGGAAATGATCACCAACTAAAGAAGCTCTTGATTGTAAAACAAATTCTCCTTGTCAGTACCCAAGGAAATGTATAGAGAACAGAATGAAGAATATTCATTCTGATGTTAGGGTGTAAAGGGTTAATGAACACTCATTCTCCTCTCGACAGATATCCACAATTGACTATCACTCAAATGACCTCCTATAACTGGCAGATTAAAGTGACCAATCAAACTGACTTTCGCGACTTAAATCTTTTAGCCAATACCATCACAGCAAAACCTTCCAATCAGTTTTGGCGAATTAGACTTTGACACCAGACAAAAAAAAACTCCTCACTCCTCTGATGATGACTTTCGCTCCTGTTGTCGAAATCCCACTTTTTGTTACCGATAAGAATCCTTTTCAAGACTTACCTTGCCTAGGAAATTATTAGCGCAATCAAATGCTGCTCCTGATTCAAACCAATTACGGTAGAAATGGCAAAGTGCTTTTCGATTCAGGTTGTAAAACCAAAACCAAAGCAACAGCCAATCAGATGAAAGGAAGTTATGTCAAGGAACCAATGAGAGCTCAAACTTAAAACACGCAATTTGATTGAAGCGCGGGAAAATGCGAGTGGCCAAAACGCGTCTAGTTTTATATTTGAATATGATTGGTCGAGGAAGTGGTGCAAGTTTTCTGGACCAATCATATGTCAAGAAGTAAAGCAAAAGCAGAGCAATGCTAGATTACTTTCGACACTCAACTAAAAATTTCTTTAATCATGATAACTATGATATTATGACGACGATGATGGAAGCGTTTCTAAATAATGACATTTTTGATGTTTTTGGACTTGAACCAGATTAGTTGGGTCTTTTATTTATATCAAGCCGAGTATTGCTATTAATCGGAGCACTTTTTTTTTCCGTAGATCATGGTCAGTAATCACGACATCAGAAACATATCGTACATCACACAAGATCCAGAAGACAGAACAGTGTTTGCTTATATCGCTAGAGACGCTAAGACAAACAGCCATTACTGTCACGTGTTCAGAATGGATAATATGGTGAGTTAGTTGCTAAAATTACCCATGCCTTCAAGCCGTCTATAAGTGTACACTTCTTAGTCTTTCCAAGCAACTTTTGTTTATTTGAATGGAAAATTGGGGTAATCTTTCCTTCTTGGAAATTCCACTTGTTTAGAAACTGACACATCTGTTAACGAACAAGTGGACTCCCTCAGGACGATATATTCTGGTGTAGATGAGTTCAAAAGCACATTTGCTAAGGAGTTTGTAAAGTGTACGATTAAAAAGCAGTGGAAATCCGCTAACTCGTATCCGGTTTACTCGGATCTCCCGGTAACTCAAACAAGATTCGATTTCCCTTGACCCATTTTTTTCAGTCATTTACTATCTGCGAAATCGAACTCCCGCTGAGTCGAACTATTTTATCTTGAGAGTTCGCGCGTTCTACTGTATACTCGTTTCTCGAAAGCCCCATTTCTCGAAAGCCCTGTTAACTTAACGGGTCCGCTGTTCTGTTTTCATTCAAGACTCAAACAAAAACTTTGTCAAGTATACAATAAAACTATAAACTTAAGAATTAAAACTGGAACTGTGTCAGAACGTGCTTCTTTATTCTTTAAATATGTGGAGAAACGGACCCCAGGCAAGGCCTTGTCGGTTAAGGGACAAGTAACGCTGTCCATCGGATAAATCGCTATCCAGCGGATAAGTGTAAACAAAACGTACTACGCTATACACTACACCCTTCGAACAACCGGGTCCAGTAGTTTTAAGGAACAAGTTTTCTTTGCTTCTGAGTGAGTGACTTCACATATTATTTTGACTGTTATCTTGATTTCTTTAGCTGGAACCAAAATGTCAGTTTCCTTCTCCAGCAAGCTTTTATAATTAGTTACTAATTCTGATCGACTTTGATTTTGCTAGAATAAGATTGTAATTTTGTTTTGAATAGACTATGTCAGATGATATAACTATGACGATAGGACAAGCTTTTGAGGCAAGTTTATGTAAAATATTAGATTAATTTCAGTATCAAAGCGATCGCGCACCTGCCCCTCCCCTAACCCAACATTAACCTTAACTTGTAATCAGTTGACAATTTTGAGTTAGGGGAGGGGTAGGTGTGTAGTTGCTCCGACACTGACATCAATCCGAAATATCAGATGTGCAAAGATCGATTTGATCAATGGCCACCACATGAGTATAACAGTAGCGATCTCATACGGTATTTTAACTATCTGGTTCCAGGCTTTCTCTTCCTCCCGTCTCAGGGACTCCTGGAGAGAGTCTGGGCTAAAGTTTAAATAGTTACATTTTTGTCTTTTGATCTTAAATTACAGCTTGCCTTCAGTCGCTTCAAGCAGTCTTAAAAACGCCAACTGGAATGGTGACAAGATGGATGATCTGCCAAAACAGATCGTCAAGCCCAGCGGAATAGATCCATTCATTCGTCTTGCATCATTAAAATTCAAGTATCGTACGCGGAAGAGAAAAGGGACTTAATTTCATGGCAGTGTTTAAAAAGGTCAAAATCAGCTACTTTTACCGAGAAGCTGGTTATAATATACTTCTAGCGTGACATGGCGTATTTAGCATTGCGTGACAAGATGCCTGATAGTGCCATAGTTGAGCGTCACGCAAATAACAGCTGCAAACAAGGAAATGTTCGCGTGCCTTAAGGCTGTTTCTTTTGATGAAGACAAATTGTTTGCATGAAAAAGTTCAACGTTCTCTTTCAAATGACTTAGTAGAAGAGTTGTGCATGCCACATGTATTCGCTTCAATTGAGTGATTGTGTTTCTAAGCCGTTTGATTGGCTGGGACTGGACGAAATCGTTACATAGGAGTATATATATATATATGTATATATATATATATATATATACAGCATATTATTATTTTTATTGTCACGGCTAAGAGACGAACGATCTTCAACTATTTATACCACCTGATTTAAGAATGATCCTTTTGTGATCAATTTACGTGTTTGCCAAACAAATCAATTTATCGATAAGATTGAATTTAAATGAACCTGCTACAACGGGCACCTACCCTTCCATCAAATGAGGCACCCCCTCTGCCATCGCTGCCATGATTAGTCACGTGAATGTGACCAATGGTACATTGTCCAGTTGGTGTGACTCAACCGTATTTCAGGTAGAATTTTATTTTGTATGTTTACTAGATAGGTTCCAATTTTTATTTTTTAGCAAAATATTTTTAAAAAATAATACTTTTTTATAAATGGTTTATTTTTTGAACTTGCACAAAATGAGATTGAATCAGTGAAATAGCGAGGTGTGACTAATTTAAATAAAATCTTTGATCAAGCGCTGTTCAACGTGCTAGGGCGACGGTTTTATTTAAGCGATTTTGAAAAAAAATTATTTGTGCAGAATGCTTAATAAATTTGACTTACTTGTTTGCTGTGTCTTTCTCCATTGTTGCAAGTGTTCAATTGGTACCGATAATATTGTTCAATTTCTTGAGTCTTTTTCCGATTTGCAAGCAGGGAAAAAGGTGACACAAATCTCTGATTCCGCACGAAGCCTCCGTCTGATTACGGACATTTCCGCCTGATTCCGAACGCTTTCGTCTGATTACGGACAGTATCATCTGATTTCGGACGGTTCCGTCTGACTTCGGACACTTGCGTCGTTCCGACTCTGGACGACTCCGTTCGATTTCCGACACGTCCGTAAGAATTATTTTTGTAATCTTGGCAAGATAATAAAGTAAATCCCATGAATACTGACAAGTATTCCCGCGAACAATTGAGCTGTTTAAAGCTCATAGGCTTCTCTTACCTTCAAGGCGTGAAAAGGAATGAGCAGAAAGTTCAAATTTGTTCAAACTTTTCACCTGTGAGCATACCTTCATCATTAGCCCGGCAGGACGTGCCCCTCTGCGCCCGCCCGTGGGAATATTTTAGAAGACTCGGGGTGAGATTTGCCAGAGGCCTGTCCCTAATACTCAGACCCCTTGCAGACGTCTCGCCGGCTCCCACTGGTTAACCCTTTAACACCCTTGAGTAACCGAGACAGAATTTCTCCTTACAATATCAACACAATATCAATCAGACATTTGATGATAATATAGGAGAATGTAAGTTTGAGGATTTTCTAGTTGATCTAGTACCAAATTCTCAGAACTAGAGTCACAGGGATTCTATGGCAGACCGTAAGGAGAATTACTAATGAGATCTTCTCATACTTTCCCGCGGGCAAAAAAGCGCATGTACTGAAGCGCCGACGGCTTGCTATCAGTCTATCAAATTAAACTCAATCAATTGTACAGAAAGTGGTGACTAGAATTAATGAATGCTAATTATTGGTGCTTTACTTGATTTTCCTTTATTGGTTACGTTCTTTTAAAAACAAACTAACAACAATCCTTTTCTTTTCACCACACATCGCATTAAACACTGAATAACCGCGTTTGGAACGCAGTTGAAGCACATTGATTGGCTTCCTTAAATGCATGCAATTCGATTATATCTTTTGTACTTCTCATTACGCCATTGAAAATTTAAACCTACTTTATAATTGAACGAAACATTGAACGAAATATTGAATTTATCTAGTGGATTGGTATAAAGATCTTCCAATTTAACTCTGGCCCTCGCTTGTCGAAGATCTCAACCTTGCCGACTGTGTGCTCCCAGTATGCTCTGAACGTGAAGTACCTGAAAACCATGCGTGGCGTTCAATATCTTCAATGCTCATTCGCAATCTAAAATCTAAGGTGAGCATGCCACATATGAGATCTCTGCAGTCTTCCGTGATCTGCTGTTTCGGTTTATGAAAGCTTGGCCCGCGTTTGATCTGTGCCAGTAGCATTTTCATGTCGGAGTCATCAAATGGCATCCGACCCGTTACCATCGTGTACAATATCACTCCCATACTCCACACATCAGCTTTTTCACCGTCATACGGAACACCTTATGGGTAAAATAAATTGTAACATAATAAATTATAATTATAATACATCCTCAGCATATGACTAAACCCCTTCATTTCAAGAAAGAAATATGAAGAAAAAAAAATGCACTGTAGTACTCTGGAAGACGCTTTTGTTGTACAGCGTGGACTACACTCCCTCACCCCTAACTCCTCGTTCTTCTGGAAACCCTACGTAAGCAGTGCTGTATATGTAATGAGAAGCACATAATATTGAAAGGAAAAACTCCTACTGATGTTTGTTTTTATTCTCAAAAAACTCTGAAGGAAGGTAAACTGCTGAGGCGAGCTGTTCTCTTGACTTAAACCATAATATAATTTACTGAAAAAAAGTGAGTGATTACAAACTTTCGACGTGAACCAGTCAGCGAAAACTTCCTGATCAACACAGCTTATGGAGAGAGAGCACCTAAGAATCAGTGAAGTTCCTAACGTTTGAGAGCGGTCTGTTGGGAACCTAACGAGGGTGTGTCCAAACAAAGTAGCTATATTTCACTGACTTTGTATAACAAGAGCCCAAACTTGTCCCTTTAGGATACAAACGTTCTTAAAATATAACAAAAACTGTGTACGGCTCCAGCAAGGTACATCAACTCTTGTAAAACTAATTTTAACGATGAAAACTATGGTAAGTACTCATAAAATCTCAATATAAAGTACACTTGCCTCTTAGAATCTCGTACGCTGCATATGCAGCCGACCCACAGTAGGTCTTGCAAATTTCTGACTTTTTAAATGGTCTGGAGAAACCAAAGTCGGTGAGCTTCACGTTGTTCCCTTCGTCCAAGAGAATGTTTTCGCATTTTAAGTCACGATGCAGTACACCATGTTTATGACAATGTTTGACTGCTTGCAACGTTTGTAGGAAGATTTTCTTGGCTAAATTTTCTTCCACGCATCCTTTTTCCTTGATGTAATCCAATAAATCTCCGCCAGTGGCGAGATCCATAACTACAAACACTTTGTCGGCAATTTCCAGCACCTCATACACTCGAATGATGTGAGGATGATCAAGATTTTGAATGATGCTCAATTCTCGGGGAAGAAATTTATCTAAAAAATCATCAGGAGCCTTTTTACGGTCTATTATTTTAACAGCAACGTGAAGTTTGGTTCTTCTAGAGTAAGCTTTACGGACTTTGGCGTAGGAGCCTTCACCAAGAGGCGAATCATCGAGAAGCTCGTAACCATGTTGTCTTAAAAATCGCAAGTTGAACGATTGTCTAGACTTGACATGGGAGAAGAAGCGTGTTATTGCAGACATTAGAGATCTGAAGACCTTGACAGTACGACTAACTTTGGGATGAGTGTGGTGACGCAAGTCCTTTACAATTATGACGTCACAAAATAGATTTTTGCGCGCGTGCCGTCTCGAAGCGCGCGCGAGAACTCTCGTTCTTCTTTTTGCGTCGGTCAGTATCCGAATTATTATTATATGGGACTGTAATAACGTAATCAAGATATCACTTCATTATCCCTTTCGTCATCGTCATCATTATCATCATTTTTGTTCCTTTTTGTCGATTATCATTATCACTGCAGTGATTTGAACCCGATTATCAACATAATCGTTTACAAAGAAGCTTAAGATGTTGATCATTATGAAGAAATGACCGGTCCCGCTGATGTATTTATTAGTATAATTAATTTATTAATCAGGTTATATGCTGGCATAAGTTTGAACATATTTCTAACTCCTTATCATAGGACTACCGGCCGGATCATTCAACTTCTTCATCGCTTTTCGCGCTCGGTGAAAAAAGTCAAGACGAATTTTCTCAAAAAGATAATTGCCCTGACGAAGGACTTGAAACGTCGGCTTTAGAAACCCTCTGCGGTGGTCATCTACATTATCAAACCAAGTTGTTGTGAAATACACCCCACCCCACCCCCCCCCCAACCCCCCCCTTCCCCCCTCCCCCCCCCCACCACCGCATCCATTCAGCACCGCAGCTTCTTCAGAAACTACCCCATTTATTCATCTCTCAAGAAATAAACCGATTATTACTAAACACGGGGTTATTAATTCAGCTGATTCTCAGATTTTTTTAACGAAGTGTTATGTTGCGATTGAGTAGCCTGCAGACCGCTAGCAACGCAGGCTAATATTGAGCAGCATGGTAGTCTTGTCACGCACTGACCTTCCACGTTGCCCTTTCCTTGGAGGTTTTCCCCCGTCCTACATTCCAGCAGTAGGGCGATCCTCCCTTGCCAGCGTGGCAGAAATCATCCAATGAAAATACACGTAATTACCGACTTGATTCCTATCAGCCAATCAAATGACACCACATTGTCTCCATGGCTATTACATTTGGACAGACGACAGCCAGTCCCAGGAATCTCATATTATCAAACATAACTGGTGAAAGCAAATTACCTGCAGAACAAATCTGACATTTAAATTTAGCATTATGGCAAAAATTTTCTCTCCGGTTTGCCTCTGTTTGTGTTTGTTAGTAATTGATGCTCGACCTCCAGAAGCGAAGGGCCAAGGAAAAGATCGTGTCTACGATCAAGACTTGTCGGAAGAAGAGCATTTTAAGGAAGAAGAACACAACGCCGAATATGATCACGACGCTTTCCTTGGAAAGGAGAAGAAGAAATTTGATGAGTTGACGCCTGAGGAATCGAAAGAGAGACTAGGGTATGTGAAAAGTTGCAGAAAATTGCGGACTCTGTCGCTTTGGGTTGTCTTTGCATGAACATGAAATCGCCATTCGCTGCTGCAGCAGAAGTGATATCGATGGAATCACTTAGTGATTGCCGGGTGATGCATGAAATTATGTTATGATAAGCGGGCCTCATGAAATTTTTGGCTTTACGGAAATATTTTGAACTGCGTTCAACAAGGCGAGAAATTTTTAATTGTGCTAAAATAATGCTTCAAACAGGAGAACGTTTACTTCGATCCGTTAATTGATAATTGCTCTTCAGCTTTGCCACGTCGTCAGCATTAACCAAAATTTTATATCAGCTGAAATTAGGATGTTTGTGTATGGATTACAACCCCATTGTTTATCGTGTTACAATTTTGTTCATTTTCTAGCCTGCGAATAAATTTTTGGTGCGTATTTCCATAAGGAAATATCTTAGTGACTCATGCATAACAGCATGAAGTAAGCATGTTTATCAATTATTGGATCATTGCTATTCTTCTTATTGTTCCTACGGCTTTGTTGGTGATGTAACAATCTTTTTCTTGAATGTAAGGCACTAAATTATTAAGTATTCTTTCGCTCTCGAGTAAGCATCATGGAAAACATCGCTTTTGCCTGGCGTTTGACATTTCACGTAAATCTTTATTTCCGAACTGTGCCACGTGGCACAAAAGTGCATTTTTTGGGGAGATGGGTAGGGGTGACAAATTGCTATTCAGATTATCAGGAAGGTCAACATTAATCCCTTCCTTGTCCATCATTCCAAATAATGATAGACCTGATGCAGTGAAATTTTAACCAAATCTCCTCATCTTTATTTGTTTTGCAGAAAAATTGTGGACAGAATTGACAAAGACAATGATGGAAAGATCACACAGAAAGAACTGGAGGACTGGATCAAATTTACTTCCAAGCGTTATGTCTTTGAAGATGTTGACAGGCAATGGGAACAGTTGAAAAAAATTGAAAATTCACATATGACTCTTGAAGAGCGTTATGTTGACAAGAAAGAAGTAGATCCTAATGGACCAATTGGCTGGGAGCTGTATAAAAACATGACTTATGGGTATATTCCAGGTAAGTTCAACCCCTTAACCTTTAAACACCCAAGATCTAGTTGTTAATTCTCTCCTCCAGGTGCTACACATTTCTTTGTAAATTGGTCATGAGAATTAGGTGGTAGATCAAGATGAAAACTTCTACCTGATAAATTTTAGTATTCTCATAACCTATGTGCTGGATAACATAATTTTTTATGGATAATATAGGGTGAAGTTAAATGTTTGTCACTTCAAGGTGAGTGACCAAGACAGAATTCTTCTTTACAATATCAATTAAATAGCATGCAGACAAGTGATTAGAATTAACCCTTAAACTCCCATGAGTGACCAAGACAGAATTTCTCCTTTCAATATCAATACAATATCAACCAGATAAGTGATTAGAATAATAGAAAAATACAAATTTGACATGAGCATATGTAAACACGGTTTTCGTTCCTCTTTCATTAGTTATGTTATAAAAGAAATGTAAAATGGTTTCCGTGTTTACATAGCCTGATGTAAACATGCAGGAGGTTGGGAGAACACTCGATAAGCTGGAAACCACTCCGCTTCGCATTGTGGTTTCCTATGCTTATCTCATGTTCTCCCAACCTCCTGCATGTTTACATCAGGCTATGTAAACACGGAAACCATTTTACATAAATTTCTTCATTACAAGAATTGTATAGTTGACAGTAAGGAGAATTACAAACTTGATCTGGGAGTTAAAGGGTTAAGAAAAATATAAATGACGGAATCATTGGTTAATCTGATACCACATTTATTGCACTAACATTTTAATAATTGTATGGCAGACAGTGAGGAGAATTACTGATAAGGTCTTGAGAGTGAAGGGTTAACCCTTTAACTCCCAAGATCTGATTGTTAATTCTCCCCTCTAGCTGCTACACATTTCCTTGTAAATTAGTTATGAGAACTTGGTGCTAGATCAAGATAGCAGCTTCTACCTGATAAGTTTGAATATTCTCATTACCTATTTGCTGAAGAATGTATGGATGTTGTAGGGAGAAGTTTTATGTTAATCACTTCTGGGAGATAAAGGGTTCACGCAATTTATAAAAATTCTCCCAGTTTACAGTATGTTTTGTTTCTGGAACAAAAACAAAGTACTATAGTAGAGACACTGCACACTTCTTACTGCTAAAGTCCTCAAATAATCCCAGATTTGAAGGTGTCCCTGGTTGAGCATGTTGTTGATTCAGCTTTTGGGGGAGGGAGTGCAATGAGTTTGCTTTGCTTAAAAATTTTGGTGACCAGTATCATTAACTTTGAGAATGTATTTTCTCTACAATCTTATGCTCATAAAAAGTAGAAAGAACTGTATGTTACCAATCACGGCACTCTTGCTCTTCTGAACATTTTGTAAATTTTTTTAATTTCATCTTATTTCAGAGGAAGATGACTATGAGTACAAAGAAATGTTAAAACGGGACAAACGGCGCTGGGAGATGGCTGATATTGACAAGGACAATCAAATATCAAAGGAGGAGTATACTGCAATGCTTCATCCTGAAGAATATGATCACATGAAAGATGTTGTTGTGGATGAGACATTAGAAGATATTGATAAAGATGGTGATAAAGCTGTCTCTATTGAGGAATATTTAGGTATTGTAAGCTAGTGTTGATCTAAATAGATTGGAGAATCATGTGACCTAATGGTGGGGTTTTTTTTTTTTTTGGGTGGGAAGTATTCTGAATATTTATGAGTATTGTCAAAGCATGAAGGAAACCAGGTGACATGCAGAGGTAAATTGAGGGGTAATATGAGTAAAACTATCACCCTGCATGTCCTGGGGGAAACTCAATTGTTTCTCTTGCTTGTTTCATGCAGTGGAAACTGGGATAAGTGCTAGTAATTTTTGGTAGTCAATAAATTTTAGACCTTTGGTTAAAGAGCTCATCAATTTGAATGATCTGTCATATATTTTTATCTTTGGGTTGGAAAATTATGTTTTTTCCTGTCCTGGCATTTATGTAACTTACTTATTAAGAGAAAACAAGTTTCATGTAACTTTGGACAATGCTTGTTCCCATTTCAGGTGATTTGTATCCAGAGAGTGAAAAAGAAAAGGACAAAGAAGAACCAGAATGGGTGAAGACTGAAAGAGAACATTTCAGAGACTTTCGTGACAAAAACAAAGATGGAAAAATGGACAGAGTACGTTTCTTTATGTATCATAACTTGGATGATGATTTTTGTAAGAAAATGTAAATGCACTGAATGCTCAAGTTTTGCTATTCTTTCTCTACTTGGTTGTTAATTATGACAGTTTGATGTAACAGGTGAAAATAATTTATTTCCTTCTGTACACTCTTCTTTTTTTCAAGTTTACATGTGGTTACCTTTTATTTGTGAGTTATAGTCACTGGGTGACTTACAATTGATATTTGTTCCAGGTAAGAGTTAAGCAATCTTGATGTTTTAAAAAACTTTGATTTGACAGGATGAAGTAAAAGATTGGATCATTCCTCCCGATTATGATCATGTTGAAGCAGAGGCCAGACATCTTATTCGTGAAGCAGACATGGATGAGGTGAGAGTAGCAAAACTGTAGAGGGTATACATACATAAAAAAAATTAAGATCAGTAACAAATCTATCAAAATTCAATTAAAAACAGCAAAATTGCCCCTCCCTCCCACAAAAAATAATGGGAGTAGTAATTTCACTTCAGAGTTGAATCCTGGACATGCATTGTAAGATCAATGACCTTTTCTTACAAATTAGACCATTCTTTTATTTTCCAAGGAATTAGATCAAAAATTATTTAAAAGCACTATAAATTGAGGAATTGTACTTGTTTTTGAAATAACTAAATGGATGGTCAAGATTCAGGTTTGTACAGACACCTAATTGATCGTCACTGCTGTGAAAGTTTAAAAAGGGAATTAAATTGTAGTAAAAAGGGAACATTTTGTACATTGGCCATGGTGTAGGGCATCAAAATAGCAATTTATCAATCAAGTGTAAAAACACTTTGTCTCAATATCATGCTACTATTTCTGTCCAATTCTTACGCTGTGGTACCATTTTCTTGTAAATTAGTCATGAGAATTTGGTGTTAGATCGAAATAACAACTTAAACTTGATAATTTTGATTATTCAGTTCTCATTACATGTTTGCTGGATTACATATGGATATTGTAAGAGAGAAGTCACATGTTAATCACTTTTGGGAGTTAAAGGGTTAAGGGCCACTGTGTAACAAAAACGCGTTTTAAACTATCTTAAATGTTGCTGAATCTCTTATGTCAACACTGATTTTTCTGAACAGTATTAAGAGGGCTGAAAGTTAGCAGTGGAGGGATGTTCATTTAACCCTTTACTTCCAGAAGTGATCAACATGTAACTTCTCCCTATAATATTCTTACATTATCCAGCAATAAGGCAATGAGAATACTCAAACTTATCAAGTAGAAGTTTTTAACTTGATCTAACACCAAATTCTTGTAACTATTCTACAAGGAATTGTGTAGCAGCCAGAGAGGAGATCCTGAGAATTAAGGAGTTAATTAAAATAACCCTCTTATAGTGAATATGTAAGCCCCACTGCATGCATAAAACTGCGGATTGGGTGAGAACTCATGTAAATTTGAACCAGCCCACAGAGATTTCATCCACAGTAAATGCAATGTGTTAATTTTTGTTTTTCAGGATAATAAGCTTACAAAGGAGGAAATTGTTGATAAACATGATGTCTTTGTTGGAAGCCAAGCGACAGACTTTGGAGAAGCCCTGACAAGACATGACGAGTTTTAGGCCATCTTCAAGATTTAAGTTACTTATGGAAGTTTCCAAAGAATTATAGCTATTAAAGATATATTTTTATACATCAAGCAATTACATGTCACAACTTAGTATTTTATATGAAAGAGAAAAAAAAATGGTTGGTGTTAAGGAAAAATGAAAAGAGGAAAAGTTGTAATGTTTTTTGTTTATGAAATGGCAGTTTTGTCTAGTGTTGCCTGGAACTGTTTGAAGCAGTCCTTATTACTGTGAACTTAGAAAACCAGGAAAATCGGGGAACTTTTTTTTGCGGAATCTCTTTGTTTCCAAAGAGAAAAGGCAGTCTTTCATGCGCAAACCAGTGGTGATGAGGTTGTGGGTTTTTAGGTTTGCTTAACCTTTTTAATCCCAGAAGTGATTAACATGTAACTTCTCCTTATGATATCCATACATTATCCAGCAAACAGATAACGAGAACAGCCAAACTTATCAGGAAAAACTTGCTATCTTGATCAAACACACAATTCTCTTAACCAATTTACAAGGAAATATGTAGCAGCTAGAAGGAAGAATTATGGATCAGATCATTATTAAAGGTTAAGTTTCTAGAACTTTCTTGTGATTTGTCCTCACAAAATTTACCTGCCAGTCTTATTTCAAAGTGTTGAAGGTTTTCTGGGTCAACTCCTTTGCTACCAAAAGTGGGTTTTCATGCAAAATTTTCTTAAAATTCGAATACATTTGGCTGTCAAACCGATAGGTAATGAGAGGGTAGAAAATTATCAAATAGGTGTCATTGTTTGGATATAACCCCAAATTCTCATGGCTTGTGGGGTCTTAGAGTCGCAGGTGGTCACAGGTGCTCATAAGTACCCCTTAGTAGGAAGATTCTGAGTCAAGTTTACAAAAATGAGAGAAGCAAGAATTTTCAGTGGGAGGTTGTAGGTCCCTCCTGCTACATTAGCTGCTCCTCTCATGACACAAATGTTTTGCTTGTGACCCCTGTGAAACATCCTAACTATACCTCTGCCATTAGTTGGGAGAATTAGGCCATGTATCTTTCTTTTGGATTGATCACTTCAAGTGCCTCTGTTATGAAAAAATGTTGTGTTCTTGCTTGGTTCTGATTTAAGTGTTGGTCTTTTAGTGTAACCCTGTTGTGAAAGATCGTTTTCCTGCCGAGCTACCTGTGCTGAATGATTGCACCTTTTAAGTTGATCATTGTGTACAGTTCATGGTTTTTTTTTTTTTTTTTTTTTAATAGCAAGTGAAAGTTATTTAATTTCTGACTTTTTTAAATTGGATATACAAAATACCAAGCCAGGGGACGTTGGTGGTAGTTGTATTTTGTTTTTTGTTTTTTTTTTGTTTTGTTTTTTCAAATCAAGGGTTTTTCTGAGCTTTTTTAATTGTTCGTTAATTTATTTTAATGTAGTAAAAACAAAGTTCCAATTTACTTTGGTCTTGACTATTGCTTTAGTAAAAGATGCAATTCTAAAGATTTTTCACTTTTTTTTGCCCTCAAATTTTAAAAGCTTGAGAATGATTTGAAATTAAAAGAAGATGAATTTCCTAGATTTGTTTGTCTTCGATCTTTTGGAGAGAACTGCTACGATTGTGCGGGAAAAGGTCATTAAAGCTGACTGGCGTTTCTGGTGAAGCAGGGTATGTTGCCCCTTTAAAATAGCCCATGCAGCAAAGAAACGCGTAACTTTTGTATTTAAAGTGTTTATTGCACAAGGAAAAATTTGGGGAACAACAACACGTTTCCTGATTTCAGTTTTCTTTCTCGTAAAAAAAATGTGTTCCGGGATGTATTTTATCTTTCGACTTGAACGCACCTCTTCCCCTCCCCCCTTTCAACTTCTCCATCTCATGCCCCTTTCTCCATTCTCCTCTCCCTACTTTCCCCTCCCCCCTTCTCTCCTTTACCCTACTCCCGTCTCCCCTTCTCCTTTCCCCCCTCTCCCTTGTCTTATCCCCAGAACCCGATGCTTGTGGAACTAAGAGAGAGTGCAAGGCTCTCGAGGGCGTGTGCAATCCTGCCCAACATTTCTCAGTTTCGGTGCGTTGTGATTTTGCGCAAAAGCTCCGACTTTTTTCAACATAAAAGAAGTCCTTTTTCTCCTTTCATAACGTTATTTTTTTTACTGTTGTTTTTCCCCGCATTTCAAACAGGGCCGTAGCTGGCATGAGGTAAGACGCCCAAGATTGACTTTTCTCATGAAAAATGCCACGGAAGATGCTTAAAAGCGCATTTCTGAGCCTTTAGATTTAAAAATATTCTGGGGGACATGCCCCTATACCCCTCTAGCGGCTCGCGCCTTTGGCGCTCGAAACTTACCTTGTCTTGTTCTGAAGTCTAGGTAAGGCCCTGTAAGAGCGTTCCTTTTGCGCGCGAAGGCGCAAAAGGGAACCGCCTTGCTGAAGAATTTGCAGGATTTGCTTTGCGTGACGAATAAGGGCAGTCGCGGCTGCCATAATGAATGGCCTTTGTATCCCCTTGTGAATGAAACTTTATTTCTCAACTATCTGAAAGCTCATTGACACAACAATTTTGCCTACGTGGCGAGAATTGCGATGTAGCCTGCACCACATGACGTTGAAGTATCCAATGGGAATGTAGCAATAGCAAGGCGTATCTGATACTATAAAATGCAGCGCGTGGCTGATTCCTGTCAAATTGATCTGTCTGCCTTGGAAGGGGAATTTCGCCGTATTTGATTAGCTAGCAGCTGTATTTTTATTCATTACCCCAGAGAAATGGCCAAACTTTGCCATGTGCTGTGTATTTCGTTGTACTTTGTAGGTGCATTTGCAAAATCCGTCGAAGATGGAAAAAAAAGCGGAAAACTTTCGGAACAGGAGCATTACAATAAGGACGGTCAACACAACACGGAATACGATCACGAAGCTTTCCTGGGAAAACAGAAGAAAACTTTTGATCAGCTTACTCTTGAAGAGTCCAAAGAAAGACTTGGGTGAGTTGAATCGGTCTTCGCTGTAACTGATCATTGAATGACATTTTGTTTTGAAGGCAAACTCGAAGTAGATCCAAGTTGCGGCATCTCAATTGTTTAGATGTGTTAGATGTTCAGCTATGGATACAAAGTTTTAGCTCCATAATTTTATTATGCAGCTGCCAATACAGTAAGTGTTATTCCTTTATGAGTTAGAATTGAACAAAGAGGTCCGGGTGATTTAAACCGTGGATGGAGTGATAATTATTGTTTTGCGCTTTTCGTGCGCTATCCGAAACTGGAAAGGTTATTTTTCCTCGCTGCGAGGAATTTCCAGGTATCTCCCAGTTTGCGATGGAAGGTCGAAAAATAGCAAAGCTACAAAGTCCATTTTCAGGTTTCCTCTTTGATGAATCGTGGTAAATTAGCTGATGTCTCTTCTTTAAACCAACTATTGAAGCGGTTATTGTAACATGATACAGACCTTGACTGCCACGTGGAAAAGTACAGGGTATGTTGTGTGATGGTCTAATGCGCGTTGCGTGACACAACATATAGTCACGGTTACGTTATTCTTTTCACAGTAGACCAACTATTGTGGATATGGCTATAACGTGTTGTTAGTCCTTAAATCTCACCAATTTTTCTGTGTTTATTTTCATTGCCATTACAACAGACCAGTTTATAGCTTTCTTGGGCAATTTCAAAGAAATTTGGACTTCCATTTGTGACATTTTAGGGGCTTCCGCAAACGCATCATAGATTCTAACAAATTCATACTGAAAAAAAGTTATCATTATGCACAGAACCTTTATTTACTCTTTGGTTATTCAGGGCACATGCCTCCTTGCTCAACCTGCATTTCATTGGATAATCAATAAGAGCTGAATGATCTACAGTCCTTCTAGCATGTACATGTGGGGAAAAATGGAGTAACTCTTGTACACAGAAAGAATGCAATCCTCCCTTAAATATAGTGAAAATTTATTTGTTTTGAAGCTACCACTAAAAAAATGCACTCATATTAGATGTTTGTGTAAGAGTGACTCTTTGATAGTGCAAATTACGCAAGGATATACATTGTTTTAAGGCTCTCTATAAAGACAATTATCTTTGTACAAGCTCCAACACAAGTATCCGTTTCGCAGGAAAATTGTCGATAAAATAGACAAAGACAAAGATGGGAAAATTACAAAAGAAGAACTTGGAGCGTGGATTAAATTCACAAAGGATCAACACGATGAGGAAACTATTGATAAAAAGTGGAAAGATGTCATTGCAAGATTACAGAAAGTAATGTCCCGAAAGGATGCTTCATCTGCAAAAACTGTTGATCCCGATGGTGCGATCACATGGGAGGACCACAATGAAGTCAGCTATGGAGGAAAGCCAGGTACTGTGTAAGAAAGGCTCTATCTCTGTCAAGTTTGGAGTCACGGCACAAATAGTAATTATTGTTTAAGGTAACATGCAAAAATTCCAGCTCCTAGTCTGATTGAGCTCCTGTCATTGGGATTTCAACAGAGAGTTCTGATTGGTATAGCTGGAGAATTCTTTGCTCTCCAATGCTTTATAAAAACTTTGTACACCCAAAATCAGATTGTTTCATGTCATCTCAGGTGCATTAAATCTCCTTCTTACCAATTCATATTCTTGTGATGGTGTTGTTTTAAGATAACAGCAGATGGGTATGTCTATTCTTCTTACTTTTCAGCTGGATAGACATATTGGTATTATCAGGAGAAGTTCCATGTTTATCAGATTGTAGGGTTTTAGAGCAAGGACGTCATGAATCTGGCCATTAATGTCACAGTTATCAACAGCACAGCTACCTTTTTGACTTACTGTAGGCCTGTTCCTTAATTAAGAAAGTTTTATTTTTTGTTTCAACTTTTGCAAGAGTCGCATTCTGAAAGGCATCTGTAGTATTAGGTGTGAGGCAGGATTTGAGTTGGATCTTTTGAGGTACAAATCCCTAAACCTTGACTTAATTTTTGACAATTATCATTTTTGTGTTTATTCCCATCAGAGGAGGAACTAGATGACATGTACAAGGGACAAGTAAAGATAGAAAAACGAAGATGGAAGATGGCAGATCTTGATCAAGATGGCAAACTGTCCAGAGAAGAATTCAGTGCCTTTTATCATCCATGGGAACATGAACAAACACATGATGCAGTTGTACAGGAAACTATTGAGGACATGGACAAAGATAAAGATGGAGTCTTATCACTCAAGGAGTACTTAGGTATGAATAAGTATAGAAACATAATACTGAAAGGCTGAAGGCATTAACAGTAGTTAGTATAATTATACCACACAGGTGAACAGTACTTTTAGTGTGAGTAGATTGGCTAGTTTGGAAGTGATTAGCAAGTACTTTTGACCTCTAGACAGCGATTGAGACAAATCTGCGCATTGAGGGTTTAATTTCTGATATTTTTTGGTATATTGATGGAAAGTAATATATTTTTGGTTTCTGTGTGGTATATACTATAACAATTATTCACCTCAGTGTTGGTGAAAGGGGTGGATACTTACCTCACTGCTTTGTGGCCCAGTAAATATCCACCAATATTCACCTCTGCTTTGGTGAATCATTGCTGATTATTATATCATATACTAAATACATGCACTCTGTTTGGTACTTCCTTATGTGGTTTGTTAAATATACAGAATTGAAATTTTCCCTCTTCTATTTGAACCCAGGGATTTAACAACTGTCTTTTAGTTAACAACCACATTGTCTTGGTCTGTATTATATGTTATGGAACCTTGTTTTTATTTTGCTCAGATTTATGGCCCATGTGCATTGCATTTAGGCCATAAATCCAAGCAGAGAAAACTTGATCTGTAACTGCTGTATGGACTTGCATTGTGGACCTCAAACTTGGTTAGTAAGATATATTTATAATGCAGGTAACTTAAGTGCTTTTTGCAAGCTGATTAACTAGCTTAGGAGTGAATAAGAAGTACTGTTAACCTTTGATCAGCCGAAAAGACAGAATCAAACATCAAGAGTTTTATATCCAACCATTTTAAATGGTTTTTCAACAGACTGTGGTAAATAGATAAGTTATTTGCTGAAGCAGAATGCTGTTTAAAATAATTGCATGATCAGCTTGTTTCAAGCTGTTGAGAGTTAAGATGTGCACAAATTAGGCCATGGTAAATGTCAAGCAAGTCCATTTCCATGGAATTATACTGCAACTCCAAAATGATATCATTTGGTTGGATTTAAATGGGTATGACAATGTTTGCACTTTTGTGTGGAGGAGTGGAGATGAAATTATGCCTTCTAAATGCTCTTTTCATTTGCTTGCTAAATCTGTAGACGAAGTGCACCCTAGGGATGAAAAAGACATGACAAAGGAACAAATCGCCCAGAAGAAAGCGGATGAGAACTATTTCCATACAAACCGTGACATAAATAAGGATGGTGTGATGGACAAGGTAACTCGTCAGATGTGCATAAAATGAAGGTGCTAAAATATACAACATGAATTATGTAATTAGCCAGACATAGGTTGTACTTAATATCTTTAGGGCTAGCAGAGGTTGGCCTACATGTGGATTACACATCAAGATGGAAATTTCTAGAATTTGCATTTGAGTTCACTATGTGATGATGTTTTTAAATTATTGCTCATGCCTTGGTCAGAATATCTTGTGATTGCTCCTAAATCTCCCAAGTAAGGGGTGTAGTCCTTCATGGAGGAGAAATGTACTAAATGTTTTGTTTCCTTATTACTAAAGCCTTTAACTCCCAAGATTTGATCGTTAATTCTCCCCTCTACCTGATACACATTTCCTTGCTAATTAGTTATGAGAATTTGGTGTTAGATCAAGTCTCTCGTGTTAGGGAGAAGTTTCATGTTGATCACTTCTGGGAGTTAAAGGGTTAATTCCTTGCTCTTTTTGTTTATCACATATTTAAGGAGGAAGTCAAGGAATGGATGTTTCCTTCAAATTATGATGCTGTCAAATCTGAAGTGTCGCATTTAATATACCATGCTGATACTGATAAGGTTGGTCCTCTATGCCTGTTTATTTGGAAATAAATGAATATGTCACATTTGATCCTGGTACAAAAGGGAAAATGTAAATTATGGAAAACAAGGAATTTTTCTAACCAATGAAAAGTTTTCAGTAACTTGTGCATCCACTCTAATGAATTAAAAAACTAACCCACAAACCAATCAAAAATTGTTGTTGTCAGTCTCATGGTTGTGTCATTGACATCTTCATGACTGGTCAAGGGTGTGTCGGGTGGTTATAATTTTGCTATGGTAACTTAAACCTTTGCACCCTACCTGGCACTTCAATCCTGTTCCCCTCCAAGATTTCAAGTATTCAACTCTTCTTGCTCTCTGTCACTGATGTCATTTTAGCTCAGCTATTAGACTTTGTTGATGGATCAATAAATGTTCCCTTAGGTTTTTTTTTCCATCACCTTTCTGCTAGTCAATGCATTGATGAAGTGGGGAGAAATCACAAGTGCTCTCATCTGTTTTTGAGAAGGTTAAAACACTACGCTAAAGTCATTCTTAAGCCAACAACCAGTTAAAGTATATATGTTTCACATGTTTCTGAGAGGGGAAGAATTGCTTATGCATATTTAACTAATGTTTTGGTTCTTCCCATTTTGGTGTGACATCTGACCATTTTATATGAAAATTATACTTGGATCAGCAGTTTTTCTAGACACTAATTGTCTCTTTTTCATTCTGTTTGTTTCTCAGGATAAAATGTTGACAAAAGAAGAAATTCTCAACAATCATAAGTATTTTGTTGGAAGCAAAGCAACAAATTATGGCAAAGATCTGACCAGACATGAAGAGTTTTAAACTTCCACCAAAGGAGATTTTTGTATACAGTTTACCTGTGCTAGTTCATTTGCCAAAGTCTATTTTTTTTAAAAAAAGCTACAGATTTCATTACATGATACAGTTATAACTGCTTTTTATGCTTGGTTTTATTTTATTGAATTTAAGATATGAAAAGAGTAAAAAAAAATAGAGAAGCTGTTTTTTTCAAGAAAATATAAAATATGTTGGAAACAACTTCAATAATTGAAAGATGATTAAAGTGATTTTGTTTGTTGAGAGTAACAGTGAATAGTTGTTATGATTTGGTACTTGTGTCTTTTGATAGTTTTCTTTCTTGTTACATTTGGATAAAGTATGGTTCCTGATCAGGCAAAATTTCTTTAAAAAATGCTGCATCAGATAACCGTAAAAATAGGGAAAACCAATTCTGCTTTGAAATAGTGTTTGTTCTTCCATCTTACATTGCCAATTACGATGTTTCTTTGAATTTTAATATCTTGATTCCCAAACGATATCTATATTTCAATTTATCTTTACCTAAGGAAGGGTATACACTTCCCTACCAATCGGGCATTTTTGATTTTGAGTCAATAATCTTGAAGAAGATGACTCCGACCCGTCATGCTAAACGAATGACCACACCCTTTTTGTGCTCCGGGTGCAATTTTCGTGACGTGAATTTCTCAAGGCGCGATGCCGAATTTATGCACCAAGAGTTAGTTTCCCTGATAATGCGTTCTCGGTGACGTTTTCTTACAATATCGTAATAAGCTGGGAAATATTACAAGATAATTAAGTATCGAATTCTCCATATTGTATCGTAATATGCGATCCTGTAGTTGCAAAAATTTTGGTGTCGTGTTAGTGGTAAAACTCCCCACAGTTCTGAGGACAAAGGAGAGGGGCTGGATCCGAGGACCTATCCCTGAATATGCATCCAGTGAGAGCGTTTTAAAAGCCTGTGCGGATGGCGTGTTGTTTTATTTTTTGCCTTTTTATTTTTTATCCTTTTTTTAAGGCGCTCGATGAAATAAACGCGATAGGGCCGAGAAAACGAGCAGGAGAGCCTTTAATCGAGGAACTAACTTCATTACTCTACGTCCCAGGCCTCGTGTCTTCGCCGCTCGACTCTTTATAGCACAAACAAAACTGGCACCTAAACAGGCTGGTAATATAAATACGTTTTCTTCACACTGTAAACTTATAAGAGAATTTTATTGCTCCTTCTCTTAGTTTATGATATTGATGGACTATCATAGTCTAATAAATTTTTCCGTGTATGTCCCATTTTGTTTTCGAAAGTTGGACCATGCTACTTTGTACAATTCGTAAACATGAAAACCATTATCATTAATTTAAGTTGTTGGTGGCTTTCCGTGCGCAAAATGTATATAAGTTCTAAAGAACTCGTGCAATAAATATTAATAATCTAATAATCTCTCTATCATTTCTTAATTTAAACGAATTCGAGGTGAAGCCAAGCATGGCCTTGTTCATCTCGAAAAGTCATCTGCCTTGCTTTTAACCGTTTGGCGGGCAGAGCCTCTATTTCTGATTGGCTCTTTCATTTTTATTGTTATTGGACAGCGGTAATTGCTGCGTATATGCCATGCTAGGATACATACACGGCATATTCCCAAGACATCTATAAGGTAAACTTTTTTTTCTGCTCTTTTTGTGCAACTCACGTCCTTTCAAGGAATCATACTCTAAATGCATGCTACTATGACTAATTTAGTCTCTTTCTACTTAACTAACATCACACTAGTGGTTAATTTGAAAGACGAAATCTCTCTGCGTACTTTTAACTGTTTTTTTTTTAGCTTGGAGCTTTCATATAATTTACGAATTGAAAAATTCCTTAATTTAATAAATTAAAAGTTCTTTATTAAAAGTTCTTCGTTAGGTTCCATGAGTCCATATCTAATTTCTCCAAATTTTCATACATTACTTTCTCAGGGTCTTTCACCTCTTGTCCATTATTTCCTCGATCATAGCAATAATTCTGTTCATACAGATGTTAATCTCTTTCTGGAAGAAGACCGGCGTCTTGTTCTTGTTGGCCTTGTTTTAGGAGCTGTTTGTTCTGTTTTGCTGATGTTCAACTGCTTTCTGCTAGGAGTAAAAAAAAGGGTAACAACAGATGAACATAACTGGAATAATTTCAAGCGTGTGTAGGGAGAAAGCTTGAATTGTATTGGCCTTGCTGCACTTCGCTTTGTGACTGGTCTGAGAATCTTGCGCCACGTTCTCACGCCGCGGACCTTTTCCCTGACTAAGAGAAGGTATTCAGCCTGTGCGGCCGGCGTGTTTTCGTTTATGAAATAAACGCGGTAGGGCCGAGAAAACGAACAGGAGAGCCTCAAACAGAGAAACTTCTCTATTCTACGTCTCAGACCTCTCATGTCTTCGCCGCTCGACTCTTCATAGCGCAAACGAAACTGACAGCTAATAGTTTAGCAGTAGAGTCCCCCAAAATAGCAAAAGGCAAAACCACTTCACAGAAAAGGTTTGGTGCCATATTCGTATAAAGCAATATCTACTCTTTGAAATGTTGCTTACAGTTCAGCGATGTCTTTTTCAGATGGACAGTATCCAAGTTTTCGTCTTCTATTTTGTAGATTTAAGCTGAGATTCATCACCATGGCTACCAGGTCTTCTTTCTAAACGTGAAATGAAGAGACATCAGGTTGAGCACTGGTTAAGGTCAGCAGGTTGAAAATCCACTCAGTTTTCTATCCTTAAATCTCTATAACACCTCTGTAGCGCTTTAACGATCAAATTCTTTCATGAGACGATGATGGTCATGTTGATTGATCTCACTGCATTCAGATTACATTTGTTTTTAGCGGTTCTGCGTTTACTTTCTACAACTTCTCAAAGTTTCTCAGTTTTTACGTCTAACGATCGACATTTTGCCTGGTTCCTGTAAGGCTTGTCTCAGGCCCTCACGGACAACTCCCACGGTCAAGTGAATGGGTTCCGACAGCTCGCTGATGCCTGAAAACGAGGTAATTGCGACAAAACGGAGAGGCCTGAGAACAAAGAAAGATTGAGCATACGACCACACTTCCAAACCACTCTGATCATGAAAAATGTTACCATAGTTACCGATTTTTCCATGAGGGAGTCGTATTCTTCTGTTTCCTTGACGATGATTTGTTTACAGGCTGGACACGTTGAAGTCTCCGTCTCAGAATCATCAACTCCTTTGAAACGCACTCTTTGTCTCTCTGTCTTCGTTTCATGATCAGGTTCATCTGTCGAGTCTTCAGACGGTTTGGATTTTTTCCTAATTGGACCAGACAAAGGGTCGTCGTTTTGTCTCTGCGTATCTTTTCTTCCGCTTAAAAGTTCGTTGTATGCGCATTTCCATTCTGTCTTTGGCTGCTGGGAGAGTATACTCCTTCAAATAAAATGACACAGAAACGAGCGTTCTAGGACTTTTTCATAAAGAGATCGGAAATGTTTTGGGTACTGCTGATCAGTTGCGAAAAATGTCAACATCATGCAGAAATCAATAATCACTATTACTTTGACGGGCATTGGGGCGCATTTGGGGCTTAAAATGGAAAGAAGGGGTTTGTTCAGGCTCTTTTGCTGTCATCTACTAGTTTTTTCAATGCCCGGCTCCAAAGTAATAATAACAGTATTACAGTGTCTATTCTTGGGCATAAATATGTTTTGTGCACTGCTCAGAGTCATTTTAACCCTTGCTTAGCGGCTCAGGCTAAAATGACTCTGAGTCGGGCCAATGCGAAAATCAACTCCATTGTTTTAATAAACAAAACGACGCCTTGCTTAGCAGTTGCTGCAGTAATTGCGCAATCGCAGCAGGGGAATGAATTTAAAATTCGCATCCTTCCTTCCACTTTTCTACATGATTTTAATTAATTCTACACGTCTTAGTGCTAATAAATCTTTATCAATAACAAGCTATTCCAAGAGAAAATTAAACTCCTTTTCATTGTTTTTGTTGGCTTAAATTTTACTCTAACCTCCTGTCTCCAATAGTTTCGAGACATAATTTAAAAAGGTGGATTTTCGCATCCACGGTAGGGATTGTGGAGTTCAAATTCGAGATGTAGGTACGGGAAACTCATGATACCCAAGAATCCGCTGAGTTTCGACTAGCTAGGGTTGTGGGAGATGAATGAAAATAACCCCGGTCCTCGCGGTACACCTGGCTAGCTTTTGTACTCTTAGTCATCCAAGTATCTTCCCACATTCTTCCGCGCATACCTCGTTGCTGGTCCGGAGGGATTTTCCTTTTTCCGGTCGAGGTATGCCCCTTTATTATTTCCTTGAGCATCTGAATGGAAAGCAAAAGTTCGCGTTAATAGGTGAAAAAGAGCATTTAAGTTTGAAGAAGAGATCATGAAATCTCGTAGTCTGTATCTCGTTGGATCTAGCTTTCTCTTACTTTTGATTGATTTGACCCTCGAAAAATATTAATCAGATATTCCTTTAGTTGTCAAATTATGTCGGTTACGATTCACTCGCTGAAATAAATTCACAGTTCAAATCACAAATTCAAATTTTATTGAAAAAGGATTGACGCTAGAGCTTAAAAGCTGGCATTCTAAGTAGGCATCATCAATTAATCGTAACTGAGTTTCGGGTCGTTTGATAGAGAGAGCTATTGCCTCAGGCAGTTGTCGCTTTTATGCCGGGTGTTTCTGTCTCTCAAGTAAAGCGCAAAAAGCCAATATCTATAAGCCATGATCACTTATTTTGATAACGCAGCACGAGGAAATGAATATGTCATGTTTGAAATGCATGTGTCGACAACCCGAAGACATATGAAATCGAGCAGTAGACTAAATTTATTTGAAGTCAAGATGAAATATTTGGCGTTTATATTGAAAGCAGTGGAACGAAATATCCAGCAGAAAAAAAAACCTATTAGTACATGCGAACGAGAAAATGAGACGCAGAATTTTGTTTTATTAAAGTTAACAGAGTGTAAAGATAACCATTCTGGATGCGCTCAAGAAATAACTCCGAGCAAGACTTTGTATTTTTCTCGTGTACACTAAGTTCTCACAAATTAAAAAGAAGTGTCGGACACAAGCTGGTCAGTTTAAAAGAATATCGTTGAGTGAATTCAATTCGACTTGGAAGCAGCATAAAGAATAACGTTCTTTGTGACAGGTGTAAAGTTTAGAAACACACTTGGACAAATTCTGCTCAGATTTTGCGTACGAAATTACGAAGCTTTACAGCCGTTTTAGGTTAAAGTTTACCTGCAACCACACGTTCTACATGTGAGTGAAATACTGTGCTTTATACTTACTGTCTTTTCAATTCCTTTTCTTGATAAAAGTTATAAAATAATATGATATACAGGAAAAAAAATACATAAAAGTGCTTACAGGGAATTGTTGATTTTCTTGCGTGTAGTAGTGACAGAAAATTAGTCGTAAGTGCTAGTAAATAATTCATCCTCTCTAAGTTAAAATTTGTATCGCATTTTTATATTTTTTTTTCGAGTTTGCACTTTTATATGACTTTCACTAGTGTCTATCTTTGCATAACATGATTAAAAACTCGTTTATTTCTATTTTATTGAAATCTTGCAATGAGATGGTTTTCCTGATTCATAGCAAGTTGAGGTTCTTCTCAAACTCAAAACAGTTTTTCAATTAAGATCTCTTTTTGTTCCTGACGATAGGGGATGCTTACCCGATGCATTAAAATTAATATCAAGAAATTGAGTTCACGAACTGCTTCTCTTTAAAAACTATGTTTTGTGCTAATTTCTGAGAAATTACTTGTGAACACTTCCCTACGAAGTTCCTAAGAAAACTCATGAACAGTTCGAAGCCATTAGAGGAAGCCCAAGACTGATTAATTTTCCCTCAGCTGTTCGTCAGTTGAAAGAATTGACGGTATTGTGGTCTTCATTATTTGCTATCACCACGGATTCGCGATGAATTCCTTAAAAATTGAGGGAACATGCCACCATGATTGCTTATGCCTTGTTCTATGGCTTTAGCGACACAGAATACATGTTAAAATAAAAGATAAAAAGACAATGTATTTTAAAGTTGTGCAGATATGATATCGGTCTCCAAAGGTAAATGCCTGCAGGCTTCATTAGATGTTTTACCGCCGAGATATATATAGAAAGGAAAAAAAAAATTAAAGCAAGCTAAATGCAAACTTACCTTGGTTGAAAACAAGTGCATGAAATTTGTAGACTTTTCCATTCGCTTTGTCCAAACGAACAGAACACGAATCTGCAACAGCTGAAATCATTTTTTGACACTGAAGAACAGCCCTGGAACAGTTGCAGAACCAAGACTTTATTTAGGTTAAAATATGAGTCCCTTGAAATCCAGTTAATGTTTGGACGTCGTATGATCACTGTGACTGTGGAAAGAGACAGTAATGTCGTAAGGAAAAGGAGGGAATTTTATGCACGATCAAATAATAACGCATGTGCACCAATAACAGCTGAGAATTCAAACCGCATTGGTATAATTTTCGTTCATGCTGAGCGCCGACCTCTTCCACTGTCAGAGTTCTACATAAATGTACGATGTTATCGTCTGTGGCGTAGGCATTAAAAAGCGGTTTCCCCGCCAATGCAAACATACGTTTTTACTGGCCAACCAAATCCTCTTATACCAATAACTCTTGTCAGCTTCTGACAACCGCAGGTAAAATATCAAACATTGAAGTTAACGTCAATAGGTCTTACGCGTTGAACGCGCTGAAAATAGGAAGTATTTAAACCCAAGAAACCACAACAACGGATAGATATCACTTATCTACGTCTTTTCGTCGTATTAAAACGAGGCAAATATGTTTCTCTGGCAAACTTGAAACGGCTTAAGCTCAGAGATAGTGAAATTTATCAGTCATAATCGCATTTCTGTGATAACCGACTTCTTTCAAAATAATTATCGAAAAGATAAATAGCACCAATTCATCATTGTAAACATAATTCTGTCAGAGCGGTTCATATTTCGTCAGAGCACCTGCTATTATGTCTTTCGCTAGAGAAAATAAATGCAGGTGATAAAGAAAATTTAAAATGGAAAACAGACACCAGTGGTCTATAGCCATAGTTGGAATGTCATTAACACACGAAATGGTGTGATGCAATCAACTTTGGGGTCGACAGTAAGATGTCATTGAGCAGAGTATTATAGTTCGCCAGCTTACGCCATAGATTTCACTTCATGTACTGCAATTTCTCCAAAAGATTTCTTTCTTCTTAGCAGACAAAATACCGCAAGGATATATCTGTTGGAGAAGCAAGTCACTTTGATTCCGGATTCCAAGGATGTATTGGCAGTACATCTCGTTGAAGATCACCCATTATTATTTGTTGCGTGCAATTGAGAGTTGCATTGAGCTGGCGAAAGATAATGTTAAATCGTGTTTCGCTGACATGAGATTAACTCAATCAGTCAACAAGGAATTTGAGACTTACCACGGGACTCAAAAAAAGAACAGGAGGGAGGGAATTATTTTCAACAAATAGCTCGCCATCTTACTCTGAAAAAGTAGGAAGCACCTTTTAACGATGTAATTTTTGTTACTGTCACTCAAGATTGCTCCTATGACGTTACAACAACTTACATTAAAGACAACGTGCGCGGAAAAGTTTAAACATTTCACAATATACCCGCTTCTCTGTCATTTTTCTGTCTTAATCTGGTTATTTAAGCCGTCAAATATCCTGATAAACACACCGACTGCAATACATATTGGGTAAATAAAGCTGGGATATCTTTGATTTGGGGCACGATTTTGTATCCTTTGTCGTTAGGATGTACACCATTTTAGTTCATTACATATTCAAAACGAGCGTGATCGGTTTTAAGAAGGAATCAGCCCGGTTCCATTCAGTGGTCATAAGATTCAATATTACCTCACGCGACTTGTTTGGGATCGATGTCGTAATACTGCGCTCTTCCTAAATTTAACCTTGCATAATAAATAGGTAATTTTATGACTGGATAGTCACCGTGTTTAAGAATTTCCTTTGGGATAAGAAATAAAAAATTGACCGGAATAGCATATAGCCCAACTAAGAAATTTGACTGTTGAATGCCAAAGCGCTAAACGGTTAACGTTGTAGGAGTTTCAAATTCCGTTTTCGAAGAGATGAAAGAAGCCCTGCAATTCCGTTGTTGAAGTGTCGATACATTATTGAATATTTCAGACAATATTCAGGAGAATAGAGTTAAAAAACCGATCCGGCGATTAGAAAACCTCGACTGACACACGGCAGAATCAACTAAGGCTTAAATTTAGATGATACAAGCGAGATCTTTCGAATAGCATGAGCGAAAAAAATAATTTTATAATCTCTTCATCTAGATACCTTGGCTCACTACGGATAACAAAAAAAGTAACTGATTGTAGCAACTGCCTTTCATTCTTACCTCTGCCGTATCGTGGTCAATTCCAGTTCAACGCGTGCTGAAGCGCGCGTATGTTTTCTTTTAGATCGTAGGTCAAAGCAACTCCCAAGGCTCTGCTATGATTGTTATTGAGAGCTCTTCCGCCTTGATCAGACGTCAGCTGCAAGGTAAGCTAACCATCAGGAGTCAAACGTTTCGCTTATTAACCGCAGACAAAAAAGGTATGCCCCTTACTTAATAATTTGATAGCAGTTGAATAGAATCGTTATTAGTAATTTACCAAATGCAGTACCACTTGTCAATATCCGAAATGTGGGGGCTCGGGGAGTTAACAGGGTTGGACCACGCATAATCAAAATGATAAGACAAACGGGTTTATTGGTATTTCTTTTAAAAGATGTAAGGTTGTATTATAGTTGAAACGGAAGTTCAAACTGTTGTGGTAACATCCGATTGACGTCATATTTGCGTAGAGCCCACTCTCTCTCACTGTGTCCGAGAATGAGTCATCCATCAGTGACGTTATTCTTTCTGAAAGCCCACTCACGCCTCACTTTGACAGCCGCACAATTTAAACATAGCAAAACAAAATGAAAGATATCTTTGTACAAGAACTGTTGTCCATCAATTATTCAAGTTTTCTTTTTTCTTTTTGTTAATTTTGGACTGAGAAAGAAAACTTCAGAACAAGCGGATCGGAAACTAAACAGTTGAGTTTTACAAATTCCGCCGGATACAGTTCCACGAGAATCCGACACGCAAACATCGCTGGGTAGTTCACTGCTGAGTCACGATAACCCAAGATAAGTGTGAAATTTTCTTTTTTCAGATTTGAAAGTTGTACTAGAAAATTAAATTGAATTTTGGTTTCTACAATTTGATTATCGGATGCTTTGAAAAGGATTGTCTGAAAAAAGCCCCTGAATGGAGAAATAAAGAAACCCGGAATAAAATATTATCCTTAGGTCAGCGGTAACGACCTTCGAACAACTGAGCCCATATTTAAATTTGTTCTCATGTACAGGAGACCTTTAAGGGAGTTCCTTTATTAACCCTTTAACTCCCAGAAGTGATTAACATGTAACTTCTCCCTATAATATCCATACATTGTCCAACAAACAGGTAACAAGAATACCCAAACTTATCATGAGTTGAAGTTGTTGTCTTGATCCAACACCAAATTCTTGTTACGAGTTAACAAGAAAATATGTAACAGCAAGAGGGGAGAATTAACAATCAGATCTTGGCAGTTAAAGGGTTAATTAAAAGGATTTTCCCGATACTCCCACGGACGAGTATAAGAGAGAACAACGGAAACTGATACGATAACACAGGACTACACCCACGGACGTTACTGAATAGTTGTCCTGATTAACCGCTTCAGAACAAATCTCAATATTGAGTTTTTTCCCAGAACATTTTCCGTTTTCGTCCACAATAAGCTGCACCGAGACCCTAAATTAATGAATGACAGTGAACACGATAATCAACTTGAAAAGTACGTAGGTAAAAAACTAAAAGTGACTTGAGTTTGGCTTTCTTGACCTTAGGGCTCTCTGAATCAATTTAGTTCGGGTGTGGCGTGTCCCCCCGGGCCATGAAACCGATCTTCCTAGTCCAGAACCACGCGAATCAGATGTATTTTGTCAAACAAACCTATTTCCAATAACTTGACCATAACCCCCTCAACTGATAAGTCTCTCTTCTCTTCATTAATCAGGGTAAAATTACCAGGATTTTCAACAGTTTACCAATAAAATTATACCCTGTTAAACTTAAACCTTAACTTCAGACAAATCTGTCTGAAAACTTTGTACATTGCGGGAGGCCGGTGTAAATATCTGCTTGCTTCCCAGACACTTGGGCTGCATCCACGTGTTTTAGTGGTTGACAGGTAATTTAGTGTTAACAACTGAGTTGAAAACGTAAATTAGCCACCGTAAAGGGTAAAAAAGCTGACGTTTCGAGCGTTAGCCCTTCGTCAGAGCCAATCGCTCTGACGAAGGGCTAACGCTCGAAACGTCAGCTTTTTTACCCTTTACGGTGGCTAATTTACGTTTTCAACCCAGTTGTTAACACTAAATTACCTGTTATACTCTCCCACCGACGCAGCACCACAGTTTCTTTAGAAACTTACCCCTTTATTTTAGTGGTTGAGTCTGGCTAGTTTCTTGTTCCTGTTTACTTTGAAAAAGTCATGGAAGCGAACAGGGACATAAGAGCACTTTGATCAGTTGCGACCCTGCAGTTTAAAATGACTACATATTTTTTTTTTTTTTTCACCTTCCGGCGTCTCCCGGCATTAATTGATGTCACGTATGCATTTTCGCCCCAAGCTCCATTAAAATTCATTTCACTGTTTTACCTTTTGCGCATGCTATCAATGACAAACCGCTGACAAATAATGAATTTCATTCATCTTCATTCGATCCAACATGTCCTTCCGGCATCAACCGTTCTTTCCTCCATTTCCTGATAGTTACTGAGTATTTATACGCACTTCCTTTGTAGCAATGGGTCAACAGTATAGTTTCGCGCTCAAAGTGTTGCACGATTATGCTGTTGTTTTGAAAGATCTCGCGGTTCTCAACCACGAAAGTCTTGAAAGTAAGCGGCAGTGAAGGTCTAGATTTTATTTACACTTTTTAGTTTCGATAGTTTATGTTACTGAATTTCGCAGGGTTTCATAATAACTCAAGCACACACTAATTGTTCTTTCCTTTCTCTAGATGCCGTAGTACATCTAAATAAGACGTAAGTACACTTACTAACGGGAATAATTTAATCTATACTCGTGCTTAAGTGTCAGTTTGCAATGCGACGTTTAATTAGATTCGTGTGTTATTGCAATTTAGTTGTTCCGTTTTGTGCTAATCAAGGCTATCATCAACAAAATTAGCAATTTTCGATTAATCGCTCTTTAAAAGTAAAGAAACTTCGACTTACAGCCCCAAGATTCGTGTCTGTGTGTGTGTGTGTGTGTTTTTTTTTACTTTAGTTTCTTTGCGTTTGTCCAAGTCACGTTAGAGCTGTATTACAAAAATAAATCAAAGGTCAAAAATTCATTTGAACTTGATTTGTTGTTTTGTTCTGCGGCTCACGCTTATCGCAGATAATTATTCCAATTGTGTGGCCCACTTCCTTTGTATCAATTAGAGTCAAGACAACTCTAAATTTGGATTGATCCATTCAAAGACAAAGCAAAGTTAGAAATTCAGCTTATCGTGCATTGTACTCTATTTCAACTTGCTATTTCAATAAATCGCAATTCTGTTGCAAAAAATTGTATGTTATTGTAACAGCTAAAGTTCTGAAACACAAACAAGTGAAACTTGATTTGTAACAACATTTTAGTTACAAAAATTACATCTATATAATAAGCTGAATTATGCATTATTTTTGATTGGTTCTTACCTAAGATCTATTGGAGTATAGATGCATAGGTGACATTTCCGTTAACAATTTTTTGATTCTTTGTTATTTAAAACATTTAATTTCCACTAGTGACTTAGACAGAATTTCTCCTTACACCATCAGTACAATATCAAGCAGACAAGTAATGAGAATAAGGAAGATATCAATTAGGGGATTATTGGTTGATCCAATTCCAAATTCTCCAAACTAACAGCACTTGAATTGTATGGCAGACAGTAAGGAGAATTACTAATGAAATCTTGGGAGTTAAAGGGTTAAGAACATCAGTGATATACTCAGCTATGCCTTGTATGCCTCTTTTTTGTTCTTAGGACATTTTGACGTCATCTGTGATGTATTACTGAACAGATGCACAGCAACATGGCATCTATTTGTTAAGTAGAGCTTGCCCATGATACTGCTGAATAATTCTGCATACAAAGAATGCAGGCAGGGAAACCTTTATCAAGCATAAGCCTTCACCTGTATCTGCATTATGAAGGGTGTGTACCCAATATGGCGTGCACTTTAGATAGGTCTCACAGTAATTTATTTTCTCTAAATACAAAGCCGTCACTTGACGATTAATTGCATATTTGATTTCTCTTCAGACTCAGAAAGTTTGCAGAGGGCAGAGGGCATTACATCATGTTTGCAATAAAGGAACCATCAGAGGAATATTCTCCATATCTATGGAAAGCCACAACAAGGATAGTTTGTTATAAGGTGAGTGGTGTCAGTGCTTTATGTTTTGGTAAAACCCAACCTTTCACGCCAAGTTACTTGTAGTAAGTCATTAGGGTCTGAATCTATGACCATCTTGTCATTAGTGTTACTAATAATTGACTTTTGGTGACTAGAACTTGAATCAAAGTTGCCATCTCAATGTTCTTCTTGAAAACCAGTGCTCAAGTAGAAAAAACCCTTATTTTTGTTTAAGGGGGAGGAGGGCCTCTTTATGTTATAAGCATTTTTACACATTTTTATGACTTTGGAATTTCTTAGGTTGGTTGTTAGCCATAAATCCAAAGAATTCGACTCTTTGGAGAACACATTGTTCCTCTCCATAAATAGGGCAAAAAATTTGTTTTTGCCAATTGGCTACAGAATAGAAAAGTTAATTTTAGTCTGCCCAAGGGGAATGATGGAACTTAACGTTCTTTTAGCAACCAATATTTCAGACTCATATTCTGTAGAGCTGGTGCAAAACATTCTAATTAGGTGTGACAGTTATAGCCACTGTATTTGGTTGGTAAGATCACAGAAAGCTTGCCGCAAGTGAAAAAGTATACCAAGGAGAAAGTATCATGGCATCAACACTCTATTAGAATATTTTGCACTAGCTCACAAGAACATAGACCAATATCATTACAGGCTACACAAGTCTAAATAAAGATTTGTTATCAGAAATTCAAGCTTACATGCACATGACTGAAATCAAATTCATTTTATCCAATATACAGATTGATTCTGCTAGCACAAATGTTGACAGTGAGAGAATTATGGACCTTCGACAGTTTTGCAAGTTGTATAGAGATATCACGAAGCAACTGCGGCACATGCATGGTGTAGAGGATGAAGACTGGCAGAAAATTGATCCTATTGGGGAAGAGGTATGATGAGCTTTGTCTGTATAAAGCAATCAACTAAAAAGTGTATGCATTCAGGAATTTTAAAAAATAGGGCGGATATCAGCTTTAGGGAGAGTTTATGCCTGACTCTTGTTAAAGTAAAATGGACAGCTTGCTTTCCTTTGACAAAAGTGATCCCCTCTGTTTTGTTGCTCTGTCAAAAGTCATGTTTTGTTGATTTACAAATTCAAGACAAATTTCACTGCTAGGAGTCAATTATTATGCATGGGGTGTCTGCTTACAAGAGAGTGTAAGCAAAAGAAAAATTCAATTGTTGCTTTAAAGAGTGTGTGCATCTGCTTATGAGATATTGGCCGCTTACAGGAATGTGTAAATACAGAGTTTGACTCAGAGACAAGATCGGGAATGTAAAGAAGGGTCTATAACCAGAACTGTCTGCTTACTAGAGTGTCCATTAGCAAAGAGGTGACTGTAATAGTTATTTTTGAGTTTTTTTTAGCTAATATGATTGTGCAATCCAAAGCTATACATTTGGGCACAAAACTATTTCACTGTAGTGAGCAACTATATTAATCCTTTCAATCCCAAGATCTTATTAATGATTCTCCTCACTGTCTGCCATGTCAGTTCAGAGAATTTGGTATTTGATCAATTAATAATGCCCTGATTGATATTGGTATTATCTGAAGAAATTCTGTCTTGGTCTTTCATAAAAGTAAAAGAGTAAAAATTGTGGTATCAATTTTTATTTATGGCTTTTTATTTAAAGTTCCCATGTCTATTACTACCTTGTAGGCATATGAAACATGTTCAGTAAAATTAGAGGAAATCCATGAATCTCTTTGTGCATCAGTGATATTTACAAGGTATGATTTAAGTCCAGAAATTTTTAAAATACAGGAAACTTATAGTGCTAATTCTAAGACCAGGAGAGTTTCAACAATAGTGTAAGTTTAAGTTCAAATAACTTTGGCAAGTCTTTTTTGTAAGGGGAGTGTACACAATACAGTCAAGAATCACAGAGCACACCAACATCCCCTGAAGTGCAGTTTTCTTGATTAGGTCTTCAATAACTTTTTTCATAACTGGCTGTAGATGGTAGCATAAAATATACAGACAGCTATGAAAATGGAAGTGGCTCTACAAATCCAAAAATGTTTTATTATAGCAGACAGCTTTAGAGGCCACATGAGCAGTGATGGTTGGCTGACGTGTCAACTGGCCATTTTTTTGGTAATCTGCACTTGAAATGATTCAAGAATCTATTTGTAATGAAGCACATTTCATTTGACGTGTGGATTGAATTCAAATAAAGCTGTGCACAGTGTATGGTCCTAAGAAAAATTGAGGCTCTGACAGGATTTGAACTGTGCCTCCCAGATATTAGTTGGGTGCTACTACCAACTGAGCCTAAAGCTACAGGTTGGAGGAGCAGCAAATTTTAGAGAGTTCTTCTGTTTGAGATTTAGTATATTTGAAGCACAGGAAAATTTAATTTATACATCCCAAAGAACTCTATGACAAATTGTCTTCTCCTTGTGGTCTCTTTCAATCTGTAGTATTTTCATACTGTAAGTATGATAATTTTAATTTAGTTAACTTTGCACATCTTTTTTGTCCACAGAGTGGATAAAGTAGCCTCAGAGGATTCTAACATGGAGGAGTGTTGTATATGCATGGATCAAAAAGCAGAAGTTATCCTGTCCTGTGTCCATTGCTTTTGCAAGACTTGTATTGAGACATGGTAAGACTTGATAATGCGAAAAAAAATTCAGATAAAAATTGATTTTAAGGTAGCTATGATTTTATGAGGAGAGACATGGTGGATTCAGGGTAAGAGGTTCAGGATAAAGACCCGTGGGTCATTGTGCATTTTTTCTTGGGCAGGAGACTGCATTTCTACCTTTAAAAGGTGATCATAATATTTGTTAGAGGGGGCCCATCATGTAAAAGTCCAAGACAGAATTTCTCCTTACAGTATCGATACAATATCAACCAGATAAGAATTGTATGGTTGACAGTAAGGAGGATTACAAATTTGATCTGGGAGTTAAAGGGTTAAGGTAACTCAGGTTTAGTGTGAAAACTGATTTCAGATTTGGAAGCTTTAAAAGAAAATTAAGTACCATTCCTTTTGTCTACAATTTGATGATTAGATATCCCAAAATGGATAGACTGAGAAAATTATCTGAAAGAGGCATATAAATGTAGGAATAAAGAACCCTGGATAAAAATTTAAGCCTGGGCTAGTCATGCTAATCAAACGCTGGTCTCTAGAGGATTGTCAGGGAAGAATGACAAAATGCTGGAAGGTTTCCCTTGCAACAGACCAGCATCCAATTCAGGAGGGGGCTAGCAAGGGGGGGGGGGGGGGGGAGGGAGGGGCTCACAATTACTCTCAATGACTTCATGCTACAGAAACAATACAATAAATTATGGTCTGGCTAGATAGGCCACTTGGCTTGGGTGGAGAGTTAATTTTCAAGATTTTACGCAATCTAGGATGCTCAAGACTTTCAACTACATCATTTATATTTTCTCATAACAGGAGTGATGTGAATGAGACCTGTCCACTCTGTCGTGATAAGATTCATGGGAAAAAAGATCTCTGGGAAATGCCTGAGAGACCAAGTGACAATGAGATTGGGCAGTTTGTCTTAGGAATGGCTGAGGGGGCAGGTGCCCCCACTTGAATGGTGTGCATCTGTTCTAGTTGGGTTGGAAAAAAATAGAAAAAAAAAAGAGTGAATATAAACAAAAACAAAATTAAAATTTAATTGACGTCAGGGTGCACTGCCATTTCAGTGGTTGCAACATACCATAGGGACAAGTGTTAGCAACAATTAGTTTCTTGTGATGCAGATAATAATTATTTTATGAAAATCTATGTGCCTTTTTAAGTATATTGTGTCTGAGGCAAGTAGTTCACATTCAAAGACTTTCTTATTTTGACAATTGATTGCTGACTGAGATGACCTGCTTCTACAGTACATGCTTAATCAAATGAACATACCTGGAGTGGACGTCTCCAATGTGTGACCTTACAGTATGACTTACCAAGTTGTATTTATTTTACCAGTCTTTTTTATTTTTCTCTTATTGTTCATAAGTTATTAATTTAAAATGAAGTACAGTGCCTTAGCCTTTTTCACACTAAAATATTTTCTAGGCTATCATTGTTATCATAATTATTATTATTATTATTATTATTGTTTTTACATTATGAGGTACAGTAAAGCACAGTGTATTTGCCTCATTCCCACTAACATATTGTCAAGGTTATTATAAATATTATTAAAATTGTTCCTATATAATAGGATATATATTTACATCGTATATGTAAGAAGATAATTTTGCCAAGCTTGCAAGATATGCAGTGGAGCTTTAGTAGAGCTTCAGCAGTTCTACAGCAGGTCGAATGTAAACCTTAATCAAAACTATAATAAAATTCTCGAATGCAATTGGTTATCACCAGGATTTACCTTTTATCGACTTGTCGAACGCGACAATCGACATTCGTTTACCAGGTGTTTTCATCTGTTATTGCTAAGAAAGTCACAAATAGACACAACAGAACTTTACTTGTATGTTACGCTGCATCCGTGCATTTTTTTTTATGGAAACGAACAACGCTTACGAAATGTCCGTGAGTAAGAAACGAGTACATACCAAACGAATAACGCTTCATTTTCTGCCAGAAACGGAGAACGCCTCCCTTTATTGTTAGAAACGAACAACGCTTTTAGAATCGTTACTCAAACATATTACAATTCCGGGCATACGATCGATTTCTGTGTAGTCAAAGTCTTCGTGGTATTGTTAGAAATCAAGAAAAAGTTTCTCCAGCTTACGAAACGTCCGTGAGTAACAAACGATTACATACCAAACGAACAACGCTGCATTTTGTTGTTGGAAACGAACAACGTTTCCCTTTGTGGTCAGGAACGAACAACGATTTAAGAATCTTCATGGTGTTGTCGGAAACAAAGAGCGCTTTAGTGATAAAAAAATTTCTAAACGTTATTGCCTATTTACAGTCTGAATTCAGATCTTTTTAGTATTTGTTTCTTCGGGCGACTTGACTTTTTTTTTCGGGCGACAAGACTTCGGGCGAGATGACTCTCGGGCGACTTGACCGATTACCATCACTATGGATAAGAAAGCTAAACAAAAACTGATCGATACTTACAAGTTTTTTGTGCCTTGTTCCGCCAATAACAAATGAAATCTTGTTTGACAATCTTAGCAGAAGCTAACACTTAAACTCAAAACAGACTATGTGCTCTCGAAAACTTGATATCTTATCGTGATTGCAAAAACTTGTAACCAGCAATACACGATGTAAATAACTCTATGAAATATCTACTTGACTGTCATAATGCTTGTTATTGGATAGTGTAATAGGGACAGTTCACACGTCATGCCGGTGTAAGTGGACAGAACGGCGTCATCTACGTACACCATTGTCTCACATGTCGCCGAGTTAACTGATATTTTGTTTGTATGAAAACATATAACCGGCTATTAATAATGGTAACAGGACTTCATGTCATCAAATTTTGTCTGTAATCATACTCGTGATTAAAAAATCGGACTCCTACTTCATGGTTGTCCCATTTTGTTAATCACTTGTATGATCACAGACCAAATTGAACTCCACTCGGCCCTATTACCATTATTAATAGCCTTTAAGTAAGCCCTCATTATCATCTCTGCAGGATGCCACTTCTCTGCTCATGGGAAGATTTGAGGGAAGTCAGAGAGAGGTTTGCTTAGGGCCAAGCACTGAAAATGAGATGCTAAACCCTTGCAGACTTCTTGTCTCCTTGCTTAACTCAAGGCCATCAAGTCCTTACTGCGGGTGAATTAACTATCGTTCCATGGGACTGATAATGAGGTCCTCCTTGCATGCTCTAACTTTACTCATTGATCACTAATAACTAAATTTGAGACAATTTGTTTCCTAGATCAAAGAATAGAATAATTATTTTTTTCTCTTCACTACAGAATGAAGATCACTTTTATAATTTTTTTTTTTTTCATTTTCAAAATGTAATTTGTTCGATGAGCATTCAGGCTTCTATTATTTTGAATGTTAGTGATTTTACTTCCCAGGCATCAGTGAGGTGTTTGTAGGCACAAAGTGCAGAAATTGTCTTCCAAGTGCTATTTTAAGTCTATTTTGTTGCAAGTAAGGTCTAAACTGGAAAGAAAGATTAAGTTAAAAACAGACATTTCATGCAAAAATGTAGACTAAAATAGTGCAGTCTGTCCTCACCTATTTATCTTAAATATTTTCAGCGGCAGTAAGTTAATATTTTAAAAAAATAATCCATGTTGCCGTTTTTCTGTTCAGTTATAGATCTTAGGTCACATCAAATGTGGTAAGAAGGAAACAGTGGCACACAGGCGCAGCCGAGTGTTTCACTCATGTTCTTACCGCATTTTTACATCTTCTGTGATTGATTACTGTACAGCATGCAACAACACGGAATCTATTTGTTTTATATGATAAAAAAGTAAGATGTTGTTTATGGCGACGTCATCTAGTTTGCGTCTGTCCTCCATCAAGTCATTAGTAAGAATCAAACAAAATGCGTGCAGAATTTAGTTTTACCATAGCGGAGCTCGCAGTGCGTAGCCCCATAATTATACAAAATAGTAGTAACCCATCAAGCCGAAAAAATTTGGATGTACGACCCTACGACCGTACGACCGCACAAGGTGCTACTTTTAACAAGCGTGTTCAACTGTACCGCGGGCGCGCCAACGCCACGGCTTTGTTCAGTAGTCCAGTGGTCAGTGCATTGAGCTCTGAGTTGGACGACCCGGGTTCTAGTCCTGGCCGGGGCAAGGCGTTGTGCCCTTGAGACGTGCGGGAAAAAAAAATGCGAGCTCCGCTTTTAGGCTTGGCTAAACTTATATATTATAATTTGAGGATACTGAGACCTGATATCAAGTGCATACCCGGGGTAGCACTTTTGAACATTTTTTAATTTGTAAGAAGCAAAGAGCTTAACGGTGTAAATAGTTTATGAGAGATGGCAAGTTTGAGTTAGGTCATGAAATAAAGGTTTTATCCTTGAATATTGGAAACAGGAAAACTGTGATTCGTAATCCTTCAAACCTTAAGCGCAGTTAGTCTTTAATTTCCCCGTACAGCATTACTTCTGAACATAAGAACAAATTAAGGAAATTATTGCAAACTAAATAAGCTTTTGATTTGTAACAAAATTCTCGTTGGTGCCTGATTGGAAATGAAAAGAGAACAGTATGGCGAAGTAGTAACTCATGTTGGGGTGTGGACAGTTAAATCAAAGGATACAATAGCATCTGACTTTCCAATTCGATGGGAGGGTGACCTTAGTTGATCCAGAAGCATTAGAGTTTCCAGCTTAATTTTTATTCCTGCAGAGCATCCGGTCACATCCTTGAGTAGAACAAAAACAAGACAAAAAGTTCCATCCAGTGGAAAAACCTAGACGATACATTACACTTTCATAAAGGAAGGATGTACGGGGGCTTTAAATATTATTTTCCTCCTAATTCCAAAGAATATATTTTCTACCCACCGCTGCTTCCTGTCAAGGCCCTAACTGCTGCTCTCTAATGTCGCCCACTCGCGGGACAAATTATTTACCGTGCGCCTAAGTAAGGAAATGTTATTACTCGTCTTGGAAGTCTTTCTCGCTTTTTAGCATTGAGCGCATATATTTCTTCAATTGACACTGATTTTCATTGTAGATGAAAGTAAAAGGGGATTGAAAAAAGATTGATCGTGGGCATAGGACACCGTGAGGAGGGGCACTGGACTAACTTGATGAGACCTTGTACTTCACTGGCCAGCGGAGTTCTTTAGTACCCAGGTCATTTGTCGTTCAGCAGAGGGTGGGAAGTTTGAACGTTAGAAATGTTCGTTGTTGTTTACCGTAGAGTTTCCTCAATTTTTGGTTTCTGAAATCTCTTTTAATCGGAAAAGGTGCAAAAAGTCGATTTTTCCGTCGTTATCAATTGTAAAGCAGGCGCTGGAAAGAGTGTTGCAGAAATCATGGCCACGGTTAATGGAAATGCAAGTCCGTTTCGTCCAAAGTGTAAGTTTTGAATCAACTAAGCTTATATATATTGACCTTCACATGTTTTCTTACATACGTTTACGATTCTAAAATGTATAATCGATACTTTAGAGATTTTTAAGGATTTTAATGGCCATTTATTTTATTGCTTACACGTGAAAAACACTGAAAGTTGATCGGAAGTTGGAAACCTTTTGAAATACATTCTGATACACGATTGTTTTCAAGTGTCGAGTTTGCGTATCAGTCCATCTGAAATTTCTTCCGAGAAGGAAACGGATTTAGGGTTGTTCTCGGTTGATTACTTCCGAAATTTGTTATCTTATGTACTCACATAATGTGTGGATAAACAGCTTTTGGTGCCGTACGTACACGAATACATATACCCTGCAACTTTATGAACACCTCTTTTACATGTGTCGGTATATGCTTGGAAGAGCCAAGTCAATTAGTTCAGTAAATGAACTCGTTCAAATATTTCACTGGGTAGTTTAGTAAATGGTTTGAATCCAGAAGTAACAAGTGATCATGTAGTCTGATCGTTTGGGTGAAAGTAGTCCAAGGAATGCCGTCTTGGTCGTTTTTACAACCTTAGTGGAGTCTCTACTCTCTCACTCAGCGAGATGCAGTTAGGTAACGGTGTATTGTAGATCTTGCCATGTTTATCGCTCTCCTATTGCTAGTGTATACAAAATATGTAGAAATGAGAGAAGAATTCATGCTGTCATCAAAGCTGATAAGAGTTCGTCTTTCTCCACGTAACAGTACACAATGCCAAGAAGTTCCTGTCTCTTCAACTGTCACAAACAAGTCAGGCAATTTCTGCTGAATTTAATCACATGCTTCGCGGTCAGACTCTAGCCAGAAAGAGGAAAAAGGTCATCAGTGAGATTTTTTCCACAGAAAAGACCTATCAGGATCATTTGCATGCCATAACATCAGTAAGTTAAGGATGAATTCAAAACCTGTACTCTTAGAGGTAGCCTTCAAGCAGGTCATTATTTTTTGTTTGGGAGGATGTGGGCTGAGGCACAAGTGTTTCTTCACCTGCAAGTAAGTTTGAGGCCTTGATAATGAGTGTCAGATTCCCTTGCAGACCTCTGACCAGCTTGCCTTGCTCAATGCCTCAAACTTCCTCACAGTGAAGAGACACTTGTGTTGTGGCACTTTGAGAGGAATCAATGTGTTCCTGAAGGCTCTTGTCACAGAGCAATTCTTACTTGTCAGATTTTTTTGTTTGTTTTTTTTAATGGATCCTCAGCTCTTACAGATTTTTTCCTCCATCCATGAGTATAAATAGGTAGTATCAAACTGTACCTTTTATTGGACTACTAATCTTGTGGCAGGCTATTCTGGAGGGATAGTAATAGGACCATAAGGCTTACTTTATGATGGTAATAGGACCAAGTGGAGTCCAATTCAGTCTGTATGTAATAACAAATTGGGATATGCACTGTGAAGCAGGAGTCTGATTTGTTAATCACAAGTATGAATACAGGCAGAATTGGATAACACAAAGCCCTTTTACCAATTAATCAAAACTACTACATGATAAAATTTGAGAAAGAATGAGATATAAGTCATATGTTTTCGTAAAAAAAAAACAACAGTTTACTCAGCAAAATACACACTAACGGCGTGTGCGCATGACGCATACTGTCCATTTACTCAGGCATGATGTGTTAACTGTCCCATAACACTGTCCAATTACAAGCAAGATATGTACACTGTCCCTATTAGTGCTCAAATTGGGCTGGTGATAACCAATCACAGTCAAGAATTTTGTTATGGTTTTGATTAAGTCTTTAATTCTTAATGTACTTCATATAAATCAATTAGACACACTCTATATTATTGGGTAAGTGATCAATCTCATCCTGTCATAAATTGAAATTCCAGCAATTTCTTGCACCGCTGCAAGTTGCAAGCATCTTGCCACCAAATGTACTCAACACAATCTTCTCGAATGTGGAGTCAATTCAAGCAGTGAACAGGGAGCTCTTGAGTCATATGGAAACATCAGGCCTTGGAGATGCCTTTTTAGCCTTAGCACCATTCATTAAACTTTACAGCACCTATGCCAACAACTTTGCTAAAGCACAGGCTACCCTGCAGGTAAATGAAAAAACATAAGCAGACTAGTAGACATAAATCCTCTAACTCCTAGGAGTGACTAGCACTGGATTTCTTCTTTCAATATCACCCTTGAATCAAATATTAAATTCACAAGGGTAAAGGAAATGATTGCCAATGAAAGAAAATCTTGACTGTTAAACAAATTCTCTATGTCAGCACCTTAGGAAATGTATATTAACCCTTTAACTACCAAGATCTGATTGTTAATTCTCCCCTCTAGCTACTACACATTTCCTTGTAAATTAGTTATGAGAACTTGGTGCTAGATCAAGATAGCAGCTTCTACCTGATAAGTTTGAATATTCTCATTACCTGTTTGCTGAAGAATGTATGGATACTGTAGGGAGAAGTTTTATGTTAATCACTTCTGGGAGATAAAGGGTTAAAGAACAGTATGGATAATATGCTTACTGATGTTAGGGTGTATAGAGTTAAAATTGCACTTTTGAATTTTTCTGTTAGCTGCAAATCTATAAATCAGACTTTTTAGCAACCAAATCATTCCATCTGGCAACTGAAACACAAATGTGTTGTTATATTAAGCCACTCTGCACCCATTTAGAAAAGTCAAGTTTAGACCCTGATTCTCTTGTTGAGCTAATGGTAACTGGGCAAACTCCATAATTATTTCCTGTGCAAAATTATATCAGACGACCTGTTGATTTTTGTGTTTTTATGTATTTTGTTCTTTAGGAGTGGGAAAAAAAGAGTGAGGAGTTTGTAAATTTTAAGAAAGCGCAAGAAATGCATGAGGAATGTAAGGGACTGAATCTAGGAGCATTGCTGATAACTCCAGTGCAACGAGTTCCAAGGTTGGGATACATACACTTTTGTCCCAAGTTTCCAACTCCACTATGCATTATAGCAACTTGCAGTACTGTTTTTTTTTAATTTTTTAAGGGAGCAGTGGCAAGCTTAACAAGTGGCTTGTGAACTTCAAGTGCATCCAGTTTCCTAATGCACCGATTACATGTTTCTATATTATAAGATAATTCAGTTTAAGCAACTGAGTTGATAATCTAAATTGACCACTGTAAAGAGTTCCTCAAGCTGATGTTTTGAGCATTTTGTCAGCTTTAGGAATTCTTTATGGTGGCCAATTTTTATTATCAACTCAATTAAGATAATTAAATTGTCTCGTAATGCCTCACACTGACTTAGCACCATAGTTTCCTAAGAAAACTACCCCCTTTAATTCATTTCTATATTTAAATTTGTTTTTTCAGGTACAAACTATTACTTGAGAGTCTTCTGAACAAAACTCCAAAAGACCATCCTGATTTTGAGAAACTGCAAGGTATGGTACATGTGTATGCTTCTAGCCAGTAGTGTAAGCATTTCGTTAAGGGAGAACAAAATAGCAGTATCAAATAAAGATTAAATTTTTTGACTCTGAAGAAAGTTTCATTTTGATTATGTGTTTCAGAAGCTACAACTGAAATCAACAAGGTCGCACATCACATCAATGAGAACATTCGACAAAGAGAAAACTTCCAGAAAATGCTCTCCATTCAGAACTCATTGACAGGGGAAGGAGCCCCGAAAATCCTTGCTCCAGGTAACAATGGAATTACCGCAAAGAGTGTGATGTGATGTGAACTTATTGCCACAGAGATTTAATACGATTATTTCAGAGTTAAATTGCTCTGAGTCGTTTTCATCTTCAATTCTTTCTATTTTCTAAGGGCGGCTCTTTATCAAAGAAGGACCACTTTTGAAGGTATAGTGTTTGTTAGCTGTTCAAAATGTCGCTTTCTGATCCTCTGAGAAAAGAAGTGTTCGTAGATGAGCGTGACCTCGTTGTTTTTCCTACTTCAAATTTCATGCTTCTTTTGTCTTTCTGTGTGCTTCTTTGAAATCATTTTTGTTAATTTATATATGACTCTTACGGCCCCGTGCGCGCTTTTGCTGAAAAGTGTAAGACAAAAATCCCCGTATGAGAGCCCTTCACGATGAAGTGAGCAGGGCAGGAAAACGCTGTGTGGCCCCGCAGAATGGAAGCTGATACCAGAAATCAGTTTCATGACTTAAAATAGTTTTCGAGGATGTTTAGTTAGAGCAAAGGCAAGAAAAATAGATAGTCAACGAGGCACGTGGGGCCGAGCTGGCTTTAATCATCTCATATCCAACAAGCGCGAGAGGAATAACTGTTTTATGAAACAAACCCAAAGGACCAATGGAATGTTACAATGTACAAAAACACTTCCGCTTTAACTCGTCTTCATACGCGCGCATTGTCTAATGGCTCATAACCCATGATAGCTAAGCCAATAAAAACTCTTGAATTGCATCATCCGATGATCCAGTTTTTAATAACACAGACTAATTATCGAGTAGGGTGGCCAATCGGGTCAGAGCGTTTGCGATGGAAAGCTAGTAGATGTAACCTTGGCGAAAATAGAAGGTTTGCAAATGGCGATTACCAAACTTTTGCTGACGAGTTTTTTTTTTTCTGTCACGTGCGGACAGGTGTGTAGCCGAGGGTCACAGGAGAGGATGTTTTTTCTTTTTTCCGACATCCTCCTCTATGCCAAGAAAAGTGGCTCACTGGATAAAGATCAGAGGTATGAAAGAACGCATATGTTAGCGTATAATTTATTTGTAAAAAGGTTTTTCGCTCCTGCAACAAAGAGAACGAAAAGAGACTCCCGGAAAACGATTTTTTCCAACTCTTTGCTGGTGGTAATTTAGTACCGTGTATCATTTCAAACCAAAAGTTTCAGAAAAGGAGGAAAACTTGTGGAGAACTTTGAGCGGCTGAAACAGTGCACAAAAATTGGTAGTTGGGCAAATGTTTTCCGTAAACTTGAAGTACAGGTCTTACAAGTTTTTTGCGTGTTATTCACAGCTCGTACTTATGCCGTCGCGTTTTACCATTGATCGACTGCGAACTGGAACAAGTCTTGGGTGGAACGATTGAAAACGACGAAAACGCCGGTGCAGGAGCCCTGTTTAAGGTACGTTGTAAAGATAGCACTTGTTCAGAAGAATGGAATTACTGGACCCTAACCCTTTACAACCTGACATCAGTATGCATATTCTCCATACTGTCCTCTACACAAATCCTAAGGTGCTAACAGGGAGAATTTGTTTAACAATCAAGAGCTTGTGAATGGTTGGTGATCATTTCCCTTATTCATGTGAACTTAATGTTTGATTCAGGGGTGATTTTGTAAGGAGAATTTAAATGCTTGTCACTCTTAGGGGTTAAAGGTTTAATTCGTGGTGTTTTTGATGGAAAGGAACTGCTTTGGTCTCAAAATTATCTCCGTTTTATGACAGATAACTTGTAAAGATAAATCCCTGCTGTTGTTCTCCAAGTCAAGAACCGAAGCAATGACGTGGTTTCGAGCAATTCGCGATGCAATAAGGTGAGACGCAAAGATTACAATAGCGTTACCGCGAGGACCAAACCCTTGCTGAAAATGAACATGCAAAAATTACGCGCTTCTGATTGGCTGAAAACGAGTGCATTCTCATGTAACATGAGTACAAAGTTGTAGCACGCGTGCAAATTTCAAAGAGCGCGCGCATGCTTTCAAAATGTCGTCTGTCTTGACTTTTCTACGGGCTCGTGCAATTTTGTTGTCTTTGAAAAATTTACTCGTGCGTATTTACACCAAACTGCACTCGAAATCATGTTATTACCTATACTAATAGTCCCTTTTCATATGACCATCCATGAGCAATAATTTTTGGGAATTCCAACGCTTTTCGCTTGCGTGTCATAAAACCAAAACTACAGTAAGCAACACGGCCAATAAGAAGGGGAAATGTCTTTAACAGCAAATGAGAACTCTAAGTAACAAGTCGTGATTTCTTCTAGTTTTGTTCTGATTGGCAGAAAGTGTGGCGCGAGTTTTCTTAACTAAGTGAAGTAAAGTAAAAACAAAGCTTCCCGAGTTACTCTCGACACTCATTAAAAATTCTTCTCTTTTGGAAACATTGTTAATCGATATTCATTTTCTGCAGTGACCTCAAGAGCTGCCGGGCCTCCTTAAGAAAGCCGAATAGAGAAGATTACGAACTTCCGAAGCGATCTACTCCTTTGACTCGATCCGTGGCGAAAAAGGCGCGTTTAGGATTAAGTATCATCCGACAGGTACCGTAACCTTATGATTTCTTTTGGTTTGAGATGATTTCCATGATTAAGTGCATTCGAAAAGCAAGCCAGGGGGCAGTGATGAAATGGCCAAATCTGAAAGTCTGGGGGAGGGGGAGGGGAGAGCTGACGAAAGAAAGTGGTGGAATACGCGGGCTATGGTTGACGGGTGGTTACAAAAAATCGAAGGGGAGGGGTAGGTGTGCACTTGCTTAGATACTGATGTTAATCTATTGTAACAAACATAGAGATATGATAATGACAATGATAATTGAGAATGACGGTGATGATGATGATGTTCGTTTTTACATTGAGATTAAACAAAAGAAGGAAAGCTCAGGTATGGGTTACTTTCGTGTGATAATTGAATCGTGCAATAAAGCCAAATGATAAAAGGAAGCTTTTTGTTAGGTTCTTCATGTATTTAATTCTGTTTGACCCATACAATTTATCACTTATGATTTCCACGCATATGTGCAGGATTCGGCCGCTGCTGATTGTGCCAGTCCTGCAGTATGCATCAAAGACAGCCTTTACCCGCTGAGGAAAGAGCTGCTGAACAAGCCAACGCCTTCTCGGTCGACAAAACCAGGCGCTCGAAAAATGCCTAAGAATGGGAGAACGCCAAGCAGCACACCGATAACACGAGCTCGAAGTAAAGAGACTGTAATTAACTCTCCGTGGCTGATTACTGATGGTGCAGCAGATGATAAAAAGGCGAATAACAATTGTGCAAACACAGATGAACTTAAAAAAAAATATTGCGGGGAAACGAGAGAGATGAAAGAAACTGAGGGTGGTGCGAGCGCTGTGCAGAGCTGCATAAAGACGCGTGGACAGAAGAGGAAATTTCCTTTGAAAGAGAATCTAGATGTCGATGTAAGTTTATTTGTTCAGTTTCTACGTTCTGTGGACCTACATTTACAAAGGCGAGAGTTTTTGATGGAAAAATATGGCAGCTTGTTTCCTTGTTCCATCGCCCAAAATTTAACCAGCTAGTTTTTTAAACATAAACTTGTTTTGCCACCAAGATGAAATGTGTTACCTAGCATTTGTGCATTTTGAACAACTCATCTTTAATATCATCAGATTTCTTGTTATGAGTTATTCCTCGTTGAATTACTTTTGGATTTTTGTTCTTGCTTTTTTTTTAAGCTCTTCTCACCGAATGAGGCGGCCAAGAAGCGTTGCCTCCGACCCAAACTGACCGAAATGTCTTGTGTCCATGCAGTTGAGTCACCTCTTAGGAGGTAGGAACTTCCCGTGTCTGCCAAATGAATTTATTCAAGGAGAAGTTTACGGTTTTACTAGTAATTGTTACCTTGCGGAACGTTGAAAGGTTGTGTACGTCTTGTAACCTCTTGTGAAGCAATAGACCTGTAGCAGCTTTTGATTTTATAACTGAGCGTTTTTCGATTGAGTGTCGTGAAAGCGAAATAAGAGTTATTACAGCGACCAATCAGAACACAGGAAAAAAAACCCTGAAGAACCAATGAGAGCTCAAAGTAAAACAAGCAAAGCGCGGGAAAAAACGGATAACCAATTCGTGATTGGTGCTAAATTTGCATCTAATTGGTCGATAGAGTGGCGCTTCTTCTCTGGACCAATCATGCGCAAAGTAAAGCAGAACCAACGCAATCCCAGATGTCTTTCGACACTCGTTTGAAAACTGCTCTACACTCAACAGAAAATAACGCTGATTAAATTTACAAAACCGTTCTCATATTAGAATTTTAAGGTTTTAAGTTCTTTTGTAAGGAATTATTTTCTCTTTGTGTAGTGCCTTTGACCACGTGAAGCAAACGCCAGCTAAACTCAGAACAACAAAGTACGTGGTGGAGGATGAGGATCTCGTGCAGTCCACAGCTTGTGTTGTTATGTGAAACAAACTTAATTGAAGCCGGCTATTTTGGCCAGCCATTGATGTTTTCAGAACGACGCGGTTATTCGTGTTTAGCGATACAAGCATACGTGACTTTAGTACGGTAGAAGTTTCATTTTCTTTTGGGGTTCGGTTTTAGTTATTTACTAAAGTCAGTTGTAAAAATGATATCTCGATCAAATTTTGTTGTAAAAATGGAATGTCCTCTTTCGAGGAACTGGGGGCCTCACGATTGTAAACCTGATTTTATCTTGTGAGATTGTGAAATGACTTTTAGTTATTTACAATAAGGTAGAAATTACATGGGATTTTTTTCTTTTACCAGCTTACGTGCAAATATTAGATAGTGCAATACTGACAATCAACTGATTGTCGAAAGTTATCCGGGCTTGCTCGGTGTTTCATAACTTTGCTATGTGATTGGTCCAGAAAACTCGTGACTTGATCACCTGCGTTTTCCGCGCTTCAAGCAGTTTGCGTAATTTCAATGTGAGTTCTCATTGGCTAATGATAATGCAAAGCTTTATTTTATTGGTCGCTGTGGTTACTTTAGTTTTTCGCCACTCATTCAAAGACTACACCAATGGAAACAACGTATCATTAATTAGTTCTACTTATTTTGTGTGATTTTCTGAGCTTAAGGCCTGAAATCACTAAGAGATCAAAAACTTTAATCCAGCGAAAGGACCATTTAGTAAATTATGAACGTAATAGCACCAATAAATCGATGATTTTTTTAAGATATGCAACTCTCATTTTGCTGGACTACCTCGCTATGAAGAACTTGAGCTACCGCTCGAAGCATCTCGGCTTTAGAAACTCTCTGACAAGGCAAATTTAAATTATCATTTGATGAAACCAAAATTTGCGACCTGGTTACTCATTGTTTGTTTATTTGTTTTAAGACCAGAGCAAGTTGTCGAGTTTTAACGACACAGTTCAACCTTTTTCCCATAAGGCGCCATCAATTTTGAATACCGAGAAGCTACTGGGGACAAGGTTGAAGATTAGCTATCGCCAGACCTCCCAAATTCTCCTCCTTTGTCATGATTTCACTCTCTCCCAGTCTCCAACTCGTTGTACGGTATCAACTCGCTAATACCTTTTGCTTTTCCTGGTATCCTTCATACTCGGGAACAATTCGTGAGCCGGTTGGAACTGAATACTGCTGCATTTTAATAACACATTTGAAATCATCGCTGGCTCTGATCCCGTCAAGGAAAACCTCTAGCATCAATTATTTTTACAGCGAGATCTTCTCTGAAAGGAAACACTTATTTTTCTTATTACAAAGGTAAACAGATTTTTTGTCTTCCTTTGTATCTTTGAAATTTTCTCTCAGCTGTCATCATCTGATCTGTTTACAAACCGTCACTTTTCACCTTCAAACTAGCACGTAATTTAATATTTTTCTTTTTTCTTTAAAATGAGTGGTTTTTTTATACTTTTTGATCATTAGCGGTTTTGTTTCGAAGAAATATATATCCTCCTTTGATTTTGAAGCCGGAGACGATGCCTTTATGCAGCAAGACAATTTGAGAGACAATATAACCTTCATATTCGGGTGAAATTAAAAAAAATGATAAAAATGTGGGAAAAAAGGTTTAGTGAAGCAAAATTTCAGCGTAATATAACTTGCTTATGGCCCGGCAGGGAGGTTTTATGTCGTTGTTACCCAAATGTAATTTCTAAATGGCAGTGGTAAGCTTTTAACCGCCGCATTTGACCGCAATGTAAGTATTTTATCTAGCGGTTAGATCTGTACATGTTAATTCACAATTGAAGTTATATTTTCGCTGTCAATCTCAAGTTTAAGATCTTGATGTTCTTTGTAAGATATCGACAACAGACTTAGCTCATTTAAATTCAAGCGCCCTCCTGATAGGGCAGCAACTGATCATATTCTTCAAAACAATTTCCGTGGCATTATGACAAAACCAGGAATGTGCTAAAGAAGATTTTTCCGTCATTCAATTAATTGATTTCCACGTTTAGGTTACAAATATCGCAATTATTTTCCCTCTGTTTGCGGTTAGTATATTAATGTGGATGCGCTTATCTGCTGGATATCCCCACACGAAGGAAAATAACTGTCATAGTCGAATTGATCCTTGATAGAGTTACTGTAAACAAAAGCTTCATTTGGCTGAATGAATCGAAATGAGGCCGACACATGCCGTGAAAAAATACTGAGGTTTTGGTACGTTTTTGGTGATATATGTTAAAACAAAAACTCGATGTGCAGCATAAATCCGCATTAATCACCACTCTGTCACTTTCCATTTGTAGTTTCCTTTTCCGACCAATCAAATTTCTTGTGGTGTTTACAGCAAACTCAACCAGTTAATTATGATGGACTAAAAGAAAATATTCATAAGCTCAGTGAAAATTAAATTTTTAGCCTAAAACTGTGTTGTGCGTTGAGAACAGTGTTGATCTAAATATTCGCAATAAACGAAATGACAGACTTTGTTGAAGTTCATGTCGGATTCCGCTGTAACAAAGGAGGAGATTACGGCGCAGCATATATTTCTATTTTTGAACGCCAGGTGCTAATGTGTTACAGCTGTACCCTGGTGCAAATTTTTTTGGTCGGTAACAATGCTGCGGAGGATTTGTGACAAAATATCGACGAATTTAACATAACAAAACGTTTTTTTTTTTCGTCGGCTGGATGAGCAGTAGGAGAGATGTTTGTCAATTTTACACTTAGCGGCTAATATTTCACTCTGAAGCAAAAGAGATATTTCAAAGGTGGGCAAAGACAGGTGTTTGTCTTTCTTATCGTGCTTTTGTCAGTAAGCTCTCTTTTCTTCCTAGGTGATGTATAGAGTTGTCTTCTTCAATATCTCCCTTTTCCTTTTATGGTACGAACCACCTCGAAGGTAGTAGGGAATCATGGGTAATGTGTTTTCATGGCGCGAAATGCAGTATCGTAAATATCAAACAAAATACAATTTCCTTAATACATAATGTTTGGATAACAAGAATTTGCAAAAAAAAAAAAAAAATACATCTTTCAAAGAATTTGCTGAAACGGCAATCTTGGGAAGAATATAATGCACATTTGCTTTTTCTGTGGGGACAATTAATTTAGCAAGTTTTTTTTTTAACGTAATATCTCAGTTCAATCGGTTGCCGAGCTCTGAATAAACGCTACAAGCAGGTGCTCTGCTTAGTTCTTTTAAAGACCAACCATGACACAGAATACCAGCCGAAGAAAATCAAACACTTGTATATATCTTAATGAGCAACAACAACAACAAAAAAAGAAGACGTTAATAGAGACCATAACTTGTTTGTACATTAAAATGACAGCCTAATTAAATTTTAAAGTCCAGGTCTGGGTAAATTTATGTGTTACTTTGTTCGCGAGAGAAATCCTACATTTTTAAACTTACGTGTTTTTTTTTTGTTTTTTTTGTTTTTTTTTGTAGGTTTGTTTGTTCGTGATTTCCTGGTTCGTGTAAGCGTTTCTGTGTTACGTTATGTTAGGAAGCCATTAGTTCGTTGGTTCGCTTGCATTTGAGATCGTCTATTTGGTTTTGCGATTGCGCGTAACTTTCTTAAAATTGTCTATAAATCAATTCTTCTATCGCTTTTCTTGTCCCAAGCTTTCCTCGCTTTGTTTCCAAATTTGTTTGTTTTTGTTGCTTCGACTAAAAGACTCTTTATTTTTCCAGCGACAAACTGAGTAAATCACTCTCCTTTCACAAACCATGAGATTAAAATGACTATCACCTTTGTGAATGTTGTCTCATTGAAAAACGCATTTCAATAAACAGAGCCTGGTAGACTAACAGAGATGTTTCTGTAAATACAGAATTGTTATAGCTTTGATACAATTTGTATCAACACAAAACCCTTTCGACCCAAAGGGCAAAAATATTGTTAAGCCTCAGACTCGAGTATTTCAAATTTTTTACTCAATATCGATCTATGTCTCACAGAATCTGCTATTCAAAATAGAAAATCACTTTCTTTTCTTCGTCGTCAATCTGGTTTTGCTTAGGAAACTGAAGCTCTCGTGTAAATATTGCAGAGTGGTTTATTTATGAAGCTCTGTGTTTCGTTGTCTTTTTCCTGTCAGAAAAACGAAATTATTCAGCTTCTTTGTGTGTTTTCATAAGAACGTGTTATTATGGTTTTGTTTTCCACGTCAAAGCGCTCAAACATAAATCCTCGTCTCTCATTGTTCTTTAGTTGTAAATTATTTGGAATTACTGTCTTTAAAAGACCTGATCTTGATGTCTGTGAAATTGTTTTAATCAGCTATATGAACACAAGTTCCGGGTTTCGCTGACAGCGCTGATTCAAAAAGAATACCAGTTTCAGCGCACACTTGTCTGAGGTACAAGTTTTGTCATTTTTCGACAGCATATTATTACTACAGATCATTCGGGTTACGGCAAACTGTGAAAATGATTTAGAAAATGTACACGTAAGTACGCAATTTTCTTCACGTAGAATTCAAATTTATAATCTTCTTGAAGCAATTAAAAGTAAGATTTGCCTGTAAGCGCCTGGAATTGAGAATGTCCAACTTTACGAATACTGTCTCATTCTGATTGTTTTTCTCTTCCATTTCAATATAAGTTCGTCAGTTTTGCTTGAATGTTATTTTTCCTTTACGTTCATATTATTTTAATGTTCGTTTTGAACTGAAACTAAAATTGTTTATCTTTAAAAATGCTACAGAAAATCCTTATTGAAATCCGCATGTTTTATCAATTTCGATTTTCGAGTGGAGTGAATATCACTTTTCGTTGCAAATGCATGTGATCTCGTTCTTTTTTTTAATCTTTAGCGGCGGGGAAATTGTCATCTTTAATCATTACAACGCGAAATTCTGACTTTATCCGAAATAAAAAAACACTGTACGGCTAAAGATTTTATTCAGATTATTTGATCGAAACTTTAGATTGTCCAAAAATTGCCATTGCTTTCTTCGCAGTCTGCTGAAATGTAGTTATTTGATAGAAAGTTGCTTAAAAGCGTTAAAAGAATAACCGTTGGCACTATATTATACGTTCGCTGCGGTCAAACAACTTCTTTAGGGTCTCAAAAATTGCATTTGCACGTGGGATGAACAATAAAATGATATCTGTAACATTGGAGCTTTCAGTTCTTCCTTTAAAATGTAATTCTGTGGTTAGTTTTAATATGTGTCAAGCACGTATTTGAAAACCACGCAAAAACTGCCCTAAGGAAAAACAAAATTCAACTAGTTAGTCGTTAATGCATATTTCAGCGAGGAAATTTTAATTTTTTTTTTCCGGTTCATTAAAGAAATCTTTGTACAAAGGGTGTTCTACGCAAAACAAAATAAAAATTCTTTTGACACTCTTTTGTACTTCAGTATCCTGTACTGTAAATTCGGGCTTTCATTACAGACGCCAATAAATGGTATTGCTAATTGTTTATTGGGGGAAATTTCTTTCGAGCGCAATTCATCCTCTATCGCGGTGAATTCTATCGGCTTAGCCATGCAACTGCGTGTAAATTAAGCAGCGAAAGCAATTAACGGTTTCCAAAAAAGTTTGCTTTCATTCATTTGCTGAGGTGCTTCGATATACTAGTTACAGACGAGACGAAGGATATCAGAGACATTGAATGAGGAGTAAACAACAACACATATTCTACCTGAAAAAAACACTTTTTTAGCAAATTATTGAATTGGAGTTGAATGTATTTACAGGTAACTAAGCTAAATGCGATGAATTTTTTCGGCCGTCAAACGCGCAGGCTATGTTGTCAATTTTCGCGTCTTGTCAATTATCCCGCATTTAGGTTCATGTTACCGATTTTTTTTTTTTTTTTTTTTTTTTTTTTTTTTTTGAAAATGCGACATGCAAAACTATTATGTTATAAAACCCTTAAAGTGAAAACAGGGAAGAGTCCATCTTAATTTAACCACAGCACGCCAGTCTTGAGATTTTCAGACCTGTTTCAACAGAGACGTATGCTGTTTTCAATGATAGTGACACACGTTTAGCCAATTCACTATTCAGTGGGGTGTGGTATTATATTATCACCATGCCTTATCTTTACCAGACTAGAGAGGAAACAGGAAGGCCGAGAATAAAACATAGATATTTTGCAGGGATCAAAACTGATGCGAACTTTCCGAAACATCAGAAAGTTTCTTTCATTGGCAATTTTCTAAAGGAAGATAAATTGTCTCTCAAGAAGCTTGCAGAATGTTTAGTTTTTGTTTCATTTTTATTTCGCAGCAATGAGGAACAGTAACTTTTAATCAGTGGGGACATCCTGCTTGCGTCCGAACTGTTTTTCCTGAATGCAAAACATTTCTCGTCCTTTTGAGACTACAGTTGAAGCTTGAAATTATGGTGAGTTCACTTTTTGTCCTCTTATGATCCGCTAAGTCTATTTATGGAGAAACCACAACAGACATAAGTGAGACCCCTTAGACAATACTGAGGTCCAGCGGAAACGGTGTACTGTCGTGCGACACAATAAGCATCATCTTAGGGGAAGCCAACAAATTAATGACGCCGAAAAAAAAAGAAAAAAAGGCACCACTAAAAACGCTTAAAGTTCAAAGGTAGTCATTGCTCATTTTTCTGTAGCCAGCTTTCATCACAACCTCGTTATCAGGGCCCTCTCTTCTTTTCTCGAGGTGGGAAATGAGACGATCCTGGGAACGAAGTTGCTTATATCAGTCGATAGTTCAGTCGATATCTTTTGTCACAGTCCAAGCTAATCATTAACAAAAGTGTTTCGTATTACATTTAAAAATCCGTTTTCCTGGAGGAAATTGTTAAAACTGGCCATGGGATATTATCTGATTAGTTATTTTTCTCTGGGACCTTTGAAATGCACTCGTTTATAATAATCCTCGAAAACCAGAAAATATGTATTTGCTTATGATCATTTGTTGAAAATTACCGTGCCCGACGAACGGTGATCTGGTCAGTAAAGTCCGTAAAGTCAACGAATACTACCGAAGGCTTTCCGAATGACCATCGCGTGATCACCTTCATTCAGGTGTGAAATGCTACGTTGGCCGTGCAATATAACTCGCTCACATATTAATAATTCCTCTGAACCGACAATCATTTGACTACAACTTCGACTCCCATCAGCGAGTTTTTCTTGGTCTGTGATTGCTACACCAGGTGAGCAGGGTTCATCTCCTGTAAAGATTTTTCTTTTTTAGGAAGTTCAGTGGCCGAAATCGTCGCATGAAGTCAGCTTTTATATTACTCAAACATGACACGAAATTCCGATAGTTTTACTGTGAGTTCTCATTTCTTCTTTCACGTGAGCCAGGCAGTATATCTCTTCCCTTAATTGCTAAGCTTTATTACGTTTACTTTTCGCATGTAGTCATTTCTCCAAGCCATTATCTTCAAAGGATTTAAGTAAACATTGGTTTGTAACTAGGACGAACGAAATAGGAGTCGTTCTGTCTCTGTGATATTTTTGCGTGACGATATTTTCCTTCCATTGGGAAGACAACATTTATCTTTCACAGATCGTTGCGTTTTCCTGTTCCACTGACCTTTCCTTTAAGGCGAGCTAAATTTGCTGGATTTAATCTCCTTACTGACGCACTTAACAATCGATAACAATCGCAGAGCCAAATTCCAAATGTGTTTGCCCACAAAAGTGCATTGACAATTTAGCATATTCGAGCGAACATTCCTTTGAAGACAAAAAAAAGTAAGTACTCCATAGATTTTGACATGGAGTCAAATTTAGCGATTTTATACTGGCTGATTTGTTAACGGAGTGACGTACATAAAGGAAATTCCGGATGTCTGATCTCAAAATATAACAAAAATTACCATAGCTGTACCGCAGAGATCAGGCATGGGTTGACCTATGTCATTCTCGAAGCATCCAAAAAATATATTGTCATGCTTCTTTAACGAGGTTTTGTCTAAGTTATTCAGAAAAAGACCCGTAGAAGACCCATAGATTTTGACATGGAGTCAAATTTAGCGATTTTATACTGGCTGATTTGTTAACGGAGTGACGTGCACAAAGGAAATTCCGTATGTCTGATCTCAAAATATAACAAAAATTACCATAGCTGTACCGCAGAGATCAGGCATGGGTTGACCTATGTCATTCTCGAAGCATCAAAAAAATAAATTATCATGCTTCTTTAACGAGGTTTTGTCTAAGTTATTCAGAAAAAGACCCGTATTCGCCAGAATCAGAGCAAATATCAGAAGTGCATCTGACACTCTTGAATTCTTACGTTAATAAAGCTTGAAGTGGTGAGATCGATTGTCTAAAAAAAAAAATTCCATCAAATTGAAAATCTTGTAGGCTCAATTAGGTCAGGTCTTCGGCGCTGGAAAAGTTTTGCTTTTTCACGATCACTTCCATTTGAGATGTGAAGCTGCCTTAAAATAGAGGCCGAGATGTAGATATCTGTAGTTCTTTAAGGTAAATTTATGTTCTCTTTTAATCTCAGAAAAGGGATGTTCTGTGTTATGGCCATCATTAGGGTGAGACTTTCCGAGAACCCTTTCCGGGCGGCATTTCCGTTGAAAGTTGAAATTGAACAGGGGCCAGAGGAGGTCATGATATCTTTAGGCAGTACTGTTAATTTAATTTCATTGACTTTAGAACCTTTACATTGTCACAGTACCAGACGGCAAATCAGATAAAGAATATCGCTTTGGCGCTGGCTGTGAGACACTTGAAGACAGGCCGACCGGCAATCTCCTTCAAATTTAATCCTCTTCCAGAAGTTTCTATTCAGCTTTACTCTGTTTCGTTTTTGGGTGGAGAATTTCAGTCAAGCCGACAAAAAGATACATATATATGCATATATATATTTTTTCTTTTAATATATTTTAGTTGTAACTAGTTACGGTGATCCTTACCGAACAACTGCCAAAATTTCGCCCCTCACGAAAATAACTCGAGCGCAAGATAATTCTTGTGGCTTACGCGAAAATTTCTTTTATCATCTGATCAGGAAGACCCTGAGGTAACAGAAGACAAACAAGACATCCAAGACGACAGTAATATGTCTGATGCAGTCCGTTTAAGCGCACCCGATATGCACAAAGACTATGCAGTAAGAAGGTGAGTGAAGCAAATCAAGACGCTGTTTAAATGAACTTAAAAAGTTGTAGCATAATAGTTCCAGTCCCCTTTTATCATTTACACCTCCCTTGTCCATATGTTTTTTTTTTAGGTATTATTTTCCCCGTCTCTGGCTCCTCATGCAGTTATGGAAATGAGCGTTTTTTTAATTAACAGAAATTACTGAGATACACGCAAAAAAAGGGGACTTTTCAACATAGTTTAACACTATGAACTCACCTGCCTCACCCCCACAGCTCCTTCCTTCATGCAATATTCATTGAATCATGGGAAATATTCTGAACAATTATTTCGTTTCAACACGTTTGTAGGGGGAGAGGAGAGAAGAAAAGGAGCGTTTTAAATTCTTATAAAGGGACAGTTCAGTTATACTTAAACGAACGTTTCCTCTGAGGGCTATTTGGGCGAGTTTATGAAGGCAATAGTGTCCAAAGAACTTAGTACACATAAAAAAGCCGAAACCCGTGAAAACCATCAACGTTTGCCGGGTTTCACGATTACATCCGATTTTTCTCACGATTAGCATGCTTATCCGTAAAACGTTATCACGGTAAGTGGTTTGAACTGGGAAAGATTGTGACATAAATCTAACTAACGAATGAAGAACCGAGGGGTATATTGGCGGCTACGAATAAGTCAACTTTTCCATTGAGTTTGCACTTTTGTCGTGCACTTTCGTCGTGTTAACCGGCCAGGCCGCGGGAAGTATTACAAGAAAGAAGACCGTAAATATTTACGCAGCTTTCAGTCTTTAAAACCCGAAAAAATGAGTGAATTTCTCGGGTAGCATTTTCGTGTATATTGTAAGCTTTCCTCACTTAGTTTCGTCTTCAGGCTTCTTCCTTTCTTCCGTCCTTCCTTTTTAAAAACGGTGACGTCAAACGTCATTTGCTCTCTATTACAGCCCCCTCTCGGCCAACGTTTGCGCATGCACAATTTTAATGGATTTTGCTGTAAGAAAATTAAATCAGTGTAATGTGAACAAGAGTTGACTTATGATAGATTTGAGTTCATTAATATCAGTAAGTATTACGATATTAAAAAGATTATTCTAGTTGTCCATGGCGACGAATTCAAACTGATTGGTGCTTTTGTGATACGCAAGCGCATTACCTCAAACTATCGTTTTCGTAAAGTGGGTTGGAAACCCTGATTACCATCCGTATATTTATATTTATCAATATTTCACTTTGTCGTCAATGAAAAGCATCGCTTCTATCTGGTTTTTTGACACAGTGACATTTCAAAACATTTAATATTAAACATTTTCTTTTCAAGAAGTCTTTTCATGTTTTGACAGCTCGAATCCGGGATTTTGACATGTAAATTGCAGGCAGATACTAGTCAAATACGTTGGAATATGTTAAATAAATCCCCATTAGAAAAGATTCAAAGATTTTTTATTCAATTGATCTTTTTTTTTTCGACTCGAAGAAGTTGTCGCTGGGATCAACACCGATTACCGCTTCGAAATGAAGATACCATCTTGACACTTCGAAAGCGAAGCTTTTGAGGTATTTTTCCATAAAGGTGAAAGCTTTTCAAGCAGCCGACAATTTCCATTTTCATCCAGCTGGTTTCAGCCGTGTCGACATATACTATCACTTGCTGTATAATTGACACGTGCGTCATACATGTAAAATCATCAACTAAGCAGCGAATTACATCCATTACAAGCCGTCAACATTTGTCTTTTCTGTCCTCGGTCTCCCACCGTTGTATGTTAACATCAGGATTAGCGTCCTGTGATCTCTCTATCGAATCCTGTGTTTTTTCCTTACGTTTGGCTCGACTTTCGACTGAAATCAGTTGCCATGTTGGGAAGATTGAAGTAAGTTTTATTCATTCTATCTTTTAGCCTTAATTTGCGTTTAATTTCCTTAACTTTTCGTTGCGTTGCATAGAGGAGAATATAAGAGGCTTGTTGTCGGACTGGTTTCGAGAGATCAGTGACAGTGACCACAATATTGGAAGCTGAAATGGAGGCCGTTCTCAGCTAGTTGTTTTTATTTGACACCTTTAAAGCGGTGGAATCGAGCACGACTTAAAGAAAATATTACAAAACAATCGAATGACGAACAATTTGCCAAAATCATCGGCAATAAATGCAAATCCTCAAGATGAAACCAAGTGATATGTCAGCCAGGTCTTGTTTTGAATATATTAGCAATTTTCAACACAAACCTTGAAAAGTAAATCAAGGAATCCACAGAATTATACAGAAACCTACATAATGTATTTCGTTCGAGGTTAAGAAAGGCGCTCAATTTATTACGCTACTCCCGCGATGTCAAAATTGCTTTTTTGCCTTATTGTGGCAAAACTAGATTACGAGGAAGTGTTTTGAATCCATCCATATTTGTTGAACAAATTAGTAATATGTTCCGCTTTCGGAGGAGCATGCTCTACCAGGGAACCTGAGGTGCAGCGAATTTTAGCAGATAACCCGGATATTTCAACTTATTTACAAGCGAAAATTTCCATTCAATATTACTTTTTCGTCTGTTAGGAGATCTCATAAATGCTAGACAAAAATAAGAATAAATACAAATAAAAAATTAAAACAGATTATCCACGAGCTATATTTTTGCAATATTCATTACCTGTTTAAGAAGCGTCGTGGGCAGGCAGTGGCCCAAATTATGGAGCTGCTAAGATTTGAGAGCCATTGTGAAATTTTTTATTTCGGCTTTTTTCAGCGGCACAGACACTATTTCTTAAAAATCCCATACGCTGTGTTCTAAAACTAGATTACCATTTCACTTAGCTGCAGATTTTATTTCATCAATGGAAATTGCGAACGGTCCCTCATCGTGGAAAGCACAAGATATGAATAATTTAGTCAGTAAACATGACAATATTTCCTCCCCTTCCCTCCCCTCCCTTCTGAGTGTCGATATCAGTGTCAAGTTTCCTTGGAGTTGCTAGTCAGAACATTTTCGTCTGAGGTGAAACGGAAACTGGCGGTGTAGCTCTTTTTCGACCTCGACGATGTCCTCGGATAACAAAAGACCGCCTCTGGTCAAGACAGAGAAGTAAGATCTAAATATCATTGTAGTAGTTCGCACTTCGTTCGCGATGTGGTATCGCCTTGAGCTGGAATTGTATTCGCTTTGCAAATTTCATGCACTGCTGTCATCGATGTAATCCAGCTTGTTCGGTGTCGCTTTTAAACATTGGTTGAAATTTTTAATGATCTTTTTCCACTGTGTTTTATTAACACGCGTTTAATTCTTTCATACGAGAACTCCTATCTTGAAATCATGTTCGCAAGTCGCCAAATCGCCGTAATGTTCTCTGATCGAATGTTCTTTTAAATTTTTTTCTGAGTTGCGTTTTCGAATGTCGACGGTGGTCAATATTCGCTCGATAGTTCTATTTGACCTCGACGCTTTCCAAAGTTTTATTGTGTAGCTCATCCGGCTGTATCTCTTGAATCAATACCATGAATTTTATCGCCAAAAGGTACGTTGTGGTATTTATTTATCCGGTGCAGGCGAATGGATTTGATCGTAGTTAGCTTTTCGCTACAAGCGTTAGCGCAAGAGTACACGATCGCCTGGAACTCATCACCGACAGCACCGTCGGCAAGTTGCGGTTTCATTTAATTTGCTTTTCTGATTTCAAGATGGCGAAACGATTGAATAATTGCCTGCTGAATTGGGAATTCAAATTTTTACTTTGAAATGCAAAAAAGTTACGCGGTTTTTATCTGTATTGTTCTGTTCATGACAAGCAAAATATGTGTGAATGTACATTGTATCATGTTGAGGTGATGTAGTTTCAATTCGTTTACATGGTTTTGAAGATTCAGTTGATATTCGCGGAATCAGAGCACTGCCTTAGGCGGACTGCCAAACCGGAAAAGCAAAATAAACTTCGCATTTATCTCGCTCAGAGGAAACTGAAATTGAAATAGTGCGTATTTTTACCGAAGGAACAGTATCTCCAATTTCAAAGCTGTCTATTCTCGTGTTATTATTGTTTGTTCATCAACAGGCGCAGTTTTGACGATGCACAGAGTCGCTTAAAATGCAGGAAGCTTCTTGGAATCGGAGGGAAGGAACCGAGTAAGGTCTGTATTCACAAAACATTGTAAATTTGTCGTTCAATCCTATTCTTTAACCCAACATTCGCGTTAAGACCGAACATCGTGTTTTGCACAAGTCCAGTACTCATTACGATATTCATTTGTCAAGCTGTAAATTTTTGACAGAGAGTTTCCTTTTGTAATTACTTTGAGAACATCGTTATCAACGTGGAGAAAATTTCCTAAGCTTGTTCAATAAACAAATCCACGGGCGGCGTGCGTTTGCCTCGATTGAGAATCTTTGAAATAAATTGACGTTTTTGTTATCAATTTTTTTTTCGCTGTGAATGCCAAGGTTTGACAGTGGTCATAACTATGACAATTACTTCCCAAATGTTATTTCTGTAATATCATAGAATTTATCCAAGTTTTTATAATGCGTTTATTTTTTTAATGTGTAAAATGTTCCTTCGCGCGCTGTCTTCGACCATATAAACGGCAGCTGTATAAAGGAAAATGTACAAAAACGCTTAGTCTTTCAGATTGTACTTTACTGAATTGTTTCTGATGCTATAGCTAAATAATAGGAACAGTGCCGTTTCTTTTTTGCGTCTTCGTAAGTTCCCGGGAGGTGTCTAAGGGCCTTTTATTATTATCCTGAAATGAATAGCGCTCTAGGCACTGCCTCCGTAACAAGGAAACCCTTAGCAAGAAACGCCGTCTGAATGTTTTATTACGGAATTAGTTTCTTGTTGTACTTTGGAGAGCATTTGACAAGTACGTCGATTACTCGTTGCAAATCTCATAATGTACATTGGTAAATCAACGAGAAATTAATTTAAAATTCTAATAGCAAGTTCGGCAGAACTAACTTTTTTCGAGGGAAATAGAAAGTCCATATTTAATTTTAAAGGATATTTTTTAAAATCAAAATCGTGCGTTCATGAATTATTAAGATAGGTATGAGGTTGTTAAGAAATTTATCATGTAGTGTTCATGACAAGCTATGTTTGAATACACGGAGAATTTCCTTCGACATTTTGAATAACTTTTCTTGTTTTTATTCTTTTAAGCGAATTAATTCTTTTCTTTTATAAATTTCCATCTTAAATTTTACATCTTGAAGATTTTACCGTTCCATTCGTTTTCACACAGTTTAAGATGTTTCGTCGGCAGTTTATTATGAAGAGGCGAAAATGTTCTGTGAAAATGGATTATGAAAATTCACTCTCATTGAATAATTTTTTAGGAAAACATTGATTAAAACGCTATTTTGTCGTCCATGCCTTTTATTGCTTGACGATAATACAATTTGTTTTGGTTTTACACCGGATTTCACGCGTTTTTCTTCTGTATTTTAGATTTCAGTGTGTTTAAACTGATGCCCGACTGAAAAAGCTTGAAATAAAATTCGCATTAGTGACATTCGATTTTAAAATGGCGTTTGGTCCCTTGAAAGCGCTCAAGTGTGAATTTTCGAAAGCTTTCTAAAGCCTTTTACTGAAAAGTACATTTAGTTTATATGTTTTTCTCAAACAAACGGCACTTTTTCATGACAGTTTTTGTTTACATTTCATTCACTTGAGGCGAAAAATTTGTCTCGTTGCCCTGTGTTTACTCGGCAGCCGCTGAACCTACATATTCGTTGTGCATTTCGAAACTGACAGAGCGAACGTGTTTATGGTATGTCGCTTTTCGCTAGGAACGATGCGATATTTGAGCACTGAATACGCGTTTTTCAGCACCAAACATCCCAACGGAAGGAAAGGAAGTAAACAAGGACCTGTGCAATTTGTTCAACTCAGCACAAATGTAAAAGCAAATCACGAGAAAAGTTCTTTTTACTTCTCCGTTGATTTCCTCACCGACAGCTTTTTGTCCTGTGTGCCCCATTAAGTTTTCCTTCTTTCCTGTTTTACACAGCTAACAACGACTGCTATAACTCGACAACCTACAGATTTTTCAATTTAAAAACCCACCACTCTGAGTTTTTTCCTGTTAATGTCACTTTGTCTTCCTTGTTTGATATTTTTAGAGGAAATGTGTTCTCGGATTTTGTTTGTATTAAGAGAAAGTCTGATTTCATTGGCCTTTGTTACAATTTTTTTTCTTTAAGAGGTTTTTCTAGTCGACCATTCTTTCTGAATTTTAGTCGGTGATGAATTATCGCTTTTCAGCCTTAGAAGCATTTCTTATAATCATTGTTTTTAATCGGACTCGGAAAGTCTTATTGTTTTTAAAGGTAGATGTGAAAGTCACTCAGTACATATCAAGTCACGTCGAAATAAAACTTGTTTTGTGTCACGGACACTTCCGGAACACGTGACACCGTACACGAGAGAGCTAATGACGCGTGTGACCCTGGCTTGTGATCCATTCAAATCGCATGTGCTTAGACCTCTTGCGAAACCTGAATTTACCCCTGGTTTAAGTTTACGTAGCAAACAGATATATCAACATACTTATGTTAAAAGTGATTGAAGGAATACTTTAGGATAAGCCCTTTATATGATAAGCTGAGTAATCATCTCTTAGTAATCAGACGGATAATAATCCGGGATTGTTTTGTTTTTTGCTTTACTTCGCTCTGTGATTGGTTTAGAGAACTCGCGTTACTCTCATGATCAATCAGTTGAAGTATTAAACACATTACGACTTGGTCGCTTGCATTTTCCCGCGCTTTGGGCATTTTGGTCGGTTTTAATTTAAGGTCTAATTGGCTCCTAAATGTATTTTCCTTTCTTCTTTTTGGTCGATCTGATAACTTTGGTTTTAGCTTTATGACGCTTAATCGGAAAGCGCTTTATCTCTTCTTGAAACATTAGCAGCGAGCTCTAACTGCCGTCTGTTTGTCTTGTAGGTTCTTCAGGTCCTTGGCAGCCATGAGTCATACTTCATAATTATACCGAGAGGATACGAGTAAGTTGTTTTTTGTCAGTTGCTGTTTTTTTTCCTTACTCCGTGTGTCTGTGATGCCCGAGGAACGCGCAACGACGTAACAGAGACCATTCGCTTCTTTCAGTTTAGTATGCTTTTTTTTTTCTCTTTTATTCCAGAACATGGCAAGTGGTGGTACCAGCCTTCCTCTCTGTAGTATCAATTATGGTACGTGATCAGAAAGAGTTCGTTAGACTGCGCACAGCATATGCATGTTATATAACAAACGCCTTACCTACTACACGGTGAACGAATTTTACACAACGCGTAATTTTAGGGTATATTTTGAGGCGTCTCTGAAAGCTAGACGGGCACTGTTGTAAATGGCACATAACGCTTCGAGGTGATTCAGTACAATTTAGTGGACAGTACGTGCATGTTACTTTACAAACGCCTAACTTATTACCCGACGACCGAGTTTTGGACAGCGCGTAATTTTAGCGCATACTTTGAGGCGTCGCTTAAATTTAGGCGGATAATGATTTTAGTGAAGAAAATATTGCAGGTTGCTTGTATTCTATAGTCGACAGTATGTGCATGTTGCATAACAAATGCCTAACCTACGAGGAACAAATTTTAAACATCGTACAATTTCAGTGCTTCCCTGAGGCGTCGCTGAAAGATAGGCGAGAACTGTTTCAGGTGGCACAGGAAATTTTTAAGGGCGCTAGTATATTGTAGTCGACGACATTTATTTTAGGTAGTAGGTATTGATATTGATTAATACATCTTTTTCGTCTTTTTTTCAGTTGATGATATTTCCAAGCTATTGTTTACGTGCTCTGGGCGATGGTAAAGAATCTACTAGTTTCGCCGGTGCTCTAAGTTGTCGACTGCTGGCAAGCGCTTTGATAGGTTGGTGAACCACTACCCTTAAATTATTTCGTTGATGATGGCTGAAGGTAAAGTCTGTACTCGAGCTAAGTGATCCATTCAACCGTAGCTTATCCTGGTTACCATTCCATGAGGCAGGCGGACTAGGAGTATCACTGCTCCCCCCTGGATGGGATGATAGTCCATCTCAAGCTTACCCCCCAGCATTTCATCAGACTACCCTGACAATTTGCCCGTACCCATTTAATCTCCTGTGAAAGAAAACTGTTTTACCCGAGAACACAACACAATGACCCGGCCAGGGATAATGATAATGATGATGATAAAGAAGGAAAAAATGGAACTTTTGATAACGATGATAAGGGGGCTGGAAATGGTTTTAACTATAAAACGAAGCGCTACAACTCACAGGATAAATAATCAGGAATTAAGCTAAACTAGGACACATAATCTTTTCCTTTTCTTGTTTTTGTGTTTGAGGAGGCAGTCAAACGAGTTTTGGCTAAATACATTTATCCTCAGAGGTTTTCTTAGCAAACCCCTAAGAATAATTACCTGTTTAATGAAATCATCGTCTTTTTGTTGTTTTAGGGATCGCTGGTATATCATGGGGAACAAAGCCTATAACTATATCTTCCATAAAGTAAGTTTCGATTTCATAGTAAGTCACTTATTGGAGAGCGCAGGTCAGGGTAATAAACCGTCAAGTGATAGTTTGTCCTTCTCGGAAAAATTGGACGCTGGAAGCGGGGGAGGGGGAGGGGTGGGGATGCGGAAGGAGTAATATTCCTTTCCCCCTTTTACCCACCCGGACAAACTCCAGTTGGAATGTATTCCCCCCGAAATTTCTTTCTTTTAACTCAAGATGGAGGCCTCTCATTTCCCGAAGACATTCGTCGCAATCATGTAGCTGTTGCCGAAGGTGCGCCTAGCAGTTTACCTGGAACCAAAACGGCGACTCTGAAAGGCGTGTTTGTGACGCGCTTTAAACTCAACCAATCATTTGAAAAGCCCTTGCTACAGCATGTTTAACTAAACACTACAAAGGACCTTTAGCAAGTCCCTGGCAAATCAAACTTTCTCTCAACTTTCGGTCGCAGTTCGCCTCTCCCGCGCTACCCTTGTTCCTTCTGAAAGTTTTCGTTACCCTCACGGGCCTTAGGCTAACGACTGCTAAAGGTCATGCCAGTCTCTGCATCATGAAGTGACTAGGAGAACTGCTCCTTCTCCCTCCCCTAAAGGGGATGCTATTCCATCGCTGGCTACCACCCCTTCCACAGCATTTCTTCATATTTTCCTCACTTGTGGCCGCTGTTTATTTGTTCTTCTCGGTCAGGAGAGAGACACGGGAGAGATAATTTTATCTTAAAATCTTGGTCATAGCTCAAATCTGAATCAATCCAGAGCTGTTAATCAGGAAGTAAGGTCTCCCACGCCTACTAGTAAATGGTTGACCTCTGATTCAAATGTTTTCTTCTCCATAGGCGTATTTTATTACTCCACTCTACGTACTGCGGGGCAGCAACGTTGTGTAAGTAGTGTGTTAGTTATTTCTATGACTGTTCTTTAATCAAGTGATAGTTAGGTCGTAAGATGAGACAACAAAGCGCCGCACCGATCAGGACTCGAGGCACACCTACATCTGCCCCCTAAGCAAAAACACGAGTTTGCCAAACTGCTCAGGTGTAGAGGTAACGAAGCGAACCTTGCGTAAGATGACCGCTTAAAAAAAGGAACGCTTGCTCGCAGGTTCAGCCCTGGGAAAGTAATGAAGGTATCAGTGGGTCCGCCGGAAAATTTCTCCCCCCCCCCCCCCGTTTCCGCCTTAATTTTGTCGAGAAATAAAAGCATTTATTAAAAAACGATGTTTAGCATTCGTTATGGACGTGCAAAGAAAAGAAATACTTAAGTCGCACGTAAAGATTCAAATTACAGTCTTCCTGGATTATTTATGACAACAAAACAATCTATCTTGCCCTCAAATGCAAGTGAGACAGTCATAAGAGGGTAGAACGTTTTCGTTAAAGCTCAGAACAGAATGGTAAATCAACAGGTTACCAGTTCCTGAATAAACTTTGTGTTCGAAGAAGTCTCCAATTTTTCCTACTTTTATTTCTTTTTACAGATTCTACAAATGTTTTAATATTCTACAGCTTATTTTGCGAGACATCGGTTGTCTTTTATGTTTCGAAATTTTGCGCGGAAAATTGGCGCGCAGCCGGCCAGAATGAATCCCCTCGCGCATGCCAGACGCTTTAACCCGTGTGTCTGCGCCAGCAGTGCATTTTACCGGAGATTACAATAATGCGCCATCAGCGCGGGGGAAAATTTCCAAGAATTTGATTTCTTCATTTCTTTCCGCAGTTTTGGCCGTGGCATGCATCTCTCTCCGCACCAGATTCCTCATCGCGTTGACCGCTATCCACGCTATCGTTGCTGCGGTCAGTTTATTCTACTTTGTAGCCGTGCGCAAGTTAAACAAACCCACTCCAGAGAAGCCCAATGCTAAGAACGGCTTCGATGAGAATCACATCAACTGATGTTTGTCTGCATTGACGTGGAGTTTACAACCCTTCTGTGGAAGGTAGCAAGCTGTCTACATTGCGCTGGTTGTCTCTTAAAGAGCCATCCCATACCGGCAGAACAGTGCCTTCTTTTGACGAAGCCGCGCGTTTTAGTGATGAAATAATCTCTCGTGCCAGATGGGTAAACTTAAGACAAACGGTAATGTTCCCTAATAAAGACAAGAGTCGTTAAAGGCTTGTTATATATCTTGGATAGCTTATTTTCCTGCCTTACCCCCTCCCCCTCGCATTTGAATTTGTCTAGTGTACGCTATCAAGCGCGATAGAAAAGGTTGCGTTGTGTTGTTCATGTTGACAAGTCTCAGAGTAATTTTTTAGACAAGGTAAAAATTAGTATAAGAAAATTAATGTAAAAGGCGCGAGGTTTATCGAAACGAAAATTGTCTAGGTTGAGGTATAGGGTCGTTGTTATATTGACTGGAGTCGTGACACTCTTTGTTTGATAAAGTAAGGTATATGTTGCGCAGAGTTATTTTGTTACAGGCATTTTCCGTTGACTTGAGTACCCGTTTTCTTTTCTATCTTAATAGTTTTATTTGTAAATAGTTTTTTAATTTGTTTTACGTTAGTTTTCTACCAAATGCTCGAGTCAGCGATATGTTTTCGGTTCCAATATTTAAAAAAAAAAAAAACCTACGGGGTATTTTTGGACACATTATCCTTGCGAACTGATTTGGACTTTGAGAATCTAGATCAGGTGAAATGAAAATTGATAAACTTGCTGAATAAAACGCAAATCTACGTTTGAAGGAAAACAGGTGGAGACTACTTAGACGGCTAAAATGATGAAATTGAATATTTCCCGAAGAAAATTGTGAGTTTTTCGACCGAAATGATGCCCATAATTATGGTAGACGTGTAAATACTTGTAGGAGACGGCTTCGTTCGCAGGGAAAACGCCGGTTGCGATTGGTGTTGAAGGTGATGTTACTCGAGACGATTTTTAATCCCTCTTTGTCCGCATCGTTTTAGCTCGGGCTCCAACGCGCCATTTAGTCAATCTTCACCAGAGGTGATTGGCCGTGAGATTGACGCGAGATTCCTGACCAATCATGCAAGGCAGTTTTAATGCTCGGTCAAAATGAATACGATAGGATTTGTTGTATAGTCAACCATTTACACCCTCGCATCAGGTGGCATATTCTCCATATTGTTCTGTTTACCTTTCCTGTAGTTCAATCAAGAGTCTTTAGTTGACGACGGTTCATTTTTTTTATTCTCATGATGTTGATTCTTGATTCAGCAGTGATACTTTAGGAGAAGTTAGATGCTAGACGCTTTGAGGGTTTAAAGAATTAAGTTTGTTATTGTTACTTAATGTGCCTAGTCTTGTCTATCGATCAAGATGCGAGGGAATGTTACAATATGACATCATGGTGATTTGTAAAACGGTAAACGGCTTGAACTTCAGAGTAACAGTTGATTCTGTATTCTGCTCGTCCGTGTGAGGGCCGTGCTAAAAGGGGCGGTTACCTCAGAGGAAGTCATCGTCATCACAAACAACAACTTCCGCACGAGTTGAAGAAACGTCAGGTCACAGAAGACGTCAAAATAAGGTTAGAAACATGCACTTCGTGTGTCACCGATTTTTTTACCACATTTTGAAGTCTTCTGTGATCTACTACAGAACAGACCCGCGGCAACATAGAATCTATTTGTTTTTGTATTATAAAGAAGCAAAATGTTGCTTATTGTGGTGTCATCTTTGTCTTTCCTCCAATAGATCATAAGTATGAACCACTCAGAATACGTGTAGACCTCAGCTTGTCGTAGAACCGTTTCTAGATTACCCTTACGTGCACGATCAGGTTACGCGCTCATAATTTGAACACTCCACTAGTTGTTATGTGATCAGAAAGGTAAATTAGACTTTTAACGAATTCACTTTTCGTGGAGGGACAGAAACGCTGTCATTGTACCTGTTTTAGATTTTGGAACTGTTTGTATACTCTCTTTCTAGTGTAGAATGTTGTAAATGTAAACATAACGAAACCATCTTGAACATTGTACATTGTAAGCACAAATACTTCTTGAAAGTCATAAATAAAAATTTTGCAAACTCGATTGTTATTGCTCAGCGGTATGTCTCTACCGGGGGGAAACGAACGATCATAGATGGAGGGGGGGTGGGATTGAGGGTAAGTGGTGATAGTCCGCAGGGTTTTTGCCACTCCCACCGCTCCCACTCGTGGTATCATTCTACAAACGCATATCGACTCTTAGCTACTGCGAAAATTCGCAGTTCACATGTATGATTTTCATATATTTAAGTCATTTATTCACCATTTCACGGGTTTATTTGGAACCAATATAATGGCTTGTTAGCTCAGTTGGTAGAGCACTGCACGGTATCGCAGAGGTCATAGGTTCAAATCCCGTACAGGCCTGAATTTTTGCTGGTTCTATTTCCACACTGCTGCTGTTCGTTACTGCGAAGATCGCTTCCATATTCGTTACTGACAAACAAAACGGATTTCCGTGATTTTTGCTTTCTTGTGGACGCTGAAGACCTCCTTTCACTCATAAATCCTTCGCGCACGGTGAGTAATATGGTTTTGGGTTGAATCCTCTCGCATGACAACATCTTCCGCCCGAAAAGTGAGCGCTGATTCCTACTTTTCCTTGGGAATCTTTTCTTCTTCATTTTCTTTCCCACACTGGCATTTTTCACCACTCTTCCCTTCGCCTGCGCACAAATCAACCTAATAAAATAAGATAAACATGAAAATCAAGGAGTTGATTGTGAGAAAAAGCAACCACAAAAACCTTAATTTGAGCTCAGATTTAAAATCTCGTGATGCAAATTTACATCAGCCTCGTTCCCATGGTTTAATCAGCGTAAGGCTGAACTAACACGTGAAAATCTTCTGTCTCATTTACATTTTACGGTTCCTCGTGCTGAGAACAGTTTAACTTCGTAGGAAAGCAAGAACGATAGTAAAATCGCCGGTTAATCAAATCTTCCCCCCAAACGTGGCCGGAAGCATTGAGGAGTCATTCCTGCTTCTCTTGTGAGACTTGTAGACCCGGACCGATAATTCTGCCGTCTCGAAACAGAACACGCAGTAAGTTAAGAAGGTGTTAAACTGGTTTAATCCAGCGCGCCTAATGAGGTAAAGAGCATTCCAAATTAATTGTGTTCGCGACGAGCAGTTCCACGTCAACGTAGTCTTTTGAAAAAGAAAAAACGTTGTGTAATAACATATTTGAGAAAAATTGGTCCACTAATTGCTTCAGTCCACCTTAATCGAGCAGTGGCTTGGCGAGGACTAATGTTCCGTATTTGCTTAGCGGTAAATTCGAACCGAGTTTGTAAACTAAAAATGGTTAGACTGATTCTCCCTATTCACGGTCTGCCTCACAATTATTATGGTGTGGGTTTTTCTTCGTTATCATCACTTGACACTTGATATTGTGTTGATATTGTAAGGAGAAAATCTGTCTCGGTCACTCAAAGGAGTTAAAAGGCCAGTTGTTTACACGAGATCTGACCCAAACCGCGGTTTTTACGCAGACAATGAGCCATACGTATTTTCTATGAGAGGGTTATTTTCATTAAATAAATGTCCTTTTACTGCAAGCGTGACAATTTCAGTCACAAAAGTGTATTTTCAAATAAAAGATTCAGCTGAATTCAAGATAATTTAGATAGCGGTTTTGGTTAAATAATTCGCCCAACGGTATCTAAGTAGTCCAATGAACCTGCAGAAAAAAACGGTGTAGTTTTTTTTCTCTCATAGATAAAATAACATGTGGATGAGGCATCGAAAATAAATCATGGGAGTGTACAAAAATAAAGAAGAAGAGCAAAGAGTTACTCAAAGGTAGGTTCAGAATCCAGTTGGTTTGAAATAGAATTAGTGACTGTACAGGTGACTGCTGTTCTATACATGCACAAAACGCCCTTGCTTGCGTCAGCGAGAGATTTGAATGTAAAGATATGCAAATAATGGCTAAGCGGCTCTTAGGTGCAAAGTTATATCGCTAACAAAGAATGATCTGAATGCATGCAAACTGTTTGGTGCGCTTCGTGACAGTGTGGGTATTAACATAATTTCGGGCGCAATTTGGTGTAAATAGGCACAAGTAAATTTTTCATAGGCAAAAAAATTGCACGAGCCATTTCTTGTCTTTGATTTTTTTGCATGCCAAACATGCCAGGTAGATAATAATTCGTCACTAACTGTTCCAAAAGCTTAGCTATTTGTAAAAAGCGTCATTAAGGTCTCGCATTCGCCAGCAATTTGGCTCAGCAATCACTAATATTCAAATTTTAAAATTTGGCTGTACTGCTTAAATAAACTTTTCAAAATCTCAGTTTAAAAAATTGTCATAAACGAGAGACGTTCACAAACATCAATCACACACGGTGCAAATTTTATTGTATTTTTAAACTGATCTCGGCTCAGCCGCAGGGAATGTTTCCGCATAACCCTAAACTTCATTATCAAGAGAAAATGATGGGTACTTTATCTTCTACTATCATTATGTATGCAGTTCCTTGCTGAAAGAAGAGTGGCAAAGACAAGGAATTACGACTGATTTTGAAATTTTCAAAATACTCATCACTGCGCCATCGATGCGCCATTATCAATTTTGTGTATCAATTTTTTCCGGATATTAAACAGAAAAGATTTCCGTATTTCCGGGGCGCAGGCACAGCGGTAAGAACGCTCGCCTCCCGGGCCCGGGTTTGATTCCCAGACATGGCGTCACATGTGGGTTGAGTTTGTTGCCAGTTCTCGTCCTTGCTCCGAGGGTTTTTCTCCAGGTCTTGCGCCGCGAGTTTCTTCCGCTCCGCATAAACCAACATTCTAAATTCCAATTCGACATGGAAACAGTGGACAAGAAGAGCCACCTGGTGGAATGTTCATTTATTTTTATAATTTTATTTTCTATAAAACAAAGCCGTAGTTACCGAGTTTCCCTTTTGTTTTGTCCTTAATTTCTTTTAGCCAATAACTGTATGCATAATAAAGTATGGGGTTGTATGGAAATCATGCCAGTAAGAATATTTATTTTTAGGTAAAGCCAACAATTAATAACTTGTGACCATTTTTGCAAAAAAATGAACCGATACACAGTGGAGTTGGAATCGTCTACTTGCGCTAATTACCAGTTTTACACAATAAATGTGCAGAGGCGAAGAGAAATATCTTTATTTACAACGCTTTACCTCTTTTACCCCTGTATTTGGTAAAACCAAGTTCAATTTCGTCGAATTTTAAAATGTTTTTTGGTGTGTGTTATATTTCAGCACTCTGATATCTTGTGATACGCCATTTTGATGTGGACTGCAAGCTCGGAGAGTAAAGACTGAAGAAAATTTACAATAAGAGGAAGACATAAAATATACAACGTAGTTGTTGAAGAAGAATTGTTGGAAATCGATCATGTAGAGGTAACAATTGTAACTTAGACTCACCAAACGCGTTTTATGCAGTTCAATTTTGATCACAATTTTTTAAAAACAAATTAGTGTTTCGAAGTAAAGACAAAACAGGGCTCTCAAATTTTAAATTTCAATTGATACATAAACTAACAGAAAAAATTTGTGAAGGAAATAAATTAAGCTATCTCCTCCAAATGTTCAAAATCTAAAACAGGTTAAGCTGCTAAAAAGGAAACTTCCATTGACTGGTTGAATTACCAAGTTGAGAAATATATCAACTCATCAAAAGTTAGTGAGGACGGTATGATTTTAAAAGCTGACTTTCAGTAGAGAATTGGAAATATTATCGAAAGACAGAAAAATAATCATGCGATCTCTTACCAAAATTTTTAAAAGCTAATTCGGTAAAAGTCGTCAGTAGGACACTAACAACGACTGTTTGAAAAGTGTATCTTAATTCAATTTGTTCAAGATGACTTGACTTAGAAAACATTTTCAAAGCGTTAATTTTAATTCGGCATGATGTACAGTTTGATCTCGACAAAATGAATTAGTAGTGACAGTGTATAGTGTGCAGTGTGATCTCAACATTTCAATTAGTAATTACGCTGACGGCTGTGATTCTCGTTACAATTTTCTGATATTTTGCGCATATTTTTGCTTGTTTTCTGGCTAGTCACTGGAATGGCTTCTCGTTCGTGCTGCTTCTGGTATGAGTGTTTTCTTTTAAAATCATCTACAGGGAGATTTAAATATTTTATCAATACTTATTGGATTATTTCGCTTTCAAAGATGCCAGAGCCTTAACTTTCTTGTTGAAATGTTTTGAATTAATAGTTATTGCGATTATACTTAATATATTTTTTCAATTTGAATTTGTAAATCTTTTCCGTAAAATTTGTTGTCTTAATTTCAAGTTTGCTTACTTGTCATGTTGAGATTCCATATTGTTATGCTCCTTACGTTAGCATTTCTATTTATCAGTAACGAATAATTGTATTACTAAAAAAATTAAAAGTAGAAACAAATAAAAACTCATTTCCATCATATTATCTCTTCCTTTTCTTTTATTAAGTAAACAAATAATAAAAAAAAGAGTTGCGCTTTTAAAAGGGCCTGGTAACTAGTCAAAATATAGGCTATCTCTTTTACTTTTTTTGCGTATGGAGGGTTGCCGAGAGGAAAAAAAATCTGCGGATTTGAACAGCATCTAGCATTAAAACAAAAAATATACTTGACTTTTGATGGGAGAAAATCGTCAGCATGGAGAAAAATATTTTCCCGCCAAAAGACTTAATATATTTTTCGATCAACACTGGACGCAATTCAAAAGCGCAGAATTTTTTTTCCATTGACAATTAATTTCCCGACATTTTTAGCTTCTCAATCATTCTACTGAAGGAAAGGTTTTCCCGCCAAAAGACTTTAGCCCTATTAAAAGCGCAAACTTGTAAGACATTTTCTTTGCTCGCCTGAGCGCGATTGTTTTTCTAATTAGGTAGAACAAGACTTTTCATAAGCTTTATTTCAGGTAACAGACTTCTCGAGTCCTAAAGCATCATCTTTCCTTGGATCTTCTAGCTTCATACCATCTTGAGATCTTTCAAATCTAAAAACAGAAGAAATGAATGAGAAACATTTGTTCCAAGTATAATCTGAACTAAGATAATCAT